GGGAGGCCATGCCCTAAGACTAATCCTCGCAATTGTGCACACAAGCGGCATGCCCTTCTTGTCTAATCGGGATATGCACGCCGCTCCATCCATGCATCAAGCATGGCTAGGGCCGGCTTCATGTATGTACAGGAATGTACGGGCCCCAGAAGCTTAATGTTGGTTGTGCTGATCTGTTGCTTGTGAGGGTTCCATCATTATGCGTCGTCGTGCTTCCCACGCACGGAGCTCCCAAGCATGGAATTGTGTCATGTGTTTTTTTTTTCGTCGTCGTCTTTTTCTTTCCTCCCTTTCTTCGTCTTCTCCCCCTTTTTCTCACTTCTTCCCGCACCGCCAAATTCTCCTTTCTTGACAGCAGAGCCCGTTGCTGTCTCACTCCGCTCTCTGCGCTAACAAGAATTTTGCATCCGGCCTGGTCCGGCGCGTATAGCCAGGACACGCCGGCGGTCCCCAGCATCCCACGAGAGTCTCACAAAGCCCTAGCCCGCCAATATGTCCCATTTGGACAGGGAGGGGGGGTATGAATTACCATGCCCTCCGCAGGCAAAAACCATCCATCCCCCAAGCTACTCGTAAGACCTCGGTCACACCCGTTGCACGCCAGCCTTCCCTCGTTCTACTTCTCGTGCTACTGCTCGTGCTAGCAGTGGTATGGAGTGCAGTAGTAGCAACGGCATAGTCATGGTGACCTGATTCGGTGTAAGCCGCCGAGTGTGCGCGTGTCATTGAACATGATAGACCCCGGTGCTGCGCATTCAAAATCCCGAGCCCCAGGTGGTTATTCGGTAGCCATCATTCGATTTCACGTTCCCCTCACCCGTCCGGCCAACGTTATTCGCAACTTTGGTATCACCTGAGCCCGAGTTATTGGTTTCCCTAGCGCTTTAGTTCATTTCCCGCCCGTTCTTAGTTCTTGAAGCTCCCATCTCATCCCCGTATTCGAGGCGGGGAAGAACGTGTTCTCGATTCTCCAGATCCACACGCTGTGAAAGCCCTTGCTTGACCAGATCTGTTTCAATCTCTGACTGTCAGCTGTGGGAATCTTGTCATCTTCGGCCACCCCCTCATCTCGTCTGCGTCTGCACCACCGACTTACCCGATCTTTCTGCTTTTGCCATCCCAGCCAGCCTCAATTGTTATAGGGCGTGGGTAGCCCCACGAGAGGGACGTAATAGTTGTGTTTCTTTACCGAGCCGGAAGTTGATAGTATCGCGAGCCTGCACCCAAGGGGGTAGAAAAAAACTATAATTTGACAACATTCCCACCCTCCTTCTTTGAGACACTTGCCCCAGTTCTTCTGCCAACTCCCATCACACATATCAAGTACTGTACAACTTCCAGATGTCCCATTCTGAAGAAACATCCGAGTTCTCCCTTGACAAATCCGCTCCTCTTCCTCTTCGCAACCCCAACATGGGCCAATCCAGTCTTGACGATGCCCCGAGAATGGAGCTGCTGTCTCCTCCCGTAGAGGAAGAGCAATTGGCTTGGAGCAAGATTCGCAGCAACTGCCAGGATTTCTTTTCGGAATTCCTGGGAACCATGACTCTCATCCTGTTCGGTGATGGTGTCGTTGCGCAGGTCGTCCTCAGTGGTGGCACCAAGGGCGACTACCAGAGCATCTCATGGGGCTGGGGGTAAGTTGCGCCGCGTTGCAGTAAACCAATGGTGAGAGGTTGGTCACTAACAGCAAACAGAATCGCTGTCATGCTCGGCGTCTATGTTGGCGGCAAATCCGGCGGTCACCTCAACCCAGCGGTGACCTTTGCCAACTGTCTGTACCGCGGCCACCCTTGGCGAAAGCTCCCCGTCTATGCCCTTGCCCAGCTCTTGGGAGCCATGACGGGTGCCGCCATCGTCTATGCCAACTACAAGTCTGCTTTCGATATGTTTGAGGGAGGCGCCGGTATCCGAACTGTGACTGGCCCTACCGCCACCGCTGGCGTCTTTTGCACGTATCCTGCCCCTTTCATGACTCGGACGGGCATGTTTTTCTCCGAGTTCATTGCCAGCAGCATCCTCATGTTCTGCATTTTCGCCTTGGCCGACCCGAACAACATTGGAGCTGGAAACCTGATGCCGCTTTGCCTCTTCTTCCTCATCTTCGGCATTGGCGCTTGCTTCGGCTGGGAGACTGGTTATGCCATCAACCTTGCTCGTGATTTCGGTCCCCGATTGGTGTCGTTCATGATTGGATATGGCCACGAAGTGTGGTCCGCAGGCGGTTACTATTTCTGGGTATGTCGTTTTTCTCTTTTCGTCTCCCGCCTGCCCCCTTTTCGGCGGTGATGATGCATGATTCGTCGTTGCTAACCATGCACTGCAGATTCCCATGGTTGCCCCATTCTGCGGTTGCGCCTTTGGCGGATTCTTGTACGATGTCTTCATCTTTACCGGAAACAGCCCCATCAACACACCGATGCTGGGCCTTCAGCGCTTGATGCGGCCCCGCAAGAGCGTGTGGTCCAACACCCACCCGTCAGCCATTGAAGCAAAGGTCTAAGGATTGCTACCCAATGCTAGACACGTGATGAAAAACAGAACGAGATGGTCTCGGGAAAAATTACAGGAAAAGAAAGTTTCGGTGAACTGGGGTATGAAAAAAGATGTGGGCCAATTGTAACAAAAAAAAAAGGGAGAACAGCATGACGGTGTGCTTGATGAACTGGTTCTTGATTCCGGATGAATGTGTTATGAAAACACGGAGTATGGTTGGTTGTACAAGTATAGTTGAATAATTTAGCGAGCGATAATAGTATAATATCCCACCCTCAAAAAAAGGAGCACCATCGGCCATTGGGCATCAAGACTTTGTGATGGACTATTTGCCGAGTATCCTGAGATGGGGGAAACTGGCGGAGCAAGGATACGTGTATGATGGGACCCTGAAAACGGGGGTTCACCACGCAGCTGGACCAGCCTGTTGGAAGTGACAACACACGAGACGGTAGAGATGGCCAAGATGAAATGTGATGAAAGTCGGGTAAAGGGTTGTTGTCGGAGAATTTCGTGATAGGGTCCGGCGAATCTGCGACGCTGGAATGGAGATGGCAGATTGGAATGCTTCCTGACTGTTACCCTACAAATCCAGAGGCAGAACTACTGCAGCTCAGGACAGAGATGATTGAATGAGAACAGCGTAGCTCCAACATCTGCAGGGAACTCTGTTTCAATCTCCCCAGATGCAATGCGAATCACTGCTTCAGCCAACCAACAATTGCCCGAATACTCTAGCACTACCAAAGCGCAGGTCGTCCTCATCACCACCGCCTTACAGCCTACTCGTACACCGATGAGGCTCATTGCCACTATCATGAGACTCTGACAAGGCAACTCGGCGGCTACCGGGTCCAGGCGTCATTAAGCGATATCTTCCAGCCATTTTGCCAAGCCTTTTTTTTTTATCTTTTGTTATCTCTCAACCCTTGCGGTGTGAGATCCACGCCCGCTCATAAGAAAAAAAGAGGCTGCACGGGCTTCTCCGAGCATGGGACGGGGAGCAAGGGGACGAAACAACGAAAGACAAAACAGAGGCCGCAGACATGGTCACCTGGCCTCGTGCTTCTCTGTGTGGAGCTGGTGCGGCAAGAGAGGTAGGATTGCTCTCTCATTTTTCGTCCCCGGTGGTGGCCTCTGCGTGATACGCGGCATCGAGTATGCACACGCCCTGTGTCCGTGCCCGGGTGCAAGGGACGGGGGTTGAAATTGAGAAAACGTGAGGTTGAGCAAAACGGTTTGCCACTCCCGTGTAAAACCCGGCGTGAGGATGGTAGTGGCCGGAACGGTTCAGTAATGGTGGTGTTGCCGCAGGAAGGATTTGATCCTGTCTTCACGATGACGCGCGATGATGGCGTGGTGACTTTGGAGCTGAAAACGAGAGGTGCTGCACGCTTATGCTCGACATCCCGGCCAGCTGAATACTATAGCAGTCATTTCGTCGACCTCGTATGAGTGCAAGTACAAGTAGCCAGCTGAGTGCAGCCGGGTTCGCATAAGAGCTGAAAGAGTGTCCGTTTTGGCCTTGGCTCGGATCGTGTTGGTTTGGCGGATAAAAAGACCCTGGCCAGTCTCGAGGAAACTTATCCGGCGTGCAGATTGTGGCTGGCTGACAAACTGTGGCTGGCTATGGCTGGCTGTGGCTGGCTGTGGCTGTAGCTGTGGATGCGGCTCGGATCCGAGCAATGACATGTGATCAGAGCAATGACTGAGGCAGCGCAGCCCAATTTTTTTTCGACGAGATCGTCTCTGCCTTTTAGCTTATCGCAAAGCAATTGCTCAATCCCCCAGGAATGCCTCTCATCAGTTGGTGGGTTAAAAGCGACTATCAGAATCACGAGACGGAATGTTTGCATTCCGCCAATGACGAGGGCAAACGGCCGAGAGCAACGTGACGACTTTTCTGCATTGGTTTTGGCTCGTGGTCGTGACAGCTTCAAGAGTGTCCAGCTCGGGGATTCTCTACCGAATGTTTCCCGAACCCCTCAGACATTCAGGCTCATTTCGTCAGCCACAGCCGAATGGCTCATGTCTCCATCCATTCACATGCCTAGCTTCGACGCGTGGCTTGCCATCTTCGGCTGCTCAACCCCGAATTGCCCCCAAATCTAGACAACTAGGTCCACTCCGAGCATCAACCGCCCGTCCTGTTTGGAGAAGAGACCCGCGCAAGTCCGTATCCCGGAGGACGGCCTGCGGCGTGATTGGTCTGGACGAAGCAATTTGAACCATTCTGGGAATACCGGGCCAGACCACGTCCGCACCGGCTGCACCGGGATCGCAGGCCCAGAGCGTGGATTCTGTCTTGCTTCGGGAGTCCTTTTCCAGCGTGACATCACTGGGATGACGGAGGCTGAGGATGTAACTGTTACCATGGCGGCCAAGGCTCCGGAGAGAGAGAGAAAAAGGAAAGGAAAAATAAAAAGCGAGAGCTTCGAGCACAAGCCCCTGGCTCACGACATACAAAGCACACAAGCCACCACGTGGAGAACTCCGTGGCCAGACTCTGCAGAAAAACTAGACCAGCCACAGGTTCAATAACATCGTGGTAGCAGCCTTGTCTCTTCTCTTTCCCACCCATCTTGTCCTGCTCCTCACTCGCCCCTTTCGTTCCACGAATCAGTGCCGCCAAGACCCCCAACCTGATCGTCGTATCAAGCGAAATCTCGTTTGACCCACGTCGGTCGGCCATCATCCACCGAGCTCAGTCTCAGTTGACTATTGAAGTCACCTCATCTGACGCAAAACCTATCTTCTGATTAAAATTTTGGGCTGGTTTTCGCTTTTTCTTTGTTCCACTTCTGGCTTTCCGTGGGAATCATCCTTTTTGCCCTTCTCCTCATCTTGCAGATCCTGCCTGGCCCTCGCCCTTCCGTCATCCTTTAAGAGGCGCTCGCCCCCACGACAAATCTCCTACCTAAAGCCTCATCAATCACTCTACTTCATACCAACCCTGCCATTGGAGGAATCCCTGCCATCAGCATTCTCTTGTGCCCCTCCTCCTACGACCGCTTACGAACTTCACCATGGTTCGAGGCTTCTCAAGCCTTCGACGCCCTCTGCTGGGCCTCGGCGTTGTCGCTACAGCTGGAAGCGCCGTCGTCTACACTCGCACCAGGATATCTCACTCTACACACAAGCCGATCGCAGAAGTCAAGCGCGACAGCAATGGCCGCATCGTTCCGCCTACTTTCCCCGTCATTTCGTCTCGGTTGGAGCAGCTGGCCGAGCTCAAGCGCCACAGCAAAGCAAACGAGAATCTTGAAGAGTACGACCTGCTCATCATCGGAGCGGGCGCGACCGGCGCCGGAATTGCGCTCGATGCCGTGACTCGAGGTCTCAAAGTGGCCATCGTGGATCGCGATGACTTCTCTGCGGGCACCAGCTCCAAGAGCACCAAGCTGGTCCACGGCGGCGTGCGCTACCTCGAAAAGGCCGTCATGAACCTGGACTACTCCCAGCTGCAGCTGGTGATGGAGGCGCTGCATGAGCGCAAGACGTTCCTCAAGATTTCGCCTCACCTCTCCAACTCTCTTCCCATTCTACTGCCCCTCAAGAACTGGTTCCAAGCCCCTTACATGTGGGTTGGCACAAAGGCGTACGACCTGCTGGCCGGTTCACAAGGCATCGAGGGCTCTTACTTCATGAGCAAAAGCAAGGCTCTCGCCAACTTCCCTCTTTTGCGCAGCGATGACATGGTTGGCGCCCTCATTTACTACGACGGCCAGCATAACGACTCCCGAATGAATGTCTCCCTTGCTCTGACTGCCCAACTGTACGGCGCCACTGTCCTGAACCATGTCGAAGTCACGGGCTTGGACAAGGATCAGAACGGAAGAATCCGTGGCGCAACCCTCCGAGATGTTCTGGGCAACGACGACAAAGAATTTACTGTGCGCGCCAAGGGCGTCATTAACGCCACCGGACCCTTTACCGACGCTGTCGAGCGCATGGACGACCCATCGCGCATGACTCTGGTAGCTCCCGCTTCCGGCGCCCACGTTATGCTTCCCGGCAGTGTGTGCCCCAACGGCATGGGCATGCTCGAGGCAGCAACTTCCGATGGACGAGTCGTCTTCGTGCTGCCCTGGCAAGGATACACTGTCGCTGGAACCACAGATAATGCTTGTGAGATTGAGAAGGAGCCGGTGGCGCAGAAGGAGGATGTAGACTTTATCCTAACGGAAGTCAACAAGCTTCTGCGGCCCGAAGCCAAGCTTGGCCAATCTGATATTCTAGCTACTTGGTCTGGTAAGCATTTTCCCCCTTTGCTGGATTCGCATAATAAGCTTGACTAACATGCCTTAGGTATCCGACCTCTTGTTCGAGACCCCAAGGCCAAGAACACCGAGTCCCTCGTACGAAGCCATCTCGTCACCGTTTCGCCGTCCGGTCTTCTGACCTGCGCCGGTGGTAAATGGACCACATACCGCCAGATGGCCGAAGACGCAGTCGATGAGGCTGTCAAGACATTCAACCTTGCTCCTTCTGCCGTTGCCCTCCCAGATATCAGCGGTGCTGGTCTCCCTGGCGTGCAAACTACCGGCCACTGCATCACCAAAAACGTCCCCCTCCTGGGAGCCCATGGTTACTCGACCTCTCTCGCCTCCCAACTCATGGAGGCTCACCATGTGGATGCTGATGTTGCCCACCATCTGGCCCACAACTATGGCGATCGCGCCTGGGCCGTTCTATCAGCCTCCAACTCCGCCGCCACTCGCCTGATCCCCACACTCCCCTTTATTGAAGCCGAAATTCGCCACGGCGTCCGGTCTGAAGCTGCCTGCACTGCGGCCGACCTCATCTCCCGACGCACTCGCCTCGCCTTCCTCGACGTTGAGAACGCCTTGCGCGCACTGCCTCGTGTTATCGATGTCATGGGTGAGGAGCTCAAGTGGTCCGGCGAGCGAAAGCAGCAAGAATGGAAGGAGGCCGTCTCGTTCTTCAAGTCAATGGGCCTGGCGCAGGACAAGCTCAACATCACCCGCAAAGAGGTCGAAGCCCTACCTGCTCTGGTAAGCAGAAAGCCCGAGGTGGCTACTGCGCCAAAGGGGGTTGAGCTGGGCAAGCTCGAAGCAAACGGTGTTTTGGCATAGACTTGCACACACGAGCTGGGTCTATGAATCTGTTGTCGATGAGTTTCGGCAGGCAGATTCTTGTACATAGTATTTCTGCATGGAACAGGGTGTTTTCTGTCGTTTTTCTTTTTGTCTTTTGGAGCATGATACCTGGGATATCTAACCGGAAAGAAAGGGTGTGCGAAGATTCATTACATTGGGTAGAAGCAGCGGTTGGGATTTAAGAAATGGGAGCCATAGACTGCTTTTTCCTTTTCCTTTTCTTTTTCTCTTGTTTTTCTTGCTTATAAACTAGTCGTTATGCATATCGAGACTACTACAATACAAGACAGCTTTTACAAATATCCGTTGTATCCTCAAAGTGACACTTGCTATTTGAAGACGTGGAGAGACTGTATTACTTCTTTCTCTGTTATCATTTAAAGATGATTGGTTCGATGAAGTAACCGCATGTCCAGGCTCTAGTGACGCATTCAGTAGCGGACGAAAGGAGATGCTTCCTAACAAGGCTGTAGAAGGAAGAGAGAAGGCGCACAACGCAGGCGCATCGGCTCTCACAAAAGGAAGCAACCAGTTACCTACTAGGTAGGCAGTCGCAATGCTTCTCTGTGTTTATATCTGTATTTTCGTTGCAGCACAAACTTGGAACTCTTTGCACTCTCCACCAGCATCCGCTCTTTGATCATACAGTTTTTGGAACATCAATCTTTGTGGCATAATTTCCCTCCCATCAGACTCGCAACCAGTCACATTCGCTCTGGTACAACGGCAAAGATGGCCTGGTTCAAAAAGCTTGCTCTCCTCTTGATCACAGTCTCGCCGTGCGTCACAGCCTATCCTTTCAACAAGACCGGGAGACGCTTGGCTCTGAACCTGGATGCACTTGAGCCTGAGGCAAAGTATATCGTGACCCTTCAAAAGGACCTCACTCCCACCCAGTTCAAAAATCACATCGCCAAAGTCAATGGCACCTATTACCGCAGCTCGCAAGACAATAAGCAGAGTAGTCCCTCCGGTCTTGAACGGACATATGCCATTGGTGGCTACCGGGCATACTCTGGAACTTTTGATAAAGATACTATAGCCTCACTTTGGAGCGATGCAGTGGTGAGCATACCTGCAGTTACTCATGTCAACGGATTTTTCCGTTCTAATGCAACTGGGTGTCTTTAGGTGGCAGAAATCGAGCTGGATGACTACTTTACTGTACAAAAGCTTGTGACGCAGCGCCATGCCCCCTGGGGTCTTGCGGCATTGTCCAGCAAGAAGCCCGGTTCCGAGTCGTATCGCTACGACAAGAGTGCGGGCAACGGCACTTTTGCCTATGTTATTGACACTGGAATCAACACCAAACACGTTGAGTTTGGGGGCCGGGCTTCGGTTGGGTACAGTGTCATCGCCGATGACTTTTCGGACAATAGTGGACATGGAACTCATGTTTCAGGCATCATCGGGGGCAAGACGTTTGGCGTGGCCAAGCAGACGGAGATCATCGGCGTCAAAGTGTTTCTCAACAACGGTGGCGAGAACTCGGATGTGATTGATGGTTTGCAGTGGGCAGTCCGAGACATTCTTGCCAAAGGCCGCCAGAGCCGTTCTGTCATCAACATGTCTCTTGGTGAGTGGAACCCAGCCAGGATGGCCAAGGGCAAAATCAACTGACGCTGTGATAGGAGGCCCCTATTCTTACGCGTTGAATCATGCTGTTGATGCTGCTTTTGAAATGGGAATTCTCGTCGTCGTTGCAGCTGGAAACGATGCAGAGCCAGCCCGATACTCATCTCCTGCATCATCATCACAAGCCCTGACTGTGGGCGCCATCGACATCCAATGGAGACGGTGCGGCTTTTCTAATTTCGGCCCCGAGGTCAACATCGAGGCTCCTGGTGAGGACATAGAGTCCGCTTTTATCGCGACGGATAACGCGACTGCTATTCTGGACGGCACTTCAATGGCGACTCCCCACATTACCGGGCTTGCTTTGTATTTGGCCGCCTTGGAAAAGACAAAAACGGCAAAGGAGTTGAGAGACAAAGTCCTGGAGGTGGCAATCAAGGACAAGGCGAAGGATCTCACGCTTGAAACACCCAATTTGATCGCTCACAACGGTGCTCGCTAAAGTATTTCCCTCTTTCTTCCTCCCATACCTCATTACCCCTTTCCACTACGACTCATCTGGTATAGCATAGCCATAACATTGTTATTATAGCATCAATACAAAGTTTGGAAGAGAATACTGCTTCAATTTTGATGATTGTGACTTGAGTGATGCGCAAAAACAGCAAATAGTGGATGAGTGTGTCTGATATGTGAATAGCCATAGGGAAGCACGGCTGTTTGCAGTTGGCATCGACATGGCTGACTGTTTGGGCTGCATTCCCTTTTTTCTTCAAATTATTCACCTCGATGTGGGACCTGCACACTGTCAAATTTGCATCGATATTTGTTTTCAATCCTCTACTCGTGAACTTTTTGCCTCTATTTTCCTACTATCATGCCGGAGACATAAAGCTGCATTTCTGCTCTTGACGTTGCCGGGTTCTTTGGATCATTTCTCTTTGAACTTTCCTACAATCCATTGGTTTTCTTGGTTCTGGAAGAAGTCGAAATTTTGTAACAAGGTTTGCGATGGAGCTCCCAGGTTTGCAGAAGGCGAAATACGAATAGCTAACTCCATCACAGCTACGCTTTCCAACAACTGGCATAAGAATAGCGAAAATAGTATCGAATGCATACCGATGGATGCCGAAAGAAGAGCGATGGAAAATCGGCGTCGCCATCGATGGCACAGTCGTCGTAGTCAAAGCATGCCCAGCCATTCCGCCACGACGCCATCTCGAGCTAGGTCTAGGGCAGTGAATTCGATGAATTTGGCGAGAAGGATGGCGATTCCTCCCTACAGCGGGTACAATATCGTTGACTGGCACATTTACAATCGGTTGAGAGGCCTGTGGAAGACTGAGTCGAGGTCCTGGTCGGAGGGCGAGAGACGGGACTTTGTCGAGTGGGTTCCCAAGGCTCACGTTACGGAAAGAGAAAACTCGATGCTGGATCACCCGCTGGCGGAGTATATGCGGTGCAACAGGCATAGCTGGGGGCATTTTGTCATTTTGAGAGTCATGTTTGGAGCGTCGCAGTGTGCGAGACAGAGTTGGTGGGCGGAGTTCAAGCAAAAGTACGAGCGAGCGGCAGAAGATGCGCCGCCGGGGGTTGTGCCTAGGGGTGTGGATGAAGTTTTGCTGACGAATCGGATGGATCCGCCTCCTATGATGAAGATTCCGACGATGGAGGTCAACAGCGTTCACGTGGAGAGTGATTGTGGGTGTTCGTGGTGTTTGAAGAAGGCAGCAGACAAGGCGAGTCGAGGGAATATATCTTCGAGCCAAGAATCAAAGACGGTGAAAAGGGATCAGAGAGCGGAATGTCCTCGCGGGCAGAGCATATACACGGGGGAAGGGGAGACGTGCGAGGATCGAGCGCGGAGATCTGAGCGTGAGCAAGGCGTTGAGCCGGAAGAAGCGCAGGATAATGAGAGCGAGGATGAGAGGGCTGGGGCTGTTACTCAGGTGTCGTCTTTGCGGGAGAGGTCGACTGTTGTGTGTACGGATGGGACGAGTAGGGGTTTGAAGGAGGTTGTTGTTGAGCAGGGGAGTATGATTGAGATACTTGTGAGGTTGGTGGAGAGGCAGGATAAGAGGTTGGAGAGGTTGGAGAAGAAGGTGGATTGGGGGCAGAGGAGGAGCGAGAGGTTTTATCGGGATGTTAATAGGAGTGTGAAGGATGTGCGGAGGTTGATGAGGGAGGGTGATGGGGGAGAGGAGGGTTGAAGGATGTGAGGTTTGTGGTGATGCTGTGGTGGGTGGTGTTGGTGTTGGTGTTGGTGTATGAGGTTGAGTGGTCTGTTTTAAAGTTATTTTTGTCTTTTTCTTTTTTAACTTGAAGCTGTAATGTTTCACATCTTTTTGAGATTATATCTAGCTGTTAGGTACTTATTTCATGGTGTTGTGAGGATAATAGTTGATTGTTGTTATGGCTTATAGGGTAAGGTATGCAGCTTTGAGATAAGCCAGCCTTGCGCTCTGCATGCTTGTCTACCGAGCGCTTACCGGGCGAATAAATGGTTGGTGTGTTTTATCAATGAGAATTAAAGTACATCTACCTATTGATAAAGATGTTTGATACTCGTTTGATTTATTTCTACAAGAAGAGCATTGCGGTTTGACCATATCGCGGGGTTGTTGATAGAAGACATTCTCAGTACCTAGGTAGGTATGTAGGCTTGTCTATCAATTGACTTGCGCTCCATCAAGTTGTTTCACATTTATGGTACTACAACAAATGCCAACGAAATTCAACATCACGACATACCCGTAGCCAACAAATTTCTTGGTACATGTAGGTGCAAAGTACCGGCAGAAACACGCCAGAGTCACACAAGTCGTCATTTCTCATGTCCAAAGTGGCACGATGGTCACCTCAGGTTGCGTCGCCCAATCAGAGCACACGCGGGCGGGGGAATTGCATGTGAAGTGAATAACGCGGCCACGTAAGAGTACATGGAGGTACCGCGACTTTGCAGGCGGGGAAAGTCGAGGTACCTCGGCTGCGCTTGTTGTTGATGGTGTTGACCTACTAAGAGACATTAGCCGTTATACGAGTATACGAAGAGGTTAGTGGGCTGATAAAGGTTCAATGTTTGATGTGTATCATTAATCGAGTGCAGAAAGCGGTAGTTGTTGCTAGGGATGACATTGTGAAACCTTGATGTCAGCCTTGAGATGGTCATATGGACATGAAACACCTTGATAGGTACTCAGAAAATACCTGCCAAGTTGTATGTACACAAAGCTGGGCGAGGATTTGCTGCTCAAAGCTCTCTCCTATCGTTGCCCCTCGGCGGGGTTGCGGGGTCATTCTGTGATTGATTTGCATGGAGAAATGACTTGCAATCAGCCAAGTTGACACCCGATCGGTCCCCGCGGAGAGCCTCCATTGAAACTCAATCCTGTTAGCGCTCAATCCGGGGGGGCAAATCCGATGGATGGATGAATGAATGGACATGGGCAATCATTTTGGAGGCTTTGACAGCAATCAATGCACTAAATCACAGACTGCTACTACTAGGTCGGCACTTAGTTTCCAGCGGCTGTGGCTGCTGAGGCTTCAATGGCAGCCGCTGGAGGTGCCAAAGTTCACCTGCGTACCGGTACCAGCAGGCGCAACACACCCTCGCATCGCCCGCATCACCCGATAGCAATCGATTGAATGTACATGTACATGCGCATCTGTATCTGCATCTGCATGATAAAGCAGCAAATATCCCGCACGCGAGAAATGTACACGTAGACAGACTCTCGCGTTTGGAGTTTCGAGTCACGTCAACGTCGAATCAACTCACCTCACCTCATCTCGCGCTTCTCTCTGTCTCTCTTCCCCTCCCTCCCTCATCCTCTCTCTCTCACTCTCTCTCTCAGAGTACAGTACCGAGGCAGGCAGCAGCAGCCATGGGTTCGGAAGACGACCAGCAGAAGCCCGTCATCATCGTCGGCGGCGGCCTGGCCGGCCTCGTCGCCGCCTTTGAGCTGGCCGAGCGCAAGGTGCCGACGCTCATCATCGACCAGGAGAACGAAAACAACCTGGGCGGCCAGGCTTTTTGGTCGCTGGGCGGCCTGTTCCTCGTCAATTCCTACTACCAGCGCCGCATGGGCATCAAGGACTCGCGGGAGCTGGCCATGCGCGACTGGCTGGGGTCTGCGCAGTTTGACCGTGACGAGGACTACTGGCCGCGGCAGTGGGCAAAGGCCTTTGTGGACTTTGCCACAGACGAGTTTGAGGAGTACGTCAGGGCCCGCGGGCTGGGCTTCCTCTTCAACGTCGGCTGGGCTGAGCGCGGCGATGGAAGATCCGACGGCCATGGAAACTCGGTGCCGCGCTTCCACATTGCCTGGGGAGCTGGGCCCGAGGTCGTCCGCATCTTCGCGGATCCGGTGAAAAAAGCCGCGGAAGAAGGGCTGGTGCAGTTCAAGTTTCGGCATCAGGTTGATGAGCTCATCGTGGATGGGACGGGACGGGCCGTTGGCGTCAAGGGCAGCATTCTGGAGGACGATGACTCGGCGAGAGGCGTCAAGACGACGCGGACCGTTGTCAACTCCTTTGAGCTCTACGGCTCTGCCATCATCGTCACCTCGGGTGGCATTGGAGGCAACATTGAGGCCGTGAAGCGGAACTGGCCTGTGGAGAGGCTGGGGCCAAAGGTACCCGAGCACTTTGTCGTCGGTGTGCCCGCTCACGTCGATGGCCGCATGCTCCAGATCTCGGAAAATGCTGGTGCCAACATTGTCAACCGTGACCGCATGTGGCACTACACTGAGGGTCTGCAGAATTGGGATCCCATCTGGCCCGGGCACGGCATCCGCATCCTGCCAGCGCCTTCGTCTCTGTGGCTTGACGCCAATGGTAAACGCTTCCCGCCATACTTGTTCCCGGGATCTGATACCCTCAGCACGCTCAAGGCCATCTGTGCGACCGGCTACGACTACAGCTGGTTCATTCTTGATCAGTCCATCATTGCGCGTGAATTCGCCCTCTCGGGCTCGGAGCAGAACCCAGATCTGACTGCCAAGAGCATCTGGGAGGTGTTCAAGAACAGAATCTTTAGCAAGAAGGGCACGGTCAACGTGCAATTGTTCCAGGAAAATGGCAAAGACTTTATTGTCCGGGACACCCTCAAGGAGCTGGTGACTGGCATGAACGAGCTGGCAAAGGAGCGGAATGGCCCTGTCCTGGACTACGACAAGGTCAAGGAGGTTGTTGACGCTCGTGACGACCAGTTCAACAACACCTACTCAAAAGACGCGCAGGCCATGCTCATTCACAATGCGAGAACGTACTGGCCGGACAAGCGTAGCCGTGTTGCGGCACCTCACCGCCTGCAAGATCCTGCCCACGGCCCCTTGATTGCCGTTCGACTCAACCTGCTCAGCCGCAAGACACTCGGCGGTCTCGAGACTAACCTCAACAGCAACGTCATGAAGAAAGACATGACGCCGTTCCCGGGGCTCTACGCTGCCGGTGAAGTGGCGGGATTCGGCGGTGGAGGCGTTCACGGTTACAACTCGCTCGAGGGAACGTTTCTGGGAGGCTGCATCTTTTCCGGCCGCACAGCTGGGCGAGCTGTAGCAGACGAGTTGTCCGAAGTCGTCAAGGAGTGAAAACCCCACAACTTAATGCGAGAAGCGGAATAAACGGCAAGTGGAGGAGTTGGCATTCTTGATTTTTAGTGTTAAGGCTATGGCTATTCTATTGATTTCAATGAGACCAATGACATACATGTGTTCACGACACGGCGTGCGTATTTTTCCTATTTGACGGTTTCATCATCTTCCCATTGCTCTAGTTCCGAGAAAGAGGCATCGATTATGTAGTTAGAGACTTGGAGTCATCCAGGGACCAGGGTGTTACGATGCTAGGCTAAATATCTGATTGGTGGAACATTTCGCAAAGCAACTGCTTCGGAAGAATTGCTCGATCCCCCATTGGCTTTTTTGCCGTGATGCAGCTCGACATTGTTGCCTTTGGACACTTGAATGGGGTAATTGACGGACAAGTATCCGTCCATTGCTCGATGGAATCTGGGGTTGAAATCTGGGGAAGACAGGGGGGGCTCTTCGTCTATAAGATGGGGAAGGTCTCGGCCTTTAATCTTGTCATCAAGCTTAATTGGGGACAGACGGCTTCAGCTGACTCGTTCTGGGATCAATTGAACTCGCCACAATGCACTTCTCTTCTCTTTCCTTTGCTCTGCTCTCCGCCGCGGGCGTGGCCAACGCCTTACCCGGCCTTGGAGACGTTTGGCCTTGGCCGTCTCTGATCCCCGACACCGTCGTCATTGATGGCTGGCGCCTTGTCGAAGCAAAGCTGCGCCTCACCTTGGGTGATGGCGCCCTCAGGAGCGAGTTGAAGCATCTCACTGCGCAGGCAGATAGCTGGCTCGATCAAGGCCCCTGGACCGTGACGGCAAAGACGAAGGCTCCTCCCAACGGCACAATCCACGACTACTCGTCTCAGGCGCCGTATTGGTGGCCCAACCCCAATTCGGCAGATGGATGTCCGTACATCCAAAAGGACGGTGTGCGCAATCCCGAGGTGGACCAATACCAAGACCGCGTTTCCGTTGGAAAGATGTTCAACTCGACATACGTCTTGTCGCTGGCCTGGTACTACACGGGCAACCCCAAATACTCAAAGCACGCGTCAGACATTCTCCGGACATGGTTCCTCGACTCCAAGACAGCCATGAGCCCCAACCTGAACCACGCCCAGATCATCCCCTGCGCCAACACGGGCAGGTCGATTGGCATCATCGACTTCAGCCAGGAGTACACAAACGTCATCGACGCCGTCGCAATCCTCAACACCGGCGCCCCCGGCTGGAGCAAGGCCGACGGCAAGGCCTTTGTCAGCTGGAACAAGCAGTTCCTGACGTGGCTCGCCGACTCGCCCTTTGGCGTTGAGGAGGCCGCCGCGCAGAACAACCACGGCACCTTTGCCAACATGCAGATCGCCGCGCTGGCGCTCTTCACGGGCAACATCACGCTGGCCAAGCAGCGCGCCGAGCTCGCAAAGAGCTTCATCAACAGCCAGATCACCGCCAACGGGTCGCAGCCGCAGGAGCTCGCGCGCACGCGTAGCTTCCACTACTCCAACTTTGATCTGACGGCGCACCTCCGCTACGCGCTCATCGCCCGCAAGGTCGGCGTCGATCTGTTCAAGTACACGGGTCCTCAAGGCCAGACGCTGTTCAAGGCGGTCGAGTTCTTGATTCCTGCGGCGGCGGGCGGAGCTGACAAGTGGACGTATCCGGAGCTGGGCTTTACGCAGTATGCGGCGACGGATAATGTCAGGGCGGCGGCGCAGGAGGGCGATAAGGCTGCTTTGAAGGTATTGACGAAATTGGTTGCGCCGCCTGGAGGAGACATCTTTGGGTTGAGGCCCGCGCCGGAGCAGTTGGATAGTATTGCGACGGTTGGGTGAGGGATTGAAGGTGAATTTACTTGTTGTCTTGGTTTGCCCCTTGATATGGAGTGCAAGACAATGGATTTCTTATCATGTATAGATGTCATGTGAAACGACGGGTAGCTGGAATGAATATAATATTTTTACTTGCTTTGTCTAATCCAATCCTTCTACTTATTGAATCCATCTTAAACACCAGTCATGCTAAATGTTTCTAGATATTTAGTAGCTCACGCTATAGCCCTGCCAATATCCCAGTCCTCCGGTCAAAGAAACATAGCTGGACGTTCCACGCCCGCCAATTGACAGATAATTCTGCGTGCCCTTGACCTGGAACGCATATCCTCTTCCGCTCTTATAGCTTACAGTAAAGACAACCGCATTCCGGGCATTCTTGCAAAGCTGTGCAGACTTGCAAATGTAGTTGCTGCCAGCATCGTCAGAAAGCGTGAAATCCGCACCTCCAATCGTCACTGCGTGAGCAATCCAGCGCTGCGAGGGCGTGTTGTGACGCGCGGTGGCTCTGCTGAGGACGGTGGATGTCGTCTTTTGCGCGAGGGCAAAGCCGTTTGCTTCGAGGACAATGTGGCGGCCCTCGGTGAGCATTCCGCGCATGGCCTTGAACCCCTTTTCGACCTGGCTGGGCATGTCGGATATCACGCCGTTGCCGGTATACGGAACCGGTGGCTGCACTTGAGAGTACAGCGACTGGCAGTACGACGAGCCATCGTAGACGCCGTTGGAATCGGTGTGAGGCGTCTGCGGCGTAGGGATCTGCGGCACGGAGTAATCGGGATGGTCAAAGTCAAAGGCGTCGGTGAGGTCGGACATGTGGTTGCGGCGCCACGAGACCATTTCGTCCGTCGTGACGTTGCGGCCCTTTGCGGCCTGCCACTTCTCGACGAAGAGGATCTGCGAGTTGTGGTCGCTGTGAGCGGTGAAGACGCCGCCGTTGCGAGTCCAGGGCGAGATGATGTAAAAGGGCAGTCTGAAGCCCGGGCCGAGAAAAGTGTAGCCGACTTCTCCGTACGGGTCTTGGATCCATTCTCCAGCGGTGCCCTGGGGGGAGTGGTAAGGGTTGACGTGGTCGAACCAGCCGCCGGTCTCGTCGTAGGAGACCATGAGGACTGTTTTGTGGTACTTGGGCGAGTTGAGAACAGCCTGAGCGACCTGGTACTGCAGCCAAGCGCCATCGTGAGGAGAATAAGGGGGATGTTCTGAGAGTTCCGTGGGGCCGACGATGTATGAAACCTCGGGCAGAGTTCCGTTGGCAGCCTGTGCGTAAAAGGTATCGAGTGAGAGGCCCTTTATGCCTCTGTTGTAGAGGCTGGATCCTGGTTTGGCATCCTGGAATTGCTGAAACCTGGCATATGAGTTGTCGTCGAAATTGTCCTCGTCTTGGAAGACCTGCCAAGTGACACCGGCATCTTCGTAGTACTCGCCAACAGTCTTCCATTTGAGAGGATAGCAGTTGAAGCCGCCAGTTTCACAGCCTGGGGTGATGTTGTTGTCGATATAAGGGTTGCCACCCTGGTCTGGGCTCTGAGGGCCACCAGGAGCGTTGACACTGCCCGAGAGCCATGTCACTCTGTTTGGGTTGGTAGCAGCAACAACACCCTCCTAAGATTCTTATTAGTTTTGTTCTGTCCAATCCCCAGAAAGGTATATGTACCTGATACATGTCCCCAACCACAAAGTTATCCGCCAAGGAGAACTGAATAGGAATATCCTGGCGCTTGTAGAATCCAATGCTGTAAGGACTATTGCCCACGGCCCAATGATCATTGCTGCCATTGTTCCATGCAGCATGATTCTCCTGCCAACTGTTGCTCCCAGAAACCATACATTGGGTTGCTTCTGACCAGTTGCCGCCGAGGTAGTTGATGTAGAAGGGCGTCACATAGTCAGTCTTCGTGGTCAAGTGCGAGTTTGTCAACTGTTTCCAGACCGGGACGCCGTCGTTCATCTGCAGATTCGCATCTCCAAAGCCTCGCACGCCCGACATGGTGCCGAAATAGTGGTCAAAGGCACGGTTCTCTAAGTTTTACAGTTAACTGGCTGGTTCACAGACAAATCAATGCGCACATGAGTCTATACCCTGCATGAAGAGGACGACATGATCAATATCCTTCAAGCTCCCAGCTTGAGCAAGGCCAATGATGCTAAGCAGGGTCGCCGACGCGGGCCCTATGATCCTGAGGAGAGGCATCTCTGGCGATTGGAATAGTAAAGCGATATGGCAGAGAGTCAGATACGTGCAATTCTATCCCCTCCGCTTCACCACAGCAGACGGTGGGATTTTAAACAAGCATGCACAGGAAGCATCTTGTGAATAATGTTTTACGAATCAAGCTTGTGTACACATATTACACATATTATCAGAGACGGCCCCTCATGTCTAACCCGAGCAGCGTGATTTGCCGATCGCAGTGTAGTATCGAGGTCTCAAGCGCAGCCGTCTGTGCCGAGTATAAGCAGCTCGTCGCACGGGTAAAGGACAAAGGATAAAAAGACAGGTGAGGTTGCATCTTTCGATGTTTTTACCGACGCCCGAAACTGGAAGGTAAGCGGTGATCATAGCGGAAGATGGCCATGATGTTGGAACTTGTGCTGCACAGCAGCGATGAGATGCGCAGATCCTCAATTAGCGGGACGGGTCAAAAGAGGAGTAGTCGTAAAATAACATAAAAAATAAAGATAAAGCCTCCCATATGTTAATCGCTGTCAAATGTTTCACCATGGCATGTGATTGGCGTATTGGAGGCAGATGCGAGATGGCCAGGCGATTAAGACATGTGCCCTTGAGAAGCCAATAGCATCGGCTTGGCGGCCCTCGTGATGGCAGTCGTGGTTGGCTGGAGCTGCAAGGCTCTGCAGGGATGCTTGGATTAGTGCAAGGGACTGCGAAGAAAAGGGTTCCACAGACTATGATATGATGCAGGTGAGGTTGTGGAGACGTTAAGAGAGGGTTAAGCGACCGGACGGGAAAAGCCTCATAGTTGGAGACGGCTGAGGATAGAGTACCCGGACGAGGGAGAGTAGATACACGTATCTGGAGTTGAGAGCTCGTGAGAGAGAGAGTCTTCCTCGGCAGCTTTGATGATATTCTCCGTATTTGCGGAGTCTCAACGCAAGCGGGTGAGGCTGAGAGCTGAGATGGACTCGAACCTCCTCACTCAGCCACCCACGAAATCCAAAAGACAGCAGATAACAGACCAGGTTGGACCCTTGAGCTCCTCTCTAGCCCGTGCTACTAGTCCCAAACCCTTGGATGGCTTCTCTCACCATCCAGTGGGGCCTCAGCCAAACCCAAGAATCGACAAATCAAGGGCAACGTCCCCACGTGCTGGTCAGTGCTCGGCAGTCAATGCCGACTACAATGACGAATCTTCCGCGCGTTCTTATACCGATGTTGCGATGGTCCGTTCATCACCGCCTTTGCCCTTTGTTCGGGTTTTGTGTCCTCCATGACATGACGCGTGCCGCCTGTACTTTTCTTCCTTCTGCTTGTGCTCCTGCTTCCTCCTTTCGCTGGATGGTCTAGTCGAGTTTTGGCGACAGATCGATCCTCATCCGGCCCTCTAGCTGAAAGCTGAGAGAGTGAGAGTAAGAGCGAAGAGAGAGAGAAAGAGTCGAGGTTGGGTAAAAAAATGAGGGACCAACCAGAGGAGCGTCGTCTGCTCGACGAAGTAGACGGCGGCGACAGCGATGACGTTGCCACGCAGCTCAGCGTCGACGAGGAGGTGGACGAAGAAGAAGCAGAGCAAGACGAGATAGAGCCCGTCTCGCGTCGAAAGCCCAGCTTCACGCTGCTCCGGATCGCCGCCTTGGTCGTTGCGCTATGCCTCGGCTCGCTGGCCGTGCTGCTGTTCGCCATGAACCGGCACGCTGCCCCGTTGGACGACCAGCTTGCTATTCCTCTTCACCCGACCGAGCACTCCACACGAGATCCTACCACGCTGACCTTTGACTGGCACGTCACCCTTGGCACGAGAGCCCCAGACGGGGTGGAGAAGCAGGTCTACCTGATCAATGGTGGGTGATGCAGACACACTGAGTCTTACATATGTTGTTCGTTTGATTGGCTGCTGACGCTCCGAGTGCAGGACAGTTCCCGGGCCCGACCATCGAGGGCCGATCCGGGGACCGCATCATCGTCCGTGTCCATAATGACCTCAAGGACGACGATGGTGTCTCACTGCACTGGCATGGTCTGCGCATGCAGGGCTTCAATGCCATGGACGGAGCTGTGGGATTCACCCAGTGTCCTATCCCCGCCGGCAGCTCCTTTGTCTACGATTTCCGCATCCGCGACGACGAGCACGGAACGTTCTGGTGGCACAGCCATTCCCAGCTGCAGAGGGCAGACGGCCTCTTTGGCGGGTTGGTGATACACGAGCCACGGCGTCACAAGTCCGACATCGCTGTGCAAGAGGAAGCACTGCTGCTCATTGGCGACTGGTTCCATCGCAAGCATAGCGACGTTCTTGACTGGTACAGCAGCCCCGCGAGCGCAGGCAATGAGCCTGTCCCTGACTCCATGGTCATCAACGGCCGTGGTCGATACGACTGCTCCATGGCCGTGCCGGCGAGACCAGTTCAGTGCAAGAAGACGTCCTTGAGCAACTTCCCGCCGATCATTAGGAAATCTGTGGGGGAAACGCTGCTCAGAGTAGTGAATACTGGCACCATCGCCGGCTTGACGCTCGGTGTTGATGGTGCTTCGCTTCAGCCTACGCAGGTCGATGGAGGCTGCAAGGTAGATTCAAAGCCAGCTGATTCCGTCGGCATTCTCTATCCTGGCGAGAGAGTTGACCTACTGCTCAAGTGGAGGAGCGACCAGGCGGCGGAGCCATGGTTCAACGTCTACCTGGATCATGAGTGAGTTCTTTCAAAATCTATCCTGACATTTCTCAATTTCAGCTGGTGGTTATAGTATCTAACAAGCTGCAGGAATCTTCGCTTCGGCAACCCGGCGCTCAACCCAAACCATACCTTCCCTGCCCTCCCGAAAACAGTCACAGCTCATGATCGCGATCATGCATCCCTCTTGAAATTCAGCAGCAGTCACCTCGACCTTGCTACGCTTACTGCTACACACGAACCATCTCCTATTGTTACGGCTGAGGAGGAACAGACGATACTCTTCTACGTGTCGACTCAGAAGCTTGCGGTGCATGGAAACAAACCCATCGGCTTTGTAAATCATACCGCTTGGCAGCCCCAGTCATTGCCACTGCTGTCTCAGAACCGTTCGTCTTGGGACGACAACCAGCTCATTCCCTTTATTGGCAGCGGATCAAAGCCCACCAAGGTCAAGCTTGTCATTAACAATCTCGACGATGGTTCCCACCCGTTCCATCTTCACGGACATTCATTCCACGTCCTGTCCTCAATCAAGGCGGACAAGGCTAAGCTTGGGACTTACAACCCCTTTGAGACATCAGAGAGCGACTCTCTTGGTCATTGGCAGCGGGAGAAGCCACTACGGAAAGACACAGTCAGTGTGCCCAGGAGAGGGCATGTGGTGCTCTCGTTTGTCGCCGACAACCCCGGAATGTGGATGTTGCATTGCCATATGTTGGTACACCTGGGAACAGGCATGGCCACTGGCTTTCAGGTCGGAGTACCGGAGGATGAAGAGCATTTTTATGGGATGGATGAATCAGCAGCGAGATTATGCAAGGCGTCGAAATAATCAAGATACCAGAGATACCCAGATACCCAGATTTTAAGAAACACACGATAGCAAGATATAAACGATATAGTTTTAAAAAAAACCAAAAAGAGACCAAATATTTGAATAAATTCTAATGAACCATATGAGTTCAAAGAGGCTGGTGAAAATATACAGAGAACATTAACAATGGGGTATATATTGACCAAAGAATAAACATCATATCCAAGACGTAAGCTATCCCTCAACGGGGACGGTCATTTCATAACAGTTGCCGCGGCATCAAAGAATGTGGATTATGGAAATTAATGAAAGGATGGATATCCAGAGTAAGGAATCTGGGCACGACAGACTCCGTGCACCGTTCTCGTCGTTGGTGTCAGCGGCCGGGGCTGGGGCCGGAACTGGTACCCCAGTGGGCACCGTTGGTGGCGCTCCAGCGAGAACTTTGTCTCCAGAAGGATACTGGATGTTGTATACGGGGTCTGTCTTGAGGGCATCGGGCAGGCCCAGGGTGCCGGGGCAGGTTGGCTGGTTGGCATTGGGCCAGTCCAGCGTGCAAGTCTGGTCTTGTCCAAGAGTGCAGATGGAGTCGAGGATGTTGTACAGGACATAGTTGCTGCCCACCCACGAGTTCTCCTGCTCAAGACAGCTGGCCAGGAAATTCATGCTGTTTGCCGCGCTGAGAGGGAGCTTGCTGCCCTTTGTGTGGATCAGGCTCGCGCAATTGGAGGGATCCACGTTTTGCGTCGTCATCGCGACGGGTCCTCCTGCAAAGGGCTTCTGCGTTGCGGAATAGCCCGTGTAGAGGTAGTTCCAGGCATCGTAGCTGATGTCGTGCGCGCCCTGCGATTGGTCGACGCGGAGGAGATAGACTTGGCGGTCTCCGTACTGCAAAGAGACGCAAATGTTGTTGCAATCAACCGAGTCGGGCCAGTAAGCAACTCGGTTTGTGTTGACCTTGCAACCTAGAACGCCGACGGAGGACGAGTAGCTGTCGTGGGGAGTCGCCCAGACGGTGGTGGAAGATGAACTGCTGTCACTGCGAGGGATTGAAGCAGCGAGAGCAGAAGTGGCCAGCAAGGGCAATAGAGAGTGGAGGCTGAAGAGCATTGTCATTGTCACGAGTGCGTCGTCATAAGGAATGGAGACTGAGTCATCACAGGCCAATCCGGGGCCAGCGGGTCAGTGACAAGCGAAAAGGGAAAAAAAGGAGCGACAGGCGGCGTGGCGCCGTTGCGGCGAGAAATGAGGGTAAAGGAGCTGATGCTAGAAATAGCGCCAGTTCGCGTGGGTTTATGCAAGAGGGAAAAAAACAAGACGAAGCGAAAAAAAAAAACCGTTCGACAATCGAGATGCTGCCAAATCTGGGGGAAATTTGGTGGTCAGGGGATTATCATGCGGGCTAGGCTGGGTTGGGACTAGCGGGACGCAGCCTTTCCCGATGGAGCCGTCGCGGGAAAAACGTGGGCTGCTCCACCGATTCTCCAGCGAAGCGAGCGATAAGGGAAATCGTGAGCTATTTCGAGTCATTTCGCTGCATATAATAAGTCTAACATACTGTCAAAAGCGTCAAAATGGATGTAAAGTAATACAATGAAGATGGAAAATTCAATTATCGAGGAAATAATTCCTACTGCGTCGAACCCCGACGACGATATCGAGGGCGGATGTGGGGAATTCATATAATACACTTTCCGAAATGTCACACACACGTGCCCTTTTCTTTTGTGGTTTTTCTTTGTTTTGTCCCACCATCCAGAGTGCCCATCCGCCCAGCATCAACTCGATGTTTTTTTATATTGTTTTCGACTTCCTTTCTTTATTTCTTCAGATGCAGTGCCTCCTTCACCTTGTCCATCGTTGAATGGCGACGGCCTTGGCCAGAGCTCGCGGTAGGCTCGGCCTGTTTCGTTACGTTGAGTGGCTCATCGCCCTCGTCTGGTTGGGTCAATGCATGGTCGCCGTGGGCCTTAAAACGTAATTAGAATCGTGTAACTCATGATACATATCATTGGCTGAGATATACCCTCTGTTCCTCAATCTCGGCGTTGTGAATCAGGTCATGGCCCTCAATGGCCGCCTCGTCGGTGATACCAGTCTCCGAATGCTTCCTTTGACTCATGGTGGATGGATATATTTAGACTATTCAGATGAACTGTGAAGAAGAAGAGATTAAGCATCCGGAAGTGGCGAGGAGGAATCAAGCTATCTTATAGCTCTTTGCAGAGCTGCCAAACAGAGTTTCGTCATCAATCTATAGCTCATGATCGCGTCGCCATCAACGTCATGATGAGGGCCGTCAACTCTAAATGCTCGAATCGCATGCCTGATACCCCGCGTTGGCTACGCAGCCATCACCAGTTGTCAAGCGAGACAGTCTCGAGCAGTGACGGAAGACTGTGCGGCAAACGGGGTTCTGATCGGCGCTGATCCGTGGCATTCCTACTGTGCTCCATTGTTGCCGTGGTGGCACTTGTTTGGCGGGGCCTTTCGATATGGCACGCGGAAATCAAGAGAAGCTTTCAACTAAGGGAAAGCTGGAACGAATGAGAAAAAATGGATACTCGTTTGTTCGCCGCATTTGGCATGAGGTGTTGATGTAGTGTAATTTCTATTATTAACAACCTCGTGACCTCGTGACCTCATCCGGATGTTGTGGGAAGCAGGTTTGATTAGAAATTGCGTACAGAGATCTGCTGAGGTCAACGTGAGACTGTGAAAGTGACTCGAGCTCATCATTGCCTACGTGTATCCTGGTGTCAAATCTGTTGTACTGATGCTGTTGAATTTTGTACCCAGCATTGTACCCAAAACAATGCCGTAAAACAGAGCCATACTGATATAAAGATGAAATTTGAAGCTTATTTCTTCAGCATATCATAAAAATAGATGAATATTTGGTGCTATGAGTCATAAAATTGTAGTCCTACTTCTTGTCATTCACTCCGAGATTCCCGAACTCTCTATGCCATATGTGGGACTATATCCATTAGAGGGAGCAGACAAACTTCATCTGCGGTGCGGTGGTATATATGAACTTACAAAAGAAGTCTGTAAATTGATTAGCAATTTTCAGATTGAAAATTAGCCAATTTTGCAATCTTTGGTCACGTTTACTATTGCCTTATTCGAACTGGACATGTGACCTATCTTTACCGGCTGTAATCCTGTTGTATTTGATGTCTTACCCAATTATGGTCTGTAGAATGAAGAGAACTTCATAATTTCTATACGGAATATACAGATGAGAGATACGGCGTACTGTCAGACTGAAGCAAAGCACGTGAGATATTGCCGGTTGATATTGGAACCACCCCAGTAGCCTTACTCAAGTTTCCATGCATCACCCCGGTACATACTTAAACTATTCATTTAAACGTAGGAAGAGTCACGCGAGTAATCTATGCCTTGTAAACTAGAGAGATAACCTCATATAATTCCACATCGTCTACATCTGTCAAGGGACAGCTACCGTTCTCAACGACAACTCTCATCAACTACAGCCGCCTCGTGCAGAACAATCATTCACTATTCGCTCCTGCCAATATCATAGCGTGTGCTACATCATGGGATATTTCAAAAGTTCGGTAACCAATCTGGTGATGGAATCAGCTGTACGCATTATGATGTTACATCGCGATGCTCTCAATCGAGCAGCGGAAAAAGACGGAATATTTTCAAATGACAAACACACCACTCAACGCTTACAAACGTTGGGCATTAATGTTCGAGTTTGCCAATTATCTATTTCAAGTTGAGATTGTGATGGTCACACCGCCAATGACAGCTCGTCAGTTGAACAAATCAGGATCCTACGGCACATTTAGGATTAACCACGCATTAACTCCATGCACGCGTGTTACTGCAAAAAGAAGGTGGAAAAGGAAAGAAAAGAAAAATTTTATATAGAGGTTGCGTGTTTCAATATGCCGCATGGAAAGAAGAAGAAGAAAAAGGTCACTTAAAAGCCTGGAGATGTTCAGGATTCATGTCAAATGCCGCCACGTGAATGCAAATGCCGAATCCTGAGGCGCTTTCTGGGCGACTGCCAAGTAGCTCGTGCTGCGACGACTGGCTGCCCATCCCAGCATGTTCCCCTCAGTTCTAGGCGATATTCTCTTAGCGCTTAAGCAGTAGGTACATGTACCCGTTGATGCGTATTCGCGACTCCATAGCGGACGGAGGTCATCCACTGTATCCCCCACATCTCCGCTAGCTTAGGGCCGCGCAGTCACTGGACTTGCAGAGCCATAGCGGCCGCACCGCTTAGCATGTTCGCAGAAGTCGAGCACAACCAACAGCGCGCGCCATTACTACAGGTAACCTTGGGGGGATCTGAAGGGTCTCAAATGCACTGCATGGACCAATTACGTGTACACTAGGCTAGCACTAATGGATGGAGTTGAGGCACAAGGTCCGGTCCATGTCTCAGCGAATGTGCCGACAGACTCGTGATGCTCTCGTTTGGCGCTACCGCGATGGAGACATGAGGTAACGACACCATCACCACTCTGAGACGAGTACAAGTACGTATACGTATACACTTCGTGGCTGATGGACCCTGCTCGCTGCGTACAAGTATAAATCCGATCTGCGCCCCCCCTCTCGCTAGCATCGCTAACCCTCATGCTAAACGATCCGCTGATCTGACAGTGTCTGCCTGCCAGATCTGCGGCCAAGTGAGAGATTAAACCGCTCCATCATCCGTATTGCCCTCACCAGATCGCCAGCAAATATGAGGCTTCCCTCGCTATTTCCCGCGGCGGCGGCTGCTGTCGCTGCCCTATCACTCTTCTTCGCAGCGCCATCGTCCGCTGCCGCCATCATGGCTCCTCGTGATGCGCCGCTTGGCACCATCGCCCTCGACGACGGACAGTCGCTCTTCACATTCAAATACTCGACGCCGAACCCGGACCCCGCGAACTGGATCGGCGTTTACCAGACGTACTATGGCGGCCCCGAGAACCAAGAGTTTGTCGCCGGCTCCCTGACGTGGGCATATGCGCCCAACAGCAACGGCGAGGTGCAGGTCGATGTCTCAAGTCTGGCTGCCGGCTATTACAAGGCCTTTTTCCTCGCCAAGGACGGCTACCAATGGCTTGCGAGTCCCATCGACGTCATTGTTCCAGGCACTGGGCCCATCGAGTTCATCAACGACAGAATCATCACCCAGAATGCGCACCAGGGAAGCCCCTTCAAGGCCAGCCTTGGTCGCCTGATTGCCAATCCCAAGGACAGTAACACCAAGTTTACCAAGGTCACCGCCTATGGCACCGACTGGGTCAAAGTCGCCTCGGATGGAACCATCTCTGGCACTCCCGGGCCCAAGGACAAGGACACCAACTTTGTGGTCAAGGCTACGGCTAGCGATGGCTCTTCTGCGACAATCCAGGTCCAGATCCCCGTCCGCTCTAGCCGTGAGGCGCTTGTTGAAGAGCTCAAGGTCATGTCCTTCAACATGTGGTTTGGTGGCACCAACGTCAACGACTACCACAACAAGCAAGTGCGCTTCCTCATCAACACAAACGTCGATATTGTCGGCCTCCAGGAGAGCTGGAATGGCCAGGCCACTCGTCTCGCTCAGGCGCTCGGATGGTATTATTGGCAGAGCCCCAACGAGGTCGGCATCATCAGCCGCTATCCCATCGTCGAGGTATTCCCAGAACAGGCCGCTGGTGGATCGATTCGCATCGAGCTGGACGGTCGCAAAAGTCAGCTCATCATGTGGAATGTGCATCTGGGATACAACCCTTACGGACCGTATGACTTTTGCTTCGACAATATGCCTCTGGCTCAGGTTCTCACCCGCGAGTACCAATCCGGCCGTACGCCGCAAATCATGGAAATCGTCAGCGCCATGCAGGACGCTCTGGCTGAGGCTGATGACATTCCCGTTCTCTTGACTGGCGACTTCAACGCGCCGTCACACCTAGACTGGACAGAGGCAACCAAGAAGGCTCACTGCGGTGTTGGCTTTGTTCCATGGCCAAGCTCCGAATTTCCCGTGCAATCCGGTCTGATTGATTCATTCCGTGAGGCGCATCCCGATCCCAATGCCGAGCCTGGCAACACTTGGTCCCCCGTCTACCTCAACAACAGCGGTCGGCCCGAGCCGTTGGACCGAATTGATTTCGTCTACCACAAGGGCCAGAGCCTCAAAGTTCTTCAGTCGGAAACAGTCGTTGCTGGCGAGCCCACTCCGGAGCCAGACCAGCACAACAACGAGTGGACGTCAGATCACGCTGCCGTGATGACGACGTTTAGGCTTGGAAACTCCGCCGAACGTGGGGACCTATGAGTAGACAAGAAGCGACTGGATCGCGAGGTCGTCTTGCATCAACAGGAGTCTCGGCGTACTTGGTTATTCGTTCTTTGACATTGGTTGATTGGGTTTTGGGTTTTATATCCCAGAGGATAGACCATTGGGTTACATTTGGTTGGGAGTTTCTTTTTCACACGTCACAATGTCTGAATATAAGAGCGGGGTAGATGCATTGGCTTTTTGTGTGCATAAGAAGACGGACACAAAGATACGATGGAAGATGTGCGGTATTTCAAGAACACTACAGGTGTTTAGTTTTACGTGGGATTTATTTACCATACCTAGGTAGTTTCACGTCAAAGACTTGACCGTCTGGAAAATGTTCTCGATTAGTGCAATAAACAAGTAGTACAGCTAGAACATCCAAGTCATCCCACTCGTCCAACATTATCATCCATCATCATGTGTCCTGCAAGAAATGCTAGTGTTGATTAACAAGCAGCAAAAAATTAATCATTGATGAATGAGAGAGATGTAACTCAGCTACCGCCACCATATTCCATATTGAACAAAAAAATCAGGATGAACTTTTCGGACAAAAAGCAAAAAACTATGCGACCTGTGTGGATCGAACACACGACCTTCAGATATCAGGTGATTGAAGTTGACACTTCAGTCTGACGCTCTCCCAGCTGAGCTAAGGTCGCTAGTTGATATTTGGCGACTAGATCAAAACTATAAGCCTAGATCCATGCGCTAGCGAAATCGAGCCGTCGTTCTCAGCATGTTTAGATAGATAGTATATGGAGAAGAAGGTAGTAGCTGGCATAGTAAAAATATATATTGGACTGGCGCGGCCTTGGTTGACTGGAGCGTCAGATGGTACCGCGAAAGATGTGTAATAAAGTGCGTGAGGCTCATGCTATCTACTGCTAACTACCGACATAAAAGCTGGAGGGGATTCTTTAGCAAATCAAATGGCCAAAGAGTGACAAGCTGCAAGATGATAGAGTTGCTATGTCCACCTATCTTCATAAACCTCCAATCCGAATAAGTCGGATGCAGCCTACATGTACCTATCATAATCAGCTGCAAGCTTCTAGTAGGCTGTCGGGTCTCCAACCCCGCATCGATTTTGAGGCCCAAGGCTCTGTCTACCCTCTTTTCCTAGCCCATCCTCTGTCCGACCTCAATCCTCAAGACATAATCTACGAACTGCAAAAGGTGTATTTTCATTATGGCAGCTAGGGAGTTCGCTGATTCTTTGTTCTCGCGATGGTTTACGTCGACTGCCGAATCCAAAGGGGCAGATAAAGCATCGCCAAAAGAGTCCGACACATATCGTGTTAGCGGCGTGCCTCTGGACTGGGACCATGAACGATTGAGGTCCTTTTTAATGGACCAGCAAAATCTCACAGGCGCAATGGTGCAGTCGCTTGCTCATGAAGCGAATACTGAATCGCAAACAGCAACTGTTACTTTTGAAAATGCTACACTACAAGATCTGCCTGACCAGGGTTTGAACATTCCATTACCACATGAATACGCTTGTGGTTTGCTATCCAGTCAATACCTATCGATTGAGAAAAAATTTCTTGGTCTTACGACACTTTATCAACCACTTTCGAAAGATCACAAAATCGAGTAAGCACTTTTATTCGTTACCGTGGCGTTGGCTAATTTGCTCTCAGCGTTATTGCTTTATCTGGTCTCGGAGGCCACGCTTTTGGGTCGTTTAAAGAGAGAGGGGGGTCTCATATGTGGTTGCGAGACTCTCTTCCGAGAGATCTTACTTCAGAGACCGATAACGGGCAAATGGCGAGAGTTATGATCTATGGTTACGAATCGGGTGTTGCGGGAAGTCGAAATATGCAAAATCTAGAAGATTTGGCCACCGCATTCCATAGCAGCTTGATTGCACTGGCCGCTAGTCAAACAACTAGACCAATTATCCTTATTGGCCACAGCCTTGGAGGACTTATTATCAAGCAGGTAAAAGTGCTGAATCTGTGAGAATCTTGATTCCTGTTAATAACAGACATCATAGGCTTTAATATCACTATCGAGGTCGACTATTCCGGACGATCAGAAACTCATACGTGCCGTGTACGGGGTCATCTTCTTCGGAACTCCACACGATGGCATGGACATTAGTTCGCTCATCCCCATGGTTGGAGATGGTCCGAATCGCTTCCTGATTGAGTCCATCAGCCGCATCAACTCGCAGATCATTAGTATACAACAAAGAGATTTTCACTACGCCCTGGGGGAAAAGGGTAATTCAGAAGTGTTCTGCTTTTACGAAACGCTCGAATCACCAACAGCGCAACGAGTATTTACCCCCCGAATATCATAATTAGCTTAACACCGCTCTAATTGGACTACAGGACAAACGCGGCGAATGGAAAATGATTGGGCCGCCTGCAGTTCTCGTTACCAAGTCCTCGGCTACGCACAGTCGCCCCTGGGAAGATGGTTCAGAACACATCTGCGCCATCGCCCGCACACATTCCGACATTGTCAAATTTGGGCCACACGACCCAGACTATAGAAACGTGATACAGAGAATTAGAGGGCTATCGAGACGGGCAATCAAGGCGCGAGACCGGTTACAAACAACAACATCAAAGTGTATGTAACAGATGCACCTAGATTAGATGGTAACTTTTTGCTAAGGGTAATCTAGTTCTGGTCCCATACAGGCAAAACCCAGATTTTGTTGGAAGATCTGAAATCCTGAATGAAATCAAATTGCAATTCGGCTTAGGCCAACAACAGGAACATGCTCAGCCGCGTAGACGAGTCTCACTCTACGGCCTCGGCGGTGTTGGGTACGCTCCTTTTTCCTTTTCATAACGATGGTCCCTAACGTGTCGCAGCAAGACGCAACTCGCATTAGCTTACGTGTACTGGATACAAGAGACATGCCCAGACATCTCAGTGTTCTGGGTTCATGCTAGCAATGCAGATCGCTTCCGTGCAGCTTACGCTTCTATCGCCGAAAAATACAACATCCCTGGAAGAGATGACCCTAAATCCAATATCCTATCATTGGTTAAGAAGTGGCTGGAGGAACAAAGCAAAATGCAGTGGCTGATGGTCATTGATAACGCCGATGACATAGAACTGTTTTTCCATTCCCAGAGAAGCAATGCCCTGGATACCCAGCCCCAGCAAGACAACAAGCTAGCACGTTATATACCAGACTGCAATCATGGATTTATCCTCCTTACAACGAGGAATAAGCAAGTTGGGATCAAATTCGGCCAAGGAAGGAGTCCCCCAGTTAAGGTCCATGAGATGACAGACATTGAAGCGAAGCAACTTGTGCAAAGCATCTTAAAGATGGAAGTTCCAGCAGATGAAATATCTCTTTTGGCATCCAAACTCGAATATTTGCCGCTTGCTCTTGCCCAAGCAACATCATTTATTCAAGAAAATACTATATCTATTAGCGGTTACGTTCAACTCTTAAATGAGGGAGATACTACTCTTGTCGATCAGCTCAGCGAGCCTTTTGAAACTATAGGAAGAGACTCCGAGACTCCACATGCACTCACAGCAACATGGATCATTTCATTCCGGCAGATTGAAAAAACCCAGCCATTAGCCAGTGACACTCTCTGTTTTTTGAGCTTACTGCATCGCCAAGCAATTCCGAAAACCTTTACAGAGGAGTATCACCGTCGACGAGAGCCAGGGAGTGGTCAAGGCAGCGTGTCAGCAAGGCTCGTGACGGCCCTGGGCACTCTAAAGGCCTTTTCATTCATATCAGAAGGAAAGGACGGAAGCGTAGATATGCACCGGCTAGTTCAGCTAGTCACGCGAAAGTGGCTTCTCAACAAGGGCCGGATGGACGACTTTGCCGAATGTGCTATCGGAATCCTGTCAAAAGTATACCCATATGGAAGGTTCGAAACATACCAAACGTGCCTGAAATATCTCCCTCATGTCAATTCTGTGCTGGCAACAAACGGAACCAATTCAAAAACTGAGAACATAGACAAGGCACAACTTCTACATAAACTGGCCATGTACTATCGACAAAGGGGGGACTGGAAGAATATGGAGCGAAATCTACTGCAAGCAGCAGAATTACAAACACGAGAACTTGGTGAAGAACATTTTGAGACCCTTAATAGCAGGGATGAGCTTGCATCGGCATACCACTATCAAGGTCGGTTAAAACAAGCAGAGGACCTGATGTCGCGGATAATTAAGATAAGAAAACGAATACAAGGGGATGAGCATACGGCAACGCTTGCTAGTATAAACAACCTTTCATTAACGTATTTTGAACAAGGTCGGTGGAAGGAAGCAGAAGAGCTAGGGATCCAAGTCATAGAGATAAGGAAGAAAGTGTTCGGGGAGGAATACCCAGACACACTTACTGCTATGAACAACCTTGCATTAACATATCATCAACAAGGTCGATGGAAGGAAGCAGAAGAGCTAGGGGTCCAAGTCTTAGAGATAAGGAAGAAAGTATTAGGGGAGGAAAATCCGGATACGCTTACCACTATGAACAACCTTGCATTCACTTATAATCAGCAAGGTCGATTAAAGGAAGCAGAAGAGCTAGGGGTAAAGGTTTTGGAGATATTTAAGAAAGTATTAGGGGAGGAACATCCAGATACGCTTACTACTATAGGCAACCTTGCATTAACATATAATCAGCAAGGCCGATGGAAGGAGGCCGAAGACTTAGAGGTAAAAGTTCTAGAGATAAGGACGAAAGTATTAGGGGAGGAACACCGAGACACACTTACTGGTATAAATAACCTTGCATCAACATATTATCACCAAGGTCGATGGAAGGAAGCAAAAGAGCTAGGGGTCCAAGTCTTAGAGATAAGGAAGAAAGTGTTAGGGGAGGAACACCCAGACACACTGACGAGCAAGCATAATCTGGCCTGTTTATGGATGAAAATGGGCAGGTCTGCCGATGCTATAGCGCTGATGGAAGAGTGTCTCTCAGCCATGAAGCGAGTATTGGGGGAAGATCATCCAAATACGGTATCAAGTTCATCGGTTTTAGATAGTTGGCGGCGAGATACTTAAAGTAGCTCTGTTCAGTTTCGCTACAGATGCGATGGCGGAAAACTATGCCATTTGCACAGTTGTTCGGGATGTGTGATTAGGACTGAAACTACTTTAACCAAGATATGCCTAGACCCAGTAATCGTTCACAACTAGTCTAGAATTGCAAGTAATATAATGAAACGTTCATGAAGGGAAAGGTTCGGAATGAGAAGGGTGAGTGCAGAGGAGAGTCATCTTCGACATTTCCGTTGGATGAAGCAACAGCGACACTTAGAACTTTGTTACTGATCTAGGCCTGACCTTATGAGCGGCAAACCGAATGATAAATTAAAGGCGCAAAAAGAATATGCATCATATACCCACATCTGCTCAGTGCTTACAAAGTCTCAGAAACGAAGAAAGCCGAAGAGCAACCTATCCACCCAACGTGAACACATATCTAATGTCGGCCCGCATATACTCTTATTGTTTTCCATGGAAAATAGGCCTTCATCATCTATCCTAGTTGATTAGAAGTAGAAACCCTGTTTTTCTGACACGATTATACGTCTAGCAAAACAGATGGGTCGAAAAAACGCGGAGATTCCCGGAGCTTATGGAGTTAGGTTAGAATTATGATATCAAGCTACTTGATTGGTTCTCTTTGCAATACAAATACTCGATTGGATCTAGTTTGATCTTGCTGTTCATGTAGCGCTCACCTCATTCCCCTTATCACCATTCATCTGAATCAAAATCCTCGGCTTTAAGTGGCAAAGGTTGACTGGAAGTAGGTATATAAAGCAATGCAATTGTCATTTCTCTGCACATGACGTTCGTCTACACTTTTCTTTAAACTATCTTCTGCGTCATCGTCATGTCTTCCAAAATTATTCGTGTCGCATTGGTAGGGCTCTCAGCCAATGCAACTACATCGTGGGCAGCAGCAGCTCATCTGCCGTACCTCCAATCTGCCCGAGGCCAGACTCAATATAAAGTCGTCGCTCTTCTCAACTCTAGCAAAGAAGCAGCCGAAAGAGCCCGATCTCACTTCAATCTCCCGTCGACTGTCAAAGCATACGGTGACCCAGCTCAGCTCGCCGCAGATGATGAGGTCGACCTTGTTTCAGTTGTCACTCGGGTTGATAAGCACTATTCCGCTGCTGAGCCTTCAATTAGGGCGGGAAAGGCTGTGTACGTGGAATGGCCGCTTACGGAGAGCTTGAAGCGAAGCGTCGCTTTGCTGGGGGAGAACAAGGGCCGCGACACCAGCATCATCGGCTTGCAAGGCCGACTATCGCCGGTAGCGTCCAAGATCAAGGAAGTTCTGGCATCTGGTAGAATCGGAAAGGTCCTCGATAGCCAGGTTCGTGGTTTCAGCGCTATGGGACACGGTAAACGGCCAGGAACGTTGGTTGAAGGTGGGACGGAAGATATGTTTACTCAACGAGCAATTGGGGGCAATCACTTTTCCGTCTTGTATGCTCACATGATTGACCTGGTGCACTCTGTGCTGGGAGAGTTTAAAGATTTCCAGAGCAAGCTCCAAATCCGATGGCCAGAAGTCGAAATCGTCAATAATGATGGTGTGAAACTGCGCACACGACAAAGTGATATTCCGGATCTTATTACCGCCCATGGAGAGCTTGCCCCTGGTGTTGCAGACATACAGGACGGCGCAACTTTATCTACATTTTTTAGAAGCGGGCCGACTTTCAAGGATGAGCTACCGTATGTGTGGTATATCCAAGGTCAAAGGGGAGATCTGAAGATCACAAGCCCGATCGGACCAATTCTCCAGGCCGCCACTGTACCAGGAGTCAAAATCGAGCTTCACGACTGCATCACGGATGAGGTGACGGAAATCCCATGGGAGTCTGAGTGGAAGGATTGGCAAAATGAATTGCAGGTGCCAGGAGGAAAATTGGTGGGAGAGATGTACAACAGATATGCCCAGTGGTTTCAGCAGGAGGATAGAGAGGCTGTTCCGGTGGGAGGAGACTGGCCGAGGCTGGAGGATGCTATTCGCAGGCACGAGGAGCTAGACAAGATGCTGAATGATTTCGACAAGACAAACTAAAGGAGTGGTACTTTGAATAGAAAACAGTAAGACTAGGTATGATTAAATGTGGTATTCATAAGGTGATGTGAGAATTACCAGATCAGGTAAGCAGTTGGCGTATCGATGAATTCGTGACGTCGAAGCATGAAATATGATGAGAATATTATCAATATAAATTTGCAACATCTTGTTGAATATATACAATATTTCTGTTTCCATGTTGCACGGGCTCAAGAGATATCTCCAACTTGGAGGATTTCATCAGGTTGCGTAACATGGACATGACCTTACAGGGCTCATGCGCTAAAGCTACAGAAGCACCTGTTTTTAGCAGGTACTGTACCCACACCAAGAGCCCTGACGTAAGAAAGTTCAGAGCTTCCATCAATTCTTCAGAGCTTGCTTTGCTCGACTCAGCTTGGACAAGCCATCAATTGAAGCTTCAAGCCCACAGCATCATGGATGGCCTAGAAGAGTTCGAGCAGAAGCTCGCCGCCGAAAAGGCCGAGCGCGATAAATCAGAGCAGGACCGTGAGCGACGCCATCACAAGCATCGACACCACCATCGTCGAGAACGAGACGGCGAAGATAGAGAACGCGAAGAGCGACACAGACATCGGCATCGCGATAGCGAGAAGGATCGGGAGGGAGACAAAGGAAGGGATAGAGATCGCGAACGAGATCGGGACAGAGACAGGGATAGGGATAGAGACAGAGACAGAGATGACAATCGCCGTCGCCGACACCACGAGCAAGATGACGATGATCGCCGACACAAGAGGAGCCGCCGTTCACGCGACGACGATGATGATACCGACGAGCAGCGCAAGCGGCGCCATCGAGAAGATGAGCGTCACAAGCCATCAGACGAGGAGAAACCTGCCGACAATTCGAAGCCGCTAGAGCGAGATGCCTGGATGACGGCGCCATCTGCCTTCGAAGTCGAACATGTTCATCGCCCTGGGCAGAACAAACCCCGGTCGCCGACCCCAGAACCTCCCAAACGAGTGATACATAGTCGCGAGCTTAACGGCGGCCACTTAGAGGACCTCAACAGCGGCAAGTCGTCATCTGGCCTAGAGCAGCCATTCGAAAGGACTGTCGATTACACCTTTGGCGACTCTGGCTCCTCATGGCGAATGACCAAGCTGAAAGCTGTTTACACCACCGCTGAGGAAACAGGGGAATCGGTCGAAGAGATTGCTCTAAAACGATTCGGTAGCTTGGAGTTCTTTGATGATGCGCGCGAGGAAAAAGAAGAGCTAGAACGGAGGCGATTATACGGCGAGGATGCCAAAACAAAAGACAAGCCTACTGGAGAATTCTACAAGGAACGCATCAAGGACCAGAGACCTTCGCAGCCCATCAGAGAATTCCAACAAGGCGAGATTATACAAGAGAACCCAGCCCAGCGTACTGCTGTTCCAATGGACCAAACCGCGTTGAACAGACTCCGAGCCCAGATGATGAAGGCAAAGCTACGAAAGGCACCCAATGCCGCTCAGCTAGAAGAAGAATACAACCTTGCCGCCGCTGCGGTAGCTCCTCACTCCAATGCACCTGAAGCAGTCGTATTGGGTGTCATGGAGAGTCGGCAGCTTGCCGGCACTCGCGCAGAGGTCAAGGCCGTCGACACCAAGCGTGGACGTGAGCGCGGCCTCGTCGAAGAGAACACCGACATGACGATTGAGCAAATGCTCCAGGAGGAACGCCGAACCAAGGGCCAAGCCGGTGGTGAAGGCTTACGGCTCGCCGAGCGAATCGCCAAAGACGCCAAGTTTGACAACGATCTCGAATACATGGATGAAAACGCCGAGAAGCTCGCAAAACGTGTGCACAAGAGCGAGGTCAACCTCAAGAACATGGCCGTCAGCGAGTTCCAGAAGATGAACCGCATCCTCGAGAACTGCCCCCTCTGCCACAAGGAAGACAAGGGACTGCCACCCATTGCGCCAGTCGTTTCGCTCGCTACGCGTGTCTTCATGACGTTGCCCACAGAGCCTGAAATCAGCGAGGGAGGCGCCGTCATTGTTCCCACGGCGCATCGAAATAACCTCCTCGAGTGCGACGACGACGAATGGGAGGAGATTCGCAATTTCATGAAGAGCCTCACGAGGATGTACCACGACCAAGGCCGCGAAGTCATCTTTTACGAAAACGCCGCCGCGCCGCACAAGCACATGCATGCCGCCATGATGGCCATCCCCATCCCTTACGACCAAGGCGCCATGGCCCCCGCCTTCTTCAAGGAGGCCTTTCTCTCATCCGACGAAGAATGGTCTCAACACCGCAAAATCATCGACACGGGCGCTAAAGCTCGGGATGGCATGGGCCGCTCAGCGTTTCGCCGGTGCATCGCCAAGGAGATGCCTTACTTTCACGTGTGGTTTACGCTGGACGGGGGCTTGGGCCATGTTGTCGAAAACGCGGATCGTTGGCCCAAGGGAGATCTCTTTGCGAGGGAGATTATCGGTGGTATTGTGGATGCCGATGCGCACATCATCAAGAAGCAAGGGCGGTGGGCGAAGCTCGATAATAGGGTTGATGGGTTCAAGAAGGGATGGAGGAAATTCGACTGGACGAGGGTGTTGGCTGATTCTTGAGGGGCAGTAAACCATCTAATCAACGTCGATGTACATCGTTTGTGTGATGTGAATGAACACAAGAGTTGAACAATTGTGATATTCTTTAGCAGCACCATGTCTATTAGCAGTCTTCATACCTAATTCAGAGGAACTCAATCACGGTATTCAATTCATTTGTGAGCAAGAAGAGAAAATGGTATTAACAAGAAATATATCGCCATGTTCGCTGATGCATCAGACCTGACATAAATTCGCGATTAGTAGATAGTAAAACAAAGTAGTAAAAGAAGATAGTCATCGCATATTTCTCATAGGTGCTCGCTCGCTCCTCCTCTCCACTCTTTGGGGGTATCTTCTTCCTTTACAAGGAAAAGCCATCTGCCGCTAGACAGCGGTCCAAGGCCTGTTGTAACTCCAACGGTCATAAAACTCCGTATTCCATCCTCCCTATTAAACAGTATTAAACTTGAAAGGCCATAATATATGGCCAGTTATATCTCGGTCAAGTAGAGGTCGAAGAGCCGCGCGAGCTACGCAGCTCACTTCCCTGGGGCTCCTCGCCGTCCCCTCTCGCGCTCCTTTTGTCCTTCATTTGTTGCTTTCATCCAGTCTTCCCACTCCCTGCTAATCTCCATCAGCACGGAGCCCATAACTGTGGCGCTTGCCATCAATCCGTGGCCTTCTCCCTCAAGCACGCGGACTTCACACCGACGCATGGTCTTGCCCAGCCACTTGACGTTCTCGACGGGGACTCTGGTATCTCTACTACCATGGCGAATGATCACAGGGCGGGTAATGTCGACATATCGGAAGCCAATAGTATGCCGTCTTTCGAGACAGATAAGCAAGTCAACAGCTGGATTTGCGTTTGTCGTGGCAAGCTCCCAAATGGCATGTGTCAGTCGTATATCATAAGTTTGTTGTCGTTCCTTCTCAGCGAGAGGATCCGCAGCTGGAGGTGGTTCGCTACCCGCGGGAACATGAGGCAGCACCTTGTCCAAGCCATCGGTCGTATTGGGAGCTGCCAAATCGCCTTCATTGACCAGTGTGCCATTTGAGTCTTTACCATCCGCCGCTTGGTTCATATTCTCCTTGTCTGCTGATGGTGTGGCATTTCGGCTACTGTTGCCATCTTTTTGTGCCGCTTTGCGCTTCGTCCGGCGGGGATTCTTTGGCAAAGAGCTTGTGATGGATGAGCTAGTCGCCGACATGAAGCTGCTGTTGGCTGCCTTGAGGAAAGAGGTCGGCAACACTCGTAGAATTCTCTGAGCTGTCGGGAGCGTGTGTGTCGGCGGATTGGCCTGTGACGACCCAAAGACATTCATTTGTGAAGGCGGAATCCAAGGTGCAAGAAGGTGGATTTTGCCTCGGATGTGCTGGGGCATGCGAAGAGCAGTGGCCAGGGCGTAAATAGCGCCAGCCGAATGAGCCATGAGGGAGAACTTGGTGATTTTCAGGGTTTGGCAAATTGCGTATACATCATCTATCCATTTGTAAGCAGGCATTCATACATCAAGATTACATCGTCAAAGTGCTGTAACTTACCAGGCCAACTGAGGGGTGTGCTTGTCCCATCAGAATAAGGCTCACTGTCTCCCACTCCAGGTCGATCAGGTGTAATAAGACGGAGCTTCAGCGTCAATGCCAGCTCGTCATAAAACGCAGTAATGTATCTTGTCAAACCCATTCCTACACAGCAAAAGACTGCGCAGCCATCTGGGTCGCCGACTTCTGAAAACGAAATGATTCGGCCAGTTTGAGGATGTCGGATTTTCTGGGATAACCGCGGCGAGCAAAGGTACGATTCAACGGCATCATCAATAGAGTCAGCAGATTGAGGTCGCTCATAACCTGTGGGCCTAGTAGGTTGAGCAAGCTCCTCGGGTCGTTTGTTCTCTTGCGGAGTGAGCGGCGCAGAGAGCCGCTTTAGTCTGGAGCTGCTGCGTTTCAGGCGAAGCCCTTCGTTGGGGCCAGGGTGTGTACGGGTAGAAAGCCGATGATCTTTGCGATCAAGCTCATCTCGTCGACGTCCTTGTGAGACAGATGGGAAAGGGGCTCCATCGTCCTCGAGTTCGTCCGTTCTCTCCTCTGCGATATAATCCACGCTCAGGTATGTACTAGATGCCTTCGCCCTTGGCTTTGGGGGAGCAATCTCTTCAACATCGTATAAAAACGTCTTGCCAGTGTCTGAATCCGAACGTCGGTGCTTCATTTTCGAAAAGTCACGGCCGTAGCCCGACTCGGTAGTTTCCAGGATTTTATCACTTATAGATGCCTCGCCGTCTTTCATCGATCGTCGAGTGCTGGCTCGCTTTCTACTCGAGCTCGAGTTGCGCAGACTCGAATCGCGAACCGGAATGTGATGCAAGCCGTCTCCCAGCAGGGAATCATCAGTGGTGACTGGCGCTGGTTCCTCGCTGATGGCGCCTCCCGCAAAGAAATTATCCGTCTTGGTTCCGCTATGAATGCTACTCGCTGCTGCTGCCGAACTGCCGCCAGCTATCGGGGTTGAAGAGGCACGTCTCCTATCAATTTGCGGCTCACGAAGGTGCTCTTTAGAGCCCATATAGCTAAGCACCTTGCTGCCCCGGCTAGATTTTTTCCCCCAACTGTCGAGTGACCGGCGTGGCCTAAGCTCCGGATGTGGCGCTGAGCCACGTTCTACAGACAGATTGCCGATACTGCGGGCATCATCATTCTTGGATGCAAAGGAGCCCGTTGACGAGGGGCGAGAGCTTGCGGCGCTACGTATAAAGGATCTGAACCCACTCTCCCGGCTGGTGCTGCGGTGGCTTCGAGGGCTTTGCGGCGCGGTTAGAGGGGAGAAACCACTCGGGGGCTTGGACGTGCGGACAACGGGCGGGCTAGCGGCGAGTTCGTCGAGAGAGACGGGCCCTGTGTAGTCTTCATGAACAGAAGGCTGCTTGTAAGCTCCGTAATCGACACCGAAACTACCAGAGCCGCGCCTAGAGCTGGAGTTGGGACCGAGATTTGGGTTCGTTGGGAGGGACAGGTTCGTGGGAACCAAGCCGTTGTCGAAGTGGTGGTTGGCAGGCTCGGCAATGGCGCTAAGGCTCTGGATGAGGCTGGAGATGATTTCGGGGCTGCCAGGAGGAATGGCGTATCGTTTCCGGGCGGCAGAGGTGGGCGTTGACGATATGCGGTTGCGCTGAGACGAGTGAACACGGTGGGTGCGTGTTGGGATAGGGGGCATGGTATCTATAGAGGTGCGATCCATGGTGGGCAGCGGCCAGCCGCAGGGCGACGTGTCCAACGGGCCTGAGACGGCGAGTGTCTAATGTCGAGTGTCTTGCCTGGCTGCACCGTGAAATTGGCGCACGCAGCCACGTTCTTCTGGCCCCGGCGGCAGCAAACAAACGTCTGTGAGCGTCGTCGTCGTGCATGAATCCCTTCCCCCACACTCGCACTCTCGCACACGGACACGGCACAGGCGATCTAACCAAAGCCAATGCGAGGGAACAGGGCCGTCGAGAGACAAAAAAGAAAAAAAGAAGGTTTTTTTTTCAGCTCTGAGGCGTGCGATAGTCTGAGCTCGGATGCAGCCAAACGACAAGAGGGCGGAGACGAGCGGTTCGGAGCATGGACCGTCGCTCAGCGGCGCTTGAGACAAAGAAGGCTGGGAGATTGGCCGGAGACTAGCACAGTCCAAACGTTAGCTGCGTCGTTTGTTCAAGATCAATATGCAAATGCATGTTCAAGTCGTACGTACGCACGCACTGCAGGTCGAGGAGATGGCTGTCTGTCTGTATTCACGCGTGCTCTGTCTGAGACACGCGGCACACACAAAAGAGACGCACAAAGCAAAGCACAAAGACAAAGACAAAGACAGCCAGCCAGCAGCAATCACGAATGCACAAGGCAGCGCAGAACAGAACAGAGCAGAACAATCATCCAATAGCTGCTGCTAGCGGGCTCGCGGGAGATTTGACAATTGATAAACGGCCCCCTTTCGACAGCCTGGCCCACTCCAATCAATCACCAGTTTTTGGGATTTGGCTGCAGGGACCGGGATCCCACGAGAGCCCCTGCGGCTGGAGAAGCGATCGAGCTTTGATTTGGCCGCGCGAACAGGCTGGAGACGGAGTCGCGGCCGCTGATTCGGTGGCGTGGACAGGGATTCCAAAATTTGTTTTCTCGTAGTCGGGTGGAGAAGGACGAATAGCTGGAAGGGGTCGTGGCCGGCTGCAAGTTGACCCCATTCCGAGCCTCTGTTTTCTCTGCTTGATAGGCTGTAGTCTAAGTCCCTAAGCTGAGCTGCGACGCTACTGTAGCGAACCAAGATGCACCTGCAGGCCTTCTTTCGATGCTGCAGGCCTTCTTTCGATGCCGCAGCTGTGCATTGGCAGGCATTGAAGCATTCAAGGTAGCCGTTAAAGTACAAGCCCGAGTTTCTGTTGCTCGTCATACGGGGATTGCGCCGGCATTGTGCGACTGTGGTGATACGTTTGGAGTCTCTGACAGTAGCACGACGCTCAAGCTAACAGGCCCCCTAGCGAGAGAAGCTGAACAAGTCCACTGCCGATCTACAGCAGGTAATTAATTGCTTTGAAATGAGGCAAGTCTGCGCAGATGACATCAATGCGACGGGCCAGCTTTACTTTATCGAGAATAAGTCAACGTCGCCGAAGAAATCTAGAATACGAGTATATCGCAATCGTACGGCCATTCCGATGACGGCAGCGGAGAAGAGCCAAGAAGAAGCACGGGTTGGGGGAACGAGTAATAGCTAAACAAAATGGCATACTCTATTGGTTATCGTCTTGCAGAGTACACCTTTCAAGAGGAGTCTTTGAAGCTAGGTACACAGACATGTAACTTTGGGATTGGTTGATGCTCTCACAAATTGGAGTTTTCGACCTACCCGGGAACACTGTAAGAAAATGCGACTCAGTGATTGATACGAGACCTGGTGGAGACCTCTTGTAATTACCTACCTATCAAATTCTGAATCATGTCTTCCATCTTAGTACCTTTTCGGCAGCTAAATTCTAGTTCGGGACATATCAATCATCCGCAGAAGCTTCATCATTAAACTTTGGGAATTGAGTTCCTTTATAAGAGAACCAGGGACGAGCTCATAAAGCTGTCCGGAATCTGAGTGGCTTACACTGTGAAGAAATAGATAAGGCATCTACTGCCCTAAAATAGCATAGCGCCTTGGTTCAACTGTAAGATGTGTAATCCGTTGTATCGGTGATTTGAAAGACTGAATTGCCGATGTCAAGCAGATGAATATCAATTCCCCGTTCCATATGATATCTGGTTCCTCTCCTGCATTTGTCCGGAGAAGATGTGTCCAAATCGGGTTGGCATTCCTGCAAATGACCTTCACAGACTGCTAAATGCTTGACCCCTAAGAATCTGCCATATTAAATGACAATGGAGGTACCACCCACATTCTCCTTCGTGAGCTATGACAATCACCGAGTCCCCCAGGATCCCAAGTCGCGCACCTTGATCCGCCGCCATGCCATGAGAGATGTGGCCACCACAAGGAAACAAAGGAAAAATTATCGTGGAAATGTCATTCAATATCCAGAATCAGTATTATGCGGGGACGACAAAGAAAGTGCCCGTCGTGATCCCATACCCTCTGTGAAGGGAGGCAAAAGTCGGCCAAAAAAGCAAAAGCCGAAGAAGAAGAAAGCGGTAGACGACAATACACAAACCACGAAGCAGCAAATCGCACGCTTCCATACAATATTTGTTAATGACATTGAACGGAAAATGAACGCGGGGTTCCCCATCTTGGAACTGATAGCCCCCTTAACAAGTCTGCATCTCGGATTCGCCAGCATCACCTGCTTCACCTCCGAGTCTGGACGGGCTGGAGATGTGCTCTCTTCATCACCACTGTCGCATCTTCAGAGTCGAGGGCTACTATCCTACTTGCCGAGTCGATATGGAAAGGTCGCTGCCTTGACTTACACCGTCGATTGCCTTGTGGCGAGATTGAACCAGATTACGCGGAACTCGGTTACGAACGGTGGTAGTTCTGATGAAGAAGATGGAATAGTGTTTCGTCACTACGCCAAGGCTCTTAAGGAAATCCAGAAAGCAATCGATGACGATGCACTTCGAACATCTCAGGAGACGCTGTACGCCACGGAATTGCTTGGAATCTTTGAGGTATGGCGCTGATGAAGCCAACACTTGGCTGACCTCGCATTAGTCCCTATGCTAACCCGCCACACTTCCTCCTCTTGTATAGCTTCTAAGTCCTCAACCAGAGATAAAATCTTGGATATGTCATGCTGGAGGTGCGGCACGGCTGATTCAGCTTCGCGGCCCCGACGGATTCAAGACAGACTTTGAACTGGCTTTGTTCATGGCACACATTGGCCCGATAGTACGTTCACATAAACTGACATGGCATAATCGATGGAATGGTCACAAAGAAGCTTCTGACTAACTTGCCTTGTTCCAAGGTCACCGAAGCTTTTCTTAACAACAAGCTCTGTTTCCTGGCCGAAGAGCCATGGAGAAAAGTCCTGCGCGCCGCTATTTGTAATGATCCATCAATACCTTCAAGGCAGAGTGACCTAATGCATCAACTATGGTCCAGTCTCATTTATGGGCCAAATATATTTAAATTGGTCACAGATTTGGTCCTGGCACCTGTCGAGCCCCCGCAGTCCATCATCGAAACGTCAATCAAGCGTATCCAGCGAGACCTGGATCATTTGAACATGTGGGCAGACTTGCTACAAGATCAGCAGTCTGCAGTAGAAAAGTATTCCCCGAAAAGCAATGCCTTGTCGACATTAAAGGATACTCTCGATTGGAGCTCTTCGAAGAAGTATATGCCATGGCAGATCTTGCGGGGAACTCATGCCATGTGCAGTATTCTAAAGAGGCGACTGCTGAATTCCCTTGCACCATCTCGCTATCCTCACATTGAGTTGGAGTGTCAGTCGTTGGCTAGGCTGGCCATGGGGTCGGATTCCGACTCAGCTACTGCCATCAAGGAAAACGATCTTCCAAGAGGACTATTTATGGCGCAAACAGTCTGGGTGGCCAGAGCTGTCATCAATACCAAGAGTATATGGTATGGAAATGGGACAGGAATAGACGAGGTGGGAGTACAAAACGGGTCGCAAAGGTCAATGATTGAGAAGTGGAAGTTTAGGCTTTGGTGTAAAGAGCTTGGTAGAACAGGGATATAAACGGTGTTGCTACTTTCAGCTCCAGTGGGCTTGGCTAATTAATAACGACATGATGAGGATTGGGGGAGTCGGAAGGCTGGCGTACTTGATTTTGGTAGTATCACTTCAACAGATTTAGTTACCATAAGTAGTGTCTTTCATAATTTTGCTTATTTTTTGCCTATGGTTCTGGAAACTAAGCTAGGTACTATGTAGATCATCATTCTGTCAAATCCATGGGGATATTCAGAGCCAGCTTGTCCTCCAGCCAGTGGGTTCATACTATTTATTCTTAAGTCCTTGCTCAAGGTATTGTTTCAAAGACTGATCGACACGCCCAAGGTAATCTTCATCACAGTCAGAATTGGGTAACACGATAGAAAAGCATTATAAGACTTACTCAGCACTTCTTTCCTCAGGCTTTCTGGAATATCCACCAGGGTAGGAAGGATGTTATGAAGGAGTTGTTCCTTGCCATTGGGCTCCTTGCAGATAATCTCCCAAAGCTTGCGGGCCTGCTCAAAGTCCTTGTCGGTGAGTGACGTCGCGAAGGGCGTCACTTGCCCGGCCCAGTGCTCGTGAAGTGGCATCTGAGCTCTGGCGCTCTGGGCAACTGGTCGGAGTTCCGAAAAGACGTAATCAGGATCACTGCCATAGTTCCCGTTCATGGTCCCGGGGCCATCTCGCACATACGGTGCGTACACCTTGTTAGTTGGCCGGTTGGGTGGGAGCTGGAAGTAATTGGGGCCAACGCGGTAGCGATGAGCGTCGGGGTAGCTGAACATTCGAGCTTGAAGGACTGAATAGTTATCTTTATTAGCTGTGATGCTCTCAAATGATGGTGAAGTGAGCTTACCCGGATCTGCTGAGGGTCCGATTCCTGGGACCATGTTGGATGGTGAGAAGCAAGCTTGCTCGATGTCCTGGAAATAATTGTTCGGCTACGTCGACGAAATATCAGCATTCCGAATAGTAAGTATTTTATGTATTAGGGGCACGAACATTCTTATTAAGGGTCAAGCGGCCAACGCGGCGGAGGGGATATTTCTCATATGGCCAAGTATACGTGCAGTCGAAAATGTCAATGGGGGCCGTCTTGACCTCTTCAGGCTTCATGACCTGAATGTTCACTGTCCAGGTTGGGTAATCCCCCCTCTCGATGGCCTTGAAGAGATCTTTGACATGATAGTCTGGGTCTTCGCCAGCAAGGCGGACGGCAACCTTGGGGTCCATGTTCTTGATTCCATCTTCGGGCTTAAAATGCCACTTGACATATACGTAGCTTCCATCCTATGTTCTGTTAGCCTTTGATCTGGTGCCTGTTGCATGCGAGAGCCAGCCCACAGATTTGTTCAAGGTGTAAGTGTGAACACTAAAGCCGTTGATGTTCCTCAAAGAGGCCGGGATACCACGCGGCCCAAAAAGGTGCATCAAAGCGTGAATACCCTCCGGGTTGTTCTTGTGAAAGTCCCAAAACATGGAGTTATCAGGGACATTGGTCTGGGGGTGTCTCTTATGGCTTCGATTCATGGATGGGAACTTGATCGGATCCCGGATGAAAAAGACAGGAAGATCATTGAATACAAAATCCTGGATACCTTCTTCGGTATAAAACTTTGTTGCCCAGCCTCGAACATCTCGAACAGTGTCGCTGGATCCCTTTTCACCACCGACTGTCGAGATGCGAGTCAGAAGCTTGGTTTTCTTTCCGATGCCAGTGAGGAAATCTGCATCGGTCAAGTCAGAGATATCATCGAGGACTTCAAATTCGCCAAAGGCACCAGCAGCCTTTGCGTGCACGCTCCTGTAATAGAGAATGAGCCATGTGCTTTAGTGCTTATAGGGGAGCATGAAGCTTCTCCTACCGCTCTGGAATGCGTTCACGTGCAAAATGAGCGAGGACTTCAATAGTTTGGGTATCGCTCAAGAGGACCAAGCCACCGTTGGTTTGGCCCTGGCGAACTTGCTGCACGGAGCCTGGATTGGCGCTTGGTTGGCCTAGAGACTCATAGTCAATATAAGAGAACCAAATGCCCAATTGGCCGCCAGAAGAATGAGTTCGATTGATGCCTTACCATTGGCAAGGGTGGCAGTAGGAGTAGAAAAAGACTAGAAATAGGTAGTTAGTATTACTGAGTCCATGCATTGCCACAAGAGATACTCAGAGTGAGCCCACCATGGTGTTTGTCGAGATTTCACTTCAATTACCCATAAATCTAGTGACAGCTAGCATCTCCAAGATTCCCATTGTACGGCTGCCAGATATGCTGGCTTTTGTAATTTATGCAGCCATCCCGTGAACCGTCATTCTCAGCATGAGATTTCATCATTGCTGTCGACAACAGCTGATGGCTGACCTCCCCCGCATCGCTGCCCGCGTCTTTGAGAGACGGAACAGGCGATAAAGCTAGCAAGCCAGAGTTCAGCTAGCTTGCATGCTGGGCTGCATGTGAGACGCGAAACATGGAATTTACACCAATCCGGACCAGTGAAGAGCATGAAGCTCGTCAAGCCACCGCATGCGGAGAAAGTCTATCTTGAATTGCGTTGAAGTTGATTGGACCGATGGTCGCGTTACATTCATTATGACGTTCGCCCGTAGATCTTCACAGCTGTGCAGGACTCCTCATGGAAACCTAATTGAGGGCAGAAGCAATGGAGCTCGCTTCTGGGCGCGCGTTCTCGCTTTGGCGGGTGAAATAGCTATAAGATCGGGTGACGCTTCTTGGTTAGTAGTGGGATGATCTTAAGTACAACGCACATTGCTCACTTTGTCAACTTAAATTTTTTAAGCCGAAGTCGTAATGCCCGATCTCGAGATGAAGACCACAAATCGCCCAGATGAGTGGAAGATTGAGCAAGGACTTGCTGGAGCTGAGCTCCCAGTCCTTGACATGACCGGGCCCAAGAACGTACCTCTGACTATTCAGACCTTTGGGCAATTGACCAAGAATGAGGAAGCTATCAAAGCTGTGGGCGACCCTGAGAAGCTCTTTACTAGAGAGCGTGAGGGTTGGGTTGGGTAAGTAATTATGAATCGCAACCAAAGAGATGACTTGTGAAGAAGTCCCATGATATGGATCGCGTCTGTACTGACAGTATCCGCCAAATCAAGATTCGTCGAGTGGGAGAATTATCCCGACAAAAAGGCTGCCGCGCACAAGATTCTAACCTCGCAGACCTTTCCACCTAATCCGGAATTTCAGCTTGGTCCCATTCCTGGAACCAATCCGGTTCTTCCGGGCACTCATTGGAAGATGTGGCATCATGCCGTTGGCGGTGAACTGACAAAGATACCCGAAGACTCATGGGCCACCGTTCTCAAAGAGAAGCATCCCGATATGCTCCATCTTCTACAGTTCCCATACAATGGAGAGCCGCCTAAGCGCCTTGTAACGGCCAAGGAGATCACTCCTAATTCGCTTCATTTTGTGAGAAATCACGGAGGCATCCCGCTCATTGACTATGACAAGTTCAGCTTCATTATGGATGGCCTTGTTAAGAATCCCCGTGAATACAAAATGGATGATCTTATGGACGAGTCTAGGTTTCCGCGTATGGAGAAGACCGTCACTATTCAGTGCTCTGGAACCCGTCGCATTGAGCAGATTCTCCTATACCCCGGTCAGGGCGATGAAGTACCTCAGGCGCCTTGGGCTGAGGGTGCGATTGGCACTGCCACCTATGTTGGCATCAGTCTTAAGAAGATTATCAAGGAATGTGGAGGCTTGATCGACGGTGCTAAGCATCTGGAGTTCTACGGCGCCGATACCTATTTCAAGGACGACAAGGTTATGAACTACCTCGTCAGTGTTCCATGGTCCAAGGTGAAAGCAAATGAAGTGATGCTTGCTTGGGAGATGAATGGCGAAGTTCTGCCTGCCATTCATGGATATCCTCTCCGCATTGTTGTATTTGGATACATCGGTGCTAGGAGCGTCAAATGGCTCTACCGTATCAAGGCTATTAAGGAGCCCTCCCGAGCTCCAGTTCAGAGCCAGGAGTACCTCTACTTTCCTCAACAGGTAGGAAAGCACAACTTCAAGTTGACGGACGGTATTCAAATCCAAGAAATGCCGGTTAGTTCTGCTATTATGTCGCCGTGGACCAAACAAGTCTGCATCCACAATGGCAAGATTCGCTGCAAGGGCTGGGCTTATTCCGGCGGAGGCCGATGGCCTGAACGTGTTGAACTGTCGGCAGACGGTGGATTCAATTGGTATACCATACCGATTGACAACCTCTCCAAGAAGCGGAAGTGGACGTGGCGCACCTGGGAGTACGAACTCCCTTGCGATGTTGAGGGCTGGGTTGAGATTGTGTGCCGCTGTTGGGATAGTGCCTTGAACACTCAGCCAACTTTCACTCGCACAGCTTGGAATTGGGGCTTGCACGTTACGCATTCTTGCCACCGAATTTCGATCTATAGTGTCAACAAGTCCAGAAAAGCGACTCAAGATCGCCTTGCAGAGTTTGAAGAGGCGGGCATTCCGTTTGGCCCGATTACTGTGCCACTCGCATTCCCCTCGCAAACGTGGGACGACTACGAGAAGTTCTGGAAGGAGCATGATCCTCGAGATGCTGAAGATGATTGAGCTATTCTTTTTCTAAGGCTTCTTTGTCGGAACGGGAACAACAAAAAAATGTAACAAAAAGGGGAAAAAAAAAGTAGGAATGAGCAAAAAAATAAAAATAAAACTCTACAACTATTAAAAGGATCTTGATTCTTAAATACATTGCTCTCAGATATCGCTTTATGATGAGTACGTGGGTGTTCACTGCAAAAAGACTTATGGCCAAGGCCATTGAGACCATCACGTCTCACTCAAGACACGGCTAATGATTGTGAGGTACTTGGCTAACTAGCCCTGTTTTAACATCAAAAATGAACCCGCGCGTCCTTTCTACCAAATCCTTCCTCACAAAGGGTGTCGTTCCGAGCCATTTGAGGTCATCTCGGACGCTCTTTTCGACACTATGACGAGGGTTAATGACATACTTACTCACTCTGCAACAGCAGTGAATTAGTAGAGCCCACGGTGAAACATACTCAGTAATCGCGCCTAGATACATTTCATCGATTTCTAGCCAGTATTTAGAGTCGGTCTTTGCTTTGAGAGACTGTCGCACGTCTTCATCTCTAAATCGAAGGGTGCCACAGTCGGTATGGTGGACAATGGCTATTTCCTTGAGGCCTAAGACTTCATCCAGAATGATAATGTCTCGAAGGGCGTGTCGAACGCTACCGCCAGCATTTCGGTGAACAACAACTTCTGTGGGCCAACTGTTAATAACCATTTCTTCTTATTGTTGAATGCCTTCTCCTACCACCAGGCTGAATATTGAAGAACCGTTCTGGTATACATCGGCGATCATTGCATGTAACTGAGCAATTTCTATGTCAGTCGATTTACAAAATATCACCAGGGAATTCTTCACAGAAGTGCCTTGAAAAAGCTTCCAAAGACAAGAAGGTCTTAACTGATCAAAGCTGGATTTTTCCCGTAGCCAGGTTCTGTATGATATGGTGACGGCTTGTAATTCTCCGCCACTAGTCTGAATAGTTGTTAAGTTATTCGTATCCGTCGAAATACATAGTGGACATGCTTACTTGTTACGCACCAGTAAATCTGCAATTGTTGGTGTCGATTCCATGGTGGAACAAGGTCGAGATGCCAATGGTGCCCAAGCATTAGTTTCTTCCTGATGGGAACAATAGCCTATGATAGACAAATGGATAGGGACTTTAATACTTTGGAGACCTCGATTATGTCGGTTCAAAAGTCTATGTACTTTGTTCTGTAAATCTCGTATTGCAGTGCATTGGGCTCAGGGAATTATGCTGCTCTCTGACAAATCCTTCTGCCATATATAAACTGCCGAATATTAAGAAAGCAAATCTTAGGATACTGAGCCATTGGCTTACAAATGCCTCCCAATTTTGCGTAGAACGTTTGAAGTTTGTGCTGCCTTGTGATGACAAGCTTACAGGGACATTTACTGAGACTACAATTACAGTACACGCAAGTGAGTTATAGGGCAATGTAGAGAACATTGAACAAGGGATCTACTGACCCAAAGTGGAAAGGTGCCAAAAGGTAGGAATTGAGAATCGGCGCCGCTCGGATCTGCAGTTTGACGTATTCTTCACTGATGGCCAGTTGAGAACATGGCCATTACTAATATTAATCAACAATCCATGTAGAATGTATCGAAAGAGGGAAGTTGATCGGAGTTTAAAACTTTCCCTATACATGGAAATAAGGCTGGGTATACTGACGTAGAAAACTTGCATTGTTGTATCTGTAAACTAGTCGAGAGAAGCTGTCCTAGCTAAACAAGCGGGTAATATCACTGGAGGATAAATACTGCAAGCATTGACTGGACATGGTGAAAATAGATCGCCAGTAATATTTCAGCATCTAATATTTGACTTGTTATTCCGTTACTAATCATGCCTTTTGTCAAGATTGACGTCATCAAGGGACGCAGAAGTCCCGAACAACTAAGGAAGCTGGGAGATGTGATCCAGAAAGTCCTAATCGATACGTTTAACTCTCCAGAGAGAGATAGGTACCAGGTTTGTGGAACGTAGCTGGGCTTTTTGCAGACCAAAGCTAATAATTTACAGATCTTCAGCCAGCATGAGCCATGGGAAGTTATCTGTTGGGATACTGGTCTTGGTTTTGAACGTACAGATGATCTTGTCAGCATCCAAATTTTTGCGCAAGGAAGAAATCGCGATCAGAAGATGGCCATGTATACAGCTTTTGGGGAAAGGCTGGAGAAGGAGTGTGGGTTAAAGGGCAATGATTTGCTCATCTCTGTTACGCCCAACACCAAGGAAGATTGGAGCTTCGGCTACGGACGGGCACAATTTCTTACTGGAGAACTCTAGGAGAGTTAGTCTATTGCAGGCGCTGCATATTGGAAGCTTTACACGTATGGATAGACTCAGGATTGTTTAGCTTAGCTGGGGATAAACAAGGAACCAGCTATTTTTAAAATGTACCAATTTGGCCAGTAGTGACATACAGAATCTGCCAAACCATAAAATAATTGGTAGTTGACTAATGCATTGTACTCAAGCACTCATCCTTCGGATCATGGCCGGACTAGGGGTACCATTGCATTGAATTGGCGCAAAGTGGCGGACGGCTAGGTTACGGCCATACGTATGTAACCCATATTCATATCAATAAAACAAAACCATCCTGATACGATATATAAAGAGGCGATGTCCGTCTAGTTGAGAGAGAAAAGGCTAGAAACATTTTTAGTTATTAATCTCCTAATTTTGGAGAATTCTTGATAATAACCCTTTGTACTTTGTATAAGAGGTTTTCAACCATAGCGAAGCTTTGCTAAAATGGCCTTCACAAAAATCAATTCTTCAGTTCGCGTCACCCATATTGGTACAGCTACTGCCATCATTGAGCTAGACAACCTTACCATCCTCACCGACCCGTACTTCTCTCCAGAGGGCACTGAGTGGATTGGCAAGTCGGGCGCTACCCTGGTCAATTCATACCAGCCACCACTTGGCCTTGAAGATCTGCCACCGATTGATCTCATACTTTTGAGCCATGAAGACCACAAGGATAATCTGGACGATCTGGGGCGCCAACTCCTCAATGGCCGGCACGTCTTTACTACCACCGACGGTGCGCGAAACCTCGCTCCAAGAAAAGCGGTCCGCGGGATGAAGCCGTGGGAAACGGTGAGCCTCCAAATTGGCGGCGGGCCGCGCTATGAAATCACAGCAACGCCTTGCCAGCATCTCCCAGGTGGCGAATGCCTTGGATTCATCATCACCGCAGAGCATTTTGGTACATCGGACGGGAAGCCTAATGCCGTATACTTCTCTGGAGATACTGTCTACATAGAGGAGCTTGCTAAGATCAAAGATCGCTTTCACGTTTCTGTTGCCCTGTTTAGTCTCGGCAAGGCCATAGTTCCAAAACCCGGCGGGGGCATGCTACAGATTACGATGGACAGCAAACAAGCTGTGCAACTTATGCGTGATATTGAACCAGATATTGTGATACCGTTACATTTTGAGGGATGGAGTTTGTTTAAGGAAGGGAAAAGCGAAATCGAAGAGGTGGTAATTGAAGAGGGCGTTGAGGCCAAGTTTAAGTTTCTCACACCGGGAATCAATACCAAAATAATGTAAATATTGGCAGAGGTTTCAGAATAGATGTCATTCATAGAATACAGATAGACATAGTTGTGGAAAATAAAAGTGGTTTCAGCATTCAAATGGCTCGTTTTCATTCAGTCCGCTATTGATACAATGGACTCTTCAATTAATGGTGCGTAGACTTGCCTGTTTTGGTAGGGCTTAATCATCACACCAGAATGGACAGGCCGTTTCCTTTCTTTTAGCCTATGATCTCTCTCTTTTACTTGATCGCAACAATTCATAACTACATGAATCCGATAGGGTACCTATCCTCTAAAATGGCCTCTCCATTGTTTTCTCCGAGGAGCACATTAGATGGCCATGGCCGAGCTAGTGGTGCAGATGAAGATCCACGGGATGCCGAGCACAGATTTTCTATTGAAGAGTTCTCGACTCCCTCGACAGGCTGGCAACTCGATGACTTCGTGCTCGACCCGGGCTATGTTGCCTCTCGGGAAGAATTGCGCTGGCTGATGCTAAACACTGCACAAACTGCACCACCATCTCCAGCTCACGGCGATAGCTTCATATCCGGGGTGGATTCACATGGTGGCGAAGATCGGTCGTCAGCTCAGCACAGAACCTCACATCTTCTATCACAAGGCAGACGGATCGAATATCTCAAGAACTACATTAGCAAAGTTGCACCATGGGTGAGCTCGTCCATTAAACCCGTTTTCCAATTTGTATTGATTTGAGGGTAGCTCGACATGTTTGATAGCTCTCGTGCTTTCGGGCTGCAAGTACCTCTTCTCGCGCAAACTTCTCCAGCTCTATTATGTGCAATATTGGCCATCTCAGCTCGACAGAAGGAACGAAAAGAGGCTTCTGATGGAAAATCAACTCCCCACAAGAGTTTTGATAGTTTGGAGCTGTACCAAGAGGCGATCCGGCTCCTCACGCCACTTTTGCAGGCTCACGACCAGGCCGTGATTCCCATATGTGTAATACTTTGCTGCCTTGAGATGATGTCTGCCAGTGCTAGAGATTGGCGCCGTCATCTAGAAGGATGCGCTGCTCTTTTCGATGTGTTCGATGTCAATGGATTCTGTGGTGGATTGCTTCAGGCTGTGTTTTGGTGTCACGCGAGAATGGGTATGTTTGCTTCCCTACATGTATGTGTCAGCTATTTCATGAATCGGTTTAATTGAGCCCGTGGCTTTAGATTTATGCGGTGCTTTAATATCGGATGGCACGCAAAGCACCATTATTCCGCCCATTGCTTGGCTACCGCCTGGCACAGACGAGTCAAATGCTCGTCAAGCCTTTAAGAACATACAAAGTCCTGATATGCACGCCAATTATGCAGTCTATCTTTGCGCCAAAGCTTGTGAGCTTGTTTCAGACCGTACTCATCATGACGAATTGGGTGCTCCCAACGGATGTACAGCAGAAGTGTTCTCATCACGTTGGACCAGACTATGGGATGACCTGCAGGCCTGGATAGATGACCGTCCCAACGAACTGCTGCCGTTACAGACTATAGAATCACAACCTTTCCCACAGATATTGTATCTCCACTGGGCAGCTATTTCATCCAACCAGTTATATCACACTGCTTGTATCTTGATGCTCGGATCGACGCCCAAGAGACAGATCCCTATACCTGGTGTAACTGGGTCATGCATATGGCATGCGAAGCATATTTGCGGAATCTCTCTGACAAATCCTCATCATGGATGTCTCAACAATGCGATTCAACCCTTGTGGTTGGCAGGAAGGCTGCTTAGCCATGAATCGGAGCACACAATACTCGTCGACCTGATCCGCGACATTGAGTCCACAACGGGATGGGGAACTTCTTGGAGAATTCCTGACCTTGGAGCAGCTTGGGGTTATTCTATCCGGAAGCCGTCGCGTTCAAAGAATGCTCCCCTCGAACAGCGCCGAAATACTCAAACTGAATGAAGCTATGCATACTACCGAAAGAATACCCAACCTAATCCCCTCCCAGAAGCTCTAAATGGTGCCACTCTTGCTTCAACTGCCCAACAAAACTATCAACACGCCAACCCAAAGCACTAATGTTCTTAAATCCAAGCAATACTTCTCTTTGCTGGCTCTCGTGTGTCATTCTTCGAGCACCCAGATAGAATGATGCAAGGAGGCATGGATCCCAGCATTCGCATCGGTTATTATTGATGGAGATACCGCATATCCTTTGCACATGCCACAGTTGCGATAACGATGATGACCGTCGTTGATCAAGCTGTAGTGTCTTTGGCTTATGAGCTAGTATCAGCATCATGGAAGTATGATACAGCTGATTAGCAAATGTTGCTGCGCCGCTGGTGAAGTACATGACTGGAAATGGAGACTCTTCGTTGCTGAGCTCAATAACGGGACGAAATGTGGATGGCCTATTTGTATACCAGTCATTGAGATTGTCAACAATGGACTTCCAGCGAACTGCCCGAGGTCTTGGCGATACGGAATTGACGCTTGTGGTTGTCTCTTCATCTCCAAAGGAGAATTCGAGCACTTTAGTACATAGAACAAGAGGTTCATGTGCGAATTGGAGGTCAATGTGCTCAGATTTGCGTCCTCCCTCAGAGGAGTTCCCAAGTAGAGTTCGCAAGAGACTACTATTGACGGTGGAAGCGGTTTCTTTGAACAAAGCGACAGCGACACCTATAACTATTAACAAGATTATCCAATATAGAATTATCGGTTTCACTCACTCAATCTCGCAAGCAACCATAGCATGCGCTCGTTCAGTGCTCTGAGCGGACTATTCTCTGCCCTTTGGTTATAGACCATCTGCAGGAAATTATTCTTTACCAGTGCATCTTCCCATGATTGAGGAGGGTCGATAAGAAATCCCTCTGCGACCGTTAATACAGACCAGAGTTTGACTTCCCACATCTTCGCATGCTCAAGATGATACTCAATAGGGAATGTGAGATGACTTGAGTGACTTGTCGGACTGTCAGTTAACATCAGGGAGTGAAGGCTAGCTTCGTATGAAGTAGCGCATAACTTCAAGAGTGCATCGAATAACATGTCAGATCTCGTTGCGAGATGTGGAACAACGAGACCAAAGGTCTGTCTCATATCGCACATATCCAGCTTGAGATTAAATATGGATTAGAAACCTGCCGTAAATACCAGATAAAAGAGTCCTTACTTACCCATGGTGCGATTTTATATCTGTAATGCCTCAGAAGTTCAATCGTTCGCCCCAAGGAGAGTTGATTTGCGATAAGAACGCTCACTGGTCCAAGATCGTCGATACTCTGCAATATCGATGGTGGCCATGATAAATTGGGTTCTTCAATACCGCCGAGAATGGGAGCCAGGGGTGTAAGTGCATCCACACCACCTGCATCCCCCGTTCCAAGAGACATTAACACATCCAGCGCAATCTCGTAACTGTCGCCTTGTCTTATTCCCATATCTTGATCCGGGTGTTCTTCACTAAGATGAGACGAAGCCTCATGTTGCGCTTGTACATGTTGATCTTTTTCAGTGTTTCCGCTGAATTCGTGATAGAGGCTATCAGAATCCAAGTAAATACATGGCTGCTGCTCCCCAATGGATGTGTTTGGGGTCGCCGCGGTGCCACTCTTCGAAGGCGAGCCATATGTGTCGCTGCTTTCTCTCTCAGCAGAGAGAGGGGAAGAAATTGAAACTTGTGATTCGGCATTTCGGCCAATATCTTTCTGATGGGCGTGTCCATTATCTACAAACTATTTGACATCTGACATTAGTATGGAATTTTAGGCAAGCAGAGCTATAGAGATAATAACCTGGACTTTGGAGTATTTTGGAACACCTCCAGGCTTTCTAGGTGAGGGTTCATTTCGATTGTTAGAAGATAAGGTAAAGGCGTTCTTCTGCAGGAAAGATAGTCGTGGTCCATAGACACATTCTGCTTCAGCATCAACGCAGCGTTGGCAACGAGGCTTGTGTTCATCACCTATGGTTGAGTCAGATCCATGAATTGACTATTCAAGTATACCGAAATTCGAAAACAGTAATTCCAAGCGCGAATATGAAAGTGGGACCCTGATTGATGAAAGATATGCTATAAATATCCATAGGGCTCAACTCTTGGTGTTTCTTATCTTACATTTTCGACGCCGAGTGCGACATCTCAAACAACCCGTTCTCGCTCGTTTCTTCTGCGTGCGATTGGGACTTGCAGTATCTTGATGCGCCATGACATATTGCAGAATAATTGCCAGGGAAATCTCTGGCAAATGTCTCAATTGGGCGCGGCGAATAGCTTGAAGAGCCTACGATGGACCGCAAAGTAGCATGGGCGTTGAAAGAGCAGTGACGATTGTATCCTGGCCGTGGTGGTTTCTTTTGCCTATTTGAGCAGACTTAGGCACAGCTTCGGTTAATTTCGAATAGACTACAGTCATCCGTACGGAGCATGATTGGTTAGATGGGCTCAACGCCACTAGAAACTATTTATTTGCTAAGCTCCATGTAACCCACATTGCCACATTCAATGGTTACTTGTACGCGAAGGAAGTGGGACGAGCTCTTGAACGTGGATGGGGGCAAGAGAGGATATGTTTTGGGAGAATCGAGTGATTACCCATTGTTTGCTTGGTTAAAGAAGAAAAGGAAATATGAGGCACCTAGATTCTCTTTAGCTGCCACCTACGTTATGTGATGAATCAGCGCGAGTAGCCCTATTTCCAGATTTTGGGCAGAGAAGAACGGCGGCTATAAATACCCGAAGCGGCAATCCGAGAGGAACAGCATAACAATGAAGTAGGCAGTTATACGACATTCAAAGACGAACCTACAAGCCATTTTATGTCTCTTTCCAAGAAAATTCTACTTTCTTGAACTATTATCAAAATAACAAAGCAAATTAGCGAAATGGGAAAATCTACAGTGACTCTGGCCTCTGGTCACGACATGCCTCTTGTTGGGTTCGGACTCTGGAAAGTTCCCAAAGAAACAGCAGCAGAGACAGTATACAATGTAAGTTGTATTTTGCGTATTCAGAGAGAAACTGCAAACTGTGACTGACGCGATTTTTCTCTCTCAACAGGCAATCAAAGTTGGGTATCGACTCTTTGATGGTGCCTACGACTACCAAAACGAAAAGGAGGCTGGAGAAGGTATTCGCCGAGCTATCGACGAGGGCCTGGTTAAGCGTGAAGAAATTTTCATCACCACAAAGCTGTGGAACAACTACCACCGCAAAGAGCATGCGTTAGCCATGGCCAAAAAGCAAAATGCAGCATGGGGCTTGGGGTACATTGACTTGTATCTCATTCACTTCCCCTGTGCATTGGAGTACATTGATCCTAGCATTAGGCAGTACCCTGTAAGTTCAACGTTCTCACTGTTATCTCTGATAAATGTAATTGATATCTGATATTGTAATATTGTAGGCATGGTGGATGGACGAAGCAGGAGCCATAGCGCTGGACAAAGTCCCGATTCGTGAGACTTGGGAGGCGCTCGAAACGGTCGTTGATCAGGGCATCTCACGAAGCATTGGTATATCCAACTTCCAAGCACAATCCATATATGATATACTCTCTTATGCGCGCCATCCGATCTCATCGTTGCAGATCGAACACCATCCTTATTTGGTGCAGCCAGACCTGGTCACTATGGCGCAGGAAAACGGCATTATTGTGACAGCATACTCTTCCTTTGGACCACAAAGCTTCTTGGAGCTACCTCCGGCTTTCTCCAAAAGAGCGAAAGTGACAGCACTCCTATTTGATACGGAGCCAGTGAAAAAAGCGGCTAAGAAATACAATGTCACTCCTGCACAGGTATTGCTGCGATGGGCAACTCAGAGGGACATTGCTGTTATACCAAAGTCGAACAATCATGAGAGATTGGCGCAGAATCTTCAAGTTACGGACTTTGATATGACCAAAGAGGAATTGGAGGATATTTCGGCCCTTGATCAAGGATTGCGATTCAATGACCCGGGTTTCTACCTGACGCAACCTATTCGCATTTTTGCGTAAATTATCTGTGCTATTAGGATAGTTTTGTACAACCTTGTTCTGTAGAAAAAGACTTGTATACATACAAATCGGTAAAATTTTTGCTTAATGAGAAAGTGCATAAGATTCGTATCTGTCCTCAAATAGTGGATTATAATATATTGCATTTGACTACTACTATAGAGCTGATGAAGCTATAAACCTTGGAGTCCCTACAGGTCGATAAACTCTTGCTTCAAGATCTCATCTTGGTGTATCATCGTCAGATAACTTGATAACTTGGACACAATACTATCGACATCGAAGCCAAAATACTTGTAAGCCTCAGGACCTGGGAGACTGTGTCCGAAACGCCTCACGCTTATACCTGCGTCTGCATATCTTTCCCATCCGTTCGGTGTATATGGTTCTACCACAACAGCTGGGATGCCGTGATGTCTCCGCAAGGTATTTCTCTTATACTCTAAAGATTGACCCTCAAATAATCGCTGGCATGGAAAGCTGACTACTCTGCAGCGGATACCTTTTGTCTCTATTAGCACGGCGGCGGCGTCGAGGACGTGCGATAATTCTGCACCGACGCCAATGAGTGTGAGTTGGGCATCGTCGTCTTCTTGAATCACATAGGCACCCTTTGCAACGCCATCTCGGCGTGTCTGCTTTAGTTGTGGCACTTTGTGTCGTGAAGTCGAGATGATGGAAGACGCATTTTGGGTTTCAATGGCGGCAATCCAGGCACCAGCTGTTTCTTCACTGTCTGCAGGACGGATATACAGCAAGTTCGGCATGGATCGAAACAATGCTGCCAGCTCAATGGGTTGGTGAGTCGGCCCATCTTCACCCATTCCGATTGAATCATGTGTTGCTGCGTGGATCACCTTGAGTCCTTGTAGAGCACCCATTCGCACAGCTGGTGCTGCATATAGATAGAACATGAAGAAGGAACTGGTAACTGGGATGAAGGTGCCGGGAGCAAAAGCTGCCATGCCGTTAGAAATAGCACACATAGCATGCTCTCTTACACCGTAGTGAATATATCGGCCCTTATAAGAACCATTGATTCCACAAGTTGTCCGAAGATCAGGCTGCAGACAGATTAGCTACCAATTCATTAGGACACCAATCGTTGAGAATTGTACTTACGTGTTGAAAATCTTGTTTGCCGTCCCAAGCCATATGTACAGATGGCGAGAGATCCGCTGTTCCCACCATAAAAGAGTTGATATCCTTAGCAAGAGGATTGATCATCAACCCAGACGATGCTCGCGTCGCCATTGGCTTGTCAGAAAGCTTCTTATGGCTTGGTACCAGACTCTTCCAATCAGATGGCAGCTTTCCATCCAGACGCCGCTGAAACTCCTCAGCAAGGAGGGGGTGAGCGTTTGCATATTTTCCTACAAGGTCATTCCACTGTGATACAATCCGCTCTCCGCGGTTGGGTAGATCCAAAAAGAATTGGCGGACTTGATCTCCAATGACAAAGTACTCGTCTTCATTGAAGCCGTAAGATCTCTTCATCCGCTTGACATCGTCGGCACCAAACGCGGCACCATGAGCTTCCGCCTGTCCAGCAACAGCGCTGTCTAGTCCAATGATCGTTCTGACGTTGATAAACGTTGGCCTGTCTACTGATGCTCGAGCCTTTTCTAATGCAGCCACAATACCAACTACATCATAGCAACCATCTTCGACATCTATCACATCCCAGCCGCACGCTCTCATTTTAGCGTTGACGTCTTCGGTGTTGGTCAGATCAACTGAACCATCGCATGTGATTTGGTTGTTATCGTATATAATGGTCAGATTGTTTAGCTTGAGGTGGCCTGCGAAGGAGATGGCTTCCAGAGCCACGCCCTCTTGCAGGCAAGCATCACCAATCATGCACCACGTGTGATTCGATACAACGTCAAATCCAGGTCGGTTATACGTTGCTGCAAGATTCTTTGTCGCCATAGCGAGGCCGACGGCATTAGCGACTCCCTGTCCTAATGGCCCAGTTGTCACCTCGATACCTTCAATCTCGATTTCTGGATGTCCGGGGCAGATTGAATCCCAGCGTTTTGAGTGATATGACTTGAGCTGATCCATTGTCATGTCACGATATCCCGTCAAATGCAGAAAAGTGTATTGAAAGAGGCAGGTGTGGCCATTTGAGAGCACAAATCGGTCTCTGTTGAAAAAGCTTGGTTGCAACGGCGCGTATCTCATCACGTACTTCCACAAGGCGATTCCAATAGCTGCCATCCCGATGGCACCACCTGGATGGCCGCCATTGAACTGTTGGCAGAGATCGCTGATGAGCAGGCGAAAGGTTTTGAGAACTAGCTCATGTTCTTTATTTCGCTCGGATTTAATCCTAGATTCGTCTTTTAGGATCGTTGATACTGCTTTTGTAATATCGGATTTCTCCGTGGATAGGATTCCAGGAGCCATTTTGTTCAATTTTGGTGAGATGGAGAAAGTAGATTCTTCAATGATGAGGAATGCAGCAGTAGGATTGAGATTGTCGGACCCTCGGGAAGGGTAGATTTTATGAATTTGGCATTACCATGAAGGAAAACTAAACTGCTGGAATCGTTATTGTATTTTACGATTCTCTAGGTCTATAATTGCCATAAGCTAATGAAGGGCAATGCATCCACTTTGAGGAATCCGGTGAGATTCCTTTCATGAGAGGATTGCCTAAAAGGGAAATTTTAGCCACCTCGGCTTGGAGAGCTTGAAACCCGACAATTGAGTTCTCCCAGAAATCTATGAGGGTGTCGACCTTATCAATTAGGTTTCTCATACGAGATTCCTTACTTCAAATAAAATATTATTTTTGCCAGTTTTTTTTTACTTGGATACATTGCATTCCAAACTCTGACTGCCCTTGGGACACCAATTCCCATTCCCATACTCTTGTCAGGCTTCTTACACCAAACCCTGGACCACCACCGTACATATTTTCGATTCCCCTCTACACCATTTATTGGCTCTAATCCTTCGAAAAAAGATGGCCCCAGCAATATTTTCCAATGGCGATTCTCCCGAGATATCAGCTGCAGCAGGGTTGAAAGATGTAGCAGCTACGGCTCTAAATGGCGGGAGCATTATCCATACCCCGCAGCCTAACCCATCATTACAAGCAACAGCCGACCACAATTTGAAGCTGGTTGAAGCTCCGGTTCTAGAGCCAAAACGTGGGGAAGTACTATTACATGTCAAGGCAACCGGCATCTGTGGGTGAGTATTAGTAACTGTAAAGAAAGCGACGATTGAGAAAACACTGACGTTGTTCATTTGAAGATCGGATGTCCATTTCTGGAAATCCGGACGGATAGGCTCATTGGTCTTTGAAGGCGACTGCATTTTGGGGCACGAAGCTGCCGGAGTTGTTCTCAAGTGCGGAGAGGGTGTAACAAACCTCGTACCTGGTGAGTGTTCAACAGAGTGTACCCCTCAACGGCTAATATTAATTGATCAAATAAGGTGATAGGGTGGCCATAGAGCCAGGTGTTCCATGTGGAGAATGTTTCCTCTGTGTGGATGGCAAGTATAATCTCTGCGAGGACGTCAAGTTCGCCGGTGTCTATCCCTACGCGGGAACAATTCAGCGTTATAAAATCCACCCCGCCAAATGGCTTCATAAGTAGGCTCCTGACTGCAACACTGGAATGTCTACATTCAATGGCTCACGATTTGCTATAGGCTTCCGTCCAACATATCGTTTGCTGAAGGCGCTCTGCTCGAACCTCTGAGCGTTGTCATTCACGGCATCCGCACTGCTGGTCTAAACCTTGGCTGTGGCACCGTTATTTGTGGTGCCGGTCCCATCGGCCTGATTGCCTTGGCTGCCGCAAGAGCATCTGGCGCACATCCTATTGTGATAACGGACATCGAACCAAAGAGACTTCAATTTGCCCGAGAGTTTGTTCCATCATGTCAAACTTACCAGGTGGACCCTTCTCTAAGCGCAGAAGATAATGGACGCCGAATCCGACAGCTGTTTCGACATGCTGATGATGATGGATTGCAAGAAAATACAGGGGATCTTCAACAGGAGTATTACGCGCCGCGAACCGTTCTTGAGTGCACCGGTGTTGAGAGTAGCGTGTGTACCGCAGCATTTACTGTCCGACGAGGCGGTACCATCTGTGTTATTGGGGTTGGCAAATCAATCATGAATAACTTGCCATTCATGCACATTTCGCTAGCTGAGGTACGTTAAACGCTCATTGGATGGCGCAACTTGATGCTAGAATTGGCTTGCTAACAATATTGGGATAAATCCATATAGATTGAGCTCAAGTTTATTAACCGGTATAGAGATACGTGGCCGGCGGGTATTGCGTGCCTCAGTGGAGGAATCCTCGACTTGAAGCCCCTGGTCACTCACGTTTATCCCCTCGAGGATGCGATTGATGCCCTGCATCTAGCAGCTGACCCCAGAAATGGGAGCATCAAGATTCAGATTGTAGACGAAGCCGATGAGAATGCGATGCCTTAGAGACTTGGAATATAGAATACGAATAGATTAACTGAATGGAGGACGCACACTCTGACGAAGTTGAGAGAATCTCCTGGTTGATTGTGAAATCCATTGGCAATTAGTCCATAGCTATGATGCCCAAGCAGCGCCATTAGGCTCCCACAACACCCTTAACAAACGTACTTAAATGGAGCTGCATACATGGATGTGTGCACCCTCTTTGGTAGGATACGGCTGCGGCGTACTCCTTGCATTATTCTGAAGCATTGACATTGGCTTACAAAGTACAATGCATATAGCGGCGCCGCACCTCAGGCTTCAGCTGCTCCCGTGGCTCCTGCACGCTGTCGTACATGAAAGACACCATGTACCCAGCTTCTTACACGTATTGGATCCTAATAAAAAAGAGGTGGAGAGTAAGACGAGGCCCATGAGGGCTGCTTTTCACCAAGGCATACCCTCCTTGCAGCGCATGACGTGGATAGCTTAAAAATCTCCTCTGCTAATAATAAAACTCTACAATCAATGGAAGCTGAAGTGAGACCTTGCGATTGTAAGATCCATTGTCACTATGGCGTTTGTAATATTGTGTCATCTATGGTGATATGTTGAGGGGCAGCTCAAACACTATCCTAAGCTCAACACCTTTCTTCCTCTGTATAATGCTCGTATATGTATGCTTTGCTCCACCCAGGTAACACAACACTTGGGTTGTTTGCTCAGGGAAAATGGGCGAGGCTGTCGCTTGGAGGTGCTCAACATGATGCGTCGACCTGGTACACCCTGCATATGCAAATGCATGCAGCAAGTATTGAAATGGTCCTAGGCGACGCCATTTTTATATGCTTACCAGGTAGGTAAACACGGGATATGCGAAGTTCATACAATGCGGCTAATCCACCACGCGGAGTCGGAGTGACTTCCGATCAATTGAAGCCAATCATATCACATAGTGTGTGGGATTCCCTGCAGCAACCAGGCGCATGTACGCCAGAATGTATTATGTGTTGGCCAAATCAATGCCAAAGAGGGGTTCACAGAATGCTAGAGCACCTTAGGCTGGCCTTGAGTATTGAGGTGTACCCAAGGAACTGTGTTTGTGTTGCGAGATTAGCATACCGCCGTGTATGGACGCGTGCTTATTGACACGGTCTACATACTTAGTAGACTGTGATCTCGAATTTTCCTTACCTTAAGTCACTCCCTCGCGATGGTTTGATCCTAGAGACGAGAATATACGATACGATTAGCCTCCAATGCCCCGGAAAACTGCAACCGGAAGAGACCGGCCTCTGCGCCATGTGTTGCCGGCACCAGCCAGTCGGCCACCGGTAACAGCAGCTCCGGATCCCCCAGTTTCCCTGAGGCAAAACATGGTGGCCGCAGCTTGTAACGCATGCCGCAGACAGAAGACCAAGGTACTCTATAATCATGAATCTTATGTGGGAGGTTTATAGCAGATGGAGAGTGCTAACTCAACCCCCAGTGCTCTGGCGACAGACCAGCTTGCACTCGCTGTCAACAGCGACGCGTTGAGTGCCTCTACACCACACAGCCTGGAGAAACCGAGTCTCAAGCCTTGAGGCGGGAATATCGAGACACGCGGCACAAATCAACAATTTTCCAAGAGCTTTATGATCTTTTGCAAAATTTATCTGAGAAAGAAGCTGAAACTGTCTGGCAAAAAATCAGAAGCGGAGTGGACGCCACCACACTTCTGACATACCTCAAAGCAGGGAATTTGCTGCTGCAACTGGCCGTCGCTCCCGAAACGCGACTTCGATATGAATTCCCCTACCAATCAAAAATGCCTGAGTATTACCTTGGAAATAATCCTTATATGGATTCAATGATTTACGAGGCGGCCTCGCTCTACTCCCAGGCTTCGGGCAGCACCGCCTCTAATCGAGCCGACGATCCATATTCGAATGTTAGAGATGTTTATCTTAAGCCATTTCATGCTGCTGAGGTTATTGACCCTCGGCTGACTGATGTAAAAATATCATCGTGGACTGCTGTTTGTAAAGACGATGTGCTCATGCGACAGCTTCTCTCGGTCTTCTTGAGATGCGAGTACCATTTCACATCGGCATTTCAGAAGGACTACTTCCTGGATGACTTGGTGGCGAATCGAAGCGATTTTTGTTCATCGCTGCTCGTCAATATTATCCTCGCTTATTCTTGTGTACGCTGTTTCCTATACTACTTTTCATTTTCATTTTCTTTTTTGCCATCCTCCGTGAAGCGCCTCTGCTAAACTCATCCAGGTCTGCTTTCCGGGTCTGAAAGACCGTGCTGAGTATTGGAATCCCAAAGCACTCGTATATCGCTTTATTGCGGAAGCGAAAAATCTTTGGGAGCTGGAAATTACGCCGCGGATCACCACAATACAAGCCGGTATACTGTTTAATGTCTACTATAATCTCTGTGGCCTAGACAAAATCGGGCAGGCATACAGGATCCGTGCCATAGATATAGCTCATGAGATGCGTCTCTTCGATAGCAAGGTGAGCGGACGCAATTACAAGATGCAGAGGAGCATGGCTTTCCTCGCATGGACTTTATTCAATTGGGAAACGTAAGCAGAGTCGTTGGCTCTCAAAATTGACCTTGGCTGACATTTTTAGACTTGTTGGCTTCTCCTTCATGTTCACCCCTTTGCTCAAAGAGCCTCCAAGCTGGACTCTGCCAGATCCTTCTCACGATACAAATTGGTATGGGGAAATATGGCTCAAGTACCCATTGACTAATGTCCTTTCACCATCATACTTCGGCCACATATTTCTAGCCAAATCCCAATTTCGAATCATCATGAATGAGTTTTGCTGCACAGCTTACTCTGAAGGCTCACAGGTAACCATTGAGAAGGGTTACGAACTTCGTCTAAAACTGAGACGCTGGTATGATGGCTTGCCGGGCCCACTCCAGCCAAGAACAATTGTGTTACCTGCACACTTGCAGCTTCAGTAAGTATTCCGTAAACTATGCAAGGTTGTTTATAGTATAATAGTTGAGTAGTATTAACATAACTGACAGCATCTACTATCATCATCTGATCCTGACCATCTTCGAGCCCTTGATGGACACGGAAACGGACCAAGACCCGTCACCACAGCAAATAGTTTCTGAATCCAAGAAATATCTTCAGACGCTCATTAGACTCTACTATCTGCGCCATGGATATGATGCTATGGACCTATTCATCGTCATACCACTCATGCTTGCCGGTTCTGAGTGCGTCGAGGCTATTAACGACCAAACCCCCGCAGCCGAGCTCGAGGTTTTACGCTCTACGCTCATATTGGTTGCAAATGGCTTATACAGTCAACGTCGAAATCATTACTTAGCCGAGGCACTGTTCCGTGTTATTCGTGGGCGAATGCGACCGTCAGAACTTTCTCTACTAAGGACTACAATGAAGATAGACGAGCATGAATGGGATGAGAAGAATAGAATGGCGCAAGAGGTGAGAAGCTCGTGGCCAGTGAGCGTCGTCAAGAAGAAGGAAGATCTGGATTCTCACATTTTGACAAATCTTGTGGAGAGCTATGGCAACCTAAACGTAGAAGAGACTCCCGACGCTCAGTCGGCATCAGGGAGCTGAGGAATGTATTTGATGAGAGTTTTAAACTTCCCCCAGCATACAATTGTTTCTCTTTTACTGCACATGTTCCTTCTCTTCTGCTTTGGGAATCCGCACCATAGTGATGGTTATCAATACTCCAATTATAGCAGAAGCAAGACCAAACCACCAGATAGCACGTATACCTTCGAGCCCTACCTCTCCATCAGGAAGCTGATCGACTTTGATCCCTATTGAGCCGGATACAGAAGTAATGATTGCCAGAGTCAAGTTCTGCACGGTGACCAAAAGACTACCAGCCGAACCCTGATACGACCTTGGTACGCTCGAAGTAATGAAGATAGTTGCCGCTGCAAAGCTCAAATCAGGTCCGAATGTGGCCAAAGCAACACCTGGCATTGACAAGGCCCAGTAAGAGGAGTTTGGTGTCTGAGGAAGAAAGAATACCGGCCCCATACCAAAGCAAACCATGCTGACACCAAAAATCCAGTGACCAGGAACCACATGCAGCGTCTTAGAAACGACCCAGGCTGCGAGAACGCCGATGATGCCGTTTGGAAGGATATACAGCGCTGCAGTGAGCGGAGTAGCTCCCTGGTAGCGGATCCAAAATTGAATGGCATAAAATTGCCACGCGCCGGCTGGAAAAGGGTAATTTGTTAGCAACTGGCAGTGAAATATGCAACCGTAGATATGTAACTGTATGATACGTGACATAAAGGAAACATACCGTAGCCACCAAACCCGAAAATGTAAGAGACCAGAACAGCAGCAAACCCAGGCGTTCGCCAAAGCCCATTTGGAATAAGAGGGCGAGTAGCACGGCGCTCAGCAAAGTGGAATGCAACAAGTAGAAGAAATCCCAGGATAATGGTGATATAAGTATATGGACTCCATTGAACCGCTGAGCCCTGAGTAAGCCCAAACAGAACCAATCCACAGCCCAGCGATGCGAGCAAAGCGCCGAGATAGTCAAACTGCTTCATTGAAGGCGTATCTGCACTGGAACTGTCTGCGGCTGGCTTCAGATCAGGTATCGTAAGGTAAGCAGCAAGAGCGCATAATATGAGGAACAAGGCCGTGCTGCCGAATATCCAGGGAAGATGAGCAGCGAGAAGACCTCCTTGGACGCAGCCAATCCAGTAGCCAAACGGCGCCCCTGCTGCCATCATCGAAAACACACGTGTCTTGCGGATCCCCGGATTATACACTCGTCCAAGGATGCTCATCGAAGCGGAAACGAGTACTCCAACTGCCAGGCCCTGCATGGCTCGTGCCACAAAGAACAGGACCTTGAGCTTTGGAGAAACGGCTGCGGCCGTCACCGCATTCCAGACCGCTTCCCATAGAAAAGCCCCTACCATGAGAGGTTTGGGAGGAGCGAGATCAGCTAATGGGCCAAAGACTATGACTGACAGGCCGCTTGCCAATGCCGAAGAGCCTATAAGCCAAGGAGCCTGCGCTGGGACCATGCCCAATGCCTCACGAAACACAAACTGGGTAACGGCTATATGTCCCAAGGTCAGTGAGAAGATGACTTGACCGGCTGTACAAACGAGGATAAAGATGATTTCTGCGAGGAAATTGGCAAGCTCCGGCGGAACGCCTTGGGACACCGGATTCGTCGGACTGCCTCGTTCCTCCGAAAGGCCACCGGGCGAAGATCCGTCGGATGTGGTGATTTCGACTTGTCTGTTTCTTATGATGTTCAATTCCAACCCAAGTGCTGGTAGGCGCTCTTCCGCATCGGTGATGTCCTGGGCCTGTAGTATATCTGAGTCAAACGAGGTCACGAAGCTCTCGCCATGCACCTCTACGGGCATGACAAGTGTGGACTGCGTTTTCGACATGTTCACCAAGGATTCTTCCGTCCGCTACCAAAAGCTCACTCAGATTCAGTAGATATTGTTACACGCATGCCGAGAAGTTGACTGATATGGCCGCATTCAAGAGTCGGGGTTCGATAAATCGCACAAAAGATTGGATTTCAATAATTTCAACAGACACTCACTTCATATGCGAAGCACTGTGGGCCAAGGCTTAAAAGGACCGATAATACTGTGCTACCTCCTCACTGTTGGCTTTCCAAGCAGCTAATCCACTAACAGAAAATGGTGGGTTAACTGTGGGTGAGTCACCCTGAAGCTCTCAAACAGTGAAAGGCAGTGCTCTATTTTGTCTTGTTAGGTAACCTTGGAAGCGATGCCTAGTTGTCGATAATATCAGGTGTCTCTATTACTTGTATGTGAAAATTAGAAGAGATTGGATGGTTCTCCGACGGAATGGATGCCTTTCTCTTTGTGAATGTTCCGCTTGCTTCATTCTGTAGACCGCAATGCTTTCTTCTTATGGGTGGGGTTAACAGCCGTCTATCCCGATGTCTACATGTACTAAAACAAGAGGATATTTATGTGTGACGCCCACTAACCTCAAACTATCTACTCCATACTGCACATCAAAGATGACCATAAAGACAACAGGCTGATGTAGGAACAGCGCCAAGATAGAATAAGCGTTCTAACGATCAGGGCCAAGTACGGCTCGGATACCTGACACCGCTTTGCTATTTAGCAAGTGTTAAACCCGGCTCATCGGCAAAGTTTCGTTCTCCCCCACAAACCGTAAGCGCTATTTGACATACCCGATCGGCTATACGCCGAGCTTGAAGCTTGGCCCCCGCCTCCAGTTCATATAGTGGCCGTGGTTAAAATTGCCGGATCGGGAAGTGCGCTCGATTTGCTCGATTTGGACAAGCAAACGCTGGCTTCATTTAATAACACAGAAGGCTCTACAGAGTTTAGATATGAGATTGTTGCAATATTTCGGGCTTAGTAACACTGAAGTAAACAAATCATGGCAGACACAACTATTTCGTTCCCCTCGAAGCCACGCATCTTCATTCTGACTGACATCACTAATGAGCCCGACGATGCGGAATCCTTCTGTCGATACTTGACCTATGCCAATCAGTTTCGAACTGAAGGAATCGTGGCAGTAACTTCAGTATGGCTCAGAAACAAAGTGGCGCCAGAGAATCTGCACGAGATTATCGATGCGTATGAGAAAGTTGTAGATAATCTGAATGCTCATGTTCATTCTCAGTCTCTGTATCCCTCCGCAGAATACATCAGGAGCATTGTTCGTTCAGGGCCTCCGGTAAGCAGCTTCCGACTACGACGGCACTATTACATATTGACAAGCAAGTCCTAGGTATATGGAATGGCTGCAGTTGGTGACGACATCCCGCTGAGTGATGGCGCTCAATTACTTCTAGAACGGCTGTTAGCAAAAGACAGTGATCCACTTTGGGTCTTGGTTTGGGGAGGCGGCAATGTCCTTGCTCAAGTTTTGAATCATATACGCAATCGAGATGATGCTGGTCAGCTTCGAACAAAACTTCGTGTGTATGCTATCTCGGATCAAGACGATACCGGAGCCTGGATGAGGCGACTGTGGCCTGACATCTTTTATATATGCTCTGTGCATGGATGGAATCAATACAGCCAAGCAACATGGACGGGCATATCTGGAGATACACCTGGCGAGCAAGGGGGCCCCGATACTTCAAAGATAACCAAGGAGTGGATAAAAGAGCACATTCAAGTCGGTCCTCTAGGAGCGGCATACCCAGACTACATGTACATTGTCGAGGGGGATACACCTACGTTTCTTTACATGATACAAAATGGCCTGGGTTTTCCTGAGCATCCATCTTACGGCTCCTGGGGAGGTCGTTATCTTCCCGTCGATCTTACTTTTCCAAGAGGGCATTTTGGTGACACTGCCGATGAGGTTGTTGGAAAGAATGGTCAGACATACATATCAAATCGCGCAACAATTTGGCGCTGGAGGAATGTCTTTCAAGAAGATTTTGCTGCTCGGATGCAGTGGACTTTGACCAACGATTTTACCAAAGCTAATCATCATCCTATCATTTCTGTTAACGGAAATAAAGGGCTGGCTCCAATTTATGTTGAAGCCGACGCTGGCTCTTCGCTTATTTTTGATGCATCCGAGACCTTTGATCCCGATGGAGACAGTTTATCCTTCAAATGGTTCCAGTATCGCGAGCCAAGCGCTACTCGAACGTACCATAGTTGGGAGGTACCTAAGATGGAGATCAAAGTGCTCGATTCGATTGGAAAGAAGGTGGAAATAATAGTGTCAAAACCTGATGGACCCGGCCTTGGGGCAACCTCTGTCCCTGATCGTGGTGAATTTCTTCATCTCATCCTTGAAGTTCAAGACAGCGGGTCACCTCCGTTGACTAGCTACCGTAGGATCCTCATCACACCTCTCAATAATGTATAGCACATTAAATGCCATACTTTTATTCTTCATTATGATGCGATATGATATGAATAATTAATATGTAATTGAGTGCCTGTCTGCTTTGGTGACCAGCTTGAGACCACACTTATTCGACTGCCTCGGTGAAGATGCTTTCTATTAAAGCCTATAAATTTAACAAATCCACAATGTTGCACTGTCTAACAATATGATACGTCTTGTGCTATTTGAGTTCAATACATGCGAGGAAGACTAATTGTAGACATTGAATCCTACAGTTTGCCATCGATGAAATGAAATATCAAGAGGTTCCGTTCTAGTTTGATCTTCGCTTCAAATTTAAAGGTAGACACGAATCGTATGGTAATGAATTAATGTCAGCTAGCCAGACTACTAGTCATAAATAAGGCTGAATGAATAAACTAATAAATCGTCTTTACACAACAGGCTTTTGTGCAGTCGCAGCAGCCTCATTCTGCATCTGTATATCGGTCTTGTAAGACTTGAACTTTCTGGCGGGAACCCCCTTAGCAAACATCTCATCCAACTCCTGATAAGATCTTCCCGCCGTCTCAGGCTGGTAGAAGTACAAATAAGCAATACATATAATGCAAAACCCGAAAAAGATGAAGGCAATCTTTGCCCCTAGATTGGCATGGTCAGGGTTGAACAAGTAAGGAATGACAAATTGCCACATGACGGTAATAGCGCTCTGCACGGAATAGCCAATGGCAATCGTCTTGGCACGTAGGCGAGATGTGGAAACCTCCGCGAGCAAAGAAAAGGCCGTGGAACCAATCGAGACGTTATACCACCAGCTGTAAATGAGGATAAATGCAACAGTGCCTTTAATTTCGGATGGTTGGTGGCTCAGACCTAATGCTCCGGTGATGAGGAGGATGGCTGTGAGGATGATGAGTCCGTAGAAGGTAATATTGCGCCGTCCAATGCTGTCAACGCAAGCAGCGGCCATGATGTTTCCGACAATTGATAGAACTGGCTGCGATATCTGAATCTTATAGCTCATAGACGTAGAGTAGCCAGCAAGTTGCAGATAATATGTGAAATAGCCAGCAACAAAAGCGATACCGGAAAGGGACTGGATGCATAGAGGCATGATGCTGATAATAGTTCGTCGCAGGTTCGATTTTTTAAAGCACTCCAGATATGTAACTCCCTCGGTTTCCTTGCGGATTTGTTCCAGTGTCAGATTGATGAGCGCAAGTTTCTTTTCTCCCTCTTCGCCGGAATAGCCAAGCTTATGAAGGCTCTTTAGTGCCTTTTCAGTTCGGCCTTTGCCAGCCAGGAACCAGGGAGATCTAAGGAGCAAATTAGCTAAAAGATCATTACAGTATTTTGGTGGTCGTACTCAGGCATAAATGGCCACAAAACCAATGCCACCGCTGCAAACCCAAACTGGGAGCAGAATACAGAGCGATAAGCCCATCGAGAATCTACTTGGCCCGTATAATTGATGATCAAGAAGGCAACAAGAGGACCGATGCCGTACGAGACACCAATACAGCAAGTGAAGATACCACGTAAAGCCAACGGAGCAATCTAACAAAATTTTAGTATTCAACAGTGACTGGCGAAATTTGGAAGCCAGTACCTCTCCAATGTAGGTAATCATGTTTGTCCCAATAATGCCTACCATGATTCCGTTGATCAATTTTCCCGCAAAGAAAACAGCATTTGTAGTTGCGCAAAATTCTACACCAACTCCTACAAAGGAAACGACCAATGCGATGAGGAGCATGAACTTTCGGCCAATAATATCTGCTAATTCAGCAGAAGCGAGGGAAGAGATGACGGCCCTAAGGCGCAATTCAACATGTCAGAACAGTCAGCTATCAACATTATTGCAGTGAAAAGACACTCACATGGCCACAGGGGCCCCGTTAAATGCAGACTGCCATTGAGCTGGCAGCACATATTCGCCTTCAAAAAGATATCCAAAATCTTGACGAAAACGGGGGATGCCAACAACACTGCCTGCTGCTTGAGCATCGAAACTGAGCAGAATCACAGTCCACAAACCGTAAATGCACCAGACAGATGCCCAAGGATTACGGATGAGAGATTGGTATATACCAGTCTCGTGATCCTCTTGGTCAGTGAGATGTGCAAGCTGTACGGTCTCATAGTCACCGGTTTTCTCGACATGGTCATGCACGTTATCCTTGGATTGTTCCATCATGACAATGCCAGATACGTTTATCTTATAAAGAATTATTAAACTGACATCGCACACAATGCCTTTTACATCCATCTAAACTGGTCCACATCGTCTTCCCTATATAGTTGCTTCTCAGTCTTGAGTCCTCACCAGACTTTACAACTGTAAGGTAACGCTAACCTAAGGTCAACGTGGAGAACCCCATGGGGAATCACATTCACTTTTCTCCATCGCATTAGTTTCCTGGGGAGAGTGGTAAAACTTTCCGTTCTCGGCTCAAGACTGATGCCTTTTTGCCGGCTGAATGAGAAGATGCCTAAACTTGCCCATCTAGGCTAACAGTGACCCATATTAGTGGGCGGAAAATATACATGTATGGTTGGCCGCATCTCAATCTATTTCTATTCCTAATAGAAAACGAAGGCCTTTTACGTATTATTTCCACGACTATTGCAAATAGTCCACAGTCAATTAACAGCTACAAAGCATAACTAAGGCAAGTCATCATTTGTCATGCGCAAGCATGACGAAATAATGTCCTCTAATAAAATGAAAGCACATTAGAAGAATTGTAACAATTGATCCCCCTCAAGGGACACCAATACGGCCAGCTCTACTACTGGACAGATACGTAGCATAACAGCATACAATGCAGGAATTTCACCAGCCTGGCCCTCAGATGCGACCAACTCTCCAATTATCTCGATTGATTGATGGACGTGAGCATCTGGGATCCTGCTCCAAGATCTCTGCTTCAGGATTTCGTCGCCTTTCCACGCCATAGTTCCCTTCATACGGAGATTGAGGAAGAGGATGGCCTTCATTTGGTGGGAATAAATGCCCCTGCCACCAAGTGACTGGTAATTTTGCAACAACCCGGAATAGCCATCCTTAGACCGGCCATGCCAGCAGAAGGCTTGTGCCTTGTAAGATAAACCATGTATTATTTCATTTCAATGAGATAAATGGCCACTTAAATGTCGTTTAAACATGGCGAAGCAATGTCGTAAAAGAGTATGTGACTGCTAGAGGCAAAACTCTTGAAAAAAGAATACATATTGTTGTGACTTTTATACCCTGTTAAGATGGTCCGTTGGTGACACTTTTAGACCACTCAGGTGAGTCTAACCATGTAAGAAGCTTTTGTAATAGTTTGTTTATGTTGACCGGCTTGGAGATGTAATCGTCCATCCCCTTTTCTAAGCAAGTTTCGCTATCTCCTCTGAGGGCATACGCCGTCATGGCAATAATCGGAATCGGGTTCCCATAGGTTCGGATTTTCCTAGTCGCTTCAAAGCCATCCATAACCGGCATGCTGATGTCCATGAGGACCAAGTCATAGGTGTTGGGTGAAGCGCTCAATATTGAAACGGCCTCTGCTCCATTGGAGGCAATGGTAACATGCTGAAAGCCAAGAGAGTTCAAAACGCGGGACAACACTTTTTGGTTTACCAAGTTATCCTCGGCCGCAAGAATCCTCTTTTGTGGTGCCATCTCCTTCAGGCGTTTTAGCATCTTTTCTTTCTCTGCTTCTTGCTGAGACTTTTCTTTCTCTTGCTGTTGTACCCCCGCAGCATCAAGTTGGTCGAGATTAGCAATCTTTTTCAGTTTGACCGTGAACCAGAAAATGCTGCCGTTACGTTCGAGGTTGGGCTTGTAGCCCATCTCGCCGCCCAATAACTCGGCCAAAGACTTGGCTATGGACAGCCCGAGGCCTGTTCCCTGGTATCGTTTTTTGGTGGGCTTTTCGAGCTGAGTGAATGGCTTGAACAGATTTTGGACAGCATCCTCGGCTACGCCTATCCCACTGTCAGTGACTTCTGTCAAGATGGTATAAGAAGTCGCGTCCTCGGCGGAGATTGAGGCGGCGACCTGCACCGATCCCTTCTCGGTGAATTTGACAGCATTGTCGATGATATTCTGGAAGATCTGACGGAAGCGAAGCGGGTCTCCCTGCGCAGATTTGGGCAATTCCGGTGCCAGGACGAGCTTGATGTAGACACCCGGCAGCAGCGTCATCTGCACATTGCGCACGACAGAACTGATGATGTTTGCGACTCCAACCAGGTCCGTGTTGACGGAGAAGTTGCCCGACGCAAGCTTGGAGTAGTCGAGAATACCATTAATAACTTGCAGCAGAACCTGGCCCGATTCAGAAATGATGTTGGCCATGTCGTGCTGATCTTCTGTTAGGTTTGTGTCCAGGAGGAGAGCACAGGCTGACAGCATGCCGTGCATTGGAGTTCTGATCTCGTGACTCATGTTGGCCAGGAAGTCGTTCTTGAGCTTGGCGCTCTCTTCGTATGCGGCGATGAGTCTCAGCTCGCCCTCTCTGCGCTCCGTCAGGTCGCGCGTCACCTTGCCAAAGCCAACATGCACGCCGTTCCTATAAATGGCCGTGATGGTGACGTTGGCCCAGAACCGGCTCCCGTCCTTACGATAGCGCCAGCCCTCATCCTGCACCCTGCCCTCGCGCAAGCATGTTATGAGCTCGTCTTCAGGCTTTCCAGCGCTGAGATCTTCCTGGCCGTAAAAGGTCGAGAAGTGCCGTCCGATGATGTCCTCCTTCGTATAGCCCTTGAGCAGCTCGGCACCGGCGTTCCAGGTGGCCACGTAGCCGCGCGTGTCGAGCAGGAAGATGGCATAGTCCTTGACAGTCTGGATGAGCAGCCGGAAGACCTCGTCGACGGACAGCGCATGCTGAATCACTTCGCCGCGAGTCTCGGGCGTCTTAGGCTCGACCGGGTCCCACTCCAGCATCAGCGACAGCAGCTCGTCCCTCCGGAAGATGGGGATGATGCGCGCCGAATACGAGACGCCGTCGGCCGTATATGCGGCATGGCAGAGACGGAAGTTGCGTGCGGCGATGGCGACTTCGATGGCGCGGGCCAGCGGGATGCGATCGAAGCGCTCGAGCGGCGACCCTCCGTACAGAGCGGCAAAGAGATCCTTGCCCAGGAAGTCGTCTCGGCGGCGATGCCACGCGTCAACGACACCTTTGGACGCCCGCTGGATGCGGTAATCCGGCGACACGATGAGCGTGGGGATGGGAGAGAGGTCGCAGATGTCGTTTGTCAGGTCTGAGTCTGTGTCTGAGTCTCTATCTCTGTCTGTGTCTGTTATAGTGGTGTTGGTGCCCATGCTCGGGCTTGCTTTCACGTTGGCGTTCATATCTACGTCTTTGCGGCCGTGGCCAGACGCTCCAGCCCCCTGAGAAATCATACTTTCGACAGCTGGCCCGTCATCACGAACAGTCATTTCGCTCGTCAAGTGCGCAAAAGCATGCGATGGCCAGAGTTGGCCCGTGTTAGTTTCCGCCCATCCTACCGAATAGATTAATCTCCGTCGCTTCTCCTATCTGTTCAGCGATGACGTAACGAATCCTCGGAACATCTTCTCCGCACAGCTTCTCCCATTGTTATTTCTACGGTATAGTGACTGCCGGAAATACTCTCTGAACGATGGCGGACCCGTTGGCCCCATCGCTCTGTTAAGCCTCTTGTGGCTTGCTTCAGCTTTAGGCCGGGGCAGGGCGAGTTGCAAGTTGAAACTCTCTTTGTCTTTTAACGAGCAAAACGGGGCCACCGGAATGCAGGCCCTGCTTACACGGGAGATCACCATTCGTGCTACCGGCCCCTTCTCCACTCTTCCAACGGTCGGGCTTGACGCAATTAATGCAAACGCGGCTTAGTGGACATGATCCCATTTTCAGTGGCACAGAGAATGACTTCAGGGAGGGGAAGGGAGTCATTTTGCATTGGACTTGTTGTGTGCTTCTGTGTGCTTCTGTGGCACCTGGTGCTTGTTGGACACCAAAGAGACTGGACAGCCAATTACATATATCGCCGTCTCTGTTCAACTCAAAGTGCCCAAGACGGATGTGTGGCTACCCTGTTGCTCTTGGTAGAGTTTTGAAAATTACTCGTACTTTCAAGAGCGGGTGGCAATGGCTTATTCCTCATAAGCTCTTCTAGAGACGCCGATTACGCAAAGTTGTAAACGCTGAAGTTCACGAGTACATGTCCTTGTCCGAATACCTCCTATTTGCTGCTGTTCAGTAGTGGAGCAATCGGTCAGCTTCACCGCTGTGACATGTACTCGTATGGTTCGATATTCCACTTTGAAAGGTACGTATACACATCCCTTTTGATGTTGGTAACCCGCCATGGAAGTTTATGAAGAATCGGTAAACTCAATTCCTCTATTTTAATGGATTGATAACTGTGAAGACAATATCGAGTCGCTCTGTTCGGCATAAAATCGCCGAAGTTACATTGACCCCACAGAAGTTGATGGAACCGGGGGGTCTTCTCTCATCTCCACTTTGCATGTTGCTAAGGTTTGTTGCTCAGATTATCAAAACCATGAAAGATAAGTAATTAGTGTTGATTGATCATTGAGCAACAATTTCATACGATGATGCAATATTAGTATGGTGATCCTATGCACGACGTCTCAGCTGGACTAACCATGTCGATTAAGTGTGAGCAAGCACAATATGGTAAGCCGTCAGGCATTGCCCAGTGCCATCCCTACACGTGGCAAAGAGAGGGCGAGTTGATTTATGATCTCCGGGACTATTAGATGCATCTGAATACATATTTTCGAGCTCAAGCAATCGGCCATTAGATAACGCTCGTTCCTATCGCCGTGAAACCTAGAACTAATCCTTGTTGCTGTACACTAAACTACTACTAGCTTTCTTGAGTACATTGAACTGTCATGATTAACTACTCCTTTAATCCTAGGAATCTCACCGCAGTGGCGCGACAAAGACATGGGTAGCGATCTTGACTTTTATGCCGTGAATCTCAAAGAAAGGCTAGACAAGCTCGTGGCCTATAAGTGGAAGGACTCACTCAGACAGGCGGCCGATGAGTTTGAGCGTGAATTGGGGGCTTCTGGTTGATCTTGGAGCGACGAGCAGTCATCGGTTCTCTCTTCAGGTCCAACTAGACACACGTAAGTAGTTGCTAGATCATGTGGCTATGAATGGTGTTATTGAGCATGCAGTGAGCGAAGTCACTACTCTAAAAGGAATGCCCCCATCCGGACCTAAAACATAGAGGCCTCGAAACGACTCATTGAGACTATATAACATCCATACATCCATAAATTTACCGACCTGCCCCATCTGCAGTCAAAAAATCAAAATCCACACCATCTTGAGCCTGCATCACACTCTTTTCATACAGCCCTCTATATCCGCGAGCTGGCCGTCTCCTAGATTCTGCAAGCCCACGGGCTTCCAACCCACTGTCTAGTCTAGCTTTCCTATCCGCTATCCTCCTGGTTATCTCATCATCATCGATCTCCACTTGAAGTTTTCTACTTTCCATATCACAGCATATAATGTCCCCATCTCTCACAATGGCGAGAACGCTTTCTGGCAATGCAGCTTCAGGCGATATATGCAATACGATGCTGCCTCCCGCCGTGCCAGACATGCGTCCATCTGATAACCGCAGCATATCTTTGACCCCGCGAGCTGCGAGCTTGCGTGGGATGGGTATCAAACCAGCCTCGGGCATGCCTGGACTTAAGAAGCCAATAGGTCCTATGCCCTGTAAGATCAAAACGCAATTTTCATCAACGTCGAGATTTGGATCATCAATACGCTTGGCAAGGTCTTCAGGACCAGCGAACACCACAGCTCGGCCTCGGTGATTGAGTAGATGACGGTACTTGCTAGCACTCGCTTTAATAACGGCCCCATCCGGAGCAAGGTTGCCGTACAACACCACAAGACTTGAAGATGGATATAGCGGGTTATCCAAAGGCCGAATAATTTGGGCCGAAAACGGGAACGAGCGGAAGTTCTCAGCATCCAGAGCTTCACCAAGTGTTTGTCCTGTTATTGTCAGGGCATCCAGATATAAGAGAGGCCGCAGCGTATTGAAAAGGGCAGGGATGCCGCCAGCATTGTGTAAATCTGTCATGTAATTGTCCCCGCTAGGCTTGAGGTCCACAATCAACGGTGTCTTCCGTCCAATCTCGTCCACCGTCTGCAGAGTAATTTTGCCGTAGACCTCCGGATGCCGGTTTGCAATGGCGAGGAGATGCACTATCCCGTTGGTCGAACCTCCAATTGCTTGCAAAACTGTGATGGCATTGTGGAAAGATGCCTCAGAAAGGATAGACTGAGGTGTGAGTTTGTGTTTGGCTGCTCCGATAGCATTTGCACCGGTCTGCTCAGCTATTCTGAGTCGAGCACTTGAGACAGCGGGAGCAGTTGCGCCGCCTCTAAGGGGGATGAGTCCAAGGGCAGCTGTAAGGCACGCAATGGTGCTTGCCGTACCCATGACGCCGCATGTTCCGGCCTAGTCAAGAATTGTAAGTTAGATGATTAATCTCGGAGGAATGATTCTTACCGTTGGAGCAAGTTCCTCATTTAGAGCTGAAATATCCTCGATATCAATCTCGTTTGCCCGAAAAGCAGCCCAGTTATTGCGACAGTCCGTACAAGCGCCGATGCGGCCGCCACGAAAGCTTCCTGGCATCATCGGCCCTGTTATTAGTGGCAAGATGGGCTTGTTGGCAGATATTCCTCCCATGAGCTGAGCCGGAACTGTCTTGTCACATCCTGAGCTCACGATGCTATATTAGCTAAACAACCACCGAGAAAAGCTTAACAAGGGTAATGTTAGTACCCACCACCAATAACAATACACGCGTCCACCGGCTGCGCCTTAATCATCTCCTCGGTATCCATGCTCATAAGGTTCCGTAAGAACATGCTCGTAGGAGAAGAGAACGATTCGTGGACGCTAATAGTCGGGAACTCAATGGCCAGCCCGCCATTTAGCTGGACACCCCTCTTTGCAGCCTCAATGAGCTGAGGAACATTGCCATGACAAGGGTTGAAGCCCGAGTAGGTGTTGATGATTCCAATGATTGGTCTTGAAAGCGCGTCTTCGCTGTATCCCAGGGCCTTGATAAAGACTTTGCGGAGAAATAGGGAGAAGTGAGGATCGCCATAGTTTGGTAGGCCCTGCCTCATGCCGACGGCGGGCTGGATTGACCGAGAGAGGTCGTAATCAGCCATTGCATCCGGCGTACCACTCCCCTGGTCTTCATTTTTAGAATTTTCTCGACTCGACATGTCGCTATATCCGCTACCTGTAGCTGTTAGATGTGCAGATATAAAGCTGTAAGATGCCTTTGTCTTGGTGATTGCGTGATCTCGCGCCAAATTGCTCTTGGTGGGGATCAACTCTAATTGTGGAGGCGTCTTTTTTGGCGGATATGTATCCGACTTCAATCTTTTAGCCATGCCTCTCAGCAGTAGCTACGGAACTGCGGTTGATCTCAATCGAATTCCCAATTTACAGGCATGAATTTCATGATTTTTACGAAGATGAGGACTAGCCTTTACAATATTACAGAGTAACCATCTGTTATCACAGCACTCAAAGCAAGTCGTTTATTCTACCGGGTATAAGCCAAATCCGCTATTGGAGTAGGCGACGTTTGTAATGGGTGTCCATAAATCTGAGAACATGCGGATATTAACTCTCATGTATCTCTATGCACTTCAACACACATGAAAACTTCCTCATGTGGTTGTGTCGACTGCAAGCCCGGCAGACCTGGTGCATTCAAAAGGATTATCCAGTCCAGCAAAGATATCGTCTACCAAGTCCTAGCTACTACAGTCTAGTGCAAGTTCTTTATCCACGTATTAATAATGAACTAATTATTGAATCGGCCACTTTTGTCCAGGTATAGCTTCCATCACAATTCCGCAATTAAAACCATAGCCGTCTTTCTAGTATGGATGTGACTTACAGATTCATAATATTACAGGATATTGTTTTAGATCCGAAACTTAACCGCAATTGCGGGGTATTAACAGTATTATTGAATCTTGCTCATGATGCTTCTTCAGTCCAGCTCTCTTCACGCCCCTCTCAAATCGCTATGCAGCCCATTGTTCACGAAATTGATCCAACTGGGGATACTCTGTTCATCCTCCGTAAGCCAGATGCCCCATTTGCAGTGGACAGATCTTTTGTGCAGTGGCCTAGAGCCCTGCCACAATATTGGACGCCTGAAATGCAACAAAATGAACAGCACTTGGCGAACTGTGCGCTAGCCCCGCCACGGACTGTCACCTGGAATCCAGAAATGCATATGCGGCTTTCGTCAAAACATCTTTGTCTGGCCTCTGAGTACTTTCAAAAAATGATGGCCAATGATTGGAGGGAGACCAATGCTGAGAATGGCTACTCCTATACTATAACTGCCGAGGACTGGGATAAAAAGGCGCTTCTTCTCCTAATGAACATAATCCATGGCCAAACACATAAAGTGGATCGATTCATCAACCTTGAGATGCTTGCAAAAATAGCCGTGCTTGTCGATTACTATCAGTGCCATCAGGCAGTCCAGTTCTTTGCAAATTCATGGATCAGTCAACTGAGACAGCCTCTTCCCTCTTCTTACGGACGGGATCTTCTGCTGAGGCTATTTGTGTCCTACGTATTTTCCGAAACCTACACGTTCCATACGCTGACGAAGACCATCATATATGAGAGTAGAGGCTCTATTCATACGTTGGGTTTGCCAATTCCCCAAAAGATGATTGGCAAGTTTCAATAACATCGTACCCTGAATTGATTCCCACTAATATTACTGCAGAGGCCCTTGATGCCAGGAGACAGCAGCTTATTTCTGGGTTCATATCTGATCTTAATGAACTGAAAACCCAACTATTTGATGATACAAAAGAATGCTCCTTTGAATGTTCGTCTATGTCGTTGGGTGCTCTTCTTAAGGGTATGAGCGCGATGGGTCTCCGTGATACACCACCAAGGCCATTCGAAGGGTATAGTGTCTTGGCAATGGAAAAGGCCATCAGTGATATCAAGTTACCGAATTATGACAAGCCACCTAAGCATGACCCTCCTTTCAACAGCTACGGGGGGGGCTTTGCTTTATTTGACAAACCTCGTAGTTGCAGTCTCGTTAATAAGACTCAACCAATCATAAAAAAGCATCTAGATAGTCTGCAAGGATTAAACGTGGTGATTTTTGCACTCACACACAAAAAATGAATGCGCATATATATACTTAGCTCTTTCTAGCCTTGGTATATTTGAGACACTAGCGAATGTACCGACCGATTGATTGTTAGCGGAAGTCGTCGGACCTTCACGATCTAGTTTACTGACATCTCGACAACACATGTAGCTGTTGGAAAGACTTTGCTGTTGACTTGAAGTAGTTCTGTGTGTATTGGAAAAGAAAAAAGAACCGTGTTACCCGCCTAATGGGCAATGAAACGAGTTTCATGGCCAGCCTCTAGGGACTATCACCAATTTTTACCCAATGCCTGGGTGGTGATGCATCACAGCATGTGACCATGTTTATTCAAGTTATCTCCTTAAGATATAGGAAGGGTATGTAGCACACTTGGCTGTACTTCTATTTCAATACGCCGCGAACCACCCCCGATACAACAGCAATATGGAATCGTTTCAAGCGTCATTTAGGACTAAAAGTTATCTACGCACTCTACAATATCCAAGTTCTTGCTAACCAGTCTAACACCCTAGCCCGCCGATTGGCCGCATTACAGATCAACAAGCATCAAGACAAAGCCCACTTTCGGAGATAGAGCAATCAACTACGACTCATGCTGCATATCAAAACAATGGCAAATCCATCCAAATCAAGTAAGAAGTTTGCTGTGGTTCCCTTCATATTTCTGTTAGTCATAACTTCTGAGACCGGCGCTTTCCGTGATGGGTCCAAACGGAGGCAATGAAAAAAAAAAAAAAAAAAACTGCGTACATAGTACACCAGCCGCCGGCCTACCTAATCTAGCTTAATGACATGGTTGTTATTACTATCTCTCCGGCGAAATGGGGCTTCCTCTTTATTACGATTTCCTTCTTAAGAATGGTTTGAAGCGTATTTGCTTAACAATACAGTGTTTTTGATACGACGAAATACTTCTATACCATTTGGAATTGAAAAAAGAATACGAATACGCATCGCCAACTTCATGTCATGGATCCCGTAGGGCGTCAATTCACTAACACCAGAATCCACTTCTCACAGTGGCGTGTCCCGGCAGCTCTCGGCCCCGAAAGTCGAATCCATTTTTTTTTAAATTTAGCTTAAAAAGATGTTAATAAAAGCTCCCCAGTCACCTGTTTCCTAAAAACTGGGAACCTCAATTTGTTTGTGATTTCATTGGCGATCTATTTGCTTTCCTTTGTGCCTTGTACGAGTAGACTTGCAGAATCGCCTGTGCTTAGATATACCCCAAAATGGCAACAGCCGGTTCGTCTCCCCCCGTGCATAACTCCATTGTATTACCCCAGACCATCAACTTTAATGCCATGCACTCCGTATTCCGTTATTCTTCATCATGCACTAACAGTTTGTATATATATATAGCAACACTTACGACTGTCGACCTTTCAATAACTACATACCCCGATGGCGGTCTCCAAGCATGGCTCGTCGTCCTGGGCTCTTGGGCCTGCATGATCCCTTCCATGGGACTTCTCAACACCATGGCTGTGTTGCAAGCGAGATTTTCAGAGAATGAGCTGCGAAACCTGCCAGAATCAACAATTGGCTGGATTCTAAGCAGCTATGCCTTTTTCCTATACTTTTGCGGAGCGCAAGTCGGTATGTAACACCTTTCAGTTTCCTCGTTTGGCATACCTGAATGTCAGTTTCTCATGAAGCAATACAGGAGATACACGAGCATTAGCGAGTGAGATAAGTTGAGATGAGTTTGTTGTTGTTAACAGTACGTCTTTAGGTCCCATCTTCGACGCATATGATGTGAAGTATCTGGTAATCCCAGGGAATATCGGCATTGTCATTTCCATGATGCTGCTTGGGCTATGCAAAGGTCAGTATATCCTCACACACATCTATTCACCTAATCTTCCATCCATCATACTGACGTTAAATCACAGAATTCTACCAATTCTTCCTCTGCTTCGGCCTCCTCGGCGGCGCCTCAGCCTCCCTGCTCTTCAATCCCGCCATCGCCATCATCGGCCACTACTTCGACAAACGCCGTGCTCTCGCCACAGGAATTGCCTGCACTGCCGGTGGTCTTGGAGGTATCATGTTCCCCCTCATCGTCCTTTACCTCACCCCTCAGATTGGCTTCGCCTGGGCTACCCGAATCATCGCCTTTATCTGCCTTGCTATGGGATGCATCTCCGTCTGCCTCATGAAGAAGCGGCTCCCTCATAATAAGAATACTAGCATTCGTCCCGGTAGTGCCATTGATTTCAAGGCCCTTCGCGACCCCAAGTATGCTCTCACAACCCTTGCCGTCTTCCTTGTTGAGTTCGCTGTCTTCATCCCCTACACTTACATCTCCTCTTATGCCATCCACGCCGGCATGCCCACTCAACGAGCATACCTCCTCAACGCTCTCGTCAACGTTGGTGCAATCCCTGGCCGTGCTTTGCCAGGCTATGCTGCCGACCGTTTCGGTGCCTTTAATGTTCTTGCTCTCACATCCACCACATGTGCGGCCCTGATCTTCGCTCTTTGGTACACAGCAGGCACCAATGAGGCTGCCATCTACTCCTTTACCGTGTTGTATGGTTTCTGGTCTGGTGCTGCGATTAGTATTACACCAGTTTGCATCAGCAGAGTGTGCAATATTGAAGACATTGGCAAGCGGACTGGCACAGCCTTTTTCATCGCAAGCTTCGGTGTGCTCATTGGCCTTCCCATTGCGGGCGCCATCTTGAAGGCTGACGGTGGCTCCTATAACGGAGTCATTGTATTTGCAGGTGTTTTCTACGCGGCAACTGTTGTTACCCTTTACTTTGCTCGTGGTGTGGCTGCTGGTTGGGGACTCAAAGTCCTCTTCTAATGATCACAAGGTAGGAACTGGAGTGGGGGTCAGAGATATCTGAGAAAAGTATTTAATCTATCTAGACATTGGTAGCGATGGGCCGGGATGAAAGCGAAAACAGTATTGCCCCAGAGATATGATCCTAGTATACAAAAAGTTAGACATAGACGTTTAGTTATAGAGCCTCCACGCCGTTGCGTGTAATAGAGTAGAATGCCAGAAATTGAGGGTAAAAAAAAAGGAAAAAAGAAACAGAAACATAGCTTTCCAAACAATGCCGTTATTTTAGTGATACACGTGTCCACTTCTTGCGTCGTCCCCTCCCCCCTTGCTTCTCTCCGGTCTCTGCTACCTCTGTTGTCTTTGCCGGCTTCGCCAGCTCTATGGTGTCCAACGGTTCGAGAGTCATGCGCAGGTCTCGTGCCGAATTCTCCCTTTTCGGAGTAGTTTTGGTTACCTTATACTGTGGCCCGAGATTATATGGAAAGCTCTCTTCCTTGATCTAAATGGGAGTCTCCGCCGATACCATGTCATGGCGAATCGGTGGCGGAATCTCAGGCTCTTCCTTCACATACCAGCTACTGCTTGGATTTGGTATGTTATCCACTCTAAGAAGTCTAGTTAGCCTTAGGTCGATGATGGGGTTGACCATAGTCTGTGCACTTACAAATTCCCCTTTCTGTCTCTCTGCGGTTCAGTGAGACGCTGCCAGTCGTATCTAGCCATAGTAGCATACTCAAACAGCGTGCGAACCCCCGATAGTCTATGCCTCTCTCCCATATCTCCCGCCCTCCTACCATTACAGTCAATGGCTTCTTGGGACGCGTCATTCTCCGAAAGTAGGTACAACGTCTCAACGAGACGGTTCTCCAAGTCTGGAGCGCATTGTGCAAGAGCCTCGTGTAAAGGCGTCCGACCTAGGGAATCGACTCTGTTCACGTCAGCGCCCCCTTTCAAGAGGTCGTTAACCACAATATGATATCCAAATCGACAAGCCATATGAAGGGCTGTGCTTCTCGTAGATATGCAAACAATGGGGTTAACACGGCTCATTTTCGATCTCAATTTCGTATACCGTTTCATGCACTGTAATAGAAAAGCCACAAGATCATCGTGACCTTGAGCCATAGCATGAACAACGGGGAGATTGCCCTGCCCATCGGCCTGGAAAATATTTGCCTTTTTCTCCACTAGATCTGATACGACGGAACTGTAGCCACCGGCAGCGGCAATATGGAGAACACGCTGTTCAATTGGAGCACAGGATAGCGACTTCCAACACTCGTGATTGCATTGGTGGTGACGAGAATTTAATGCGATTAGGTTGCAGTCGGCTCCAAAGCGCAGCAATACTTTGACTGTTTGATGCACTTTGGCTTCCCACATAGTACTCTTGGAGTCTTTCTCTGGAGTATTCGGGTCTTCTAGTATCGTGCTCTTGGTGTCCTCTGCTTTAGTATTCTTCGAGTCCGATTGTCCCTTGGCTCTCTTGGATTTCCCTCTTCCTTTAGCATTCTTGAGATTCCTTTCGCTTTGTTTAATGATCTCAGAATCTTTTCCTTCATCATGAGTCTCGCTTTCTTTATCTCCAACTTGATTCAGTATGGAGAATAGCTCGAATTGACTCCACGGGAGTCTCTGCCGTACCGCTATGTGAATCGCTGCGAACCCAAAATCACTGTGAGCATTGGGATCAGCACCTCGGATGAGGAGATATTCAGCCATCCTAGGGAGAGCATAGCTGCATGCGATACGAAGGGCGCCGTCAAGTGCCCCAATCCTATTGCTAAGAGGACGGGCAATGGCGACGTAGAGCGATTTAAGGTCGGGATAAAGAGCTGCGTCTTCGTTGAGATCGGATCCATGCTTGAGAAGCTGAATAGCCACCTTTGGGGCGTCTTGGAGCAGCGCGTAGTGAAGATAAGTGAAACCATTCATCCAAGGGAACAAGCTACGAATATATTAGCTTATGCTCTGAAGGGGGGAATTGAGCTGGAATACTCACCCTCTTAATCGCGAGCCATGTTCTCTAAACATCAACCACTGCATTAAGTTCCTCGAATCGTGCCTGACGGCATGGATGAATACGGATGCGACCGCGTCATCAATTCCCCCTTCCACTATTATCTGATTCTCAAATGCTCTGGTGAAGAGAATATCTGAGATTGCCCAGTAGAGACCGCGGCTACAGCGACTGAGGGAGCTCAAATCGTTTCTGCTAGCCACCTCGCCGAGGATCTGGTTGAAGATTTCGGGTGGGAGGGTATTGAAACCGCTCTCTGCCAGCCTCGCACTCTTTTGCCGCGATTGGCGGGATCGGTTGTTCTTGTGATGGGCCATGACGAAGGATATTGGAGAGTCGCAAAGCCTTGTTGGTGTGGCCAAGTCCTGCTGATGTCGCAAAGTCTTGCTGATATCGCAATGTACTTAATGTGTTGATACAATGAATGTTGTGATTGCTTGACGATGGGGGAGGAAAGAAAATAATGACGAGTGTCGACCAAGAGACGTTTGTTTTGTTGTTGTTCAGAAGCCACAAACCTTAAGACGAAAAGTGCTAGCAGCAGGTTGACCGCCCAACTGGATTCTACCGGTACGAGCAGAAGCCACCATTTTCTCAGGTATTTATCAGTGCAAACGCTGATATGCATATAAATCGATATTCAAGAGCCACCACCTAGGTAGGTAGGTATTGTTTGTCGTGTAATATGCTTTGGAATTGAACTTTTTGTTGGTGAAAAGTGGAGGCAGCGAACAGGTGGCCAGCAAGTGAAGCAGAAGTGAAGCAGATGTGACAAGCTGGAGAGACGCAGAGAAAAAGCAGCTGACACGAATCGAACACGCTACGTGTAGCCAGTAGGCAGACACCTGATCTCTTGAGCTCCAATAGGCGTATACCGCTGCTTTAACTCGTGCTGCCTGTGTGCAACAAACAGCTCCGTTTGCTGTTACAGGTCTGGATTGAAGTCTGTTGACGTATTACACATTCACTATCGCCATTTTGCGGAATACAGACGTCATTTACGTCCAATCCAGTTGAGTCTATCTAAATACCATGTGATCATTTCGGATACTTCATGGCGGCAATTGGTGCATATACCGTTGAGATGTTAAATTGAACCTTGGCTTGCAAATATCACTGCGTAAAGTGAACCTATGGATGAGGCAAATAAGACAACAAAAAGTCTATGCAATGTACTTCTATCTATCTAGCTTAAATACGACCTAACAAAATATAACTTTTGCGCTTCCATGGCCCTTCATGTGCTCCATATGCTCATTAAATCCTTGCACTAACGCCTATCTAACTTCCACACGATAATTTCTCCATCTTGCTCTATCTTTTCCGTTTTCCAAGATAAAAGAAAAGAAAAGAGATATATAGAAAGAAGATGCCCAAAGGGCTGATAAACAGGGGGGAACATCGCCTCAATCATCCGGTATTCACATTTCGTAAGGCGTCTCCTTCCGGATAATGTACACTTCGCCCACAAGAACGGTGCATCCCACAATCATGGTGATTAAAATAATGGGAATATTCACACGGAAAAATTCCATGCTCCCAACGTGAATGTGCTTTTTGGCAAGGATATCGCGCCAGAGCAGGCCAGCAAGCGAAGCGCTGAACGCAGAGCTGAACGCACCATAGTTGACTCCAAGAGCCATGCTGTACACAGTTGCCCAGAATGTCCGGTCGCTGATAGGGATGCCGCTCCTTTGATGAATCTCTTGCCAACTCTGGATAATTCGACAAAGTAATATCGTAGTCCCAATATTTGTTCCCGCAAACTGTAAGTGTGTTAGCTGGCTCATAACTGAATCCGAAGACGGGAATATACATACGTTGCACAGAACAACAGATAGAAAGGCCATGCCCCCTATGGCACCGATTGTCCCTGTTTTGTTTACCCAGTGGTCCCATCCATAAGCAAACACTGGCACCCAGCCCTTTGTAACTAGCCCTTGAACAAGGACAAACATGCAAAAGGCAAACGGGACGAGCGCAAACGGTAGGTGAAGAACGACAGTCGCGGCCGTGGGAAATGTCTCTTGGCACCACCTAAGCGCATCTTGACCCAGAGACATCAAAGTAGCTGGCCCGCGGGGCTGTTGAATGGATGGCAATGATTTTTGATGTCTTTTCTCCACGTCCACCTTGGAGGTGGACACGAAAAGCCTTTCAGGGGGGTAACTTGTGCTAGGTTGTTCCAGAATACTCTTCTCCCGAAGCGAATTCATCTCGCTCTTCGAACTCTGTTGCTCTTGCTTATCCATATCTGCATGTGGTGATAGCATTGAGGGCTCCATATTAGCAGAAGATACCCCACCAATACCGTGATCGCCAGTATCCTCAGTCAAAATAACTGTGGGTGTTGGGACATCGCTACTCGCATGAACAGGTGGTCTCAATGTTGGGTTGCGATGGCCTACACTCTTGTTCTGGGCTGTCGGGAGAGAACCGTTGAGCTCATCAACGAAACTCAGGTCTTGGGGCTGGATTTCTGTAGAGTCAAGTTTTGGAGTGGAAGAGTTTTTCTCACAGTCCGTAGAGTCTTGAAGTTGGGTCTCGGCAGCTGGTGATCGCCTTGTTTCTTCCGCTTGGCGAAAGATTCTTTCAGTACGTGCAGTTTCGAATTCCTGCCTACCCTTTCTTGCAATCTCGCGTGTTTCTTTTCGGTAGTACCATCCAAAACCAAGGTCCCAGCAGAACATGACGAAAGCCGCCGGCAGAGTAACCCAAAACACCGGATGGGCACCGCTCTTGGCGCTTGTGGCATTGAGTGTCAGGACAGTGATCAGGGTAGCAGCCATGATGAGGGTGCCGAATGCCGCTCCACGTTTGTCTAAAAAAGGATTCATAATTTCTTCCAATGACAACAACTGCCCTTTCTCATTATTGGCGAGGTCAGACTCATCCGCATCGGTACGTCCCCTTGAGTGGGGGATGTTGGGGTTGACGGGCTTCTTAGCCTTGACATCCTCCGGAAGCTCATGCATCTGGATCTCGAATGGAATGAGATCCGGGTTCGCAAAGACAAAATAGAGTAAGAAAGGAAATAGAATAATGGCGGTGGCGACAACGGGAACAATCATGTTGGCAGTGTAGTGAATGAATTTGATGTTGAAGGCTCCCGCGAGGACGAGGTTAGTCGGATTGGAAGAAACCAAAATCGCAGATGCGACGTTTGCAATAGCAAACTGAGAATGGATCCATGCTCTGGGATGTATAATGTTTCTTGATACTCGCGTCATGTAAGCTAGGAACGCAGTTCCCGACAAGATAATTGGATCATTTCCAACGAAACTCCCCAAGACGAAGAAGAAGGCATAGAGATAGAAGAACAATCGGTGCCCAAAACTGCCTCCCCATTCAAGGACTTTGAATGCCAGGTATCTGATGAGACCAGAAGCGTCGATGGATATGGCAATGTAGGCCAAGGTGATGAAGAAGACCATGACGTCGATTGGAGAAATGTTGTCGGCGCCAATGGTGCCATCGTGGACTTCCTGTCGGCCAATGGCGAGAATTGCCAGCAGAAATAGATCTGCAATGAAGGGGGCTGTGACAAAGTTCATGGGAAAGTTGAGTCGCACCCAGGGCTTGATCTTGCCATTGTCGTCATCTTCGGCCAGCGGAGGGGAGCGATACTGGCGCTTTGGGATGATTCTCAGAGCCCCGAGAGCATCCAAGAAGAGATCTGAGAGCTTCCTAGGAACGAATATGGGAATATGGAACGGAAACAGGACAATGATATCTGACAAGGTCAGTGATGCGCTGGTGATAAAGTCAAGGCGGTGCTGGTGGCAAATCGACCTACTCGTGAGAACAAATACAATCAGCGTGACGATGGACCGCCAGTCTTTGATCTGGCTTGTCGAAAGAAGATCATCACTGCCCTGTGCCATGTCGACAATGGCCCGCTTCACCGAGCCAGACGATGTCTCGTATCGCTGGCTCAATTTTGGCTGAGCGCCACGAGAGTTTTGATGACGCCGAAGAAAATGATCGAGTCTCACCGCCGCCGTTCCAGGTGGCCCAAAGCTGTAGGGCCTGCCAGTGGCTTCAGGCTCTTTCTTGGCGGCTTCAGTGCACTGAGTCGGCGTGTTGATCGGCGGATACAGGCTTACGAGCCCCGCAAGCAGCGCTGAACAACAACTGAACGGTTCAGTTGTGCTGAGTTCAACTCGTGCTCAACGCATACGCATTGATGTCAACTGCTTTTCCTCCAACCATGGAACGCAATCCAAGTTGTCGAAAGATAGAGAGAAAGCGACTGACCCACCCACCAGTGGCCAGAATGGGAATCAACTGCCTCTTCTTATTCTTCCTTCTCTCGAATCAGCCCGTCCGATCTCGACGAGGCAGTTTCTTGGCCTTCTTGGCTAATGCGACAAGCTTTTTCACGTGCATCTGGCCAGCAGATAGATTGGTACTGCCTTACGAATAGCCTCGCAGGCGTCATAATGCCAACCCTCAAGTGGACTTGGCCAGTGTTTGTCGATCGATTCCGGTTAAATTGATATGCGGCCACGCAATCTTTCTCCAGCGGTACCCAACCGGTCCGCCAAGTTGTCCATATGAAATGCTCCTTGGATGGGGGCGATCTGGTCCCCTGTCCTTGGCTTTGAAGCCATTTACGCGGCCCCCGACGATAACCTCTCAAGTGCGTCAGCTGAGCCTCCAGAAGACAGAGAACGACCATTGGCAGTCATTTAGACTACAGCTCTGATGGGCCCAGTCGTTGACTATCGAATATCGGAGAATATCGCAGACGACTAGGCCCATTAGCTGCTGCCAGCCCGGGCTGTAACCCTCCAGCTTTCGCACCCATGGCTGTCCTTATACCTCATCCAAACTGTTACAGCAGGGAGATCTGTCCGATATCAGTATTCCGTCACCCGGGGCTCTTTCGCTGCCACTAGGTCATATTCTGCCTGGCGGCACGGTGGTGACGATTGACAAGGAAGAATCCTTCCATTGCTTCGCCTCCATCAGCTGCAATCTGGGATTTCATCACCTTGTACGAATTATCAAGTGTGGCGCTAGGTAGTCTTTCAGCTGACTGAATGTGCGGGAGTATTTGGGGAGCCTCATCACAGCGAGGCAGGTTCCATATCTCCATGTCTTTAACGTCTCTTATCACCACCTCATCCCTTGCATCAGGTTCCGCTGTCTTACGCCAGTTATCGGACAAAGTCTGCAGAATTAGTTGACTAAGACGCTTGCCTGTTTGATAGCTGCTGCACGACAACTGCGCACTCGCTTTAGAGCTGCTGCGCCGAATCCATCGGCAAACGTGAAAGACTGATGCCACCTCTTTCCTGGGGCATATCGTTGAGTTATGTGGCTGTCTCTCATAGCAGTAACCTATCGGCCTCTGTTGCATCAGCAAGCAATGCCGTGAACCCCGTCGATGATGGTCTACAAGTCATCTGTGCATGGCCAGTATCTGGCTCATATGGTGCCGGATCGAGAGTCTTGTGAGTACACTGTTCCGTCCAACAGATCGAATCCTCATGGACAAAGAGAAGTTTCGCTTTGTAACCTTGTAAAATATGAACCAACAGATTCTACGTGCTCGTGGTAACCACCGTGTTTGCTCGAAAACTTGATTGGATTAAAAGTGCCGCCTTGTCTACAGCGTTGCCTCTCTCGACAGCGGCAGCAGTTCATGGCATTGTCCTAGCATCTTTGCATCGTGACAGTAAGAGTTAGATACTACTTATGGTCCCTCCACACGGCACAATCGTCCAGACCGTGAGCCCTGGCTAACCGATTCTTAATATTCATCAATATAGCAGCTGTCGACATGGACATATATGGTGCCTTCCAGATGTGCTCACTTGGCACCCTAGTCGTTCCACTGATGATCAAGCTCACCAAGTCGCATGAGTTCTCGACTCATACAGGCCGCCGAATCATGTTTATATGGGCTGGCCTGGTTCTCGCTGGTACGCATTATTACCATTGAATCTATCCTTCGGTTGCTTTCTGTTTGGAATAGGCATATCTCTGATGGATACCGACGACTGACTTTGACTCCCTGACGATATAGGACTTATTTGTCTAGACATTGAATTTTTCCGAGCCCAGACATTTCCTTGCCTTGAGGATGGCCAAGGCAACCCCATGTCTAGCAATCCTAAAAGATTCCCTTACGGTACGAATGTAACATGCAAGTTGACCTGCTCCGAAACAGATGGCCCGTTCTCACCCATACGAATCGGATCTGCAAACAACATTTATAAGATTCCTGCCCCCAATACGCTCACATTCGGCGCGGCAACTCTCGTAGCGGCTGGGTGCTGCATCCATACAATCATCTGGATGGTGGTCATGACAGAGCGTTTCAACACCAGAACCAATAGTTGTGAGACAAATGAGCCAATCTCGGGCACCCAGGCGACCAAAGGTTCCATGAACGATGTAAACCTCATGGTTCACCTTTTTCTTTCCGTAGCGGCGATTCCTGTGTCAGGTTGCGCCGCGGTTGCTATCATTATTGTCAGCGAGATCAATTTCTTCAGTGGCCCAGTCAACTATCAATCCGAGGCTCTAGCGAACATCGGTGAGTATCTCAAGACGTTTCTGCACAATGTCTTCTTCTCTGTAGCATGTAAATGTGTTATTACTATGCTAATTAGTAAGGTCAATGGTCAACTCTAGTTGGAACTGGTTTGGGCGCCTCCGGAGCGCTCTATATTCTCCTTGCCAGAGATATGGAGGCTTCCGAAGGGCGGGTGCTCGATCCGAATGCTGACAGCGATTGTACATACTCCCAAAATCTCTCAAGTGCGATTACTCTAACGTATTTTTATAGTGAAGAATTCACTACGCAATAGAGATCATGGATCCCAGACTACAGGGGACTGGATTGGCAAACCGCCGCAGATTACTCGTGCCACACATACCCCTTTTCGAGATGCAGATAGCAACATCATTTCCCTACCACGCCATCGTTCCCAAGTGAGCAGTTATATGCCAGATACTAGAAACTCGTCATCTCTGCAAAATCTGGTGATGACTCGCTCTCAATTACCCGCACAGCCGCCTTCCCCTCTACCACGGCCTCAGCGAGCAGACACACAGTCGGAAGAGCCCTCATTCAGACGTCGGACTCACAGCCTGCCTCCTCCAGTGTCTAGAGGGAGGGATAAGGTTAGAAGAGATGCACGTGAAATGCCTCCTCCGAGCCATCACAACTCTTTAGAGCTTTATCATCCTGAAGAGGGTATACCTCTGGTAACTATGAGCGGGGGACGGAGGTCGTCATCACGCTCGGGAAGCAATGGCAATAGCGACAATGGCCGTGAGCCAGCTTCTTCCGTTGTCCCAGCTGCGGAGGCATCTGCCATCTCATATCCTGATGCCTCATAACCACCATAATACTACACTTACATCGGACGATATCCAGACAGAGACCAAGTCAACCACACTGCGATTTATAAACACAATAGACTTTGGCAACAGTTTCATTTCCCGTCTTCTAATGAAAATATAACATTATTCGCCCATTTAATGAACAATGAATATAGACAAAGATATCCCAAGTTAAATAAATTTATGGTACTCTTCGCCCCATCACATGTCATGATTCTCCATCGTCGTCATTGGCTAGCCTCTTTTTGTCGATCGCGCTCACCGACGTCATACCTCCAACACCAAGTCATCACTACTAAACGTCACCAACGCAGCACTTTAGAATAAAAGACAAAACAAGATTTGCCCAAAATTCGAACCGAATTGGCTTCTTCCGTAATCATGGTTGCCATCCCTTCGCTGCATTGGCCATTTCCATTTTAAACTCTGCTGTACCTGCATCTTCATCTTCCCACGTTTTGCCACCCCTGGCACATGGAATTTGCAGCTTCTCACCAGCTCTCCAACCATCACCATATTTTCTACCCTTGACCAATATAGAAAATATTCCAAAAAATGGACGTCCTCCTCTCGGTACCGATATTCTCATACCTCCTCGGCCCAACCCTCACCTCCTGGTCGACATCTCTCAATCTCCTCTTCTTCTACATGACCTGGTCCACGCTCGTGCTCTCTCAGCCACCCATCGTTGTTCACATAACCGGCATCCTTGCTATTCGAATAGTCTTCTTCCTAATACCGTCTCTCCTCACACTCTTCTTCGACGTCTCCCTCCCCAGCCTTGCAGAAGGCATTAAACATGGCGGTCGAAGCGCTTTACCTCCCCGCGATGCCAAATCCTTGGCTAAGCTCATGGGCCTAGTCCTCTTAAATCTCGTCATCCTCACCGCAGTCGAAGCCGGCATAAGCTTCGCGTTCATATTCTTCCTCAAGCAACCCGTCTTCAAAACAACTACAACTCTCCCCCTCCCATGGCAAATCTTCAAGCACCTCCTCATCCTTCTCTCCGCCCGCGAAACCCTCTTATATGCCATCCACCGCTTCATCCTCCACGGGAAATCATATCGCTGGCTCTCCCAACGCCACAAAAACTACGCTCACGCAAAGGCCGGCGCGCCATTCAGCATGCGTCTCCTCGCCGACCATCCCCTGCCACTCCTTTTCTACCGCTTTATCCCACTATTTCTCCCGGCCATCATCCTACGACCCCATATTCTTACGTACTTCTTCGTCTTCACGCTCTGCACCGGCGAGGAAACCCTCGCCATGTCCGGATACACGATTGTCCCCGGCATCATCATGGGCGGCATCGTGCAACGCACGGCCATTCACTACGCAGGGAAAGGGACGTCGAATTATGGTTCATGGGGAATTTTGGATTGGATCAATGGGACAAGTCGAGGCAGGGATGTACTTGAAGATGTGAAGCAAGAGGCGGAGAAGCATCACTTGCAGGAGCGGTCTGCGAAGAAAGTTGACGAGGGGGCGGGAGCAGTACAACAGGGGTTGGGGAGTTTGAGAGAGGGGATGAGGACACGAAGAGGGGGGAGGAAGAAGGTATCTCGTTAATACTACAAGAGAATTAGTGCCATTAGTGTTGATATAAGTATTTTTGATACCATTGCGAATGATGAATGTTAATTGACGATGTTATCACAAGGCTATGTTTTTATGACAGTTCACCAGACTTACTCATTCTGAATAGTCAAGCCAGGTGAGACACAAATGATTGTGAGATAAAGAAGTAAAATCAATGCGATAGTCATATATTAAAAAAAAAAAATAGCTGCTAAGCAAGGTCCTGGGAACATAAATCAACAAGTTAACCCTCATAGACACCAAGAAATAAACCCCGATTTTGAAGTAGGATGAAAACAAAGGTACATGACAAGAACCATGACTTTATCCCACGAAGCTGGGACTGCCAATTCAGATACTGTGTCATTATCAATGCACCCAAAGACTGCATAATCATACATCGCGAAATCATCCAGTGCAGCCCCATCGCTTCCACGCGCCATTTCTACGGATTCCTACTCCTGCCTTCCCTTTACTTGAGGTCCTAGACCCCGAAGGCATAAAAAAGATATGCTCTTTAAGTGTCGAGCAATATGGGCGGCAATTTTCGAATTGGTTTTGCTCATCTTCTCTTCACTCTGTAGTTCTCCCGAATTGGTGTTGCTCGTCTTCTCTTCACTCTCTAGTTCTCCCCCAGCCTCGTCAGCCCACCGAACCCTTTTTTTGGGACGTTTGCCATTCTCGACTTTCGACTGCTGCGCTGCGGGTTCCGGATCATCGACGGATTCCTCACACAGCGGACAGATGTCCGGGGCTCTGGGCAGAGCAATTTTGCAGTGGTCTACAATGAGCTGTAAGTCGCTCTGATCGAGGTATTCCTCCGAGTGATCAATCTCGAGATGCTTTCGAAGTGAATCCTGGTCCGCGAACAAAGTATTGTGTGCCTTCGAGAGTGCACATCTCCATTCGCTCTTTTTCGCATAAATAAACCGAGGCCAGTCTTGCCCGTGCTCTGAGCACATATGCTTCATCCAAGAGTCAAAGGTTTTGAAGTAGCAGAGAGGCTTTTTACATTTATCAGAGAGGCAGATATAATGCTCCATATCGTAATCCACGTGTTTCCTATGATGACTTGTTAGCTGGGCCTCTCCAATATTCGGTTTGCTAAACACGTACTCCCACCACTTTGGATCTTTATTGCCCACAACTTGTAGGTCTTGGAAACAAAACTGACACACACCAAATTTAGAAGCACCTTCGGCTTTTGGAGGCTCAGGGTAGTTGTATTCAGTCTCCCCGCTCCATGGGGATGCCCCTGGGAAGACAGTTGGAGCTTGTCGTTCACCTCTATCATCTCACTGATCAACCCAATCCTCTTCCAAGATCGTTGTATTAGTGACGCAGGCTAGCTCATCATCTGGAGCATTTTCGTATTGATGCAGACTTTGATTCTGAAGTTTATGCTGCTTCGCTTGGTCCGCTTTGATGGGACGCTGCTCCTCCAACCGGCCTTTCCCAGCTTTAGACATCGAATTTAGCAGCCCCACAACTTCAGTTGCAATCAAACATCGGGCTTGAATCAATTTCGCGTTATTATGGCGCTGGTACAATAGTCGATGGCGGCGAAATACAACACTTTTGGTTAACTTCGTGATCAGTCTGTCTTCAGCTTTTGGAAACTTGGACTTTAAGATCAGCGAAGTCATGTCTTCGAAACCATCTCTCGGAAGTTGCTTTGCAAAATAGATGATTCTCTCCGCGGGACTTGAATAATCCGTTGGAGGCGCTCTAATACTAACGGAAAGGCGGTATAGTCTGTCGATAGATCCGACGATGCCTGCCATGGCGCCTGTTACTCTCCCCGAAAGCAACAACTGAGGACCATCATTCGAGCTGGTATTGCCGGTTCTGTTGAGGGAAGTGCTGCATTGCTCAAGCAATCTTTCCCAATGACTGTTTACCACTGCGATTTGAATTGGATTAATATGCTTTAAAAGAAGAAAAGTGTGTCGTTGGAGAATTACATTGGCACAAGTCCTTGTGGAGAACATCTAGCATCTCTATCACGAGGTCTCGAACCTCGGGCTTTATTATCAATTGAGTGTCCAAGCTGGCACTCTTGTGAGCGAATACGCTATGGTTTTGTGCCCATAATAGAAACCGCCACTTATTTGTAGAAATCGTCTCTTTGAGCTGATTCTCAGGCTGTCGGGCAAACTTTTTAAATTGGAAGAGGCATTGTTTGGCGATGGTGTAGATTGGTCCTCTGCCATAGGTGGTATCCTTTTCAGGCGCGTGAACTGGTCAGTATTTTGGAAAATGTATATATAAGCAAAAAGAGCCTGGGTTCAAACTTACTTCGTCCATACTCTTGTTGGGAGACATGGTAAAGCCAATCGAGCTTCTATCGCAAGTCGATGCGTCTTGAACAGTGTCATCAGCATACCAAGGAGGACATGCCGTTATATATCTTACCATTTGGAGAACAGTTTGTCAAAGGAGAGGCTCGAAGTGGCTCTCCTTTCATCATCAAAGGATTCAGAAGCTTTCTTTCCATAATCAAAGGGAAAAGAAACTTTCCCTCCGTCAAAGAAAAACGCAGCTTTCCCTTTGTTAATGGGCAATAATGTCAACACTGCCACCACAATCACTACTAGGGATGTTACATCATTCTCAAATACATTACATTACCCAATCATAATACACTCAGCTACAGCACTACAAAGCGATGTACTGGTATTAGCATCATCATGGCTTACATGGTACAACTCGAGCTGGACAATAAAGAACCCTGACTACGTGGGCGGTGTCTGGTCATCGAGGGGTTCTTACAGAATTTGTAGATGAATAGCATAAAGAACCAAGGGTCGGGCATATTTCACATTCATCTGACAGTATCTCATAGGTTGATGCCGACGAGAAAGTTACATACTGTGCCAAAGCCAGGAGTAAGAGGCTTCCTGATAGTATATAGACCGCTCAAGTTCAAGCACACAAAGACGCACGGTCTCCAGTGCAATTCGTGAAATCACAATGATTGGGAATACTATATTCTCCAGAGCTTCTTTGGTCAGCTGCTGGTGGAGCCCCTCCAATCAGAATACAAGTATCGTTCGGTCGCTCTATTATTTAACACTCGAGAAGTTTCAATCTGTAAAGGGTGAAAAGTTAACAATGGAAATAAGGAAATGGAAGAGAACGAGCAAGTGGTAGATGGGGAGGAGATTTGGGTTACCCCCGTTTAACATAAACGCCGATTCTAGCAGCTATATATCAATGCAGCCTCCCAACCATGCATTAGTTGTCCTCCTCTTGAATGCTGTCCCTCTAGTAAGTCTATAACACTTACTCCGCGACATAAACGCCAATGATTGCCGCCCGTATATATGTATCCCCAACAATCCCAAACAACCCCAGGTGAAAAGTAAAAAAAAGTAATCACCTCATCTAGAAAATCCATGTATCCAGATGTATCCAATCCATGTATGATGCCAATATCTCGTTCCCAGTTTCACCAACCATTCTTCTTCTTGAACCAAGCCAGCGTCTCCAGGCCGCTCTGCGCCCTCATGCCAATCCTGGTATCCAAAACATACGCCTCCCATACCTTGACCTTGTTGATTTGCTCATCGCACTCAGTCATCTTCTTTCGTCTGTACTCGAGTATTTCCTTGTCCTCGCCCTCGGGAGGGTTGCAGCATTCAGCCCACGCAATGGCGCCCAATTCGTAAATTGCTGCTGGCAGGACATAGTCATCCTTAGACACTCCTTTGTAGACAGATCTGTAACCTCATTAGCATGCTTTTCTTCCCCTTAATACTTGAAAGAGTTCAACGTACCGATCGTGGGCAACAACCTTCTCCTGCAACAACGCCCTCGCCTCATCCAGCTTGCCCGCACCTCTCAGCAGCGATGCCCTGCATACAGCCCAAACAGCCATCTCGTCCTTTTCAGCCTGAATCTTGGCGACAACTTCCTTGCTCGCCGTGCATCTCTCCCACTTCAAGAAGTCAAGTCCCCCCTCCAATTGTTCCGTGCCCATACGCTTCTGTCCGTTCCACACATAGCACATCTCGAGAGCAGGACTGGAGCCGATAGCATCCGCCAGGTCAACACTCAGAGCCTTGGCCCGGTCCTCCCACTTCTGAATCTTGCGCTGCAAAAACGTTTCCAGGGGCAGTTGACGGGCCATCAAGCGCTTCTTGCCAATCACGGTTGGGGCCTTGCGGAAGAACTCCTCAGCCTTGTTCTTTTGCCGCCTCGCCTCATCTTTGTCGCCAGAGTGGAAAGCATTTCGGTACAGCTCCAAAGATGCACTACCAGCCATGTAGTAGTACAATGATGGACTCCAGTCGTTCACCTCGAGGCATTTCAGGAATGAGCTGCGCATCAGCTCCCAGTCGTAAGAAAACATACCGTTCAGTGACAGCTCAAAGTTGTTTAGGGCAGCCACCTGCTTCATTTTCGACTCCTTGCCCGTCTTGAGCAGATCCAACGCTTCGGTAATCTTGCGCTCGTTGGCAAGCATTCTCGACTCTTCCACTCGCCATAATCGTGAATCGGGATATCGCGCTCTCATATTGGCCAGGAGCTGTTCGCACTTTTCGATGGGTGGTCCAACGGCCTCGGCATCTTCGTCATAATCCTTCTGATGGGGGAGAATATCCGCAGCCCCCAGCAGGCCATTGTAGTATACTAGCAACATCATACCAGCAACGGCGCCGTTGATGTTGGAATGTACCGCTGACTTCCACAGCATTTTGACGGCTCGAGAACGATCTCCGTGGAAACCGACAACGGAGAGAATGCGTGAGAAAGCAGGAGGAATGAGACTGAGGATGAGCAAGAGAACTCCAAAACACATGTTAGCTCCAGAGTGGATGAACTTGTCGACAGGGTTGCCCAGCTCCAGATCTGAGCCGCTCAGATCAGAGTCTTTAGACTGCAGACTCAACTTGGACGTATCCTCCAGGTTGCCGAGGTTCAGCTTTTCCAGTTGCTGGGCTGTTGATGTGGGCGATGTAAGCGATGTGGGCGATGTATCGGCCTGATCGCTGGGGGTCTGCTGCCCAGACAGGCTCTCGCTGCCTTCGGCGGAAGCTTCCGGGTCACTGCCATTGGATGTGCTCGCATTCGATTCCGGCCAGGATGCATCGCTAGTCGAGGTGCTCCCTACCAGTGACATCCGCGAGGAGCCCGGGGTCACCTTGCCAAAGATCTTTTCCTCAGACGCCACGATGGCATCCAGCGTCAGAAACGCCTTTCGCAGCTTATAAAAGCTCTTCATGGCCTCCACCAAGCTCTCGTGCAGCACGCCGACAACGGCTCCCATCAGCTGCGTCTCAGCAATAATCAGTTCGTACTCGGTGCCAGGCGGATAGAGCTGACTGCTATTGTAAGCAGCCCCGTGCTTCTGCGCCCGTTTAAGATCGGCCCAGGCCCGATTCTCGCACTCATTGAGTCTCGCAGTCGCCTCGGTCATGACCTGCTTCTCAAAGCCCAGGACGGAGCGCATGAAGAAGGCCACGGCGGATCCCATTTCGTGGAATGAAGAATCGCCCAGCTGCAGCTTTTCCCAGGCGCCGTCGATGTCGTCGTTCATGATTAGCTCGACCCATTTCATGGCCTCCACCAGATTCTCCTTTTCCTTGGCGATGCTGTCGATGGGCGACAGACTTGTGTCGGAGCCATTTTGGACCTTTCCGCCTGAGCGGAACCAGCCGGCCAGACGACTCATGGCGGAACCGGATTCGCGGTGGTGCTGTTGTCGTTGTTGTTGATGTTAAGATGACGGCGGTAGTGAGAGGAGAGGAGAGGGCCGTATGAATATAAGATAAGACGAGATGAGATGGCCCAGGCCGGTTGAGGCTGACAGCAAGGATTCGTATGCAAACCCTTCCCTCTTGCCTGCTCTGCCGGGTACCTTTCCAAGGGGGATGGTGGCTCAGCTAAATACTCGGTGACGAGGCCACGAGAGAGCGGGTGACAGGTGATAGGGCACAATTGCGTCGACTAACAAACCCGCATAAAGACGCCAAAAAAATAATAGGAAAAAAAAAACGACGCTTATGCCATGCAAGCACCCCTCGCCAGTCAGTTTCACGCTCGATTTGCCGGCCGATGTTCCATAGAGCAGTGCCCAATCTCAATGGACAGAGGGAGACTCGGAAAGAAGAAGATCTCTTTGTTTTACAAGCCGTCGAAGAGGAGGCAATGGAAGGAGGTTGTATGAATAAGAGAAAGTAGGTACCTATGAGAGATAAAAAAAAAAAAAACTATACTTCAATGATTCAAGTTTTGGCCGTGGGGACCCCGAAAAAACAAGGGCCCGCCGCGCTGACTTGGTGCAGGTACAGCTCAATATTTAATCGGAACCAGGCTCGCCTTTGTCCAGATTCTGCCTTTATTTTCTCTCAGTCCTACCCTACCTAGTCCCTGTCCTGTACTCCGGACTGCAATTCCTTTCTCCAGGCCCTCGCGCCGCTCGGTAAAGCGCTCAGGCCGAGAAAACCTGGAGCCTTACCCGCGCTCTGCGGCATTTCGGAGCAAACACCCACTAGTCCGTTAAGCCCAGCTGACAGATGTCATTGATGCCAAAGGACTTAACGTCTACAATCCGTCGTCTCACTGCACTGTATACCTTTAACGAGATACGGAGTTTTCTACCACACCGTAACTTGACATTCTGCTCGATTGGCAGAAAAGAATTGTAGCAATTAAAACCAAAAAATATGTATTAGTTAGCCGCCGCATCCGTAACGGAAAATAAAAAATAAAAAAAGATTAACGCAATCCATCCCATTTCGACCCAATGGGAATACATTGCCACTTGCATCTCTTATGTCCATTTGTTTCTGCTCAATCAGACCCCTAAAACGCCCCACGATGGCGCTGCTAAAGTCCGCTGGCGCCTGTCTGGTCCCCCCGAAAGCGGCAAAAACGGTAAGCGCTCAGGCACCTTCGGAACTAACACACAGCAATAACATCATTGACTGATTGAAGAGTACCTCCTAACCTACAGGCTTACGGAAGACACTGAGCTCACCCCGGACCCAGCGTTCTTCCGCACCGGGCCGCCTTACTGGATCAAGGCTCCATGTTCCTCTCCTAGGAAACCGCAGCTATTCGTCACGCAGCCGACATCACCAGCGCCAGCCATTGCCAATCCTTGCAACAACAAACAACGCCAACACCGCGCCTCGACCATCTTCCCTCTCCCTCTGTGCACCGCATCAAGTCACTCTACTTCACAGCATCACCGCCATCGTCGCCTCCAGCTTGTCCATCCTCCACGGCCAAGCATCAACCCCCCCCCTCGCAAGCGCATATCCCATCCAGCGCTAGGCTGAGAGCTCGCCGCATCATCACCCTCCAAACATGGCTTCCACCACCACAGAGCCCAAGGTCACCGAGCCTGAACAGTCCACCACAAATGAGCAGCAGAAGCCCGAGCAGAAGCACCTGGCCCTAGGCGAAGACGACGAATTCGAAGACTTTCCCATCGACGGTACTTGCCATCCCTCTCTCTCTCTCTCTCCAACTCCCCTTTCCCTCCCCCCAGCACTCTCTACTCTCCCTCTTCCAATCACGACGACAACAGCAATAATACATGAAGAAGTGAATCTAATCAACCCATCTTTTACACACAACAGACTGGCCCGCCGACCAAACCGAAGCCGCCCAGCGCAACGGCGAAACCAAGCACCTGTGGGAGGAGAGCTGGGACGACGACGACACAAGCGATGACTTTTCGAATCAGCTCAAGTGGGTGGTTGGCTCTCTCCTAGTTTCTACCCTGCTCCTCACAGCGCTGTCGCTCGACTTTCGTCCCCGTCGCCGCTTCCGTTGAGCATTGTTGATCTTGCCTTTTTCTCCTTTTTTCTTGCTGTTGCCGTTGTTTCGTCACCGCTGCTATATTACTCTAGGCCGAATGCCTACTTAATGTCTTGTTTGAGATGGGATACATATACATACATGTTCATATAATGTTGCTTTTTCTTTTTCTTATTTTCTTTTTTCAAGTTTGCTACTTCTCTGCTTTTTTGTTACATTCCTTATGAGCACACGGATCCTGACGTGTTTCTTTTCATAGGGAAGAGCTGAAAAAGGTTGAGGCGGCCAAGCGGAGGTGAAGTCGAGGAGGGGGAGAACCACGAGGACATCGATCGGGGCGAACCAAATCACGTCATGGGCATATATGGAACGCTAGGCATATAGATTGGGTCTTCAAATCCAAAGAATAAAAAAAAAAGGCATTACTGGGTCCATTACATCTGTCTCATTTGCTCCAATATACTTGAATAGTCTGTGCATTTACATTCAATCACAGTATGATAAATGAAACGATAGGCTTTGCGTGCTATTAACAATGTTTTATTTTCCTTGAGGCCACTCTGGTATATATGTAGTTTTTCTCGTTAGAGACGGGATGCTCCGGTCCGACCTTTTGATGCCAATTCCCTCCCGTCATCATCTTGTTCCTTTCGCGCTTTCAATCCGTGATAGTGTGTAATTTACTTACTAGACAGAGCAGTAACACCAGGGAGCTCCTTGCCCTCCAACAGCTCCAAGCTGGCACCACCACCAGTGGAGACGTGGCTCAGCTGGTCCTCAACGCCGTACTTGGCAGCAACAGTGGCGGTATCACCACCACCAATGATGACAATCTTGCCGTTCTTGCAGCCCTCGACAGCAGCGTCGAGAGTGGCCTTGGTGCCCTTGGCGAACTTCTCAAACTCGAAGACACCAGCAGGGCCGTTCCACAGGATGGTCTTGGCCTCGGCGATGGCCTCCTTGTACAGCTCAATGGACTTCTCACCGCAGTCGAGGCCCATCCAGCCGTCGGGGATACCAGACTCGTCGGTGGCGGTGCCAGTGTTGGCATCCTTGTCGAACTTGTCGGCAGTGATGTAGTCGACGGGCAGGACCAGCTTGACGCCCTTGGCCTTGGCCTTCTCGACCAGCTGAGGAACAGTCTTGGCGCCGGCCTCATCGAAGAGAGAAGTGCCGATGGGGATGTTGTTGAGGACCTTCTTGAAGGTGAAGGCCATGCCACCGCAGACGATGAGGGTGTCGACCTTGTCAAGCAGGTTGTCGATGAGCTGAATCTTGTCAGAGACCTTGGCACCACCGAGGATGGCAAGGAAAGGTCGCTGAGGAGACTCAAGAGCCTTGGCAAAGTAGTCGAGCTCCTTCTTCATGAGGAAACCAGCAGCCTTCTGGGGCAGGTCAACGCCAACCATGGAAGAGTGAGCACGATGGGCAGTGCCGAAGGCATCGTCTAGTTGTCACAAAATTAGTCGTCTGTCAAAAGGCATGGAATGACATCATGGTTAACAGTTTGTACTTACTGACGTAAACATCACCCAGAGCGGTCAGGCCCTTGCGGAACTCCTCAACCTTGGCCTTGTCAGCCTTGGTCTTGTTGCCCTCCTTGTCCTTGGCGCTGCCCTCCTCCTCAATGTGGAATCGGAGGTTCTCCAGCAGGATAACAGCGCCGTTGTCGGCGCCGTTGACAATGGCCTCGACGTCGGGGCCGACGCAGTCAGGGGCAAAGGTGACGGACTTGCCCAGGAGGCGCTCGAGCTCAGGGACAACGGGCTGGAGGGAGTACTTGGCGTTAACGGCACCATTGGGACGTCCAAGGTGGGACATCAGGATGACGGCCTTGGCGCCATTGTCGAGGGCGTGCTTGATGGTAGGGATGGCACCGACAATGCGCTGGTTGTTGGTGATCTTCTTGTTCTCGTCGAGGGGGACGTTGAAGTCGACCTGTGCATCGCGGCAACGCAGCGCGTTAGTCAAGTACGGAGTAGAGCTTCGTATTTAGATTCATGGTATTCAATTGCTGCATCTCATCTCCAACACCTTTCTCCTCTCTACAGGGCAGAGCAGAGCTTTGACGCCCATGCTCGAGCTCCCCATTCATCGGAGCAGCAGCAAAACCCCTCCATGCAATGCAATGGCGGGGCAATTCGGACTCACCCGGATCAGGACCCTCTTGCCCTTGACGTCGACGTCAGTGATGGACAGCTTGCTGGAGAGAGACATTTTGACAGGAAATTGGCGTGTCGAGCGAAACAAGAGTCGCGCTGCTAGGAAAATCGTGGTGAAGAAGAAAGAAAGAGAGTTTTGCTCCGGCAAATCAATCCAGCGAGAGATGCTTGGAGAAAAAGAAAAAGCACGCACAAAGCAAGCAAGCTGCGATAGGCAGATAGAGGGGGGAGGTGGGGTTCTGCTCCCTGGTTGAGCAATAGATTACAGCAATCGATTGATCAATACAGGGAGCTGTGGTGGGGGCCTTTCAGCATCGCAGCACCCTCCAGCCCTCCAGCCGTCGTCCATCCACTTCCATCCACCCATCACTTCCAGCTCGACCACGCCAGAGTGACGTGAGCTTCATTCGACGGTAAAAATCACGCGCAAGGTGCCGCCATCATCACCTGCGAATTGTTATGCAGCAGGATTGGATTGGCGTCAGGCCATGTTATCACTTCATACGCCAGGTTGATATGATATCCAATCTCAGGAACCTCTTACTAAGTAAGGATGCCCGTAGATTCCTTGTCCCCAATGCGGTATATTCACATGCTAGACTCCGCCGTACTCTAACATTCACCAAGCTGCCGTTGGACAAAATGTACAGCCGTGTATAATTGTATCATTGCATGTCTGGTTACTTACCTTGGTACTAAGTTATCCATCCTTTAGTGGTAGCTGTTATACAAAATGTTTGAGCGACAACCTCCCGATTCATCGCGATTCCAACATGACAGCAACACGACATAACCAAAGGAACATGGTTGAAACTCCAAACGCCAGTGCCTCTTGTGTAGACCCTCAAGCGCAGTAAAAACCGCATCCTGGACCTCATAGCCACCTTGCTCGAATCTCTCTTCCATCCGTTTCCGTCCAGTGATGCCAAATCCAGGTTCAAGGACTCCAGATCCGGCTATTGGGTTAACACGCACCCGTCTGCTAACCCCCGTTTCTCAACATACGACCCTGTGGCGCTGTTCGTATACCACGAATGTTGCGTTGTAGTATCTTGGTGGTACGTCTCTTCTCGCGTCTCGCTTCAATCGGACGCATTGGTCAGGGAGAGATAGGCGGTCCACGCAATACCAACAGTCGAGACAAACGGCTAAGACCCAGTATTAGTTTCCATCCATCAACATTAGAATACTATGCGCAAGTAGCACTCACCAGTTGGAATTGCACTGGCATCAGGCGAAAGTTGATAACCTGCACCGCGGGCCACACGACGTAGTTGGCCTTGAGCGTAGGGACATACATCTCTCGTAGCTTATGAGCAACCGCGCGGCGGCCGCCTCCCTCGGCAATGGTCATGGCCGTGAAGAAGACACCCACACCAAATGGCGCAAAGACGAGTTGATCAAAGGCAACTCGCTTCATGGCAGGCACAAATGCGCTTCCTTTGGTGATGGGAAAGACCTTTTCAAGCAGCTTAAACCATCTAAACTGCACAGGAGCCATGCAAAAACCGTACGCCATGAACCGCGTAAGTCGTTCAAAGTCGAACGGCGGAGGCAGGCTCTTTGAGTCGGGGATGAGATCGTGGTCGAAGAAGGGGTTCTTTTCGTCCAACTCGTGGATCTCAATGGCAAAGGTATCGTCCTTGGTTATTCCTCCCGGCTTTCGGAGGGCTCGCTCGCGCACAGAAGTGATGGTTTGCGCTACGGTATCGGCGATGCCACCAAGGATCGAATTGGTGACCATCATGGTCAAGACTGCGAGGGCAATTGGTCAGTTGGTGCATTGGGGATGCTGATGAACTCGTGGGGTCATTGATCGTGGGGACGTACGAGGTCGTTCATTATAGTACGAATTGAATCGCGCCGTCAGCCGGGCAACGAGGGCCATTTCGATGAGCAGGATGACAGTGTGGAGTAGAGGCTGTTTGTCGAGCACGGAAAGCAGTCAGTCAATGATTGAGCCAGTCAGATGTAATTTTCAGTCAAGTGTAGGAGTTTAAAGATGAAGATGAATGCGAGGGTGGCAGCACAAGGAATGGAGAGTAAATCATGTTCCGTCTCTGGCTGGCTGGCTGGCTGGCTGGCTGGCTGGCTGGCTGGGGCACGTACCAAACGTCCATAGATGAATTTGCTGTTGACGGCACGGACAAACCGTCGGCGGTTGAGTTCCCAGGTCATGATGCCAGAAGAAAAGGATCAAATCAAATAGCAAGTAGAGACAAGAGTCGCTTTATCGCAGCCCCGTTGCCAAGTGGATCTGGAGTTGGCTCGATGACGACACCAGGCCCGATTCGCACCAACAGAAAACCTCCGAGCGGCTGCGCCTGTGACGCTGCTGGGGGAGGGAGATCCGCTTGCTGGAGGGCCTTGGAAGCGGGAATATTCCAGCGGGTTTTAGGCGCTGTAAGATCGAGAGCAGCGGATATTGCGGGCAGCTGAGCGGAGGGGAATAGGCCAATGTACAGTATGCAGGGTGGGAAAAGGGAAGAGAGGAAAAAGAAAAAAAGAGGATAAAAAGGATGAAATGGATGGAGGGTCTGAGGGAATGGCCGTCTCGTGTCTCGTGCCTCTTCCCCACGTTTGTCATGGCCTCGTCGTCGTAATACAGCGCCGCACGGTACTCAGTACAAGGCCCAAGGCGCCACCATCTCTATTATTCCCCGTACCGATAACCCTTCAGCCCAGTGCTGCCACTAACGGCGATGCTACTTGATTCATTCCCGCCATGGCTTGCAGGAGGCGACTTTGACGCCTTTTGTGTCTCCCTTGCATTTACGGCAAACAGCGAGCAATACATATAGAAGGTCGTTGTACGATTGAATGCTCATTTCTCAATGATTGCGTATGCTCATAGTCTGTTCTGAAGCACTCACACAAAAAGGCCGCGCGCCAGCCATGCCGAGATCTGCAGATCTGCATGTAGTAATCCTACCAAGCCTCGTATTACTCTCCATACATGATTACATGTCTTAGAATACTGTACTATTGCTTCAGTAATTATCACTTGATAAAAACAAAACGGCACTTGGATACACCTCGTCGAGGAGAAGAACAGGCTTCCATTGCCACATCAAAATCGACAACGACCTCGCTATTGACATCTTCCATCTCGTATAGGCTGTAAACGTGAGCTTGGGCCATATGCACAGGCTCTCTAAGGCTAGCTGTACCCCGTTAAGCATCGCCAGCAATTACGATTAAGGCAAGCAAATATACTATGTAAGTCTCATTCATCTCTAAGTTAATATGTTATATTCAGGGAAAAAAAGATTTATCCTCCTCTTGATCATGTACCTCATCAAGATACGCAAATAGGATACATGTATCTTTACATGTCGGTTAAGCTGGGTTACAGTGACACCACCATTTCGTAACCTCAATCGGTGGCCAACAGCCCAGCAAGTGGCATCATTTTCAAGTCATAATATAAATCCAAAAGTATATAGGCAATCAGGGTTAAATATTGATGAACTTGGTGCTATGGAGGTGTTTTATACTTCAGGCCTGCTTAGATTTCCACTCCACTCCATCTCTCTTCTTTCAAATAATTACTTTTAGACATGTACTCCGTAGATAGGCTTTATTACGAATGTCAGACAAGTTGTTGGCAACTCATATGGAAATCCTCCATGAATTTCCCGGACCTTCTCCTGGAATTTCCCGGTGTTACACAGCCTGCTGCCCCCTCTCCCCATATCTGCCTACCTACCTACCTACCTACCTTTCACATCCATATCATTAAACAGTCCCCTCTCTGTTCAAACATTCTCCCCTCATCTTTCAACATCTTCCCTCTCGTTCTAAGCATCTCCTCCCCGCCCTTATACCCTTTCTCATCATGAGCAATCGAGACGTCTCCCCCGACGACAGTTTGCTGAAGCACATCTTCAATGAAAAGCCTTCGACCTCCATCTTTCTCCAGGATTGGGACAAGTGTGTTTTCAAGGCGGATTTTGGAGTTGCAAACGCGCTCGACGATAACGTTCGACCATCGTGCGTAGTCCGGCTCGAGGCCGAAGATGCGCACCTTGCCTCCTTTGGCACCATTGCTGCCATGCAGCAAATCGCTGCTGATTGCATACCCGGCCTTGTGCCCAAGATTCTCCAAGTAGGCATCGCCGCGAATGAACAAGGGCGACGATTTCAATTTTGTGTCATGGAGCTTGCTGAGGGAGTAACGCTGCACGATGCTTGGGATCAGATGACAAGCGACAACCAGAGCTCTATTGTGAACGAACTTGTAGAGGCGTTACAGAAGTTGCACGCGGTACGACTTTCGGATGATATCGTTCAAAACACTCTACGTCGAGCACTTGGAGATCAAGAGGCAAAGGTTCTGGATAAAATGGTGATGGGAGGACCTTTGGCAGGGTTCGTCCACGACGGCCACGCTCTTCTGACGGGCATATTGCAAAGGCGAAGCCTCAGGAAGCCCTTCTGCGATGTCAGATCTACTGCAGACCCAGATCCCAAGGACCTCATAGTTCAATCGATTTTCGAGCATCTTGGTTCAGCTACTGTCAAAGAAGCAGACATGGAAAACTGGGCAACTGAGGCCGTCTTTTGTCACAACGACCTCACTCCTCGCAATCTCCTTGTGAGATCAGTCCAAAATTCGGATAATCAAGCAGAGCCGAGATATAAGCTCTCTGCCATAATTGATTGGGAACTGGCTGGCTTCTACCCCCCATCCTACGAACTGAGCCTCCAAGATACATATCTAGGTGGTGGCAATAGTCACGCATCTTTGTATCTCCTGTTGAAGCAACGCCTCAATGACGTGGTCCCCATGTCACCGTCGCAAGTTTCTCTGCTACAAGCTATGGAACTAATCTACGAGTCACAGCAGGAGATGCTGGCACAAGGCAATAATATCCCCGCTCACATGCAGAGGAGGTTTCGAGAGAGGCTGGGGCTATCGCGAGATAAGCATCCGTATATGGGTTGGACGCCCAGTTCGGAGGATGGACCACGTGAATTCTCACAGATTGATTTTCAAAAGTTGGAGGATGAGGTAGTTGCAGAGATGGTGGCAAGAAGGCAGAAAAAGAATTAACCAATAAAGGTGTTCGATGGAGAGGAACCATTAAGATTGAGATATGATTAGTGTGGAATGGCATCTTAGCAAGCCTATCATGATACATATATTCGTTCATTATTGCGTATATTTCGAGAATGCTGGATTAAGTGTCGTCAAACCCACCATCCTTTCGTTCTTCATGGTGCTACACAAGAAAATTGTTTATCAACATAAAAGACTGTGGCGTCTGCAAATTGGAGGCCGCCTGCCTAAAATATATTGCATGATACACTCTTATACGGCCTGTTATTCAACCGATAGACATACTCTGCAGTTTGAAGACTCCTCCGCTTCATTGTGAGGCAGCTACGCCTTCTCATTGTAACACATATATCAGTGACTTAACGTAACACTAATACCTAATTCGCAGCCTTCTTTGTGTCAATTTGTTACACAAGAAAAAACTTTATCAACTTGAATACCGTGGCATCTGCTAATTGGCTGTTGGCAATGTAAAATAGATTGATGATACACTCAGACGGCCTGATATTCGACCGATACAGATGCTGTCAAGTTTGGATATACCTGTGCCACTTTGCGAGACTTGTTGATGGCGCTGGTGTTGCCGATGTGTGTGTGTGTGCATATGTCTGTCTATTATGAACTTCAAGTATAAATATACGGCCTGGCATCTTTGATGGCTCCCAAAGCATCATCCATCTTGAATGCTTTTATCCTGTGTACCAATTTATATTAATCAAACGTCTCATTCTCAAATAATATACGTTATTCATTATTGCCCACGAACAGAATGCAGAACTACCAAGATCAAATGCCTAAGATCGTTGACAGCAATAGATGCGGCTATTGCGGCAAGAATTTCAGAGGCTCTGCTGATCCCTGTACATGCAATGACAACTAAGGATTGTTTTGGTATGTAGTGTTAAAGCTATTTTATTTTTCTTGTCTGCTGACTCTGGGTGATGAGCATGGCTGGCCAGCTCGGCAGTGGCCATATGTGTACTCTTGGCATTAGCGAGGGCAATGAGTGGGATTGGCATACAACTACATGTATGTTAGTAATCATGAGGCACTCATAGAGTTGTGTGCTATATGAATATATGATTGCTCGCATTGAAGTATTTGCATTTGTCGTCGTGTAATGAATAGCCTGTCAACTGCTTGAGAGGGGAGGCTGGAGTAGATCAATCGCTGTTTGCTGAAATTGTATTTTAACCGTAGCTTATGTAAAAGATGTATCCTAACAGATTGATGGTAAAAAGAGGAGAAATCGAGTAGTACAGCCACTGGTTTCATAGAATAAAGAAGTAGAATGTATTGGTAAATGTATTGGTTGTCACAAAAGATGCTGAGAGAGGCAAGTAAGAACTTCTCAAAGCAATCGAATCAATGAAAGACACGCAGACAGTGTCTTGAAGCAACAAGTATATCTGAATGACTGGCCAGATTGAGAAACGAGGTGTTCGAGGTTTATACAGCGCGGCACTTGGGGCTCTTGGGGCTCTTGGGTATTTATGCTTGGTGGACAGATGGAGTTGACAATTATATTTAGCACAGGTACCTAGTGATAATAGCTTACATGGCCCACGCCTTCAGCATAGCGGTTACCTGTATATTCTGTAACATTAATTCCTCTTCGAGAAATTGTAGCATTAGTTCACTTTGAGTGTTCTCTATAGACTATGATATAATTCTAAAGCTTTATCTTACTCCCTCTCGCGCACTGCTCTGTATTCTACACCAGCTCCTAGCATTAATTCTAGATACAATAAAAGTATACGAGCGTATATACATATAGCAAATTGAAGAAGGAGAGATGCTTTGTAAAATACCATACAAGATATCTTATATGGAGAGGTTACCTGGTTTCTGGCTTGACTGGTGCGATTGTCATCACTCTGATATGTGAAGTGCATGAATCTGCTACATAGCAGTGTTATGCGTCGTCGAGCTGTCTTAAAATTCCGAGATTACCTTATCGCCGTCTTATTGCCTTGCGAGGGAGATGAAATTGCGCTATAATCTTCTGCATCTTCTAGAGCTAGTCAATAATGTGTCGTCATGACTACGAGCTTGAGTAACCAAGCAGTTTTTTCATGAAGAGATAAAGCAGTAGATTGGTTTATTACAGGCTTTTAAAGTACACTATAAAAATGAAATGCTATAGTATATGTACGGAGGCAGCTGCAGTTCTTTCCGAAAGCAAGAAGAAAAATTCCAACCAGCTGCGTTATGACTATCTGCGGAGAGCAAACGACTTAGAGAGCAAATGTGACTACGCCCTCTAGTAATCTCTTGTTCTATTTCATCTGTAAATTCAACAGAAAGCATACATACCGGTGCTTTGAATCACTTCCCAAAAAATGTTTTGCCCATCGTAATTAGACTTTTGTCAGCTGAGACGATGTCAGTGCGATCGCAGATCTCCATCTGACATTTCCAATTCCGTGAGCTAAGCTAATTGGCAAATATATTTAAAGAGAATCTTCCAGGAGAAAAGGTATTTCAAAACTCCATTGCCCATTGAATGCCAAATCCACCATGTCGGGCCCTCAGAAGCTAGCCCCTGAACCGCGATACCCCGACGTTCGACACGCCGCCGAGGCTCGCCGTCTTCGGATTCAAGGCGGCCTCATCGCAGATGCTCTCGGTGGCATCATATTATGCCCTCTAGATACCTCTCGCACGGGTTTACGCATCCTTGACAGTGCGACTGCTGACGGGCACTTCTTGACCTTGATCCGGAAACAACTGGCTTACCCGGAGACCGCAGAGCTAATCGGTACAGACATCGCGGCGTACCCGCCGCTTGAATTGCCAGACAACATCACACTCGAAAGGCAAGATATCTTGAAACCATGGCCGGAGAAATGGGAAGCGCATTTCGATTTTGTGCATCAACGGACGGCGCTCGCCGTTACGGGAAGCATGGAACGAGCCGTTGAGTCAGTACGACGGTTCATCGGGCTAATCAAGCCCGGCGGCTGGATTCAGATCGTAGATGGGACTTTGATGACTGGCGAGATGGCAGAGGGAGACAAAGCCTTCGCGAAGCTGTTCAAGGTGCTCACACAGTGTATGGTTGGTGTCGGGCTGGATGTCACGTTGGGAATATCGACGGCTGAGATCCTCAAGAGGGCCGGGGAGGGTTTGCTTCATAATATAGGTGAAAAGCAGGGTGTTAGTCCTTTGGGTAAGGGCGCAGCTTCAAGAGAGCTTGAAGAGATGGGATATGAGGAGTTGAAGGGGATTCATAGCGGCTGCGTGTTAGTTCTGAAGGGAATGTCCAAAGAGGAGAGGCCAATGGCCCTTGAAGAGATTGAAGGACTCCTACCAGAGATTTTGAGAGAAGCACAAGCGGGAGAGTGTCAAATGAGGTGGTACGCTGCATGGGGGCAGAAGATTTGAAGCTGGGCAAGCAGTTTGTTGATTCCGGTCGACTATATGTGGCCATTGCGTTATCTATTTCAAGTTGTCTTTGGCAATTCCTTTATGAGCTAGCCAAACTTTCATGCTCTTTACCACCTCTAACAATGCAAATTCGGTGACTGAAGCGCTCTGGAAGACTTGAAATACGGAAGCCTTGACATTGAACATGTCACTGATCCAAATCCCCAAGCTCACAGCTACCATCGAACCGCATCATTGCCAATTGAGCCGTGATACTCCAAGGTTTACATTTATTTTCAACCTCCATCTCTCCATTACGCACATCACTCACACCGACATCTAGAACACAGACGAAATACAGATTGAGGCTCGTAGAGTTTGAAGACCTTTCTGTGAAAAGCCAGAAGAAGTAGAATTTTATAAAGAATGAAAAGCAATTTTACGCTATTCACCAAAAAAAAAAATTTTTTTTTTACTACCATCACTAAATATCTAAGCCGACAAACGGATACGCAGCTAGCCGTTTGGAGGCCTTTCCAAAGCTGCCGTTCTACGATCAAACTGTAGCTTCAGCTCTGATTCAGAAAACCTTGTCGTGATATTGTCCATCTCCTCGGGCAAACTGACAATCTGGTTCGCTTGGAAACATTTGGCGAGATCATTGGACGGCATGAAACTCGTGACTAAAATTTTGACTATTGGGTTCAAACAGGCATCCGGAGAAAGAAGTTTATTTAATTCTTTCACCACGCTTTTGATATCGCTTCGGCCTGCATACTCGTAATGGTCGTTACCATCAATCAAAATGAAAATGCGTGTTGCTTTGGGGAGTATCCCTACTAAGTCACCAAGGCCCTCACCCTGTTGTTGAAGACTCCAAGTCAGACATTTTTTTCTTAATCTTCTCGATACAGCCGATTTCATATTCAACAGTGTCAGAATATTGCCTTTGAGTCAAAAGCTGAATTATCAGATTCTCTATTGACCCCCCTTCAGGTATCTGATGGCCCAAAAAATAACTCAGGACGATGATGGATTGGGTCGAGCTTAAGCTCTGCGCAAGCATAGCACAGAAATAAGACACTGGTGTAACACGCTTCATGTCCCGATGGCCATTGATGAGGAGAATCTGCGATTTGGTCAATTTCATCCAACCAGTGATGGTCTTATTAGCCCTAAGCCATTCCACTCTTTTTCGTGCTTTCATGTCGATGGGGAATCCAGTACGTAGGATTTCTTCAAGAATATTCCCTTGGGTAGCAATAGGGGTTATGACAGGATTGGGATCCGACAGAAATGGCAAATCCCCTTGTGGAATTATCGACTCTTGTTTCGTTTCCATACTTGGCAATCTGCTGCAGCGTCCAGCTGAAGGATGCTTTAAGAGTCTTTGTAAACCAAGCTGTCTCTTATGCAATATTATCAACGCAATCAGCAACTTCAGAGAGTTTCTTGCTGTTGCACAGTCGGATCATGCGATCTAAAAGAGTTGGAGAATATCCTCGTACCTGACGCGTATTGAGGCGAAGTCATACTCAAGTGCCCTCAATAAAGGAGCAGACAGCCTTAAAGAAATATTTACCCATGATCTAAACGTCCACTTTGCAGCAAATGTTGGGCGCGAGCGGATTACGACTTGAATGGCACGCCATAGAGAACCTGTTACAAGTGTAGACGGGCTTTGTTGAACGCCTGCAGCACAAATACTGGTCATTAGCTAGGCTCCCGAGTTGGTTGGAAGCCAATTACAAGTTTGAAACACCTTACGTAGTATGTTCAGCTGTCGTGTTTGTATTTCCTTTGTTTGCACAGCCGCCAAGGCTTGAGTGGCAATTCAGATTCATCCAATAGCATACGTTTACACAAGAACAACACAAAGAAATACCATGATAGAAGTTATCCAAAACTTGCTCAATCAAAGGCATCCGAAATTTCCAATAGGTCAGCTTTTCTTGTTCATGTCATCGGCGTTTGTTGCTCAGGCAGAATCTTCAGCAGTCCTTTTGGGTAGCCGGTACAAATCTTGATAAATAAAATCTCATCCGGATGGGAGACAATCGAGGAAGTGTATTCTTTTTCTCTCTCAACACTCGTCTAAAGCATACAATATCCGTCCATGCAAAATGAGTCATCTTTCTCAAGCCATCTCAGAAGCCCTTGCTCATGGCAACCAAATCTTCGCAAAATGCAAAGGTTTCGGAGTATGCAACCTAGAAGAGTGGATTTTTCAGTGCTCAGCCGACTTCGACTTGCTGGGAGAGTTGATTGAGACTACAGAGATCAAAAAAACAGTTCACGGTGACATTCGATGGGAAGAGGATGCTGTCGCATGCATCTTGATCAGTCATCAAATCAAGTTGATATCTTCACTTATGGATTGTTATAAAACTCTAGGTGAGCCATCATCATACGTGTATCTATTTTTGCACTTGTTGACCGCGACTTACGGGCTGGGCTTTCAGCGTTTCCTAAGGCGCCTTGTTCTGACAACGCAGTCTTATATCCAGCATTTTGGGAAGTTAGAAAGAACTATCAGCAGTCTTTATGGGAGATGAATTCAACGAGAACAACACTAGATATGCCGCGAAACGACGAAGAAACCATCAAGAGGCTAGATAATATTTCTCTATTTGCTAAATGGATGGTTGACAACCTCGAACTAAAGCCCGATTCTGCAACAGTTGAGCCACAACCTTCACCAGGGAGCCGAGAAATCCCTGAACAAAATCCATCAAATCGCTATAGTGAGAGACAAAATGCAGTTCCTGAACCAAATCTCCCTAATTGCCGTCTTGAGAAACAGGATACAGCCACTAAACAAAATCTCTCAGCTCGCATTGATGAGAAACAAGAGCCAGGAAAGGAACAAATTACCTCAGATCGTCGCACTGAGAGACAAGATGCACCCCCCGAACGAAGTCCCTCAGACCGCCTTCATAAGGAACGAGATACAACTACTGAACGAAACCCCTCAGATGGCCATGATAAGAAACGAAAGCCGGTCCTTGAGCAAAATCTCTCAGACCGCCATCATAAGGAACGAGATACAACCCCGGAACGATATCCCTCAGATCACATTGATGAAAAACAAGAGCCGGGAAAGGAACAAAATATCTCAGATCGTCGCACTGAGAGACAAGATGCAACTCCTGAACGAATTCACTCGAATAGCTCGCATGAGAGAAGAGATACAGTTTATCGGCGGGGTCACTTTGAACACCGTCACGTGAACCAAGATCCAGTCTCTCGACGAAATCACTTGAATTACCGTCATGTGAGACAAGATTTACTCCCAGAAAGAAGAAGCCTATATTCCCATATTAGGAGTCCAGGTTTAGCCCCGCAAGAATATCTCTCAGATCAACATCGCGATGAACAACCAAGAGTCAGAGTTCGTTTCGATATTCCAGAATACTCCTACACGAAGATGACCCGTGATGAAGACTGGGAAAAGAAATAGCTGAATTTTCCAATAATATGTAGAGAAACAAACAGCGGGATTATTTATGTAACCACTTTGCAAATTGATCATTATTCCACTGTTAGTGTATGACGTGGTCTATATATGATGATAATATTGTACTACAAGGAGGTTTGCATTTTCTTTTATTTATTCTTTTTTAGAACCGGTATCAGCGTCTTGGAAACACGAAATCTAAATATTAAACCATTAATTACAGAATTCTCCATGGCCAAGAATAGTAATTTGCATTTAACCCATGGTGGGATGGTTGCGAAGTCGGACATGGTACCCTAGATACTGGATGTATAGAATTAAAGCAACAATGTTCCTATTCTCCTCCAACATCTACCTCAGGCTACAAATACAGCACCAAGCCGCTCATCTGCATGGAGTGCATATACATTAATACAGTCCATGTCAAAACGTGGACAGCATCCGAATGATCGTACTCAGCCTGCGCAATCCACCAAATTCCTCACAAGATCTCACATGCATCATCATGTTATGCAGAGTAGCCGCCTCGCAACACCAACAAACAGTCACCAAATCAACAAGGAGCGAATAAGGGCTCGCATCCTGCGCACACCTAGAGATACACCCCCAGATTGGAGACGTGAGTCATGCGTGGCTGATAACGACGGTGAAAGTCTCCGTCTCACCTAAACGATAAGTGATAGCATGGTGACTTTTATCTGCATGAGATGAGTAGCCTCCCTTCTCATGCAGGGCGTCGCTACTTTGCATACTGCACATGTATGTCCCTTGTAAATGCCTCTTGTCTACAAATACAACATCACCAAAAAGACGGTAAACAAGTCATATCTTGATGTTCATATCCAACTCCATCTAAACAAGATGTGTTGTTATTTATACCCACCACTAGAAAGATGCCATCAACTCACCTCGGCGGCCCAAGATAGGCAACCCAACACCCGCAGCTAAGCAGACAGGGGGTTCAAGACGCACAACTCACTCCCAGATGCACGTCCTAAACCCCTTCTAGCATCGATCTTACTACTCCAAACACACGGAGCATGTTCGAGCTAATTCCTCTCCACTGTTATACATCATGTCAACGGTACTTGTCGCCAGCTTTACACAATTCTCGGATGCTGAAACTAGAGCCATCCGACTTACACCGGTGCCGTCCAAAGTCCACCACTTACATCACGGAAAACACCTGGCGATAAAGGCCGTATAATATACATACGTAAATTAGTTTCTCTTGACCGTGATTTGTTTGTACATTAGCCTGTATCGCATCAACCTGCGTCGCTTTGAATCAAGCATTAGCTTGATCTGACTCGCAATCCAGACGAACAGACCGCACGAAGTACCAGCGGCACAATGCTACCCAACGACGCCTGCAAATGTCTGGTTTACATGTAATCCCTTATCCTGCACTAGATATTAAGCCAGGCCAATTCAGCCTCTTCACCCCATGTCATAAGAGGAGTTAAAATTGCTGTGAAAGAGCCAGGCCATTTTCACCAACCTCAGCTGAATCTTCTCAAAGGGAAAGGAGTCCTCGAGGGGTGTACGGAGTATCTATCTTCTGCATGTACAGTAAATACCATGACGCGTAGGTATGGAACTATTGCTCCCGATCCTTTGAGTCACAAGATGATGGATTCAACCTATCCGATGAGTCACTCAGCCATATGTGTGCCCCATCGGAAAAGCTTGAGCTACACCATCATGAGCGAGAGGAGGTTGTCCTCAAGCCGCTACCCGGGATTGCAGCTTTGCGCTAACCGTTAAGATTCTTCCTTTATTGAAGGCATACTTGATGCACAACAAAAAATAATAATGAATGACAAGCAAGTATGGAGGAGTAGTGTTTAATTCATATGGTACAATAAAATGACCTATTCAAGATATTCCCTTCAATCCGTAAAGTAGCAAGCAGCCAACAGCCCATCAGTTCAACACAGAAAGATGCATGATCCTTTATTCTATCTGCGACATCCCATAATCGCAAGAGCTTGTTGTACACATTTCACAGAACTGTGAACCCTATCATTACATTTTACACATCTCTCTTTTTTCACCTCTCCCCTGTATATCCCAATCATGACTCCAAAGGCGGCATGAACGCCATTCCCGTGCCCTCCCCCCCATTCACACTCTTGTGCCTAACATGCGCCCTCAACTTCTCCAGAATCTGGCTATCCTTCCACCTCTTCGGCACCGGCCTATACGCAGGCTTGAAATTGCCCACCGTCTGCGCCCACTCCCCCTTTGGCGGATCCTTGGGCAGCTCGTCCTGCTTCCGCGCCTCAAACTCAGCACTCGAAGACGCACTCGCCGGACTCGCCGTCACGGAGGGGTTCGTCGTAGAATTGGGCTCCCGCTGCGTCGCCCAGTAGTAGATATCCCAATCGTTCTCGTCGAGAAAGAGGTCGTACTGCTCGAGTTCCTCAGATGTCATCGTCGGGAGGTTCTGGGACGCAAACGTAGACAGTAAAAGATCCGACTCGAGGGTTCCGCGCTTCCGAGACTGGTCTGAAGCACAAAGTTAGCCAGTGACCACATAGTAGTAGAACTTTTTTCCTGCATCACATACATAAAAGTCTCGCTCGCTTAGTCGAATCATCCTCGCCAACCCTCCGCAGAGGCTCAATGCGGAACGATGCGCCCTGCAGCTCTCCAACCCCAAGCTCACCCGGCGTCGAGCTCTCGTTTCTTCGGAGCGCCGATGTGCCAAAAGCGCATCGCATGCGCACAGCAGACGCAGCACCGACGCAGCGGAAAGCCGCAGGTCGTAGAGCAGCTCCAACAGACAGCGACATTGTGGGTAGTTGAAAAGGAAGGCGTCAAGATGGTATTCAGAGTGGCTTTGAAATCGCCGGATTGGAAATAATGACGATAGCCGAGGCCGATTGCAAATTCGGCTATGGCTCGAGAAAATCGAACGGGCATCGCTCAACAGCCACATATAGTAGTAAATAAGAAGTCCCCATAGCAACTATTGGTCTAGTGGCGCAATGGCAGCGCGTTGCTTTCCGGTGGCAAAGGTTCCAGGTTCGAGTCCTGGCTAGATCGGACTAGACTGTTTCTCTTTTTGCTCTTTTGGAGCTTGAGCTTGTTCGATCCTGTGAAGTCTCTGCATGAGATCGGACTCACCCTTGCTAGCCTCCTCACTTTTTGCCAGGGATGGAGTCTTAAATGCTCGGCTTCAGTGAGGTAGATCCCTGTGCCTTCCTTCATCGCCAACCAATGTCACCTTGGATGTTACAAGGGTACCTAAGCGAGAGACACACGCACACACACAAATAGAATGGAATTGCGAGCACAGGAAAAGTAATATCAACTTTCAATTCAATTCGTACATACATACTTGGAAACCGGTAGCAAAAATACAGAAGCGAAGCAATGAAACCAAAAAGAAACTTCAGAACCATCATGCATACAAAGAGACAGTCATAGTTCAAGTGAGGCAACGGACTCGTCTTCACGTCAGCCTTCGTCGATTGGCATTAAGTCATTAGTTCGCGGCCATAGAAAGCAAGAGAAAGCTTTTATAACCCCCCAAGGTCAAGTCATGCATTGCCCTTGGGTAACACAAAAAAAACTTTTGGGTAAATGTGACACCTCTAATGCTTTTGTTCCCACAGAGATTCTCCTGTAACCATGTTTAGTATCCCGACAACAACAACATGGCTTGTTTCCAAGGCCACTTCCTGCCTACGCCGTCTACCTGGTGGAGCAAACGTCAACGTTCGTAAACTCTGTAAAGGAAACGTCGGGTCTCTGTTGAGTTGTTCAAAAAAAGAAATAAAAAGGAAATGCTTGGATGCAGATGCCAAAAAAAGAATGTGTCAAGTATTTGAGGCCAGGGGCACATCTGTGCACCGTCCTCGCTCGTATTTGGTTGCCTTGTTTGCCAAAGCTAGCCTCCTATACGCATTTAGAGCCGTAGGAAGTTGACATCAGAAGAAATACTTCGGTGTCTCTTGTGTTTACTTCCGCCGGCCTCGCTCGGAGCCTTTCGCTTCGTGGAGGCCGATTCGAGAGGGGCGCGGTTCATTTCACTCAACTGCTTCTTGTGCCGTCTAACTGGAGTCAGAGGAACGGCCGCAGTGTCAAAGCGATCCGATTTTAAGCCCCGAAGGGCGGTGTAGTTGTACGGCCCGCTGAAGGCCAGAGAGTCTTGGGTCGCTTGGTTGCTCAGAATCAGCTGTTGGTTGATTTGATTGCGACGGAAGGCGCCAACAGTATCCGAGTTGAGATGCGACAGGACCTCCCCAGAGGCAGTGGTCGGGCGCTTTGGCGATGCGCCCCATTTTTCGTCGTTTCCTTCGTCGCCTGACGACTCATCATCGGCAGCTTCGCCAAACGTAATGAAGTCGTTGATGTTGAGCTTCTCTTCGTCGTCCTCGTCCTCATCCTCCATGCTGGGGGATGTCGAGCTGTTATCGTCGTTGGCTGCGGATTGAAAGGGGAAGAATGCCTCGGCGGGTCCCATGGCCTGAGCATTGACGAAGTCACCAAAGGTGTTGGAAGAGAACATGGCGCTGAGCATCATGTTGGCCGAGTTGCTAAGCAGCGAGGGTGATTGCTCCTCGATGGCCCAGGGGAAGTTAAACTGCTCAGGTGACAGGTCCAGCTGCCGCCGTCGATGGGGTGTGAAGATCATCATCTTGCGTGTCAGGGGGTTAAGGACAGCAATGGGCTTTTTGTCAGACCGGTCTAGGTTGAAGCGGCCCACGCGAGGCTGGCCACGCTCTGGTTTGACAGGGGAGTCTGCCTCTGAGTCTGATGCTTCATCGCTCATTGCATTAGACTGACGTCGAGCCTTCTTGCGGATGACAGGCTCGGGGATGTCTTCTTCATCAGTTGTGTCGCCATCAGCTGAGCCATCAATGTTAGCACGAAGGTACAGGGGCCATCCAAGTTCCACTTTGTGGAATAAAAGGACTCACACTCATAACCATCAAGTTCTAGAGGTTCTTCAAAGGTGGGAGTAAAATTTTCAGTCGCACTAGCAACGCTGGGAACGGGCTTGGCAAGTGCATTTTCGTCGTCAGAAAGTTGTCGAACCACTTCCTCGGCTTCTGATTCCGAGTCTTCTTCCTCCTCTTCCTCGTAATGGCCATGGTAGTCCCAAAAAGAATTGGAGCCGGACGATTCATCAGGGTCGTGTTCAATCTCTTTGCGGAAAGCAGGGTCGAGTGAATTCTGCGAGACAAAAATATCGGGGAAAAGATCGGCGTGGTCATCTTCTGTTTCGGTAGAATCAGAGTCGCTGTCCGGCACATCAAAACGAACATGGCGCTCTATAATGGGATCTGAAGCAAAAGCATTGGGATCATGGTAAAAGTCGGATGCATTGCCGTCATCAACGTCAGATAGGATGCCAGCCCAGCTTGCATTATCAGCATCCGCATCATCGGGGAGATCATCCGCATCATCGTCCTCGTCCTCGGCCTCTTCAGCATCGTCATCGTCAGCATCTTCTTCGTCGTCATCCGACTGCGGTCGAGGAGCGCCAGGGGAATTGGATATATCCTCTGTGAGTATGATTGCCTCCTCGACCGCCGTTACATCCTCCTCATCGTTGTCTTCGGAGTCGCTAATGTCTTCGACGGCTGAGTAACCCTCTTCGTCCGAGAGATCAAGGGACGATGATGTGTCCGAACCACGACGACGCTTTTGGGCTTTGGCCGCCGTTGCGGGGTATTTTTGACGAATGTTGCGAGACATTTTGTATAGTCCCGTAAATCAGATAAACTTTTGAGTAAAGGAAATTTTCTCCAGTCAATAAGGGGCGGCGCTTTAGCCGTGATAACGAGCTTTTTTTCTTCCTAAAAACAATGGAAGGTTGAACAAATCGATTCAGTAAAAATGTGGTCTATAGCTTTTCAATGCTTGCTGTTGGACTCTTGGTTCGAGTAAGATAGTTGTAATGGTGGCCGTATTAGATGTCGAATGGAAGGTGCTTTTGTCGTAGTAAGAGTGGAGGTGCAGGGAGAGAAGGAAATAGCTGTCAAGACGTATTTGTTGAAAACTTTTTTCCAGCAATTGAGACGTTGAAGGCCCTATCAAAGCGGGCAACTAGCAGGATTTGTGATTCAGAGACAGGCTTTCGAAGAGCATTCGAGCTCAGTAGGGGGGAAAGCCTGTTGAAAAACTATCGTCGACGAATTGTTGATTAGGCTCGTTGAACTGCTGGACTGCGAGCCGTGATGGGCACGGCCCGCAGTGGGCGTTTACAGCTCAGCGACGGCCGAAGGCATTGTGGCTCGACGAAGTTTCTGACTGGGGATGCTCTGAGGGGGAATCCTGGGCTATAGGGCGACTTCGTTGTCTGGCTTGAAGCTGATTGCTGATGATGCAGCAGAGGAGAGGAGGAGGAGAATCTAATGGGAAAAAAAAAGTTTTGAAGGCCCCGCGAGAAGTACAATGTACCAGGTACCTCTTGCCAGAACTGCATTCCCAAACTTTTTTTTTTTTTTTTCCTTCGACCATATGTGGGGTCAGCGATCTGATTCGCTTGGAGGCAAAGAAGGGAAGAGGCTAAGCCCATCTAGGCCCGAACCTGGACCAGATGCCGCAGTGCGATGAAAAAAACGTCGTCACCGCTATTTGCGGCCAGGCGCTGGCAGGGCGCTAATTGGCCGGCTAGCACCCTGCTGGGCGCTGTTGTGCAGCAGCTCCCAGCGCCTTGAAGCACTAACAGCGCCTGTAACTTTTGGGCGGGGCATCGCATCTCCACAGCCTGGAGCGCCACTTTGGACTGCAGATTGCCCTCTCATAGGATGCGTGACGTGCATATCGGGCAGCCTCTGGATGACGGCCTGTCTTTTGCGTTTTGCTCGTCCATGTTTTTTGGAGAGGAGCAATCGATCACGAGACGCGCGTTGCAACCGAGAATGCTAGCAGCTCCACATGGTGTATCGTATGAGTCTTTTGCAGCAGCGCCGCCACTGAGGGGCTCTGGCTCATTCCCACTGACTCATAGGCCAGAACTAGGACTCGTGATGGTCTCCTGTTGATGCGCTGATGCCGAGAGGATGGTCGGTTCATCCTGATTTAGCCAAGGTAAGTATTTTTGTTTTATTTTGTTTTGCTTTGTTTTGTTCTACTTCTTTAGCTTGGAAGAGAGAGTGTTGAATTTTATTTTCATGGTATATGACATGTACGAATAGCTTCAATCCTCTATACATGGATTGCATCATCCTTTTCAAACCCCCGCTACTCTATTTCAACTCCACCCCTTGATGTATCGTATATCCTCGTACCAAAAGCCCAAACCATAATCATCATTCGCTATCCCGCCTGCCAGAAACGTCAAGTCATAATACCCAAAACGCCCATGTCTATGCATTGTTGAAATATCCAACTACCAGTCCGAAACCAGGTTCATGGCTTCGAATTCTCAAGCTTGCCCGCAACACTCGTCTCATCTCTCGATTGCTTCAGAAACGGGAAGAGCTGGGAGCCTCCCGTGCCAGTCAGCCCCTCTCCTTTCTTTTCCGTCGAGGAGCTAGCCAGATTCTTGCGAGTCGATCCGGTCCACGGCTGCTTGGAGGGAATGAGGATATATCGTGTCACAATGTTGATGTGCTTCTGTCGGAATGCGGTAAAGGCATCTACCGCAGCCGTATAGGCCGCCCTCAGAAGCTGCTCTTCTTCCCGCAGGGGATCCTCAAGATCAAGTGCAAGCTTGCGGATGCTGCCCAGACGAGCCACGTGCACCAAGAATCTCGCATGAGGGCCTGGCATGTAATCCCTGGCCTCTTCGTGGAAGCTCCCTTTGCTATCAGAGTGGCCCTTGTGCTCAATGCCAAGGACAATGTCCCAGAACATGATGAGTGAGCTCTGGCCATTGCTTCCGCCCCTGAGCTTCCTCCACTCGCCTCTACCGTTTCCTTCGTCGTAAAAGACGCCCTTGGGCAGGCCAGCAGCCTCCATGTTCATGCTGCCGGCAAGGAATGGCCTAATCTGATAATAGAATGTCATGGGATCGCAGCGCTCATTCATTCTCTCCAGGAGTACGCCAACTTCTTCGATGTGCGTCTTTAGCTCTTCAAGAGCCTTGATGATGACCTGATAATCGTGGACCTTGATGGCCTCAATAGCGCGTGTCATGATGGGAATGATGGCGGAGGCCTTGGCCTCCATGGCAACACTGATGAGCAGAAACCAGGACTCAGATTCGGTTCCAGTAAAGGATAGCAGGGTACTGAGGTCCTCCACAACGGAAAAGTCGTCTCCTTTGCAGCTAAAGTTCCAAAGGTTGGCGGCAGCATACGCCAGAGTAGGGGGCAGCTCAAGATGAGCGGAGACACGAAGATACGGAACAGTCACCGAGGGCGGCAGGATCTGTTAAGAATCTTGTCAGTATCATGAATCCCAAGCCAAGATTGTGCAGTGCAGCCATCATACCTGTTGAGGTACATCTCCACCCCAGATGTATGCGTGTGCGAAGAAAGACAGGATAACATAGGCTCTCCGCCACTCAGGTTCGGACTTGAGGCCGTCAGTCGACAGAATCGGAAGTTCGTTGATGGCATCATGGATACGGCCAGCCTGGATCAGCTCTGGCAGATTATGAGCAACAAGTTCCCACGGTTCGTAATATGAGTCCGACAGCATCTTAGGGGGGCTGTCCTCGGGGAGAAAGGCATGTCTCGAGACGGCAAATTTAGACAGGTCCGTCTGCTCCAGGCCCAAGGTCTCTGGCCGGATGGCGTGGGGAGACATGATGGATACTAATGATTAGAAGCAGGATCAACCGGGAGAAGGATTGTTGCTTTCTCTTGTGTCGTTTTGGATGATGATGATAGGAAGCAATAGGGCCGGAAGAGAGATGGAACTGCTGGTTTCTCTGGGGTCCTCCTGACTCGGCCTCTGGACCGGGTGAGCACGGTATTATATGACCCTAGTCGGAGAAGTTGAGTTGTTGGGAGCAATAGTCCCTAGCGGATGGAGATGAACAGAGAGGAAAACATCACGCCATGTGGACACTCGGTATGCTTCAAAGATAATCATTTCCTTTACTAAGATTCGTCATCAGGCGGTCCATTGTACGGAGCACGGAGCAAAGAGACTAATCCAGCAAAAGGAGGGAGCTATTACATCGTGAACTGAGATGGCTTCCTGCTATCCTTCGATCCGTCTACATCCGAAGATCCGTCTTCTATCAATGGAGACTAGCCTAGCGCCATGGAAGGGAGAGCTCGCAAGGGGGATCGACGGTAGGTTTTTCACACTGGACAGATAGAGCTCTGGCTTTTGGCCGGATCTAACCGGAGCTTTAGAGCTGTCAAATATGGACATTACTTTCATGTGAAGCGGTTATTCACATCCAGCCTCCTGCACAAGAGCACAACCCAGATATGAAGCAGTATCTATGTACATGAGATGAAATCCTTATTTCAGATGCAATACTTGAAATCCAGCTTGAGAAGATGCCAAGTTAAGAATAAGCACTTGTAAATCTAGTGTATACATAACTTATGTCAGTTGACTGACATTGCTTAGAAGAAGCACTTGTAGCCAGATCCAGTGCGTACACAACTTATGTCAGTTGACTTACATGACACAACTCCGCGTCATAAACAAATTTGACAAGTGCTTGCAGAAGCACCTCCGCAATGAGAAACGCTTAGCCGCGTGCAAAGAAACAAAAGGCCCAAATTAGCAAATTTAGCTGTCTGTGCGTCTTTTTGATTCGTCTGTGCAGCTCTTGGCTCCAGTCGGCGAGTTCTGATATCGTAAAAACTTGTTGCGGCGCATCGGACACGGAACTTCGGAAGACGGGATCGCGGAATGCGGAACCACGGATCGCAACCCTATTCGGCCGCCCTTCTTCTCGCAATCGATAAACCCGGGCTCTGCGGCAGGACGCGGATCAGAGCGGGACAGCATCTCAGGCTCAGGCTCTGGGGGAAGATAAAGTGTGATTACCAAACCCGCCACTAGAAGCAAGAAGATGCCTCTTCACGTCCTCACGAAACTGCATCCGCCAACAAGAGTCTTGAGCAGTCGAGGGTTGATTTTGATTTCATTCAGAAGCTGGAACAGAGCAAACAGCAGCTTGAGCATTCACAGCAAAATGGACTTGCCGGCATACGTAGAGCGCCTTCGCAGCGGCGCCCCTCCCAAGTTCCCCGCGGACGCAAACTCGCTGGAATTTGCCCAGAAGCTCGACTCCCAGGACTCGCTGCGGCATCTGCGCGATGAGTTTATTCTTCCCACCAAGGCCTCTTTGAAGAAGAAGGCGCTGGATGGTTCAATTCCTGGTGAGCAGCAGAAATCATGAGTGCCAATCTCAGCTCAGGCACTCATTGTTCCGTATATGATGAGTCAAAACGACGGATGCTAATGAATTCGCTGCAGGTCAAGTGAATGGCAGCACCAACGGCACCAACGGCACCAACGGCGTCAATGGCGCTGAGCAGGGCATCTACTTTGTGGGAAACTCGCTGGGCGCGCAGCCAAAGGCCGTCCGCGAATACGTCAACGCCCAGCTGGAGACGTGGGCGTCGGTGGGCGTCAACGGCCACTTCCTCGACATGGACCAGTCGCCGCTGGTGCAGTGGCAGGACATGGCCGAGGACTGCGCCAACAAGTCGGCCGATCTCGTGGGAGCGTCTCCCAGCGAGATTGTCTACATGAGCACGCTGACGGTCAACCTGCACATGATGATGGCCAGCTTCTACAAGCCCGACGCAAAGAGGCACAAGGTCATCCTGGAGTGGAAGCCCTTCCCCAGCGACCACTACGCCATTGAGAGCCAGATTGTCTGGCACGGCCTCGATCCTGCCGAGAGCATGATCAAGATTGAGCCCGACAGCGACTTTCTCATCCCCACGGAAAAGGTGCTGGCCACCATTGACGCCCACGCCGACTCGACGGCCCTGATCCTGCTGCCGGGCATCCAGTACTGGTCGGGCCAGCTCTTTGACATTCCCCGGATCACCGCCTACGCCAAGGAGCGTGGAATCGTCGTCGGCTGGGACCTCGCCCACGCCGCCGGCAACGTGGAACTCAAGCTCCACGACTGGGACGTCGACTTCGCCTGCTGGTGCACCTACAAGTACATCAACGCCGGCCCTGGCGCCACCGGAGGAGCCTTTGTGCACGAGCGCTACGGCAAGGTAGACTTTGTCGACAACTCGGAGAACCCGACGTACCGCCCTCGCCTGGCCGGCTGGTACGGTGGCGACAAGCGCGTGCGCTTCAACATGGCCAACACCTTTGTGCCCACGCCGGGCGCCGCCGGATACCAGGTGTCCAACCCGTCCGCCCTGGACCTGGCCAGTGTTGCCGCCGCCCTGTCCATCTTCAACAAGACGAGCATGCGCGACCTCCGGTCAAAGGCCCTCGTGCTGACGGCCTACGCCGAGCACCTGCTGGACCAGATCAACGCCGAGGCCGACGCCGCCAAGCCCTTCTTCAAGATCATCACGCCGCGAGACCCCGCCCAGCGCGGCACGCAGCTGAGTGTCCTGCTGCGGGAGGGCCTGCTGGACAACATTGCCCATGCCCTCGAGCAGAACGGCGTCATGTGCGACAAGCGGAAGCCGGACGTGCTGCGCGTGGCGCCGGTGCCGCTGTACAGCCGGTTCGAGGACGTATGGAGGTTTATGCAGATTCTGCGAGGCGCATTAGGTCTCTAAAAGAAGGGTTCATGAAGCGTGGAGTTTTCTTTTTGTTGTTTATTTGTCATTTGTTTGGGTTGAGCATGACTACATGTAGAGTTTATGTGGAAATGATGGGAAACTTTTGATTGCCATTGGGTCGGATATGGATGGAACTGGGTTACGATTAACGTTCAAGGTAGACTCTACCACCAGACGCACGTAGATGCAAAAAAAGACATTCTATTTTCTATACTTTATGTGATATCTAACGCTTGCTCTCTCTCTCAAACTCAAACTCAAACTCATTTATCATTCATCTTAGTTTTGAGGGTGGTCAGTGCTCCTCACAACCTCGCGCCACTCGTCGAGGATCTTGGTGGTGTCTGCAAACTTGTCCAGGACAACCTTCTCGGTGTCGCTCCCCAGCATCACCCTGACGGGCAGCTCCTTGCCGCTCGCAACACCAGTGCCCGACAGCATATCAACAATCACCTCGGCGCCCTTGGTCACATCGCCAAGCTGGTTGCCATCCGTGTTCACAAGAGCCCTGCGCACCTTGCCCGTGGGCGTGTTCTCGTCCTCATAAGCAGCGATACGGGCCTTAGTCGAGACCCTGGTGCCGGGGTTCAGGAATCCAGTGCGGAAGTATCCGGGCTCAATAACAGTCGCCTTGATCTTGAAGGGCTCAAGCTCGGGAGCCAATGACTCGGCCAGCGCAGAGCAGCACCACTTGGTCATGGCGTAGACTCCGGCACTCGCAACACCGTGCCAACTGCCCAAGCTGCCAAAAGTAGCGACAACACCGCGGACGCCATTGTCCGCCAGGGGCTGCGCGCGCATGTGCGGCAAGAAGGCGCGGATCGTGTTCATGGTTCCAAAAACATTGGTGTTGAAGCTATCATAGACCTCCTCGGGGCTGGCCTCCTCGATGGAGCCCTCGAGGATGAAGCCGGCGGCATTGATGAGATAGTCGACGCGGCCGTGGTCGGCAAAGACTTGCTTGGCCACCTCCTCGATAGTAGACAGCGGAGAAGTCACGTCAAAGGCCAGAGTTTGAGCGCCTGCATCGGCGAGATCTTGGATGCTGGATGTGCGGCGAGCGGTGGCGATGACGGCGTGGCCGCGGCGAAGGGCTGAGAGGGCAATTGCCTTGCCAAAGCCAGAGGAGGCAGCTGTGATGAACCAGACTTGTTGGATAGCCATTTTTGTTGTTGTTTTTGAGTTGTTGTGTTGTTGGTTTTCTGTGTTTGTGGTATATCAAGAGACGATTCAAGAAAGTCTTTGAGAGTTGTTGTTGTAGATGATGCTGTATTTGCTTGATGATGCTGATCCAAAAACCATCCACAGAGGCACCAACCCACGGCCTTTTATCCATCCATCGCGACGAAGATCTCTCATCGGCTTTACATCCATCACGATGAAGCTCCAGCCCCTTCGTCGGCTTTACAAACCAGCTCAAGCTCTTCTCATCCACAACGTCACGATCAACCTCAAGAACGCCGCCCTGAATAGCTAAACAAACACGACGATGAGAACCTTATCGCCATTAGAGGTTTCGGCGTTTACCCTCGCCCGATTTAGGCACTCCCTGGCTTTCGGTTCTCGGCTAGCGCTACCGGCGATTCTGGGGTCTTGCCCGTTTGTGTTTAGCCCGTTTACGTTATGTCCGCAATCCTATAAGAGAGCGCTATTGGGCAGCGTCAGCATTTGATTATCGCCGATGCTTCTGGGCTTTTTGGATGACCACAGAGCAAAGGTTCTCTGGCCTATTTCTAAGGACAGATGACGTCGGCGCATGGCAAGTCGTGGTTTTATTGAGTGCATCTACCAGGTACTATACCTCATTTACAATTACCTACCTACATTGAAGGCCGCCCGGTAACTCCATAGGACCGGTTTCAGCTTAGCTATTCCATACTTGACAACTTTTTTTTTTTTTCATCATTCATACTACCTCTTTCGTCATGGTCATCACCCATTCATACTGCCTCTGTCATCTTGCCCATTAATCCGTCTGTCTGCTCTCACATTGCAACAGCAGAAGCAGACGGAACTCAAGCTCCGTCTCCGTCAGCGGGGTACCAAGTACACACGACAAGCAGAAAAGGCGTGATTGCTTCGCGCTCATAGGTGCAAATGCCCATTACTATGTGGTAATTGGAGCGGCAAAAAGATGAGCCATTCACAAACTTGCTTGGCAGGCTGGGTAGGATAATAATCCGCCATTACTGCACACTGCTAGATGGAGGGGAAGATGGTGTGTTTAGCACTTACAATGCGGCACGGTCTCCGCAATCGGGCGGGACAAGGTGGGATGTCTTAAGCCGAAGGGAAGCATGATTGAATATCATGGATTGAATTGACTCATTAGTTCTTGAAATCCCTGGGTTCTTGCAGAAAAAGCAGCGTCTCGAGTTGCTCAGGGAACTAAACAAGTCAAAAGTCAAAAGTCAAATAGCAAAAGACAAGAAATCATCACCATGGCCGCAGCAATTCCCTGCCCTCCCCGCGGCATCTACGTCCCCGCCGTCGCCTTCTTCAACCCCGACGAGACAATCGACTTTGATGCGATCCGAGCGCATCTCACGCGCCTGGCCAAGGGCGGCGTCGACGGCCTCGTCATCCAGGGCTCCAACGGCGAGGCTATGCACATGCTGCACGACGAGCGGCAGCAGGTGCTGAGGCTTGCCCGAGAGATTCTCGACGAGCACGGCAAGCCTGGGGCCGTCATTGTCGCGGGATGCGGCGTCCAGAGCACGAGGGAGACGATTCAGCTGTGCCGCGAGGCCAAGGAAGCGGGCGCCGACTATGCGCTGGTGCTGTCGCCGAGCTACTGGGGTGAGTTGGTGGACGATGGAAACGCATCATGGTGAATATCTATAGTAGGCAAGGAATGCTAACGAAGCTGCTGTGAGCAGTGGGCGCAATGCAAAAGCCCGTCATCTTCAACTTCTTCAACGACGTCGCCTCTGCCTCTCCCCTCCCCATCCTGCTCTACAACTTCCCCGCCGTCACGGGCGGCATCGACCTCGACTCGGACCTCATCATCAACCTGGCCGTCGCCAATCCCAACATTGTCGGCTGCAAGCTCACCTGCGGCAACATGGGCAAGCTGCAGCGCATCGCACACGACCCGCGCATCGGTCGGCCCTTTGCTGCCTTTGCCGGCAAGACCGATTTCTTCCTGCACGGCCTGGTTGGCGGCTCTCACGGCGTCATTGCCGCCACGGCGAACCTGCTGCCCAAGACGCACAACCACATGCTGCGGCTGTACGACGAGGGCAAGCTCAAGGAGGCGCAGGAGCTGCAGACGAGGTTCAGCAGGGCGGACTGGGCGCTCGTCCAGCTGGGCATTGCGGGCATCAAGGCGGCGCTGCAAAAGTACTATGGATACGGCGGCGGCCGGAGCAGGAGGCCGTTGGGGAGCACCGTGGACGCGGCCAAGCTGGACGGCGAGGTGGATGTGGCAGTGGGAGGGCTGATTGAGCTTGAGAATTCGCTATAAGTGAGAGGAGGGGATGGATATATGATATATAGGTTAGTACTCGGTAGATGGAATAGAAGAAGAGGAGGCACTACCACAGATAGGGAGGTAGATTGTATGTCTAGACAATATACAACCATATGCAAGCAATTCATTCATATATCGACACTGTTTATATTATATATTTACATTATGTATATATTCCTCTATTTAGTATATCATCTCTGTCCCACTTCTCTACTAGAACCCACGCAATAATATAGTAGTTCTCTATTCTCGGCTCATCTTCATCCCTAATATCCAGCCATCAAAAAAATATCCGTCGCCTTAAATAATCCTCCTAGCGCGCCACCCCCAAAACAAGCGTCACCAGCCACCGTCCGTCCCTCTTTAGCATCGTCGTCTCCAAAATCTCACCTCCACCAAGCCCAATCCCATCATGGCCGCCGGCTCCTCGGGTTAATGCCCTCCAAGGCCAGCATCTCGGCTCCGTTGCCTTTTTTCCCCTTTTGCCTCTTTCTTTATCTGAAAAAACCTCCCCACTTGCTGCTCTTGATTGTGCATTTTCTCGTCTCCGCTATCAAAAAAACCCCCTGAAGCCACTCCCCACTCAGAGCTTGTGCAGTGCATCTTAGCATGGCGGGGTAGTAAATAAAAGGGGACAAGGGGAGCTTGGGATAGCAAGTTGGAGCATTGATGGAGCTCGTGATGTGACCGGCTGCATGAATACTCTTCAGCTTCTTTTCCATCCGTTTACATCCATCTTTTCTTCTTCTTTCATACCTCTTTTCTTGCTAGAATAAAATACTCCTATCAACAGCTACTACCTCTCATCTCTCCTCATACTATCAAACAATCGGGTATACATCCATCTCTCACCGATCATCAACCTCCCCAATCATGGCCTCCTCCCAAGACGACCGCCTCATCCTCCCCATCATCGACTCCCACATCCACATCTACCCCGAATCAGAAAACACCAACCTCGCCTGGTGCTCCCCCGACCATCCTCTGTCCGGCCAATTCTCCGTCGACCAGTTCAAACACGCCACCCGCTCTGCCCCGTCTCTGCTGGGCTTCATCTTCGTCGAGACAGACCGCAAAAACGACCTCGCCGCCATCACATCTGGCGATGCCGAAGCCGGCTGGGATGGACCCCTCAAGGAAGTCCGCTGGCTGAAGCGCGTCGCCCTCGGCACGCCTCTTGAAGGCGAGGGCCACTCTGCAGAGGACAAGTCGCTATGCCTGGCCATTGTGCCCTGGGCTCCCGTGCCCTGCGGAGAGGCGATCTTGGAGAAATACCTTGCAAGAGTCGAGGAAGAGGCTGGAGAGGCATGGCCCAAGATCAAGGGGTTTAGGTACCTCCTGCAGGACAAGCCGCACGGCACCATGCTGGAGGACAAGTTCATCGAGGGTCTCAAGTATCTGGGCAAACGCGGCTTCGTCTTCGAGGTGGGCATCGACCAGCACCGCAGAGGCCGCAAGCAGCTCGAGGAGACGGTCGAGATGATTGGACGAGCACACGAGGGCGTTCCTGACGACGAGAAGGTGACCTTTATCATCAGTAAGTAAAACCTCAGCATCACACCAGATCAGACCCAACCATCTAACCGCCAACACCACACATAGACCACCTCTGCAAGCCCGACCTCACCGTCTACAACGTCTCCTCCGACCCCTCCTTCACCGCCTGGCGCACCGCCATCTTCTCCCTCGGCAAATGCGCACGCACATACATGAAGCTCTCCGGCGGCTTCGCCGAAATGACGCCCGCCCTGCGCGACCAAGACCCTTCCCACATCTTCCAGTCCACCCTCCCCTGGCTCGGCGTCGTCCTCGCCACCTTTGGCCCCTCCCGCATCATCTTCGCCAGCGACTGGCCCGTCTGCACCGTCGGCTTCGACAAGGACGAGACGGACGGCTCGCGCGAGGCCTGGCCCAAGTGGAAGGAGGTCGTCGAGAAGATGTGCTGGATGGCGTCGTTGGGTGATGAGGATCGCGCCATGATCTTTGGGGGCACGGCGAAGCAGGCGTATGGGCTGTGAGGAAGAAGCGGGTTCTTGTTTTTGGTTCTTGTGCTTGAATTTGTTAATGAAATATGCGAAATGAAAGTCTCTCTACCTATGTAATTGTAAATAAAACACCATTTATACAAAACCTAAAAGAAAAAGGGATGGTCTTCGTAAGGCTTCATTCATCATCACAGCACGTTCGATACGCAAAAAAGGTACGAAAACAAGTAAATAACATTCTCATCAGCATAAATCATCATCATCTAAATTAATAACCCCACCCCAAAAGAGAGGCAAAAAGAAGAAGAAGAAGAAGAAAAAGGAAAGAAAGTAGAAAGAGCCTCCCATCAGTATGTGTGTAGCGCACGCACGCACACAACTCACTCATTTCACACAAAAAAAAACAGGATATCATCACCAGAAAAAAACAACCCATGCAAAAACATGCAAGCAGCAATTTTTCTTCAAGTTTTTAAAAGAAAAAAAAAGAAAGAAAAACAACCACGCACGCTTTCATACAATTTCATTACTTCCTCTCCAATCCGTTTCCCGTCCAGATCCAACCCTAAAAAAAAAAAGAAAGAAAGAAAGTAGGTAGAAGAGAGTGAGAGAAAAGGGGGATCGTAGAAAACAAGACCATGTGGTCTAAATAAAATAAAAAGGAAAGAAAAGAAAGAAAAGAAAGAAAGAAAGACTTTCTAAAAACTCAAGAAAAACAAGAAGAGAGTGTGAGTGAACAAGAAGAAAGAAAACCCCGTCTTTTGGTTATCATTTCCCTTCGTCACTATGCTAGGGGGGGCCGTTAACGTCGTTTCCGTCTCTGTCATTCCATTTCAACCTACGGGGCCAAACATGGGTTTACCATAAAATCGCAAATCACTCGCGTCCCCTGTAATTGCCCATCTTCTCAATAGAGTTCAAGATTCCGCTACCCCGTGCGCCACCCGGCCGAGGCAGGCCCCCTCCGATGCTGCTCTTCCCCCGCTCGTGCGGCGGGCGGAGGCCGGTCCCCGGCGCCCTGAGTCCGGAGACGGAGATGCGGTTCGGGTTCGCTCTCGCTGTCTTGGTCGAGTCGGACCGCTCCAGCGCCGGCTTCTTGGACACCGAGTCTCTGCGCTCTGGCTGACGCAGGGACGATTGAGGCGGTGGCGATTGAGGGGCCGCCGGTGGTGCAGGCTGTTGGCGCTGCGGCGCTGGAGTTGCAGACGCAAGGTTCTGCATGGCCATGAGCTCCTCCGCCAGCTGCACCAACTCTCCCTTCTCGACTCTCTCCTGCTGCAGGTTGACACGCAGCTCATCGTTGTCGCGGCGCACTGTCGAGATGACCGCCTCCAGTCGTTGAACATCCGCCTCCAGCTCCCTGATCATGGCATTGTCGCGTACGGACTGGGCCTTCCACTCTTCCATCTCGGAATGGTCGACCATGGTCATGGTGGAGTCTTGGCCAGCCCTCAGCTTTTCATTCTCCATCGTCAGTCCCTGGATCTTGGACTCGAGCTCCCGCACCTTCTTCTCCCATCGGTTTTCGTACGACTTCTTCAGCGCTGCGACTTTGGTCTCGTGCTTGCTCTTGTAGAGGCCGTGCAGTTCTCGCGCCACTCGCTCCACGGCAATCTCCACCTCTCGCGTGTCCTTGGGCTTCTCGGGAGATGCGTTTCTCTCCATCTCCCTGCCAGCGCGCAGACCGGCCAGCTTGCTCTCCGCCTCCTGGTGCATCATCTCCGATGCCTCCCGTCGCTTCTCGCTCTCTTCCAGCTCTTGCTCCAGGTCCTCCTTCTCTCTCTGCGTCTCGATGATCTCTTCTCTCACAATGCGAAGCACGCCCTCCATCTGTTCCTTCAGGGAACGTTCCTCGCGCAGCCTTTCCATCGATTCGCCCACCCGCTTCTCGGCATCCGTGACGGCCGTCTTGAGAGACTGCACCTCTGCCTCCTTGCCACTCAGCGACGCCTTGAGCGAAGAAATCTCAGACAAAAAGTTGGACTTTAGAGTCTCCAGCTCCCGCGGCGTGATGGACGGAATGCTTCTGGGCGTGGCCCCGGGCGTCATGTCAAAGTCGATGAGGTTTGAGAGCTGGCGGTTGGGAGTCGCCGTCGATGGTAGGTTTGGTGTGGTTCGCGAAGGCGACAGGACGTCTCGCCTGGCGGGAGAAGACCTCTGTGAGCGTCCGAGCCGCTCGTTAAAGTCCATGAGGAGGCTGGAGCTGTTGCCGCCGTCGTCCTCCATCGTGTGGTGGGCTCTCTTCGCCGATGCCTCGCGTCGTCCGTTGGGCGTCTGCCCAAGCTTTGCGAGCATGGCCATGTTGGGCACCGCCGAAAAAGCGCTAAAAGCGCTGACGTCCATGAAGTCCTCGTCGCCGGCGGTCGCGTCGCCGCGATGGTGCCTCTCGGTGTCGTCCATGCCCGCCCTGCTGTCCTCGTCCTCCTCCCGGATGCTCCGCTGGCCGTCCTCGAAAATGGAGATGGGCTTCTTCAGTCCGTTGCTGTCCTGGACCACCTCGTCGATGCTCGGAGACGACTGCTCATACGTCGGTCGCGATATCACGTCGCCGCCCGAAAGGTTGATCTTAACAGGGAACCGTCGATCGGGCGACACCTTGCGTGGGCTGCGTACCCCTCCACCACTCACCTTGAGCAGCGAGCCGTCCAATGAGCTCCTCTGGCTCTCCACAATCCTGAGCGGTGACAGCTCCGTGCCTGACATAATGCGACTGTGGCGGGATTTGGCGGGCGAGATGTTTTCCTGGTTAAAGCGTGCATCGTCGGTTCTTATTCGCGACGGCGGCCTGAAGGCCTCTGGCTGCGAAACGTCCGTGGTTGGCGTGCTAGTCATGTCATCGTAGGCATCCTCATACTTTCCGCTGGCGGAGCTGGATGCCGACGACGTTGAATTCAACATTGCATCGGCGGCCGGCGACAGCGGGGACGACATCATGCGAAGCAGATAGTTGGTTGTGCGCAACCTCTCCTCCCTTTTGCGGCCCCTGATTTTTTGCGATTTTCTGGGCGGTTTTGTGTGCGCGTTTGCAGTGCGCTCGATTTTTGAAGATGGAAACTTCAAAGTTTGGTGTCACTGGCTAACTTAGCACCTAGGCACTTCTAGTTTCTCCAGCCCAGGGCCCTGCCTGCTATTAATAAAAGTGAATTGAGGGCTTCTGTTGTTTATGCGCTGCATTGTTGACCAGGTAACTTTTGCGCGTTAAACCGCAACAGGGCTAGCTCTGCGCTGATTTTCACGTGAGGGGACATTACAAGAGTTTCACAGTTGCCAAAGATGCCCCAGAGGCCCTAGAAAGGGGCACTGGCCAGGCCCCAGGAATGCTGCCAGGGCTGCCAATTACGAACAAAGGAGCGCTAGCCTCGCTGTAGCCGGCTGCTTTTGGCCTGTGGGATCCGACACCAAAGCAACCTACATATCCATTCACTGGCATGGGCAACTCAACACCTCAACTACCGATGGAACATAGGGGCTTCGACAACTGGGAAACGCTGGCCAGTGGCATGCATCGCTTACTCGCAAATTCAAACAAGAAACCCAAGACTCTATTTTTTTTATTTCAACGTATACTCAATAGCTTTTATTGTCGTTTTCATAATTCGTTACCTAATAACGCAACCCGTCCAATGCACCGTCTGTAGTGCTTTTATGGCTAAGAACCAGAGAAGAGAAAAGCAAGGGTAGGTCATAAGGTCATTATCAGGACTTGCCCCGACGTCTTCTCTCATTTCCAAAAGCAAAACCCGCACGTCTTTCGCGAAGAAACAACCCTCAAAAGCTAACAAGCAGCAAGAGAGAAGGAAGAAAAAAGCGATCAAATAGACCAAAAGCAAAAGAGATGAAAAAGAAATGGAAAACCAAGAAGAAAAATAGCAGAGGGAAATAATAGCAAAAAGGCCAAATATCACGGGAGAAACCCGTAACCGACCGCATCTCGCCTGAGATCATTACAGGAATCCTCTAATTTTCACTGCCCGCACACTCCGCCTCTTCAAAGAGCCCACGGGAAGGATAATGAGAGAGAACGAGTAAGCGACAACCGTGTGCCGCCTTTTTTGTGCAATTAAATTCCTCCATGCAAAAAAAAGCCGTCACTCATCAGCCATGTACATCCGTGACAGGGCATCGTAAGTAACATAGAATCGATGGCTAGTCGTGAATTCATCATCGCGTCTTTGGCATGGTGCGAAAGCCCATGAGTCGTCTGCGGGTACAAAGAAACCAAGAAACCAAAATACACGGCAAGGAATGTCGTTACACCGTTGGAGAAAAAAAATGAAGAAGCAAAAAAAAAAAAAAATGGGAAAAATGGTGCCACAAATCGCTGCAAATAAAAATTATTTCATGACGCCGCCGCTTACCCCCACCGTGGTTGACCTGAAGATGCTGCAATACCTCGAGAACATGGAACTCAGTGGAACATGAAACTCGTCAAGGCGGAAAAGGTTTGATTACGTATGTTGTATTTTGGTTTTACCGCCGGCGGGGAGCAGCGATAGCCGAAGCAGGTCGGCTCATGGCGTCGTACGTAGGTGCGGATACTGTTGTCTCCAGCATAGTCTTTCGTCGCTTAAGGTCCAGATTTCCCATGTCATCGCTTTGGGGCCGCACGATGTCATCTTCGTCATCCCGTCCCCTCTTCATGCCTGAAGTCGCACCATTCATCACCGGGGGCTGGGGGGCATAGCCGTTTGACATGGAGCTAGACATGTCGGCGGGCGGTGCATATACATCATTGCCAGGGGCGCCGTTTGTTGGTGCCCGGTCATTCGTCATCACATTGTACAAGTTGCTGGTTGACTGCTGAACACGCTGCGGAGAGTTGTAGCCAGTGTGATGCTGGTAGTAGGGCTGAGGGGGTGCCGCCGTCCTAGGCGTCGCCCGTCCCGAAGCGGGAGGATGGCTCTGAGAGTTGGCCATCTCGGATGGCATGTTTGCGTCATTGTTCATAGACGCAACGCCGGCCGCAGTGTTGTAGCTGTACGGAGCACGACCGTGATCATAGGAAGCACTGTCGTGAGTGTACTCGGCCTCATGCTCACCCTCCTCTTCGGGGTGGCTCTGGTTCTGCTGCTCAGCAGGGACGATGCCATTAGGGCCCTTGTTTTCAGGCTGTTCATTAGACGGGAGGGGCGCAGGCGGTCGGCTTGCAGGAGGGCCCATCTCGCTCTTTGAATAAGAAGCGGCCTGGCTGTACAGGCGATCCGGGGGAGGGTTCGCCGAGTTCTGGTAAGGGGACTGCTGAGCAGGAGGCGCATTGTACATCTGGCGCTGGCTATCATAGCCTTGAGCAGCAGGGGGGTACGACTGCATGCTTTGAATGGATCCGGGAGGCGTCGCGGCCGGAGTGTTGGGCATCGAGCGTGCGCTGCTGATACCGCCATCCATTGACATGGAGCTGCCGCCCTGCGATCCGTTCATGCCTTGGTTCGGCCAGTTGAAGCCTTCTGAAGTTGCCATGCTTCCCATGACGCTAGAAGCGCTCGTGGGCGGCGTGGGGAACGTCAACGCCCGGTCAAGCGGAGGTCGGCTGGTGGCCGACTGTGAGGGGAGCGATTGCTGAGGGCCAGGCAAAGCCAGAGGGTGGTGCTGTCCGATGGATGGAAGACCAGGAGGAGGCGGGTTTCGCATTGGGACGCTCTCGCGTCTTTGTCGGTCAGCAGCCGTCATGACTTGGCTCGTCCTTCCTGGATTAGCGCTGGGGTGGTATAGGAGAGCGCCAATGTTGTGCACAAAGAGAGGATACAGCATTTCTGTAATCTTCTCCTTGTTTGCAAAATCCAACGCGCGCTCATAGGGAATCCTGATGAGAGAGAGAGCGTTCATGTTAGTGTTCACTCGGCTTCGTCCCGTGAGAGAGGGGGTCAACATACCAAACGCCCTTCAGGTGCATAGGGCCAATCTTGACAACATGGCGAACTTTTTCGCTCTTCAGAATGCCATCACGGCGGCCACGAGTCATTCCCGCGACATTGAGCAATTTTGTTCCATTAATCATGTGGTTGTCTGCATCAGGCCAAGTTAGTGAAAACCGCTCAATTGGAGGAGCTTATAAAGCCAGGTCTACCATACCTTCACGCCTGGCCACGCAGATACCTCGGGCCTCGACCTGGAAACAAAGGCTGCCCTCGTCTTCCCACAACGTAGCAGTGACACGAGGCTTCATGCCTGGGGGAGGCTGCTGCCCCGTGGTATCGAATCCAACATATTGGGCCTGGCCAGCCACTCCGGGGATGGAAGGCAGCACAGTCGATGGATTGCCCATAGGATTTGATACCGACGGAGGAGCAGCTGGAGGGGAGGTAAGGCCATTGGCGTAGCCATACTGGTTGTAAGGAGCCGGATTGGAGTAAGGCGAAGGTCCAGGGGGCAACAGCTGAGACTGATGTTGCGAATAGTGCGCCAGACCGCCAGAGGTAACGGTCTGAGGAGGGGGCGGCTGCCCAGCTGACATGTGCTGTGTGGCGTAGTACATGTCGGCACTCTGGTTCATCGCGTCGTAACTGACGATGGTAGTGGCCGGCCCCGTGATGGCTTGGGCAGGCAGCGTGGGAGACGGGGTCTTGGGGCCGTTTGACGATGAAACAGAGGTATACGACGACAAAGACCCAGTATGAGAGCTAATTGACGATGCAATGGACCCAACTCGGGGCGAAGAGGTGTTTGAAGAATCTGCCTGGTACGGCAGCGGCGGAGGGAGAGACGGCAGTCTATCGCTGCTCATAAAAGATGAGCGGGAAGCGGCGTGAAAGCCCAAGTACGGGAGGTCTGAAGGCCCTCGGGACTGCACTTGACTGTGTGGCAAATCCAGCTTTCCGGTGTTGGTCTTGTAAGAGGCAGAGGATAGAGCAGACGAGAGCCGAAGTCTCGTCAAGACAAGAATAAAATGCGATGGAGAGAATTCGACGCTAGCCACTCAACAAAGACCGCTCGCAATGAAAGAGTCCAAAGTCAATCGGGAACGACAAGACAATTGGGAGAGACGGAGGGGTTTCCAAAGGTCCAACAGGCTCGGGAGAATCTAGCGGTGATCGAACGCTTGACAGCAAACGGTGAGAAAGACGAGGCGAAAACTTTTTTTCTTTTCCGGAACAGTAAGAGATACTCGTAAAAAGAAGCGTCTTTAGTCGTAACAGGGCATCAAAATCAATCGTTTCGTCTCAATCGTAACATCCGAACTGGTGCCTCCAGAGTCGTTGCAGGCGCTTGCAGCGAGTTCTGAGGTAATATCAGGCAAAGTCGGCGGTGACGGCGGTGCAACAGAGGCTGCAACCAAGTCCGGGCAATGATGACTTTGAAGTCGAAGTGAGAGGAATGGGAGCTGCGATTGAAGGACAAGGTCGGTTTGGAGGGTGGAGGAAGTTCTGGGACGGGCCACAGCCGTGTGCAAACAACTGCAGACGTTTGTTCGCTTCCTGGTCAGGTCACCCACTACTGCAATGCAGACCGATTAGCTGCGTTGAATGCCGGATAAGAGAGAAGAAGAGGCGGGGGGGATGAGGATGCGCAAGAAAAGAAAGAAGAGAGAAAAGGAAAAGAGCAAGACAGAAGAGGAGGGTTATGCGGACGCGAGAGAAGATGTAGAGACTGAGAGCTGCGGCGGGCAATGTCTCTTTTCAGGTTTTCTTTTTTCTTTTTTTTTCCCTTGACCTTCTCTCTCTTCTCAGTCGGCTGACTGCAGTGGGGAATAAGACGGCGCCAACGGGCAAGGCACAAAAGACAAAGACTCAATCAATGCTGGACTTACCTTGGTCCTGGCCTCTCGGTCTCGGAAGCTGAACCACAAGGGAAGAGAAGGGAAAATGAGGAGGTCGGTGGAGTCGTGAAGACAAGAGGAAGAGAAGCAAAAAGACTGTCGCCAGGCCAGGCTGGGGACGGTTTTGTTTTTGGCGGTTGAGGGGAGCAGACCAACGGGGCCCTGGGACGGGCCAGGGAATAGCAGTAGAGTCAAGGTTCAGAGTGGACAAGCACAAGCTCGGGGTGGGGAACTGAGCGCTGCCAGTTGGTTACAGTGGAGGGGACGGTACTTTTCAGCACCTGGGCGGCGACATGTACCCGGACAGTGCTGGGCACAGTCGCCGGTGCGTACGAGGTACCGCTGGCCCAGCCGGTACATGTACCTTGCCAGTGCTGTCCCGGCCCCCTTGGGCGCGTACGAGCCAGCGGTAGGGGGGGTCCGAGCAGCCAAGCAGCCCTTCGCGGTTAGGCCAGATTGTGGATTGGCGACTCCTGGTGTGGGCTCTCGCACTGCTGGCAGCATCAAGCATCAAGCATCAAGCATCAAGCGTCAAGCACCAAGCCATCCATGTACCGGTACCAGGCGCAGCGGCCCATCCCAGCGGCCGTCGCTGGGTGCGATTGGCGCGTCCAGGTATGGGTACAGCACAGTACCGACGCCAGGCCTCCCCAGGCCTCGCCAGCCGCCGGCTGCTCGACGGCACAGTGCTCGTACTGCCCGCCGCAATGGCTTCAATGGTACCCCGGGCCTCGCCAGGGCACTCGGCGCTGGAGCTGCCCGCTGTACTGTAGCCTGCGTCGGGGCCGTTATCGCGCTGAGTGACAACGCACTGGCGCTGCCTTGTGCCATTGACGGCTCTGGTACTTGTGCTGCCATACTGGTGCCGCCCAGGCAGCAGGTACCTCCTACGGGCGCCAGTCGCTTCTAGCGCTGCGCCCGGCCTGTCCGCTGTCCTTCTCTAGCACTCTCAGCTCGGAGCCCCTCTCTCTCCCCCAACCTCTCTCTCTCTTTGTCCCTCTTTTCGCCCTCTCTCTCGTCGCCCTCAAGTCAGCTTCTGCTGGCCTAACCGCTGCAGCAATCGACGAACCTTCTTCCTGCCAGCATCTGCAGGTCTCTTCCGCCACGGCGCCGGGCTCCACAGTTGGGCGCGCACTGCTTGCAGGCTTGCAGACAGCTGTCTCCCGAATGGTGCGAAGGAGTTCCGCAGCAAAAAAGGCCATGGCGCGGACGGTACTTGGTGCGAGTCCAAGCACGTACGAGTACAGACTTGCGATTTGGGGTGGAGCTGGGCGTCCAACGCAGGGCCTGGTCGCGACAAGGGTCAGAGGGGTGTGCCAGCGCGGCGTGGGTGGATCAGCGTTGCACCAGGATTCGATGGAGCCAAGGTGAGGTGGTGATGGTCGATGGTCGTTAGCAGCGAGAGTTGCGGCCCACCCAGACTTGTCGACAGGGGACGGACGGACAACGGGCAGACGGGGCTTCCGGCCACAAATCCCAGAGTGCTGACGGCGCTTGCTTGGCTCTGCCAGAGCTCTGTCGTTGCCCTTTTGACTCTTGTCCACCGCTTTCTCGCGTTCCCTCCATCTGTCTCTGCCTGTCCCTTGTTGGGCATTGGGCATGGCCTGACATCCATCCACAGACCCTTTTTACGACGGATACCATGTGCGTGTCCAGGCGTGAGCCCCGTACAAGCACGAGTACTGTCGGTCTGAGAGCGACCTCACTCTGCTGCGGGTACGGAGCGTGGTGCTACAGTGCTGTACATGTACTCGTACATGGGACTAGGGTTGATACGATTAGACAATCGCATCAGAGATCTTGCCTAGATAAGACGATTCTGGGTTGGGGGGGGCCGGGCAATGAATGGTGCTAGCCAACCCTGCGATGACTTAGCGAGAGCGCAGGCTAAGACTCGACAGCCTTTCGGGGAGACACAAGCGCTTCTCTCTTAGGAAGTTTAGAGGAGGGGGGTTAATATCCATGAGCTTCCCGTCCCTGCCTTGGCACCAGGGAGGGGGAGGAAATCCTGGCGGCATTGTGGCAAGCAACATGATCAGTGCATCCTATCGTCCCCTTTGGATTTACGGATTTACAAGTACGAGCATTAGTAGTGCACCGTTCTCGCCGGTCGACATCAAGGGTCCAGGGCAGGGCGACAGCTGGCCTTGAGCGTGTGCGATACCAACACAAGCTCGGGATGAGCATCGACTTCAGGTCATTGGCCCTTCCTGTGGCCTACCCGTGCTAGTCTGGGAGCGGCTTAGCCGTCGGCCGACGAAGCATCTTGGAGCGCTTCGGCTGCTTTTGCCAACGGAACGGCAATGCCAGTGGCTGGGCCACCGTCAGCAAACCCATTTGCGCACACCGTCCTTCGAACCGATCCGCCGAGCTGCTCAGGCGTTGCCGAGACAAAGGCCATTTTCGTCACGATACGAGTGGCCCGGCTTACCTTTGTGCTTGGTCCTCAACTCAGCGCCGAGCATTCGACTTGGTCAGCACATTGTTGGCATCCAGACGATTCGACGTCATGAGCTTACATGTGCTGTACAGCTACAGCACCATTCAAACAGAGCCGCATACTGTACCGTTGCGTGAGCCTGGGGAGATGAGCTCAAGTTTATCCATATAGCCGGCCGCGGGCCACTTCGGAAAACTGCGATATGGCCGTATGTTTTCACCAAGGAGTACTCCGTACCCCCGTACTCGTACATGGCCGTACAGTACCGTAGTAAAGCCCTCTGTGGTGGCTCAGACGCCAATTTGGAAGCCACTCTCCGCTGATCAACACAATGCTGCCACTGGTGGGCAGATCACATCAACGCCTTGTTTCTTTTAATAATTCAAAATGTTGATTTACAATGCGGCATACCAAGCAGCTTCCGCGGAACTCTGTTTAAGCACTAAGCCGAGTGGCTTTGTCATAATCAAAGTGCTAAAGCAAAAGGCTGGACAAACACGTGCGCGATATCCAAGTTCTGGCAGCCTTTCCACATTGTTCCTCGGCCTGTTCCTGAAAGTTTGATGCTCAACTACCCACTAAAATCTGCCCGGTTAGCACACTTAGCATGTTAGCCTGTTCCCGTCTTCGTATTCCACTGTCATCAGACGGTAGACTTCGCACTATGCAGTTGCTACTGTTAGTACGGGTGCTATCAGCTCATGTCTATACGTGGAAACTTGCTGCGAGTGACATCACATGGGCTTTGACAATGAGAAGCCGATTAGCATGCAAAAAGCCAAAAACTCTGAGCATTAGCTTGTGGGTGAAGGCTACTGTACCGTCCGGCTCGGCTTGCTAGGGCGCACAGCCTCTGCATCTGCAGGTACTTGGTTTAGCTGTTTGCCAAGGTGGAGTTGCTTCAGTCCATCCAGGTATACCGGCGTGAATTAGTTGCGCTCGAGAACCTGCTCGGCAGCGCTGGGGAGATTGGCACAAAGAAGGCCACGGCTAATTTGTGTTTTTTTTTTCCCCTGATACTTTGTTGGGCCTGGCGAGGATGTTACGCCGTGGTCCTTCTGGCTGCAAAGACACGCGTTTAGTAGTAGTTATCCACGGATAGACACGTGCGTGACAGCTTACCTTGACACGTTCTGTCGCGAGCGAAGCCAGCGCCTTTAGTAAACTTACCTAAGGCAGTCAATGCTGCAGACTATTGTATGTACTTGTGCACAGTATCGATAAGTCGATAAGGGCGTACTGGGCGGAACACCCCGCTTCGGATCGACGCTCTGCAGCGATCTGAGGGAGGGAAGGCAGAGCCGTGGTGCAGGTGCTGCAGAGTCACTTGGACAGAGCTTGCGACTCCTCACCGAGAGGACGTGGCCAATCCGGCTTCATCCCCAACAGAAACCAGCAGCACCTGATTCTCTGCAGCCAAATCGATGCTCGGCTCGCTTCCGCTCCAACGCCACGCCTTCAGCCTCAGCGAAAAGTGCCGTGATAGTCGAGGATGGCTAAAGCCTCGACCTGGCCGGACCTGAGGCTGCCGAAAATAGAAACGGAGCTACGGAGCAATACTATGTACTGTACGAGTATGTACAGTCCGGACAGACCATGGGAACTTCTCCACGAACTTTTGCCAACAGTGTGGACTTCTCGCAACAGGTGGTCGATTCAGGCGATCTGGCATGGCATGGCATGGCATGGCGCCAACGTGCGCCCAGAGCCGGCTGGAGATGCAAGATGCACGCACGCATGATGGGGAACGACGCACATTCGCATCAGGAACAGAGTTCCACGATGCATCCATCTTGCATGCTATGTAGGTCAAAGCGCGCACAGCAACGGTTTCCAGGATCCTGCATGCCCGGGGAGACGCTCCTCCATGGCGAGCGAGCCGCAGGTCCGAATGCGCCTCTGCAAGGCATTTTCGCAACCCGTCGTTCGACACAGAGCCGCGGTCATGCTGCTTGACCCAAGACGCCTTGATACGTCGACCCCAACGAAGCAACTCGATTCCAGCTAGCCCACAGCCATTTGCTTGCAAAACTGCCTTCGATTAGCAGCCATTGGCTGCTCTCAGCCTGGGCTTATGGTCGCGTCATGGCGTGGGCGAGACAATTCGCCTAGAAACAATCTAGTTTACAACCACTGGCACCAGCTGGCCCCAATCACACCTACCACTCACCCACAACCTGTCCCATCAATGCTAAACTGCTGCCCTCCAAGACAGTCTCTCATTAGCTCCCGCATACGTCTATGCAACGCTTACCGAGACACGTTTGTGCTATATGTACCAAGTGTGCACGAATAATCAAAAATGCAAGATACCCGGCATAGCCTCAGCCGCCGGCCACGTTCCATCCACAAACGGCATCACATGTTATTTCTCGATGTGGTGGATACTCCATCTAGGTGAGGCGTTTGGCTATACATCTACAACATCTCTTGATATTACAGTACAGCCACGATAATCTCAGAGTTTGCCTTAGCCGCCATTCCTCACCCAGGAAATTAAGTCGGCCTATCCTATTCGTCGGAGAAATTGGACAATCACAATTGCGAGTATGTCATGATTCGTTGCATGGGAAACTCAATCGACGTTCCCCTGGCTTGCCAAGGGCATCGCTAAGGAACGGCGAATTCAATGATACAACTAGATTCTGCGCCTTATTGAGGGTGCAAAGCCAACTAGATTGCTTCAACATCCATTCATTCCTTCAGCCCAGTGACCCCACAGCCGGAGGATAACCTAACCAGGCGGGCGTTTTGCGATCACCGAGGACCTGGCATATGTGGAGAGGTGCAAGTGCAAGCGCAAGTGAAAATTTGCAAGGTATTCCCTGCTAACCATTGCGATCCCGGAGAAGGGCTCCATTGCGCATTGCACTCTCTCGCGGAGCAAGGCTGGCCTTGGAAATGCGACGTTAAAATCTTTCGCCGTCGGTTCTCGCTCGTCCCCGGTGGCGGCCGTGTATACATGGTAAGTGCTTCCCACTCCATTACTCGTATGTACCATGGCTATTTTTGCGCAGGCCCTGATATGGTGGACGAGGATCTGATATCCGCGACATGCCGGCCTTGCGATGTGGTGCCACTGCAGAAGAAGAGTGGGGTACTGCCGACCGAATGCAAGATTCCGTCGGGGACTAAAGCGCCTCCCATCTTGCCTGATGCACGCTTGCCACGGCGTGTGCAAGAATCCGTACATGCATTGGCACGGCTTGCCCAAGAAGTGTCTTGCACATATCTTGCATGAAAAGGTTATGCACAACCGCGGCAAACAAGCCAGCCTGTTGACGATGTTTCGCCACCAACGCCGTTGAGGATGGATGCTTCACGCTTGAGTTACCGGCACGACGTGTCTGCAGTCAAGGCATCCCATCATGTTGTGTACAGATGCCCTGCCTTGTATTTCACATGGATCTCCGTGCATGCTCACTAAGTTGGTTCGTGCATCATATCTTGGCCTTCTTTTATCTCCCACCGGCTACATGATAGGAGATGCTTTTCCCCCCTTCGACAGAAGAGGGAAGAGGCTTAAGCATGTCGCCTGCCTGGGTTCGTGAATAACCTCCTTGCTTGAATATCAGCTGCGAAATCGCATCTCTCGCCATCATCTCCTCCTTGTTGTTTACTATGCCTGCTTCGCGAACCGCTGGACGCCAGAAAAAAATCCTTCCGGAAAGCTGCCATTGCTCATATCTGCAAGTACCAAAAGTACCTGGCCATTGGTCAAGATACGTGCAGCTGATTTACTCGCACTGTATTCAGGTCACTCCCACCTTACAGGTACTTCCTACCAGCCATCCATTATCGAAGCATGGCCTGAGCTTAGGGGGGAAGGAAGTGGAGGGGGATGGGGAGGGGGGTATGAGCTGGCAAGCTTTCTCCCGCTCTCTTTGATCTACTTCGTCTTTTCGTCGTCTCCCTCCCGTACAAGCACAAGGGAATATCGGTTCACGACGAAACAGACGACTAGTATGAGAATGGCTCAGACCCAGCTCAGACGGCGTCAGAGATCCTCCCTAATTTGAAGTTCCATCATGGCCGGTTTTCGTATGTCACCAAGAACATCATGCAGGAGCGGGGATCTTAAAAAACGAAGGGGGAAAAAAACACCCAGCCAACTAGAGCGGTTGTGGTGTCTTGCATCTGGGGAGGCTTGACAGCTGGCCGTTCCCCACTGGCTGTATCATCTCGCCAGCACGTTTCAACAAAGGACACATGGCCAGCCACACGACCAACTCGCTCTCGGAAGTTAGTATAATTTTGGCCATGATCTTGATCTTCCTTGTCTTACTTCGGAGCAACCACCACGCACCATGCGAAAGGCCAATGAGGGCATTGTTATCCGCAGTGGAGGCGGTTGGCTGTTTTCTTTCACGTGTGCCAAATAGAAACGGCCTCCTCCGGCGGTCGGGAGGTAAACTGTGCCACGAATCAATTGAGCATGCCATGGTTTCTAAGCCATCATCAGAATTAGTGCCTGACCAGGGGCAAGGAATTGCCACCCAGCCAGTCGTGAAGCCAGGCCGTTAGCAACAATATTGGAGAAAGCATGAGTCCCCGTACTTACGCGCTTAACCACGACCCATGCACGGAGAAGATGATTTGGGCTGGCATTGTTTGGATACTGCCATCAAATGACAGCAGCAGCTGCTGCTTCGCGCTCGGCTCTTTGTCCCATGAGCGCCAAGGGTGGGCACATTGCTCTGCCTTCTTGGAGGTACCAGTTACGGATACACTGCACAATGTGTGCGCCTGAGACTCATTATGCATGACATGCTGCAGTATGAGCCGCGGGTTGATCTGGCATAAGGCCATACCGACAACCCCGGCCAAAGCATCTCATTCACAGCCCTGCTTTGCTGCCGGCCGTTGGCAAAGTCTCACGTCGGGGGCTACGCCATAATCTGTACGCCGGACTCTGATCAGAAGATTTGGTCTCCTCCCAAGAGCACCTGTGATGTGAACGTGTTTACCAACTCACCTCCCCACCTGGGACCCAACGAATTTGCTTGGTACGCGGTGTTCTCATCGGTAATGTTAGCCGCGCTTGCGAGCAAGATGCTCACTCACGGCACTTGATGCTTTTGGCCCCCTCGCGAACAGGGTTCCATATCAGCAGAGCGGATTACGCTGCATGTGTTCATCTATTGATCTACGCTATTAAATGCTTTGCCCGTTCTCTCACCTCGAATCCAGTAGTTTGGCAGGTTTTGACAGGATCTCTGACAATGACTTTTGCGTGGTCCAAAACATTAGCACTTTCATTTCAAAAGCACTCACAAAAGATACAAGTACAAGCAAGTTACGCATAGAGTACTGCGACGCCGAGTCTACACCACGCGAACCTGTCGTACGCTGCATAACATCTCCACGATTTGGAGCTCCAGAGAGTCGACAATTCAGTTCATTGTCATACAAGAGCTCCGGCAAAATTCGAAGTCAGTGTCGCTGTACACGCCCCGAAAGTCACGCCTTCTGCGCCACAAATGTTACTCTCCCCAATCGGATCATCAAACCGCTCTCCTTATCATAAAGGATGAACGAATCAACGTTTCACCAGCTCACCTAGATAATTCAACGGTGCTGACCAGGTGTATCCTCGTTGAAATTTGCCATGGCTGAGGCCGAATACTCCCTCGCTTCTCATTCCGTCAACCCTAATTCGAGGTTGAAATGGCGGCAGAGTCCCTGCAGCCTTGCTCCTAGCCTGAAGCTTTGTTTAGGATGATACAACCCAAGCCAGAGGAAGAGGGGGAGGGGTGGCCATGCTAGCTTTGGAGCACTTGCATGATGCACAGCGGCTATGTATGTCTAACACATAGCCAATCACTCTGTTTGCTGTGGAGACTTGGAATAGACATGGGTCCCTCCTGAACGGTTTCAAGACCAGCCATTTCCAGCCCTCGTCTTTTTTTTTTTTTTTTTTTTTTTTTTTTTTCCTCTAAACCGCCATGGTACGGATTACGAAGTATGGCTAATAGATCTCTGCCTGGTGCTAACTAGGTAGCTTGGCGAAGAGGAAGGGCCTTGCATCTGGTCGGGGCCCTTTGCTCGCCATAATCTAAAGATTACACACCAGATCAACCAAGATGGCATGCACGTCCGTCCCTTGACATGGCCTCTATCCGACATGGCCGGCCATGTACAATGGCTGAAGTTCTTTCTATCTCTCCACCTTGTGCACCGGTGTCAGTTTCGGTGGAGGATGTCGCTTTCATTTGGTAGATCCTACATTAGCCTTCCCGTCTCTTCTTGCGGCCGGATGCAAGCATGTACTTCCGTCAGCCAGCAGGAGAGTAGGGTACTAACTCCGGAGCAGCTGGATGGTGCTCCTCATAATGCACGTTTTGCGGGATGGTTACCTACCCACGGAGTGCCTTTGAGTTTGAACTCACAACGTCACGCTTCCCATCCTCCACCACCCACTCGCTACAAGGCCCGACCGAAGGGTGAACCTCGACTAGTGCAAGAATGTGCAGAGAAACCCGTGATTCCAATACCTTAGTAAAGATCTCTTTCGCTAAGGCTTCATACAATGCTGATCCAAGCATCGTACACCTTGGCCTTAGCTTGGACTCGTGATGACATGGAGACTGACCTCTGTTTTCACCTGTGACACTGACACTGAGAACCCCCTGCTGGTGGTATGGCTACTATCTCCGAGATCCGTCTTCCACAATCATCTCACCAACAGTACGAGGTATTTCTACAACCTCTTCCGATCGGAATGGAAAGGAAGCTTTCTCACTTTTTCAGCTTCTCGGCAGGATAACCCACCCATTCAAACACCATTGGCCGTCGATTGAGCCGGTGGCCACGGGTAATTTCTCTCTCTCTGCTCTCTCGGTTTCCTGATTCTGCTGCCAGGGCTTACTGGAGACGAGATGAGTCTTTGGTGCTACTACTTTGCGGTTGTTGTTTTTTTTAGCGACTCCAGTGGCCAGGGCGGCGAGGGTCCTCAATATCAGCCAGGCCAATGAGAGCACACCACGTCTCTGCCATACCACACCAGATCCCGCGAAGGGCCACCGTCCGCCGCCGTCGCCGGCGCTGTTGTGTGCCTTCCCACCCTAGCACCAGCCAAGCACGTCAACGCCTCTGCAGGGCTGGACTTTTCTGTGGGAGCATTCGGGCTAGGGAAAAGCATTTTACTGCGGTTATGTCGAGCCAGCACATCCAGCGTCTGTTGGAGCTTTCCAGGATGAGCTATCCAATAACTCAATGGAATTGATAAGCGAAGCTGTAGAGGAGCCCTGCGATCCGGAGCTAATGACTTGCCTGGGCAATTGGGCTCTCGCTCCGTATCTCGTGTTTGCTCACACTGTCACTGTTTCTTCCTCAGCCGAAGTTAGAAGTTGGCGTTTCCTCTTGATGCTGCTCTTGTCAGCCGTTTTGGCAGAAGCCTCTTGGCCCCGGCCCCTCAATTCAACAATTCCTTTTGCTCTAGAGCATGTGCTGGAGCTGCGTGATTGAGGCAAGTCGAGGAAGAGGACATGGCCTGGGATCCGGGCAAAGGAAATTCAAATCCACATTGCCAGATCATCGTGTGTGGGTGCGCACCTACCTGCAAGCATATGGGACAAGCGTGTATTTTTGGTGAGACCCCCCCCCCCCTCCTCCCCGGCTCGGCATTAGAGCACAGGTAAGAAGTACATGCGTGGAAGAACGGTCCGCTTCACATGGAAGACCGAGGGTTGTTCTTTTGGCTTCCCCTCATAAGACTGCCCTGATAGCAATATCCACTGCTACACTATTACGAGCTACGAAATACACCTAACGTTTATTTCAAGTAATGAACGCACCACGGCTGCAGACCACAGATGAGAAGTACCACCGAGAGGGCGCGGCTTAGCATTGGGCTGTGGCTGGTGGAGGAATTTCTGCCATCAATCGTGTGCAATGAGTCAGGAGAGGTAAGGTGATGGATGGCATCTCGTCGTGACACTCTTGTGAGAGTAGCAATTCTTCCCTGGAATCTGAACCAGTATCGTTGGTGTTTGTGATGGAAAGGAATACTCGACAGAGGCCAATTCGCACGCCCTTTATTCTCTCTTGCCCCTTTCGCCATCATTTTCAGTTTCTTTACTGTTGTTTCCTTGTACTCTGTTGTACAACTTCATTTCGTGATTCAGCTGAGGTCACAAGCAGGTCTCGTCGTTGTCTTTGCCTTTCAACCGTTCTGGACCAACCAACCAGCATCGGCCGTTGGATTGTCTCGCCCTGTGAATTCCCGCAGCCCTAGTGACATGCCGAGCCTGTCGTTTTTCATTTTCATTTTAATGAAATGGCAGTGGCGTTGTCTATCAGGTCTTACATGTACGAGTGAGTGGCAGCAAAAAACGTCCAGGTTATGCCAAACCCCCCTCCCCCATATTGGCAACTTTACGGCACAAACGTACGTACGTGCCCATCCCGCGAGCATTGGGAAAAGATAGCGAGTGTGGATCTTTGGCGTGATCAATTCTCCGTCTTTCCTCCCTTCCCTCAACTCACATATTCATGCACAGTCTCTATAAGCGGTTTGCCTCTTTGGAACCACGTGGTCAGTGCTATATGTAGTCTGTAATCCTGACGTCCGTTTGCTCTACACCGAGTGGAGCATTGGCCCGGAGCAGAGAACGTGACATGCCGTGGTTCGCCCTTTTACTCACGCTTTTTTTTCGGGGCATCTCCCGGCAGTCTTGTCAGACCGAATGTTGCTCGGCCGCCCATGGGGAGGGACGTTGTATGTCCGATGATGGCGAGAAAATTCCTTGCCTGAGGCCCTCCCGGAGGAGGCACCTGGCTTGCCCTTGCTCGCCTCCAAAACTGGAGACGACAAGACCTGGGGCTGTGGTTGTGCGGCGTGGTCTGGCTTTTCTTGTGGTGGCTCCATCTGCCTAGCGTCTGGCCTTCTCCCCTCACCGCTTGTTGCGTTGCTCGCACGCATGTTGATGGATGGAGAGAAACCCCCTCCCTTGCATACCCGATTTTGCATGGAGCCCACCCTCTGGGGGGGCGTGTGGATGGGGGAGTGTGCACAATTCGGCTTGACTTTGACAGAGAGCTTCGCTGGCCAGCCGTTCGTCTTATTCCTCACGGTTTTTCTCTCTCTTGAATCCGCTCAACCGCTTTGTTTTCTCCTTCTTGTCTTGTGTTGGCCCTTGCCAGCTCAGAGGCAAGGGATCCGCCCGCCAACAAGACGGTCCGTGGGCAGATCGCCCAAGTCAATCCTTTCCGTGGTCACAGTACAAGTCCTCATGGTCGAGCTGTTGGTGGCTGCCGGAACCACCAATACGTGTAGATATGACAGGAGAAGGGCGAGAGCATCTCCCCATACGAGGGGAAAAAAAGAATCCCAAACCTCGCTTGACCACTGTGACAACCCAAAAAAACATGCAACATGACTGACACGAGTAAGCAATGTTACGTGCAATTGTAGGACAAAGAAAAAAAGGCAAATTGCGGGCAACAAGGGCCGCGGCTGGCGGCAAAGAGGGCAAGAGAGAGAAACTGAAGGAGGAGGCCAAGGAAAAGCCGTGAGAGCAATCTGCGTGTTGTGTGTGACCAGGACCAGCCCCCGGCCGCTCGCCCCCCCCTCGTCGTCGATGCTCCTTACAGCATGATCACCATCACATATGTGCAGGTAAAACGAGACGCTGGCGAGGAGGGAGCTCTGCCGATAGGAGAACGAGAATGGCTGGCAAGGGCAGGCCACCGCACCTGTACCGTTACTTCAGCACTCGGTACGTCTACGTAGCACCGCTGCGTGGCTTGCCTGTATGGTGTTGAAGGGAAGCCTGCGAGCCCAGGCTCACCAAGATCTGGGCAGTTTGATGCACAGCACTTGGCCCTCTGTCTCTCGTCTCACGCAAGCAGCACGTGTGAGGATGTACAAAGTACAGCATACGAAGACTGCTAATCGTAGTGATACATTAGCTCTCCGGCCGCAGGCGCACCATGAGCAATGACCGGGGCGCTTCTGCCACGACTCAGTCTGACTTGTTGTAGGAAAGGTAGTGTCCTCAATGGCCGTCCAAAGTGCTGATCGAGCGAACTAAAGGACGCACAGAAGGGAAATGAAGACCCAAAGCACCCTGTATTGTCTTTGTGCAGGTGGTGTGCTGTACTCGTACATAAGGAAAAAGAAGCGTTGCGGTGGTATGTACATTCATGTAGGTCCCTACTGATGTACATGTGCATGGAGGCTCATCTGTCTCGCCCATGCATCGATTAGCAGCGACGCATTGCCTTGGTAGCCTGCACGATGGGATTGGCTGGGAGCGCCCCGGGACTCCGTAGGAGCACGAGGAGCAACGCTGAGCCGACGCCGAAGATATCCAGCTCGACGACGCATCTCGGCTTCGTACGATGAAGACAGGATGCTCAAGATGCTTGCAACAGCGGCGGCGAGAGTCTCACGAAAGCCTGCAAGCCACCCGGCGCGTCAATGGCCATGTACATACTCGGACATGCTGAGAGATTAAATGGCCTGGGCATAGTTTTCAATGTACCGGTACTCTGTGCTGGGCACGGGAAGACGTGCTTGCTCGCCGTGCCAGCATACGAGTACGCCTCTGGGACCCTTGCTCGGGTCCATCTCACATAAACGAGCTGCTTCGTAGCCGAGATCCCAAGCCCAGAGTTTCCACCACCTTTGCGAAGGAAGTCTTGCCCAAATCAACAAATGCCACATACTGTACTTGTACCTGCAAGGAGATACGAAGCAGGTACAAGCAGCAACAGCAGCGTGCTTGCTCGTACACACATGCCGGGATGAGTATCGTATGCTTCAAAATCTGGTGGGGGACCCCGACTAGCGATCTGCAGCAGAAGCGGCCCGGAGGCTGGTGCGCTGCCCCGTCTATCCCACAAAAGGTCGCCGTGGTTTTCAGTCGAGGGGGCTGCAGTCTAGACAAAGGGCACCGGGCCTTGCACTGCGCGCGCGCACAGAGCAGAGGGAAGAGCTGGCATGAGAGAGATCGGCTTACCTGTACACCGTACAGCGGGAGATAAAAGCTGCAAAGCACGTATGATGCGCATAAGTGCGGCGAGGCAAGATGCCATGTAAGGTGCCGTGGTCCATGATCTGGTAGGGAAAGGTGCACAAGCACAGAGCCAAGTAACGAGTAGGGGAGCCCTGTAGGACGGAGCCTGCCACAGCCGCGTTGCTGGGAGATTTGGCTGAGCGGGCGGTTGGTTGTTGGTCGTGCACGGTCACGGCCACGGTGCGCAGTTTTACAACCGACGCCGTCGTGCTCGTCTGGATACTTGTACAGAGAGCATCGTGGAGCGGGCCATTGGTTTGTTGCAGAGCTGAAGGGCGAGCGACATCAGTGACAAAGAAGATGGCTGTTGAGGGAGGAGCAACGACCGAACCAGCCATTCCAAGGGTGGTATGTCTTTCTGGAACCGGAGCCTCTATCGCCGTTCAACATGGACATGCCGCCCTGGACTTGTCAGGGCCTCACCAGCTTGCCAAAGATCAAGGAAGGCAAACGAATCATGATGAAACAAGCCGCAACCAGGACAGGGGATGATCTGGTATCGTATGTACTTGGTAGTCGATTGGACGCACAGACTACATCTGCTGACCAGAGCCGTGTCCAGTGAACAAGCATTACCTCTGGTTTGGAATCATGTGCTCTGCATAGAGGGCTCAATTGTGGATTCGAGTGAGCCAGACAAGGAGGCTCCCCTTTACAGAGCGGCTGCTCTGGAGTCGCATGTGGTCCTACGGGAGGGGAGAAATGAATGAAAGGATGATGGCTGAGAGCAAATCAACAGTGCTGTAGTCCAGCCGCCCAAGCTAGTGTGTTTGCCTAGTTGATTCGTGTAACCATCGTGGTGAGAAAGGGGAGAAAGAACACTCCCGCGCTTATATGGATTCAAGGGTGGTATTCCGAGGAGAGTTTTGCGCATGAACCTCACATCAGGCGGTCATCTGGCATGCGGCCGGGGGAGCCAAGCGGCGCATCCCCAGGCGAGACGCATCGAAGGTGCAGAACGCTTGTATTTGACGAGGGCCTATGCGGATAGCCTGAGCCGGCAAGTTTGCTGTGGGTGTGGGGGACTTGCTCTGGCAGGATCCGTCGAGTGAGATTCTGGCAAGATGGTGGCGATGGTTGGTGTAATGGTGGTGGTCTGTTCGCCCTCGCAGGAGAGAAGCTGAAACATATGGAAGTGCTGGCCGACTTATACCGGATGGTGGCGATGCTGCGGACTGGTTTGGCGGTGGCGAGGCGAGGCGAGGCGAGAAATGGACAGCATGACCCCAGATGCCCTCACCCGCGTGGTGGCAGGGGATTGATACTGATGATTATGATTCTACGGAGTATGGAGTACCTATGGAGCATCATCTTGATATTGACTTTGTGGGAGACGAGCTGTGGTACAGCCCAGCGTCATGTGACCTGGCGTCAAACAGGCGCCGTCTTTCACGACAGCTTTAGCGGGACAAACGCGCTGAAACGCGGGCAGTGGCTCGAGGGCTGCTGAATGGCATTTGCGGGCGAGTTGTGCGTCTTTTCTCCCTTGGAAAACACCGCGAAGCTGCCCGGGACTGTGCTCTTTGTTACGAGTGCTGTGCCTGTATATGAGTACTACCTTACTCTGTACAGACAGTACGAGTACTACGATAGCTGCTACGAGTACTAGTCCAGGCTCAGATGCACGCCATCTGGAGAAAAGCGACATGTCACCACCCAAACCCCTGTCCCGGATCTCCGCCACGCGGCCCTGGGACCCTTGGAACTCGTCCGCAACTGGCCACCAGCGAGCAGAGACGCAGCCGGGCACGGGGTGGCGACACTCGCGGACCAGGAAGCTCAACAGCCAGTTCCGGGCCGGCGACGGCTCGGGCGGCGAGCGCTTGAGCGACACCTGGGGCGCCGGGGCAGAAGATTCCGGCGTCGATGGCTTTGGTAAGACGAAGAGTGCGAGTGGTAGAGGCAGTGACAGTGGCGAACAGGGAAGTCACAAGAGGAGCGTCGTGGACATGCTGACTCGCCCGGGGCTGATGCGTGAGACGCTGGAATCAAGCCGGCCAAACGGGCCTGAAGCACGGGACAAGTCGACGGCAGGGACCCATCTTACGGCAGAGGATGCCTTGATGCACCAGAGACGGCTGGAGGACGAGGAAGGGCAAAAGAAATCCCAGGCCAACCCCCGCAAGCTGTTCGACGGAGTCACAGTCTACGTCAACGGGAGCACGTTTCCCCTGGTGTCCGACCACCGGCTCAAGCAGCTCGTCAGCGAGAATGGCGGCAACATGTCGCTGAACCTGGGCCGGCGAAAGGTCACGCATGTTATCCTTGGGCGGCCCAATGGCTCGACAGGCGGCAGAGGAAACGGCGGTGGCCTCGCCGCGGGCAAGCTGGAAAAGGAAATACGGAAAATCGGGGGCTGCGGCGTCAAGTTTGTCAGCGTGGAATGGTGAGTTTTTGTCAGCAATTCTTCGCAGACGCCTTGACTAATTGGAATCAGGGTTCTGCAGAGCATCCAGGAGGGAAAGAGACTGCCCGAAGCGCGCTTCTCCAACCTCAAGATGGCCGTAAAGGCACAAAACAGCGTCTATGGGCTGTATTCCAAGCGGGAAGCCACTTCTAAAACCACTCCCTCAGATACCTCTTCTCAATTACCGTAATGGCAGACAAGATGGCTTGTTCTTCACCTAGACATGGAAGCACTACAGGGACCTGGTTGGACGGCAAACATATAACACGATGGACAGCAACGGACGAGAGAAGAGAAAGAGAGAATAACAGCCTCTCACATTACACCGATACGAATTTATGATATATCACCTCTCATAGACCACAAAAAGGGATCACATCCCCACGCGGTGCTAGCACCAAAAATCTGTCCAAGGACAGAAAAAGAAAAAGAAACAAAGAATAAAACTTGCTCAGTCGTCCACATCAAGTCTCGACGTGCCACCACCCCTACTATATTTGCTTGGAGATGACCAAAAAGTGAGGTTTAAGCAACGATCTAACTGACTTTAGACCCTGTCCCGGGCTCACAAGAGCCTTTTCCCTCCTTACACAAACGCTGTCTATATATCTTTCCGAGCTGTGGCGGCTTGTGTTTGCATTCGCACGAGCAATACTCGCACCAGACAGCCTCTCTTCCAACAACAGCGACGAGAGCCTCCTTGGTCTCCTGGTTTTCCGCCCCTCTACATCTCGAACCATCAAATACACGACCAGTCTTGCTCGCCGTCCAAATCCTTTTCCCAGCAACAACCGCAGATACCCCCAGCCTCCGTCCCAACCCCATTTGCAATCGACATATTCCCTCTCTCCGACCAGAAAAGAACAGCGAGCACAACATTCAATCCATTCTACCCCCCTCAACAACCCCTTCACAGCAAAAATCGCCCCCCCCTTCCTCCATCCCGTGTCCCACCTCCGCCGTGCAACTCCATCCCCCTCGACCGCCTCCATGTAACAAACCACGACAAAATCCACCAGGGGCATTAAATAAATAAATAAAATAAAATAGACTAAAAAAGAAGAGACCACAAAGATCAGAGCAATCTACACACACAAACCCGCAACACAAACCCCCATCATCACACCCATCAAGAAAACCAACCAAGAAAAAAAAAACGTCTTCCTCCATACACCCCTTAACGCAACTCCCGTGTCACTGGTTCTCCGGGGTGGCGATTTCTCGCAATGTAGGACAAGGCGACGTTGCAAGTCTGTTTCGAGTTTGGGGGATACGAGAGAGGGGTGATATCGGCGGCTTTGGACGATGAAGGAGTCTGTGCCGTAGAAGGAAGAAGAAAGAAGGGACTAAATGTCGAGAGGTTTCTGAGAGCTTTGTGGCTGAGTTTGAGTAGCTGGATGGAAACCTGCAAGAGGTATGAAGAGGGGGTTGGATAATTGCTGTTTGGAAGGATGATGGAGGGATGTATAGGGTATAGGGTATAGGGTATGGGGTATCTTGTTCTTGAATCACCAGTTATTCTGGGAGTTTTCTTTAATAAGCCGACTTGTTGAAATAAAATAAAATCAACATATACATATATCCAGCAGTATTCTTTGGTACTGCATACCTAGCGTAGATACCTCCATTATATTTGGTAGGTAATTAATTGCTTAATATCATAGTCCGATTGATTGTGCTGTCAATCTTGAATCCAACGCCCACATTTGAATAACAATCCAAAACCATCATATGCCACGCTCGCTACAATTTTGCCTTTATGCCTTCTTCAACAGCGGCATGTTTCTCACCCACAGCATCAAAATACTCCTTCACTTTACCCCTGGCCACGTCTACAACCGCGGCATCTTCCACAGTGCTCGGCACCGCGACTTCTTTGTCAAACTCGCCCTTGGTCGCATTCTCTAGAAGCTCCCTCAGTACACGCCTGAGGGTCTTTCCGGAGCGTGTCTTGGGGATCATGCCTTTGCCTTGAATGATGCCACCAAGCGAGGCGATGGCACCTACTTGCTTCCTCACAAGGGCCTGAATCTCAGCAACCAGCTTTGGGTCAGGGACAGCAGCTGTTGGGTGGGATGGGGTAGAGAGTGTGATAAAAGCAAAAGGCAGCTGACCCTTGAGGGCGTCAGGGACACCCACGATACATGCTTCGGCAACGAGGGGGTGTGAGGTCACAGCTTGTTCAATACCACCTAGAGCGAGAGCTTGTTAGCTATGTTGGTCCAGAGGGTAATGTGTGTGTTGAAACTCTTCTTCACAGCCTTATGTCGGCCAAGGAAGAACAAAACGTAGGGATAGCAGAAAAAATAAGAAAAAAACACTCACCACTAGACAGCCGATGTGCGCTCACATTCAGCACATCGTCATTCCTGCTCATGACATGAACGTAGCCTTCGCTGTCAATCCAGCCTGAATCTCCGGTATCAAGCCACTTTCCTTGGAATCTCTTCAAGTATCCCTTGTAGAATCTCTCCTCGTCGTCCCATAGCGTGCGAAATCCAGTCGGGGCCAATGGCATTCCCAGCACAATGTTGCCCATTGTTCCTCTCTCAACCTCACGACCCTCGTCGTCAACGATGCGAATGTCGAAGCCAGGCATGGCTTTGCCAGCGCTGCCGGGTTTGAGACGAGGAGGATCATGACGGGCTTTGGTCTTGCGGTCGCGACCCGCGTGGGGGACGAGAGCGCGGCCAGTCATGGGAGAGCCAGTTTCCGTGGACCACCAGTTATCGATGACATGAGCGGATGGCGCCGCATATTTGTCTAGGAGATCTTGATACATGGATATGATGCTTGGCTCTGAACGCTCTCCGGCCAGGAACAGGGCATTGAGCGTGCGGAGGCCACCCCGCTGCCCGATCTCGGCCAGAAACTTGTTGTCAGGATCGTCGCGCTTGATGGCGCGTAGAGCCGTTGGAGCAGTGAACATGGTGTTAACCTTGTACTCTTCGATAACGCGCCAGAAGGCCGAGGCGTCTGGTGTTCCGACTGGCTTGCCTTCATAGATGACAGTGGCAGCGCCAGCCAGCAGCGGTGCGTAGACGATGTATGAGTGGCCAACAACCCAGCCGATGTCAGACGCCGTGAAGACAACGTCGCCAGGCCCGTGGATATTGAAGAGGTAGCTTATAGAGAGGTGTAGACCAACAGCATGGCCTCCAGCGTCTCGTAGGACGCCCTTGGGTGTACCGGTTGTGCCGGATGTGTGGATAATGTAGACGGGGTCAGCACTGTTCACGGGGACACATTCGGCCTTGATGCCTCTTGAACGTGCGCTCTTTATGACTTTCTGCCAGCTTGCCTGGCCGGCACTGCGGTCTGTAGGTGCCCAGCTAACTTGTTCTCGCTGCCAAATGAATGTCCGGCGTGGCTTGTGAGTGGCTATCTTATAGGCCTCCTCGACGAGGGGGCGATATGGGATAGGGGGCTTGTTGCCATCAATGCCACAAGATGCCGTCAAGAGGGCGACGGGCTTGCATGAGTCGATACGCTGAGCAAGGGCATTGGGGGCAAAGCCGCCAAAGACGATGGAGTGGATAGCTCCGAGACGGTTCACAGCAAGGATACCGATTAGAGCAGCGGGAATCATGGGCACTGTTGTTTTAACGTTAGCGATATGAAAACCATGTCAGGCAAGTAGACAGTAGATGAAATGAGTGAGTGAGTAGACTTATAAGGATGAACCTACTGTAAAGCATGACAACATCGCCTTTACGCACGCCGTCTTCCCTCAGCGCTCCCGCAAAAACCTCAACCTCATTCAGCAGCTGGCGGTATGTGTACTTCTGCTTGACCTGGGTGACTGGGCTGTCAAAGTAGATGGCAACTTCATCGCCATGGCCAGCCTCGACATGCCGGTCAACACAATTGTAGCAAGTGGAGATCTCGCCGCCAGGGAACCACTCCCAGCTGTCGTGTTCAATGCCGCTCTTGAGCTTCTTGGCTGTAAGCTTTAGTGTTGAGCTGGGCTTCTTGTGCCAGTAGAGGTGCTCAGCTTGGTTGGCCCAGAAGTCCTCGGGGTTCTCCAAGCTGTGCCGCAGGATATCATCCTGGACATGGCCGTCTTTACCAGACATGGCGAGCTTTTGGAGGAGGACAAGATTGGTGTTGATGGCGATTGGTGTAAATGAAGGAGACGCGTTGCGAGCGGTCGGATTCCTCGCCAATTGCTTCTCACTCCCGCTATAAGTAGCAATCCAGGACAATCGACTTATCCTCGGTAATCCAGCTTCCTTAGCCGCGATGACTAAAGCAGCTGAGGGCGATCAAAGAGGCGAGTCATGGGGAAGAAGCAAAAGCCGTGAGGCGTTCAGAGACGTTCAGAGACGCGGCAGGCAATTGCGGCAGGGCTGCTCCAACGGAAGCCACGGTGGAGCTTCCTTGTTGCCGTGCGCTGCACTCCCTTGACTCCGTAATCGTAGGGCAGGAGCTGGGGCCCCGGATTTGCCCCGCCTTTTCGCGCTTTGCTTGTGTTATCGATAGCGCTGCTGTGCATCCTCGTCGGTTGAGTTCGGCAATGCCAGTCCGCTATCGCCACATCTTGAGAGGCGAGACGTTATAGAGGGAGATTAAGTTGCCGTCGTTGCTGTTTATAGGTTGGCGTGTAAGATGATTCGTAGTCGAGCCATGGTCTAAGTCAATACGAAGTTGAAAGGACAGCACGCCTCAACAAGTAAAGATATTGTAGTCCAAGATGATATTAGGGTAAAGCGAGTCAAATGCCCTTTGGCAGTGGCTATGAGGAGTACCGAACAAAAATTGAGCTGCCTACCCCCATGATATAGGAACTCTTTCAGTCAACCATTCATATGCACGGCATTAATAAGGCGCAGATGGCCCTATGGGGGTCGGTATCTTATCCCCTTCACCCGCGTGTGGCCCAGCAAATAAACTTCCGTCTTCTCCAAATAATCATACGTAGTTACGCTTAGGCCCTTTGGTAACCCCAATTTGCCACGTCCAAATCTTTGCTTCTTGAAAACGTTGAAAACGCAGCTGATACTCGACTATGCATCCCAATTCGCTGCCAATTGCCCATGTATATCCCAACTTGGCCAGTCCGTCTGACATGGAGAGAACCAAATCCAACACATTATAGGCTAAATGCCATCTACTCCCAATCCTGCTCCTGGTATCATTCATTACCGGTAAGCGCATCCTTTACTTGCAAGGCCTGTGTTAGCCCGTAATCCCTAGCAAGCACCAAAAGGCTTAACTCCTGGGACGGCCCGAAGCCACGCTGACCTCGACATTGGACGGACATTGGGCAAAAAAACCGTTGCATGCTCAAGTACACCGCCTGTAGGGAAACGGTGAGTCGACAGAAAAGGAAAAATACAGGCTGCGAGGTGGACGTAGCATCACAGACAAAACCGGGGGGTGGCTATCACATCACATCACCTCGGAAATTACACTAGAGTCCAGAACGCGGCACAGGACCTTTACTTCACTTCATACATTGCCAAGGGAGGTGTGGTTTGGAAGATTTTGATTTTGTGTGCTAGGCCAAAACTGCCCTCTCAGTATATGCTTTCTGCTTGCCAAACCATCAGTGATGGCCAGGCTCGCCGACAACTTTATATAAAATATTGACAAGAGGCCATAAACACGCCCAGCTTTAAGTGTAAAAGGGGGGCCTTGCGCGATATGTAGAGCGCCAATCGCAGCGGAAGGAACGAAGGCTGAAATATTCTGACAAAAGAAATGGAATCGATGGTTTTCGAGGCGGGAAACGCGTCCTTTTCTTTTTATGGTTTTTGTCAATAGGGTGAAGACGCGAGAGAGGTTATGGCAGACCCATCCTATTTGCTGGAGAAAATGACACATTATATTCCAGCCCCGAGAACGACCGCACACAGTTGATTGTAGTGCATCTTTCCGTGGGCGATCAAAAAAATCGAGTTCCCTTGAACACCGAGCTTGCATGTCCCGTTAACCCAAGAGAACCCTTCTCTATACATCCCAAAAAATCACTCCCTTATCCATCAACGTAAACCAAATAAAACCCCAACACTGTTCCCCCTTTATATCAAAGTCATGAACGGAGGCCGAACCCACGACTTCCAAGAATCGTTGAACCAAGAAATCGTAGCCGGTAAATTGGCGAGGTGTCGAAATTTACAAGATTTACAGGACGAAAGCGGCCAGACCGACGATACCGGCCAGACCGGCACCGGAGAGGACGGCCTTGCTGGCACCGCCAGTGGGGACGGCGGGAGGAGCAGAAGGAACAACACCACCGGTGGAGGCAGGGCCGCTGGCAGGAGGGGCCTGGGTGGGAGTGGTGATGGTGCTGTTGGTGAAAGCAGGGGGAGTGTAGGGGTTGCCACCGGAGGGAGCACCAGTAGGGGCAGCGGCACCGCTGTGGGAGTCCGTGTTAGTCCAAGATGCACCAGACCAAACAGACGAGAATGATATTGGGATCCAAGCTCGACTTACCAGGTGTTGCAGACAACGCTGCTGGTGACGGTGACCGGGCGGGTGATGGTGCAGGGGCAGTCAGTGATGGTCAGAGTGGTGGGCTAGTTGGAGCTTCTTGTTAGTCGCGTCTTCTCTCTTTCAATCCGCTTCGAAGAGTCGAGAGGGTGAAAGTACCTCGGTGACGGTGTAGGTCTTGCTGCCGTGGGTGATCTGGGTAGCATAGGGGCAGTAGGTGACGTATTGGTCGACAACCTCGGTCACAACGGTGACGTTGGAGGGAGGGACGTAGACGGCAGAGACGCCAGCGGCGGCGAGAGCGACAGCAACGGTGAACTTCATTTTGTCGGTATTAGGAATTAAACTCGAGGGAGCTTGATTAAGATTATTGATGCGGTTGTTGTTAAAGAATGAAATTGACAAAAGTGTCAAGGTAAGTTTGCAGGTGCTTAGCGAGCGTGAGTGTGTGGTGAAGGAAAAAAAGATCAAGACCCAGATGGGCTCTGGAGGAGTCGAGCTTTATAACCATAGCCAACGCCAACGTCTGTGGGCAGAGCGAAAAAAAACAGCCAGGCCAGGGGAAGTTGCCAGGGGTGTAGCTCAAGGGAGAGAAAGTGGGTGGGCCGTGATGGGGGCAAAAGCAACGACTGGGCCGTTTCTCGGGGGCTCCAGCTGCAGAGGCAAGACAAACAAGCAGCACGGCCAGGGATCATGGGATGGCATGGATGGGTTGATGGGCCTGAGCGCGATGCAGGGGTGGGCCAAGATGGAGTGACTCGAGCCTAGCTCCAGACGCCAAAAAGCCACACAATCAAAGGGACGCGTGGTGGCGCCTTGCTGCCGTGTTTATTTTAATCTGTCGAATCAAGAGGTGCTGTTTGGAGCAAGAGGTGAAGCAAGGGAAAGTGGGAAAAACTTGACCGGTCAAGAATTACGAGTGAGTATACGAGCCCATACTGCTATGTACCTACTATTGCAAGTTACGAAGCCGTGCGGCTAGCAAAATTGCATGTGCCCTTTGGGGGGGTGTTTGTTTCTTATCGTTCGGGTACTTTGTTGGCAGAGGAAATTATCCCGCACGGCAAAATGCAGTCCAGTATTATAGTAGTAGTTCGTATCTACCTATCTATCTTGCCCGTCCATATCTAGGTACTACTATACTATTCAGCATGCATGCACTTATTTAAAAAGCACTCAATGCTACCTTACCTATGAAATACTACTCTAATCTGGTGGACGTATAGTAATACCGTATGTGTATGTAACATCAATCAGTAATACAGGGGCATCATAGAGCACAGTCGCAAGTATAAGCTTCTTCTATTGATCGACCAGACAGCCCCGTTTCGAGCAACCCCAAGACTCCCGTCTGCTCCGTCCGTTTCGCATCATGTCCTCCATCTTTTATGCCAAACAGCACAGCAGGGCTCGATACGATACGATAGCACTGATGATCCGGTTGCTTCCAAGCGGCCCCTTATCGCTCCCCCTCCCCCATGCCGCCCGCTGCTGTCTCGCAAACGCTGATCGCGGCGATGAATCATGAACGGCGACGAAATTAACTGCTGCTGCACTCGCGATATTGCTGCCAACTATTGCCATTAGCAGCCCGCTAGCTCTGCATTTTTTCCCTGTTAGGGCCTGACTCCCCTGGGCTCCCACCCATCCATCTGATCAGCCTTTTTTAGTGGCCCTGGGCGCGTTGGCGCTAATGCAGGAACCAAATCGTTTTTGTCAGCTTCATCCCCTGGCACAGCTGGTTGCTCGCCTTGGGCCAGCGGCAACAGGAGCACGAGGCATCGCCGCAGTCTCTGCCGGGAAAGGCGTCAGAGATCAATGGGCCTCTGGTGGCTGGCCATTGATGTTCGAGAAGCGGGATCGTCGTACTATAGCCTGCTTTCTACTACTATGTACAGTACCTTGACTGCGAGGGGATCAAAGCGTCGGGTAATACCTTTGGATGCTACAAGTATACCAAGGATGGATGACAAAAAAACAAGAAAATAAAGGAGGATGCTGCTGCTTGCTGCTGCTCATGCAAGGGTGCGCATCTCTCGCATCCCACACCCGCCTTTCTTGCTTGCCTATTCCAGCTCCTCTAATCTGGCTCACCCGGCCTATCAACAGTCCAAACCCTCACGGCCCGGATGGTCGCGAAAATTTCCACCGTCAATGCGGACTGAGTAATATTACGGGGGGCTCGTTTATGTGTGAGCGTGGAGGCAATTACCAGCAGCAGCACGGCTTTCGCTTCCCAAGAGAACCAAGGCGAATCACGTGCTCCGACGGGCATCCTGGAAGCGACCGATGCCAATTGGACGGGGAGCGAGCCCGGGGTCCGCTTTATTCATCCATTGATGTCTTGGTTCTCTGCATCTGAACTGATGGATCACCTCCGGGGGGGCGTTGAGGATAGAAAGAAGCTTTCAACCTGTGACTCTGGCGGCTTCGGGAGAACCACCGGCTGCAGTACTTGACTAAGGTGTTGATGTACCTACATACCTGATATTGGCAGTATGGTGACTTGACTGAAGACCATAGGTAGAGTTTAAGCCCTCAGGCAGCAATCAATCAACCTTTCTCGCTAATACTGTGGTGTCAACCCTTTTGTGCGTGCTCCAGTTAGAACTACTACTAGCAGCACCGGCACCAGCAGCGCGCCTGTTCCTCGTAGTGCCAGCACTTGGCAGTAGCACCGCCGCTAGGTGACATACCCTGTGCCTGTGCTCCGTCGGTGAGCGAGGCCACTCAAGGCCCAGCGAACCACCTCACTGAGTCTTGTCGCGCCGACGCCGAGCGACCCTCCGCTCATTTCCCGCTTATCCACTCTGCTTCCAGGATGCTGGCCACTCATCCAGTTTTCTCCTCCATGCCGTCTTCGCTTGCGACAGGAAATAGGGGAGAGACGCATGCATGTCTTGTGCGCGCAGGCAAGGGGGGGTCAGCGCTGTTGTTGTTGTTGTGCTCGTACGAGTACAGTACCTCTATTTGTGTCTACGAGTCTCACCGTCTCGTTGACGGCCGTCTTCCTGCTGCTGCAAGGCGGTTGTCCGTTTTCCGGCTCTTTGCTTTGGGCAACGATCATCGACGCCGCCCCTGATCCATCTCGATGCAGCCAGCGATCCTGATCGACCGCTCTTTTCTTTTTCTTCTTCTGCTAATGCTTCTGTGTTTCGAAAAGCATTGCTAGCATGTCTGGGCGGTGATCACCGGAGCCATCGGGCAGCCGAGGAGATCTTCAGTCCTACCCGCTGGCATATCCTATCTTTGGCTTCCATTTCTATAATTATATACGAGCACTGATACGAAGTACTGATGGAGATGCTCGTACAAAGCACCAAGTACCTGTAACTACAATGTCGCCGACGCTTTGTCCGAATGGACTCTTTCCGAGATGGGCTCTTGATTCAAGTTCGAAAAACGTATACAAGTATTGATGGGCTCGTATGCAATAGGTACTGTATGGAGTCGCATTATACTGGCAACATGAGCAATTACCAGCCGACACCAGACCAAGTGGATAGACGGCCAAGCGCCCCTCAAAGCTTGACTGTCAAGCCAAGTCCGGCAAATCGGCTCTTCCGCGCTGTCTCGCAGCCTGTGACCAGCATCAATCACAACAAGAACCTTTTGATACGGAGTTGCCCTGCATTTGTCTCGTTGCCCGAGTCCACTTCGGCGCCTTACATAGTACATGGCCCTGACCAGCACCTCCAACGTCCGCGAACGGACTGGGGTTGCATCTGCCAATTTCCACTTGATGCTATCAATGCTGCCACTGTTTCGGGAGATAGTTTGTGCTCCGTCTGTTGAAATTGAGCTAGGAGCTTGGCTCTCCGATAAGATGCAGGTGTCCGCGCCTAGATTGGCCTTAGTTGAGTGGCTGTGCGATGCATGTTTTACAATAATGTCTAGAAAAGCCGTGCTATCATGCCCTCACATCAGTAGCACTTCGTTTGCTGAACGATTCGACTTGAGCAATCTCTTTTTTTTTTTTTTTTTTTTTTTTTTTTGCTACCAGAGTAAAAGCACGGTCAATGCTGTGTCTGAAGACCGCAGGGCTAACCGTCTAAATCCCTCAGGCAACATGAAAGCTTGTCGCAAAACCACTCGAGACTAGGAGTCTCAAACGCTTGAGACAAAAACTGGGGCGTCAACTAACAATAACAACACATTGGTTTGTTATGACGGCTCACCAAGAGATTATGGGGGCGATGAGTGTTTTGGATTCGGGGGACGCTTCTCCCATACTTGTGAAATATGACAATGGCCGTTGCCATGTTTCGGTTCAATGTCATGCTCTCAGTCTAGTTAATGTCTGATACCAATACATGACATGCACTCTTTGCTAGCACGACTATCGGACGTCGGCGATAACAAGCATCGAAACCGCCCATTTTTCATTTACATAACGCGCTACCAACCACAATCAAGACAAACTAACTAACGCGGGCGGCAATATGAGTTGTTTTACAAGATGCCATTCAATATAGGGGATACTCCGTACTCACCGGCCAATTACTAATTGCATTGAAACATACATCAATAGTAACTGTTATGGCTTTACGATCCAGAACTTGCTGCTGCAGCCATAAACTGACCAGCCAGCGACCTCGGCAACCAGCACAGCTAATTAATTGAGTGCTTATGCGACCATAATCTGAACGATTCAGGCCGTAACGAAATACTATCTATATGCAACCCCTCCTCCAAGAAAATCCGGAGTCGGCCCTCAACTTCAACTCCAACCTCAGAGACTTGCTCCAGCTTTTTCGTGCAAGACTTAAGCTGGGAATGGCAACTATTTCGAGCCCTTTTGTCGGCATTCGGCAAAAAACTGGCCCGCTCCAAAGAGGAGTTCTCACTGCATTACTAATTGATTTGCCTAGGCACTTTGAGTGCCTCATAGGTGGGATTGTGACGCAATAATTTTTCATATAAAAGATGAAGTCTTGAATGAGGCTGTGTTTAAGTGAATGAATGTAACTCGGCAGTAAATAATCGTTGCAGTAATTCAATCAATACTGCAAAGCCTCAAAGACTAGAACCTGGAAACAAAATGGCCGCCACAATGCGCGCAGTCGGTACGCCCGTCTAACAGGCGTCATGAAGCCGTCCGAAACATTCAATACTGCAACTAACACACACGCGCAATAGACATCAAGGGCGGGAAAGGCGAGCGAGACGCCCTCTTCATCAACGCCGAAACCCCCAAGCCCGTCCCCGCGCCAGGCCAGGCCGTCGTCAAGATCGCCGCCTTTGGCATCAACCGCATGGACATCATCCAGCGCCGCGGCTTCTACCCCGTCCCTCCCGGCGCCCCCAAGACGCTCGGCGTCGAGTTCAGCGGCACCCTGGAGTCCTTTGGCTCCGAGGACCACAACGGCTTCAAGGTCGGCGATGAGGTGTTTGGGCTTGCGTATGGCGGGGCTTATGCCGAGTACATCGCCGTGAGCACAAAGATGCTGCTGCATAAGCCAAAGGGCTTGACGCATGAGCAGTGCGCGGCTGTTCCTGAGGCCTGGATAACGGCAACTCAAGCTCTGCACTTGGTTCTGGGATTTGTAGAGGGGAAGAGCATCCTTTGGCATGCCGGCGCATCAGGTGTTTCCATTGCCGGAATCCAGTTGGCTAAAGTTGCGGGAGCATCTGAGATTTATGCTACGGCAGGAAGCCAGGAAAAGGTCGACTTCATCACGTCCCAGCTTGGTGCTACCGCGGCCTTCAACTACAAGACTCAGGACTGGGTCAGCGAGATCAAGGCAAAGACGGGCGGCAAGGGCGTTGATTACATCGTCGACTACATTGGCGGAGACTACTTCCAGAAGAACCTCGACGTGGCAGCCCTTGATGGCAGTCTACTCCTCCTGGGCACTCTGAGCGGAGGAAAGGTCCCCGATGCAGACATCGGCATGATTCTGTACAAGCGCCTTCGTGTTTTAGGCAGCACGTTGCGAAGCCGCGACGTCGAGTACCAGGGCAGACTGAGAGACAAGCTGGAGACGTATATTCCCGATTTCGAATCACACAAACTCAAAATCTACCTGGACTCGGTGCTGCCCTGGGACAAGATCCAAGAGGCACACGAGCACATGGAGAATGCAAAGAACTCGGGTAAAATCGTCTGCACCATTGTTTAGGTAGGCATAGTTCCCTAGGTAGGTATACTGTAGGCTGGAGGAAGAATGAAATCAAATAATGAACTGCAATCATAAACCAACAATACTTCTACTGAATGTAAGTGCGACATTAGTGATCTTTCACCCATGCTAGCATTTGTTCGTATGCCGTAACTTGGGCGTCCATAATGGCAGACTCCTGGTATTGACCCGTGACGGCAAATCCTAGTACTGATGAGACGAAGCTTCTCTCATTTCATAGCAAGGTGAACTTACCGTGTGGTACACCGGGGTATACTTGAACTTCGTGTTCCAAATTATCCTGCGTCATGATGTCTTCTCCAACTTTTCGTACCTCATCTGTGAATAAGGCATCGTTCTCAACACACACCAAACTTAATGGTGCTTGGAGGTTCTTGAAATCGTCTGGGGTCACCGATGCGGCATGAGCCAGTGCTCCGGCTTTGATATACGGCCCAGCCTTCACCATCCCAGATTCCTCATCGTTGCCAGCTTCATGAGATCCCTTGGCCAGAAGGAGTACGTAGCGACCACCAACACAGTAACCTACAGCGTAGATCCCCTCACCATACTTGATCGCATCGGCGTATTCTTCGTGTGCCGCTTCAATCACCTTGTGCAGTATGGGCATGATTTTAGCCTCTGTTATTCGTGCCAGCCACATATCAATCATGAACGACTTTGCAATCTCCACGGCCTTTAATTTGACTTGCTCGAGAAGAGACGTCGAGTTATCTGCAAAATAGGTATCTTTCCCTCCTGGAGCTTTTTCGCCGCCAAAGAGGTCTGGCATGAGGACAAGAAAGCCTTCAGAGGCATATATATCTGCTTGAATCTGGTTATTGGTGGATTTGATACCTGTTCCGCCAGTGAGAAGGAGAAGAAGACGGGAAGGTGTATGAGGATAGTCGGTTGGTTTTGAGATGTACACCTGGAGTAAGCTAGCATTAGATGAGTGTTTACGAGAGACACATCTCGATTTAGACATACGTCAACGCCGTTGAGCTTGATGATTTCGCCGGTGGATCCCTGGCCGGCAGCTACGCTATGTTAGTGACAGTGCTTGCGGATGTAAATGCGGTCGCGTGTACGAGTAGGTCTGTCAGTTACGCAGTGTTCATGTTCGCCCATCTGCTGGCTGGCATCTGTCGGCTCATTTGTCGACGAGTCTTGCTGCGCATCGCTCTCTGGCGCCTTTGTCGCAATGTCAACCTCTGTCATGGCTGCTGGAGTGTGTGGCTTATGACGGCGCGTGTAGAGAATATGCCTAAATAACGAAACGGCACGACAGGAATGGCAATATGGCTGGATGAGGCTGGATGAGGCTGGATGAGGCTGAATGATGATAGAGCCTTGGAGATGGCTGACGTGTTGCTTGTCTGAGAATGGCACGGGTCTTGCGCTAAGTTCAACGTCATGCGGTTTCATATGAAAAAATACGAAGAAGGGAGTGGCTCTTTGGAGCTTTGGAGGTACCCGGGCCAAAAGGTACCTGGGTGTACTATGGTGGCTGGCGGGGGAAATAAGTACCTCCTTCCCACCCTCCAATTTACGAGTGGAAAGCGCGCGAGTATCTCTTTTCTCAGGTACTTGTTTCTAAGCACTCCATGTAGTTTTCGCTGTAAATCTCTCTTTGGCAAATTAGTGGACAATATTTGGTATTATCTTAATATCTCGGCTACAAATTGTCGAATTATCAAGGCACATGGGAACATCCCAAGAATGCCATTTCTGTCACTTAGATCAGTGGCTTCTTTGACAAAGTTCTGAACTGGTATGCCACAAGAGTTGGGCAGGAAGCTAACTAAATCGTGTCTGCCTCTTAAACTACATATCTATATATCTAAACAGAAGATATTGTATCTGCCAAATTAGAAAATGCCAACCGTTTCTTTCCATGCTAGAGCATTAAAACTGCCTCTTGGCGTAGTGTTTAAGAGGCCAAAGAAAGTATTTCCCACTGTATACAGGCAGAGCTGAGGTGACCACCCCGCTCACCCCGCCATCACGTGACGACTCGCCTCTCTCAACGCGTAAAGAGAACGCGTCGCGGGTTTGTCAGAAGACTTGACGAAAGTGCACGAAACCCAGAGCTTGTGAGGCAAAGTTGCAGATACCACAGCTCGGTTCGACGGACAAAAATCATCACAACAGCACAAAATGGACGCTGAATCAGCATTATCGCGGGGCTGCATCGAGTACGTTGCCTTCTAAAATCTTATTCGGACATTCTTCATTCGACTGACCCGAATTGTGCAGGGCCATCTTCAATGACCCCGATCAGGCGGCAAATCGCTTCCCTGTGCCTGTGATGCAGTGCCTACAGATCAAACAGATGGCGCCGTCAGGGCAAGGCGGCGATAGATATCGACTGGTCATGAGCGATGGAGTCAACTACGTCCAGACCATGCTTGCTACCCAGGCCAATCATGTCATTCACGATAACAAGCTCGAGAGGGGCAGCCTGACTCGAGTTAAGCAGTACACACCCAACAACTTGAAGGGAAAGAAGTAGGAAGATATCAAGACATTACATCTCCGTGAAGACGGCTGACACAGTGGATAGCATCCTAGTCATTCTGGACCTTGAAGTCATCGAGTCTTTCGGCGCGCAAGAGAAGATTGGTGATCCAGTGGTCCTCGATCCCAGACCGGCCGAGACGACGATTGCTGGAAACGATTTTTACGGATCTAAGAAGGAAGAAATGGACACCAAGCCACAGATGCAGCAGCTTCCGTCCAATCCAATATCAGCCACGCACGCTGGTGCCAACATATACCCCATCGAGGCCCTGTCGCCCTTTTCCAGCAAATGGACCATCAAGGCTCGTGTAACGTTCAAGTCAGACATCAAAACGTGGCACAAGCCGACAGGAGAAGGAAAGCTTTTCAGCGTTAACCTCCTTGACGAGAGCGGCGAGATCAAGGCTACGGGCTTCAACGACCAGTGTGACGCCTTTTATGACCTGCTCCAGGAAGGCTCTGTCTACTACATCTCCAGCCCTTGCAGAGTTTCTCTGGCCAAGAAGCAGTTCAGCAACTTGCCAAACGACTACGAGCTTGCGTTTGAGCGGGAGACGGTTATCGAAAAGGCAGAAGATCAGACCAACGTACCCCAACTCAGGTTTAACTTCTGCACCATCCAAGAACTGCAAAGCGTTGAAAAGGACAGCACCGTTGATGTCATTGGTGTGTTGAAGGAGGTTGCCGAAGTCAGCGAGATTACGTCAAAGAAGGATGGCCGACCCTTCCAGAAGCGCGAATTGACACTGGTGGACGATACCGGCTATTCAGTACGCGTCACCATCTGGGGCAAGACAGCAAGCGCCTTTGATGCCAACCCAGAGTCAGTGGTGGCTTTCAAGGGCACCAAGGTATCAGACTTTGGTGGCAAGAGTCTTAGTCTGCTCTCGTCTGGAACCATGACTGTCGACCCTGATATCCCTGACGCCTACCGCCTCAAGGGCTGGTATGATTCAGCTGGCCGAACGAACACTTTTGCGACTCATCAGAACCTGGCTGGTGTGGCTGGTGCAACTGGCCGAAAGGAGGAAATCAAGACAATCTCCCAGGTCAAGGATGAGAATCTTGGCGTGGACGACCAGGCGTACTACACGATTAAAGCCACCATTGTGTTTGTCAAGCAGGACAACTTTTGCTACCCTGCTTGCTCTAATCAAGGATGTAACAAGAAGGTCACTGCCATGCCAGATGGTACATGGCAGTGCGAGAAGTGCAATGTATCACACGACAAGCCGGACTACCGCTACATCATGCAGCTCAACGTGGCCGATCACACGAGCCATCAGTGGCTGAGCTGCTTTGACGATACGGGCAGGATAGTAGTTGGCATGTCTGCCAACGAGCTCATGGAACTCAAAGAGAACGACGATGCTAAGTTCATGGCCGCATTTGAGGCAGTGAACTGCAAGAAGCTGGTGTTCAGATGCAGAGCTAAGATGGATAACTTTGGTGATACACAGAGGTGAGTTTTTTTCCAAAGGAAAAAAAAAAAAAAAAAAAAAAAAATCAAGTGACAGTGACTGACAAAAGGCTTTAGGGTGCGATATCAAGTCTTTAGTGCTACTCTGGTGGACTACAAGACAGAGGGCAACAAACTGGTGGAGTTGATCAAGCAGTTCAGCATTAACTAGCCGTTCTATGTATAATGACGAAAGAGTGTAAAAACAGACTAATATGGCGGATATGCTAGATGATAGGATTCTTGTAGCTGGGTAGCTATCTCATGAGGAAGAGCATGAGGATATTAAAACTGTACTTTGCTTAAGTTGCCTTATACGCACTTTGTGAGTGCGCTGTGGGAGATGCCAAGATTCGTCCACTCCCTCGTGACATAATACTTCCCCATCAGAGGCAACGGACAAACGAGTGGCCGACGCTGTACTTGTGCTCCGTATTCAGCTACTACAGTATCTAGACAATCCTACTCACACTTGGGAGGGTGCTGCTACTTGTCAAAAACGGCAGCCTGCATCAACGTCGCCCCCTTTGTGGTCCAAGAGAGGAAGCTGGGGGATGTTGGACAGCTGATAAGGATCAGTCAAGGAGTTTATACGGAGCACTTGGTCCATGTTTTCTGGTACTAGCTTGTAATAGCAAGGCAGAGGGCATCAATGCCAATACAGTATGAGGTTAGAGCGGCGTCGTTCCCAGCCACCACCTTTTTTTCTTACCAGACTCTCTCTATGCATGTAAAGATCCTGGGTAGTGTGGTAATGATCGACACCTCGTATATATTACGTATATCGGTGATTAACAGTACTATTTTCTGTTTCTGCTCCAAGATACTTGGATAAACGGAAATCCGAGTTCATGGCCATGTGTAAAGCAGGGGATCTGATGGCCTCACCACCCTCACGGATCAACCAAAGAGGGGAAGATGGGGTTATAAAAAACCCACATCCAATGAAGGAGCAGTTTTTTTTCTTAGCTCTTCTTGTGTGGTAACTTGGAGCACATGCAAATGGTGCTAGGCCCGCGCCGTCGCGGATAGGATGGTGGAAAGAGGCTTGATGGGTGGTGGCACCAGGCACTGTATCTGGTAAATGCCTCTTTTTATTCAGGCACATGACGGCTGGAAGGGGGAGTCGAATCTGGCGGCGGCATCTGTATCGAGCAGAGGGAGCACATGATACTTGAGCATTTTGCATGAACGGGGTGGAAGCTACTATATGAAACGTTGCCTGGTGGTGAAGAAGTGTTTGATATGCAAGACAGATCGAAGTTGGTCTAGCTGGGGGAGAAGTGCGTTCATCTCCACGGTTTTGCATATACAAGCAGCATAAAGAATGATACGGTTGGATTTCCCCTGGTTGATTCCACGTTTCTCCTTGATATTGGATCCTGGAAAAACAATATTAAAAAAAAAAAAAGACACCAAAAAAAGTGCACGTTTTAAAGATGGAGGGTACGGAGTACAATGATCAAATTGCTCTTTGTACCTGGCAGACCTGTCACATCGCCCGTAGCCCTTGAGGAGCCCGCTAGCGAGGGCTTTGTGGCGGGCCTCGGGCACAGCTAGCTGAACATTTAGTGGTGGTGGCGCCGCTGTGTCCCTCGATGGGTGGCGATGGATCAAATGCCTCCCGTCAAAAGATGGAGAAGCCTTGATCTGAGCGAGGCACTAAGCGGTCGATGCAATCCGGCTAAAGGTGTATGCAAAACAAGAGAGCATCGCAGAGTGATTCTGCTTCTGCCTGGTATCTGCATCAATCTGCATCTACAGCACATATTTCCGGGTATTAGGTACCTGCCTGCAGTGCTAACCTACTGCGCTGTACCAATCAATAGTCGCCCCGCCCCAGTCAGACCAGTCAGTTTCATTCTGCCTCCTACACATCACCTCACATCGCATCGCAGCGCAGCGCATCGCATCAAATCACATCGTCACGGCTCCGTACGCACAGCAAGTGCTGAGCAGGCCACGGCAACTCGTTTCCTCTCCCTCCTGCTTCGTCCCGCCTTGACGAATCGAGTCGCTCCCGCCATGTGCCATCGGTCCATCGTCACCGTGTCACCCCCTGCATCGTGAACCTTGCGATTCTGCTTTCGGAACGAGCCTTGAATCAAGGCTGGCGACCACGGGGGCCCAGCTGCTACTGCCAGGCGTCTCACCAACCACCTGGTCGCTTGTTTCCGCTTTTCCTTCTCTTGGGCTTGCGCCTTTCATCGTCCTGGGCTTCACTCTTTGAGCGCCAGATTCCCTTCCTTTGCTTCTCACTCGCTTTCCGCTGCTGCATCCAATCATCACCTCGTCAGCGTCTCACCCGTCGCCTCAGCTCCAGCGCCCGGCCCTTTGTTGGCCAGCTGTACGGCACGACGGTGGTCTTTTTTTTTTTCTTGGACCGTTGACGCAAACTCAGCCCGTTCCATTTGCTTTCTTGCCTTGCTTGCTTTTCTCGTTTCAGATTGGCCCTCGTTGTTTTGGGACCCAGCAGACTTGCTGCTCACCTCGCTCATCCGTCTGGCCATTCACGACCGCGCCGCACTCTGATCTCGATTAACTGGACTCACCAATTGCATCGCCTGGTCGAGTCCAGCGCAATCTACTTGTCCATCATCATGCAAAGCGGCCCCTGTCTCAACCACGCCGCCGCCACGTAGTCCGTGAAATATACTACTAGTGGCAGCCTGCGCTTCGCTTCCTTTTGCTCGCAGTTCCCAGCAACAGTTTTACGAGTGCCACCATGGCGGCGCCTTCTCAGATGAATCCCACCTCCGTACCTGAGGCTGCGGCGCCGCGCCAGTTCAAGAAGCACCGAGTCCTACCGCGGCCGCACATCGATCAGCCGCACGATGGCTCTATTAGGCGCAAACCCAATCTAGCCAGCGCAGCGACGGTGCCCAGAAGCTCGACGCCTCACCCGATCGTGAACCCGCAGCCCTTGAAGCACCAGCTCAGGAGAATAAACACCGGGCCTGATTTGCCTCCAACTCCGCCCGCGCATTCAAACGCATCCTCCAGCAGCCATTCTGCCGCCCCATCGAGCCCGACGAGCACCGAAAATAGCGTCAGGCTGCCGAATGTCGTCGCGAGTCGACCGCCAGCCACCCCTCCGGATCAGCGCAGCCCCCCGACTCCAGATGTCACCCCGCCGCATCCTGCAAGCCTTGCCAAGAACCCGCGTCCAAGCATAAAGGACCGCATGGCTTCGGGGAGCACAATGGGGCCGGAGTCGAGGACCGAGTCTTTCATTACCGCCCGCGAGGAAGTGACGTCTTCGGAGGACGAAGCCGGAAGACTACCTGAATGGCCTCGCAAGGTTTCCGGGACCTCGCAAACTACCATCACTCCATCTGCCAGCACTCCCCCTACTAATGACGACGTGGTACGACCAACAACTCCTCCTGACAGAGCACACAGAACACTAGCCGGAGATGGAGGGCGAGGAGAAGGCGACTCTACGCCAAAGGCGAAGCCCAAAGCTTCTGAATCTGTCGACAGACAGGGCACTGCCCCCGAAGTTGGGCATTCGCAGGATGCCGCCTTAGCGAGTGTGATAATGTCCCAGAAGAATCAGTATCGACGTCGACCCTCAGGAGCGTCGCGGCCAATCCTACACCATGATCCTGTCGTCGAAGACAAAGTATCTGCTGCGCCTACGGACGCTACGAAGGCTGTGCGCAATATGCGACTTGAAGAAGCCGCACCTGTAGCCTCATCTTCAATGAAGCCTGAGGATCGAAAACCTGCCAAGTTGGTGCATCCGCAAGTGGAGGCGACGGCAAAGCGAGACCGACCATTAAGCACATCCAGCCAGTCGACTGTGGTCGAGGTTTTTCTTGTTGATGGGCCCCCCAAGCGACAGAGAACTCTGCGCCACATGCGAAAACAAAGTACTTTGAGAGATGCTGCTGAAAGTAAGCGAGACGCCAGCTTAATAGCACATGCCGAAGACGTGAAAGAAGAGGCTCCAAAACCTCCTAAGGTCACACAGAGTCCAAAGCTTGATTCATATGATCGAGAGAGCCACATCTCAACTGTCACACACTCGACAAATAGATCCATCTCTAGTAGAACCGCGAGACGGGATATTTGGAAGAGCGGTGCTATCCCGGTAGTCATTGTCCCTGAACGACGGTCGTCGAGGGGTCCCAGGAGTAGGGAGCCTTCTCTTCGATCGGCATCTAGCAGACACTCGGACAAGGCAAGGAGCGTCAACTCCGCCCCTGTTCGTGATCCATCGCCGTCTGCAAACTCCGGCCCCGTCTTTGAGCGCCCTGCTCGCCGGAGCCGAGCGTATTCCGAATCGGATAGATCTGAAAGGACGATTGATTTCCCTCCAACAATTCCGCAACGGTCTTCATCGCTCTCTGCTCCAACAAGTCGCAATGTTTCTAGGCCAGGATCGATAACTGCTAGCAGCGTCAAGGTGCACAGCGCCGAGGTCGAGCAACAGATTAGTCGCCATTTCAGCCAGGAGGTGCACATCATCTGTCCTAGTACGCCATCGTTACCACCTCTATCCCCAGAGATGAGGGGCTTGGAAAGGGAGGAAACATTTGATAGCCTTGGGGTTGATCAGCACGATGATGTGCTTTCGGTAAAGAGGATTCCGCTGCGAAACACGCCTTTCTCGGTTGCCTCCATGGAGACGTGTGCAACAGCCCCCGAGCTGGTAGAAGCCCTCGCTGTTCACATGTTTCCTCACCAAAACTCGTCAGTCCTTATGGTTGATCATTCGAACCGGCCGTCGGAGGCAGCGTTGGTGAAGCGCGCATCCAGCCCTCCCAAATCCTTGATGGCGCATTTGTATGAGCAGGCTCCTGTGACTCCTCCTCAGAAAAGATTCTCTTCCCTCGAGGTGGATTCACCTTTGCGCAACCCGCGAGCTCCACCACAGCCGCCAAGACACCCACCTGCGATCAATTTCATACCCGCCACACCATCGGGCATGACGCCTGCGGCTGAGCGAGTTATTCTACAAGGGAACTACTTTGAATCTCTGAGAGAGAAGCCTCCTCGACGGCCCTCCATCGTCAGAAGGGCATTTAGCCGGCGGCGCCATTCCATCGACTATGTCTCATCCTCGAGAGGACCGGGCTTTCTCGCCAGGACCTTTTCTTTGTCGCGGAGAGCCCGCGATGACAGCGACATTTCTCTTTATAAAGACAATGATAAGCCTACTGAAGAGGACAAGCTTCATCCGTTTTGGCGCCCCCAGTGGATCAGCGATGAGGATTCCGAACCTATGGACGACGAGGACGAATATAGTGACGGCGACGACGACGATTATGAACGTGATGATGAAGTCTATCGATACCCCCCCGTGGACAACCGCCCGCGGAGACCAACGAGGAGCTTTAGCCAAAAGGTGAAGCAGACTTTCTCAATTCTGCCATCACAAGAGTATCATGTCGATGATGTACATGGACCCCAGCGTCGGACGATCAAACGGACATCCAGTGGCAATTTGCGCATCGTGCGCCGCAGAGTCAGTGCTGAGTCGATGAGACGGCGACAAAGTGAAAGCAGAGACCCAAGATCGATTGTGGGTGAACCTCGCAAACGGTTCTGGCGAAGGCGAAGTATTAGCCGAGGTAGTGTGATGGGTTCACGACGATTTTCCATTGGGAGCAAGCTGGAAGAAATTCAAAACATTCCCCAGAAGATAAGCGAGAGACGACGCGAGAAACGATCACAGAGGCTTCGACAAATGATTAGCGGCCCGAAGGAAGTTCGAGACGGTGTTGGTGAAGTGATCAGACGTGGCAACGGAACAGCTCAAATCGACACAGCTCAACGATTTTAAGACTTCTTTTCTTAAGTGAGGAGTCTTTGTGCTACTTGCTGGCGTTTTTACGATGCAAGCAATGATGACGACAAAAGACGAATGATGTTTTTTTTTTATTCAAGACGAAATGACGGGACACAGTAGTAGATGGCCAGCATTTTGCGTTACGATTAATTCTGCAACGATTTGATGATTGATGCTTTGGACGACTTTGCCTTTGGGAGATGGAAATGTCACAGTTTGTCCTTTTATTCATGAGAAAGACCCTGGAGGGCTTTTTTTGAATTTCAACGTCTCATTTTAATTTGCTCTCATCAGGATGAACATTTTGATAAAGGGTGCCCTTTTTTGAGCTACGTTTTTTTTTCCCCGTTATTTTCTCTTTTTTTTTTTTTGGCTCCTCTTTTCTTTCTGTCTTTTTGCTATGTTGCTGGCCATATTTAGCCTTGCATGAAGAATACGGAATCTAAAGAATGGGGCGGCTAGATTGCTTTTTTTAAGGCATGAAACGAACTTGAAACGAATGAAATGCCCTTGTTCTCTTTTACCTTTTTCTCTTTTTACGTTTTCTTTTGCTTGTTAGCTGTATTATAGAAGACGACGTTGGGGCGAGAAATCTTGATTGCTATGATGTCTTTTTTCTTTGCTGGCAATGATCTTATATGCATTAATTTTTTCAAGAGTGAAACGAGAGAAGGAATTGTGTTTTTGAGAATGAATGAATATGAAATGACGCGCTTTGGTTCAAGAATTTGTTAGTCAAATTTGATGTACGCTCGAATATTGCAAAAGTTCGTTTTAAATGTATTGTCATACTTTGGATGTTTTCCATCCTTTGGTCTACTGGAACTGATTTATATGCTTGAATGCCAAAAGAGAAAAACGCCTCGTGCGCCAATTATTAACCCAATTCCCAGCATACGTTCAACATCTCGACTTAACAAGAATCAATCGACTCCAATCCCAGCCCATCACCGCCTCTCTTGTCCAGGAGCAGGCGGTCCACCAGCGGGAAATCCAGGCGGGGGAAACGAATGCTGTCCAGGCGGAGGCATGCCAGGCATACCGGGGAAGTTTGGCGGAGGGATACCAGGGCCTCCAGGTGCGCCTAGAGGAGGGAAGGGAAGGCCGCCGGGTGGAGGGAAGGGGAGGCCGTTGGGAGGCATCGGGGGCATTCCGTTGGGGCCAGGAGGGAAAGGGGGCATGGGGGGCATGCCGCGACCGCCGGGGGGTGCTGGATATTGGGATTAGAATATACTTGAGGGAAGAGGAAGGATGAGGCGATGGACATACGTGGGAGACCTTGCGGGAACTGGCCGGGAGGAGCTCCAGGCATACCGGGGAATGGCGGAGGAATGCCTATAAAGCAACCGTGTTAGTTTATATCCTGCATATTCCGTGTAGTTTCCTTCTCGGTCTCATCCATATGGTTCCTTAGACTAAAGGTAGAGTGGCGAGACGAGGGAGCTAGAGAGGAAGCATAGTGTAGCTCAAATGTAACACGACATACCACCAGGGAAGCCAAAGGCCGGAAATCCCTGGCCTGGCTGGTTCTGAAGAAGCATCGGGTTCGCATGGGCCTGGCCCTCGGCAGCGTACGAAGAAGTAATGGAGTCGATGACGGACTGGGCCTTTTCATGGCCGATTTCTATATAATGGCCATGTCAGTGGCGAAGATTGGGGGGGAGGCGGACAGAGGTCGGACGAACGCTGATAATAGTCTACGACGTTGCGCAGATGGTTTCGGCCGCTGTTGTGGGCCTTGCGCACCGACATGGAGTCGTGCGTGAGGTAGACATCGCAGTAGTCGCCTGTTTTTGTTGAGAGGTTATGTTAGATGGGGGAATCGCATGAGCGCGTCACGGAGGTGTTTTGGCTGGCGATGGATTGGGACCTACAAAAGACTGTTGAGATGCGTTAGCTGTGCTTCATTGAGTCAGTTGGAGATGAGTGAAGGGGGAGGAACCATACACTTGGGCATCGTGGCTGGGTATCTGGTGTTGTTGCGTCAAACAAGCATCAATCAATGGATATAATCATGCAATCAAAAGGTTGTAGTTGCATCCAGTCCAGAGCAAAAGGCTGGGCCCGTCCCAAAAAGGCCGGCGAGGCTGCCCCACACGTGACGGCGGGCTTATCACCGGGCCCGCTGATTGGCCGGTGCTCCCTTTATCGAACCGTCAAGCCACAGACCCAAACGCGACACCTGTACCTTTTGCGGCTGGTGCGAATTAGAGCCAAGGTGGTCTTGTCTTGTCCTTGCTCCCAATCCAATTGCAGCTCCAACGATGAACTGATTGGAATCCACCACATCGAGCCCAGGACAAGATTCGAGCTCGACAATTACATCAGCCGCTGCAGCAATCGAGATCCGAAGACGACAACACCCATAAAAAAAGAAGAAAAAGGAAAAAACAAAGGCCCCATGGCGCAATCGGCCTTTTCGCCCATGCGGTGGCTCTGCGGCCTGCTGCTGCTCGTCAGCGCCGCCAACGCCCTCAAGTTCGATCTCATTGCCCACACCGGCGGCGAGTCCCTCAAGAAGGAGAGATGCATCCGCAACTTTGTCGGCAGCGACACGCTGGTCGTGGTGACGTCGACCGTGGACGGCTACAAGGGAGACGGCATGCTGGTCAACATTCATGTATGTTTATGGCGGGGACTAAAGTGAAAGACGGGGGGTGGAAGCTGACGAGATGGAAAAACAGGTCCGTGATGCCATTGGCAACGAGTATGGCCGATCCAAGGACGTTGTTGGCGAGTCGAGAATTGTCTTTACTTCGCACGCTGATGCTGCTTTTGATGTGTGCTTTGAGAACCTCATGGTTGGACGTACGTTGCCCCCCTCCTCCCTTTTCTCCAACCCTCCCCCCCCTTTCAAGACTATATACCCAAGAATAAAGCAAACACATTTACTAACATTGAACCTCCCCCCAATCAGCCAACAAGCCCGCCATCAACCTCCGCGTCGTCGAGCTCGACATCGACATTGGCGCCGACGCAAAGGACTGGTCCGCCATCCAGGCCACCGAGAAGCTCAAGCCCGTCGAGGCCGAGCTGCGCCGCATCGAAGAGCTCACCGCCGAGGTTGTCCACGAAATGGACTACCTGCGCCAGCGCGAGCAGAAGCTCCGCGACACAAACGAGAGCACAAACAACCGTGTCAAGTGGTTCGGCGTCGGAACGACCTGGTTGCTCGTCATCCTGTGGGCATGGCAGATTATGTACCTGAGGGCGTACTTCCGGTCCAAGCACTTGATCTAAGTCTTCGATTGTATAAAGGCACCAATCCATACAATAGGGGGAGAAGGGGGAGAGGAGGTTTGCGGGGGAAGGGCTTTGGAGCGTTACTATTACATTGCGGCGGCTTTGCTGCGTGTTGGCATACGGATACAGAAGGCGGAAAGGGGTGGTGGTATGCGCCGGCGTTTGTTATATCATGATGTATGATCCATCGAGATGAGGAGGATATAAAAAAGGGAAAGTGAGAAGAAACCTTTTGAACTTTAATAAAAGACAACTTAGATTCATGCATGATGGGTGCTGGTGGCGTATATATTATGGTCTGCTAGCTCATAATCAAGAGTCAAGAACCTCTATTCTTAAAACTTTGGTTGCCAAAATCTCGACCAGTTGATTTTATTAAATTCAATTCCTCATTAATCTACTAATATACATATGGTTATATAATGCTCCTAAATTTATAATGGCCCTCTCACTTTGACTGGCTTATAACCACCTACGTTTAGTCATGATAGCTGCTCCATTGCCATAATCCTTTGCTCCTGTCATCTACATGCTCATTATTTACATCTTTCCCAACCACGTCAACAACGCCCAATCCCTTAGACATGGAATCTAATTCACCAGGACTAGAACTACCATGCAACTCTGATAATCCACCGCCAGCCAGTTCGGCAGGTAATTCTGCTACACCGCCTGAGCCAGGTATCAAAGCATCAAGCTCTGCCTTGCGAAAGGCCGTGCCATTTGGTCCGGAACTCGTCATGCCATCGTCACCTGGCAGTTCCGCTTTCGGTGTTTCCAGGTCATCGCTGCCGCTGCTGGGTGCATCTTGCCCGAACCCCTGTACAGCTTGCAACTGCTTTCGTTTCCGTCTGTATCTATAGATGAAAAAGCACATTGCCCCTGACAGGATCGCTACCAGAGGGATAAGCACTCCAATGGCAATCTTCGCTGCGAGGGGCAGCCCTTGACTGGACTTGGGGACAGGATTCTCGCTGGCAACGGAGGACACGGGGGAGGATGAAGTAGGTGCGGTTGAAGTAGGAGCTGTTGAAGTAGGAGCTGATGTCGCTGTACCACCTGTTGCTGAATGCTCTGGTATAGCTGCGTGTACCACCACCACTCTCTGAGCATTGAAATAGGTGGCAAGTGTAGGATGCGTGACTGGCGTAAGTGTGTCGGGACATTTTAAAGTGTCCGTCACCACAACGGGGCGTGATGCAGTCGATGCGCATGCTGAAACATCAACATCATCACAGTCGTAGCCTCTAGTTATTTTCAAGAACGGAAAAATCAGTGGACATTCATCAACCCCCAGGTATGAACTTTGTGCGAGGGTCTTGGGCTCACATTGGACAGCATCCCAACGCAGTTTCGCCATCACGCAGCAAATCCCATATCGCTGCAGCAGCAAATTCGCCATCCACATTCTCGAATGGATTCGGCTGTCCTTTGCTACGCACCTGAGTACAGGCGGCCGTGTATCCCGACGGACAGATTGACCCGGGCGAATAGACGGCAAGGTAATCCTCAGGGCTATTCATATGCCTGTTGTAAAACGACGCAAAGCCTTGCGGATAGCATGATTGGATGATAGAGGTGCTCCAGGGATCAGGCCCGTTCGAAGATGATGTGGTGTAAGTGTAACAAAGGGACCGCCAACGATATTCTGAATAATATCACCATCTAGATAGAACTGCAGACCTGTGCAGTCAGCTGGCGGAGTAAAGGTTGTCGTCAGAGGGCCGAGATCAGAGCGGAGACTGGTTGTCGCCATGGTTGGTAGCAGAGAGGGAGAGAGGATCTGTATTCCCTTCCCCCATCACTCTGAGAGACAAAGCCTTTATCAGGAAGCAGATCAAAGATGCAGTGTAAGCAGCAGAACTCGCTTAACAGCTGCCATGTCGCAATTGATATCCCCCCAGACCGCCACGAGAAGCCGACAGGCTGGGGTTTCCGCGGGCGAGCGGAGAGAGAAAGGAGGATCCAGCCTTGCTTCTTTGGTCTTTTCAGCGTAACCCCTTCATTTCCGTGTTGATTCCAGCTATTGGTTGCTGGCTGTTGGTTGTTGGTTGGCAGCACATCTTCATCTCAAATAGGAAGGCGTAATGTCCTTCATCGTTTCGGCCGCTCCCGAGAAAGGAAAGGAAACCCAAAAGATCACACCAAGAATATTCTAAAACGCAGAGAAATAAAGTGACGGAAGAAAATATCTTCTAGAACACGGAGAAATAAAGTAACAGGGGAGGATGCTCTTCCAAAACACGGAAAGTAAAATGGTCAAGTAATCGGGTCACTGCCATTCTCATTTCGAAAAAACAGGGGGGGTTAGATACACGCTCTGTATGTCCCTCTTCACCTCATCCAGCCTTCTCCCCCTTGCACTCTGCATCCCGTCTATCAGCCAGCTTTGCACTGCTTCTCCATCCCTTTTTTCCAATCAAATTGGTATATAATTTCCACCCAATTGTCCGCCCACCAAAAAAACGGCCCGCCAGTCTAACGGCTTTAAACGAGAAAAAGGAAAGAAACAGAATGCAGAATGCAGATTGAAGCAATGAAAACCAGCCCCAATCAAGCAGCCCAACCACCCACCAAACGGGAATAAAAAAAAAAAGAGAGAGAGAGAGAGGGAAAAGGGAAAATAGTTAGAAAGGAGGGCGAAAAAAAATCCATCAAATCAAACCGAGCGCCTTGCCGCCTCGTCTCATCATTAGTATGTCTCGTGAAAAAGAAAATGGCAACAGAAAAATCAAGGCAGAGTCCATGTTGCAGTCCCTGGAGAGAGGAAGGGTATCATGAATGAAGCAGGCCGTTTATGCAGGGCTAAGAAAAGCGTGAGTGGTGGGAGGGGGGGAAACGATGGGGTACGAGAGTTTGTCATCTTCTTTTCCAACTTTCGCATCTCATCAACCTCCTCCTTCAGGCAGTATGCTGCTTAAACTTCTCAATACCTCCATAATCGGCATGTCTTTGGTTCCTGCTCTCTTCCTCTCCCTTTCTTCTCGCTCCCGTAGTCTTACGGCGCTTAAACTCAGTACTCGGTCGGCCTCCTTGCCCGCAACCTTGACCCGTTGCTCCAGCTTATGAACGTTGTCTGCAAATTGATCCACCTCGAATTCGAGAGACGATTGGATGTGCCGTAGTCGCGCCTGTGTCTGTGATCGTAAACTGGCGAAGGCGTTGGTTTCATCGACGAGAAAGCCCCTGATTCGGCCTTCATCAGGGTCCAACAAATCAAAATCGGGTAGTGTGATTGTCTCTGCTTCCTTTTCCTTTGGTGTAAATAGAGCTGGTTGCTCTGGGGGTGGTTTCCGTATTGCCAGCCACGCTTTCTTTTCCTCTTGCAGTCTAAAGTCCGGGTTAGTTGGCTTCTTATATTGAGAGTATTGCTCAAAGTCAACTTGCCTCTTGATTCTCGCCTCCAAGGTTGCCAGCTTCTCGTCCAACTCAATGTTACGGGGATTTGGCTTCAGTATGACCGGTGCTTTCGGTACGTTGTCTTCTCTGTTGAACCAGTCTGAAAACTCTGATCTTGACCCAAAGTCTTTGAGCAGCTGGTCTTGAATCGCGCGGGCTGGAAACAAATCAGTTAGCAAAATGGGGTCATCGTTATGGACTTTCATTCTTTCAACAAGAGGGGAAACATGGAGGGGGGAAAGAGTCCCTACCTCCTAGCACTGCGCCAGAATTCAAGGTGCCGCGCGGCTTGGCTGACAATGCTCGTTCACCACACCATATTAGTAGCTGCTTCATCCGCCGCGGCTCCAGTAAATCCGCCTCGATGTGCTTGTAAAAGGCAGACGTGCTAACTTCACGATGGGGAATCGCCGTCTGCCCGCTCTCGATTAATGAACTCGCTCTGCGTCCGCGAGATCCCAGGCTGCTTCTTCTGATGCCGTTCTCTCCTTTCTTTCGCATTTCCTTGTTGCGGTTGATGATGGGCGTGTCGCTCATCGGGAGCGCAATCTTGGTAGGCTGCTCCGCCCTGTCGTGACCTGGCGATTCTGCCGTGGACATGTCTTCCTCCTCCTGTATCACCTGTGGTGGCGCCTTGGGCTTGGCCGCCTTCTTGCTACGGCCCTGGGCGGCTGAGGAGCCATTAGTCCTTGGCGGAGGCTGCTGCTGCTCCTCCTCCAGTGATGCATCTTCGTTTGATATTCGCGAGCTCTTTCTCGTTCCCTTCTTTGAAACCTTGGCAGGTGGCTCGTCCTGGATCGCGTCACTCGACGCTTTTCGCCTTGAAGAGGAAGATTTTTTCGTCGTCGCCGTCGACTTCCGGGCCGTCTCCGCCACAATCAGCTCCACGTCCTCATCACCGCCAATCGACTCCCTCACCGCCCGCTCCCTCGCTGCTGCGGCTGCTGCGGATGGCCTTCCTCTTGACTTCCTGACAGGAAGAGCCACTGACTGTGACTCGTCGGTTTTCGCCTTTTTTGATTTTCGCACAAACTGAAAATCGTCGTCTTGTTCGTAGTCGGCGGCTGTTCTCCTCGTCAGCTTCTGTTCCCCGTCTCCTACGTTTCCTCCTTTCCTCGGATAATGGGCCAACGAACCCGGCTGGCGCTTTGATCGGCGCACCGGCTGGTCGCTCATGCTAAGAAGTTCCAGCGGCTGGTGGAGGGTAATGAGAGTCGTCATCGATGGCTTCTTCGGAAGCTCCTCTGAATGGATCGCATGAGAGAGTATAGGGATGCCGTGTCAAGGCGAGGAATCCGTGCCAGAGTCCGGCGGTGGGAAAGATGTCGTCGTCGAGTAAGATGTCGCGTGTACTTTTGGGGGGGTAAGAAGAGCCAGTTCTCAGCCTTGTCGCGTCAAATGCCTGCGCGCGTTTCGCTCGTCCAGCGCATCAAGCCGCCGCGCAATCGCACGCAAGTTCCGTCGAGCGGTGCGAAACCTGCAGGGCCCAGCCGTTGTCGATGATGCGCATGCGCTGCTGCGTCCTGCCAGGCGAAAGTCGAGTCTGTTCGTCGAGAGACCGCCAAAGTGTTCTTTCTTTGCCTGGTTGTGTTTACTTTTAGGACCATGAGCGAAGAGGTATGGTTTTCCAAGACAGGCGCTAAGCCTGTTACGGAGCATTCACTACCCCACCCCCTCGGTCTCAATGCTGCGACATTTGATTGGCTGGCGGAGCTGTCAACTGAACGAGACATCATCATTCTCACTTAATAGCTGCCACCTAGTCTAATAGCTAATAGCAAATTGCAACATCAATCACGGCAAGCATGTATTGAGGCGACACAAACATCCATGCATTGACCCAGTCGAGACATCCCTATAACACTACCAAGTAATCGTATAGCTTCCGTTTTTTTTCTAGCTACAGAGTACCTCAAATTCAAACCCTAAAACACCAAGTACTATCATCCCCTTAGAGAGTACCTTATCACCCAAAAACGCCTTCAAACACTGCTTGATTCCTTCCAAGCCCAACACCTTTTCATGTGTGTATACCTTGCCTTGCCACTATTTACGTACATTGTAAAGTAATACCGGGGAAGAGAGAAATGTGAAGTGAAGATCCGGGGGTGGCATATACCCGGAAATGGTCAAGGCACCGCCTACAACCACAAGTTGGTGTGGAAAGGGCTGGAAAAAAAGAAGATATAAAAGGACACACGTCCTCAAAATGCTGTCCAGTACAGCCGAAACATGAATTCCACCTCCACCGATTCGTTCGCCTTTGACCCCTTTTAATTATACAAGGGAAATGTGTACTGTATGCGTTCCGTTCCGCTGTGGACCGCATGCATGATACCATGCGCTATGGTGAGGCTAAGCAAGATCATCTTTTCATTCTTCTTTCAGAAAAGATGAATGTCAAAAAGAAGAAGAAGCAGAAGCAGAAGAAGCCCACTTCCCCAATTGGACGATTAGCGTGGCCACTTAGTGGTTTCATCAACCTAAGAAAAACGGCGCTGAACACCTTGGCCAGCCATGACTTGCTGGCCGGGCATTGGGGCCGCCATGCCGTAAGGGTTCATCTGAGGGTTGAAAGGCTCAACAACTTGTGACATGAAGGCCCCATGAAGACCTTGCTGCTGAGTAACAGGGCAGTCTTTGTGGGCAAGCAAAAGAGTCTTGAGATTGACAACTTCCTCACGTAGCTGCGTAATTTGTTGAGTTAAGGCGTCATTCTCACTGCTAAACATCTCGACTTTAGTCTGTAAGTTTGCAAGCCATTGCTTCTTTCGCTGGCGGCATTTGAGAGCAGCAACACTAGGGAGCAAGTCAGCGTTTATACTGATGAAAATAAGAGAACCCATTATGGTAAGATGTTAATACGTACCGATTGCGCTCCAGAAAGTTTTTACGCTTCTCCTCGTCCGTCATCTTGGACTTTCCAGTCCCAGCGTCATCAAACTTGGCATCCATGTCTTCGTCGGAATGATCTTCATCTTCGCCGTTGCTGCTCGGCGCGCCGCTGTTCGCCTTGGATTTCTTTGTGGGCGGCGCTTTGGCAGGCGCCTCATCGGCTTTCCTCCTGCCGTTAGTAGCAGATGAGTTCTTCTTCCCCTTGGCTCGTGTCTGGGGCTTCTGGTCGCTTTCGTCCGACCCATTGCTCATCTCACTGGCGCCTCGTCGCGGGTCTACTTTGACGGAAGCCATCGGGGGTGATGTATTCATGCTCGGGGGGATCACTGGGGCCGGGTGGGCGTGCGCTGTAGGTGCAGATGTCACAGTGAATTGGGGTGTAGGTTGGGCTCCGTTCCTCCCCTGAGCGAGCATATAGAGGCCGTTGGCAGCGTCGTTGTCGTGAGGATCAAAGGGCCCGGATGCGGGCTTAGCTTCGACCTTGGGAATAACGGGGACGGAGGTCATGTCTTGAGGTTGGGATGTGACTGGCTGCGGTTGTGGTGCCGCTGGTTGGACTCGGGACAAGCCGTTGACTTGGTCACGCTTTGCAGCGGCGCTCAGAGCTGTTCGGTGAAAGTCGATGGTGCTGGGAGTGGCGCCGCCGCTGGCCAGCTGTGCAAAAAGGGCTGAGTTGGGACTCGGGGCCGGGAACATGGACCCGCTCCCGCCCGGTGTCAGTCCAGTGCGCAGGGAGGACTCGTTTGGCGTAGGAAAGCCGCCACGGAGGTGATGCGTGTCGCCGAAGTAGTCGGTAGGGCCTGAGAGCATTGCTGGGCTGAGCGGGCCGGTCCGCAAGGAGCCTCCGCCCCAGTTAAAGGGAGTCGCGTTGCTGCCGGGCAGCAGAGAAGACGGAGACGTCAGTGCAGCAACACTGGGTAGTTTGGTTCCTCCAGGCGTTTCTGGGCCTCCACCCCCAAACGACTGCTCAAACGGATTGGGCTCCAGGCTGAGAGAGCCTCCAGTAACCTGAGGCGCGAAGTATTCCGGGGTATTGGTTCCTTGTTGGGATTGTCCTGGTCGAGGCGGCGGTGCAAGCGGCTTGGTCGCCGGAGCATTAGACGCAATGTCCGGCTTGGTGAGGGAGTCGATTTTGGCACTGGCGATGGAACCTGAGAAGCAGATGCTGTGTAAGTTGATGGTCGGTGACGTAGGCAGTGGCAATGGCAATGGCAATGGCAATGGCAACGACAGTGGAGGAATATGACGGCGACGATAGGGACGATAGGGATGATGTTGATGATGGTGATGGAGGTGATGGTGTTGATGGAGTTGATGCTGGGGCGGAAACAGACAATTGAGTTCGGTGACGACGTAGGTCGTCCTTGGTCCGAGCAGATGGTAGCGATGACGAAGGTGTACAGTAGGAGTAGGTTATAGGAGCAAGGAACAGGAGCAGGAGCAGCGAGTGCAAGGAGACGGTATGACGATGCAGGAACCGCCAAGGGGAAGAGGAGAAGAAGGCTTACCTTGCCGTGTTGGGGGCGATTGCTTAGGGGACTTGGACTCGGTTATGTTGGTCACAGTCGTCCCCATGATGACGATAAATTATATCGCAAACAGTGCAGAGGGAGGGGGCAGAAAGGCTACCGCTTTATTGTGGGGGAAACGCAAAACAATTGCAGAGAGCTTGGGATCTAGGCCGACAGAGAGAAGAAAAGACCAATCTGGACGGATGAGGTCAGAGGCAGGCGTAGCGCGGAGGCAGAATCGAGGCGGTGGATAGGCTGGGGCGGTTTTGCGTTGTGATGGCGCGTGCTGTCAACTCTTTTTCCTCTGCTGCTCTCAATTTAAGCAAACTCTCAGCAGGGTAAGTTTGGGCTCTCTTTTGTCTTGGGGGCGTTTTTCCCTCCTCAGACTAGGAGTTTTGGCAGCCGAACAAAATGGCTTGGCCCGGTTAAAAAAAAAAAATTAAAAAAAGGACCAATTCGAGCAGGCCTCGAAGGCTCCCCGATTAGACCTGCAAATCACAGATATTAAAAGTGCAGATGAACGAGCTTCCGCGTGAATCGAGGCGCCAACACGGGCTCAGAAGCTATGCTGGCGGCGGGGGTGTGGAAGGCTGCTTGCGAAGTGCTGTAACTGAGGGTGATGAAGAGTGCACGATGGAGGAAGGAAGACGTCAGAGATGACGTTGTGAAAAAGCGAAGGCGCAGAAAAAAGAAGGCGGGCGGCGGCGGCTCTGACCCTTCTGGGGGGGTCCTGCTGGCTGGGCTGCTCTGGGGCCCTGTGAGTGGCCACGAGCGCTACCAGCCCAGGGTGCAATGAATTATGGAGCCTGCAGAGACTTCGCTGACAAACCCTGGCCGCCGCCGCACTGTGCGGGACGCTGGTGCGCATCTCGCGATTGGGAAAACGGGTGGTGTGGACCGTGCGGATGCGGCGCCGCCACGCACCGTATACTCGTTATCGAATGGGATGATTGACTGAGATGTGCGCCGTACAGTATATTTCACGCTTTATCCGTACTGTATGTATATGCTCCATGCATGCCTGCGAGAAAAGTCTCCAGCATGGGGGAAACGAAGCCAGATGCAGCCAATCGAGAGGTACGCACTCAAACTGGGCAGTAGACCTGTACTCGTACACCTGTTGACCTGGTATCTTGGGGTGGCGAGGACAAAGCGTCTCTACTCAGGGGTCCAAATGAATCCGGGAGCAGCACTAGGTAGGTAGCCACGCGTTCAGAAGCTCAAGGGCTTCCTCTTCTTGTCAACAACCAGCACCAAGGAAAGAAAAAGAGGGGGTAGACAAACGGCGTCAAAAAAGCTACTTTGCTTCAGGCGTTCGTGTTCTCCCGGATTAGTCCATTGCTGCACGTCTTGTTTGCCTCCGCAGAGGAAGCAAAAAGTCCAGACGAAGAGACATGCTGGCCTCGCACTGTATGGGCTCGGAGGATGCTGGGGGTTGCTCTAGCGTGCCACTGGAAATGCAGCTGCGAGAGAGATGCAGTGGGAAGAAGTAAAAAAGAGGTGGGGCTGCAGCATGGGCCCTCGTACATACTTGGGCTCGTACTCGATGCTGGTGATGACGCTCCTCTTGGGCGAGAAACTCGGTAGACGTGATGGCTGTGGGAGCTCCCAGCCAGCGATTGTGCCTCTTGCCCTCCTACGAGGGAATGCTTCAAATACACAATGTTGGATTGAGGGCTTGAATTGCTGCCGAGGGCCACGACGTGAATTACTCGCTAATCTGCCACCTAGACGAGGCCCATTTGATCGCTAAGGTCAACCTTACTCGCATCCATCCATCCATCCATCCGATATCAACATCAGCACGAGTACATCTGCCATCGAACAACTCGCCTCACCGAGCACACAATCCCCCCCTAGCAGGCAAGGCAACCGTTATTTACGAGCACAGGCGACAAGTCAAGTGCTGGCTCCTCCAAGCCCAGCGCGTGGCGATTTGGCCGTCTCCGTCTATTACTGGTGTGCGCTCTACACACACCAAAAGACTTGTCCCAGATTGCGGCACGTCTAATGCATCCGCGCTGGCCTCTGCGGAAAGACTAGCCAACTGCGAAAGAGGAGCCGTGTCCATCCCGGGAGACAAGAGGTACGAGCGCACCTTTTGACTTTTTGCTCCCCAAATGGTGTCATTGCTCTGGGCTGATGCTGGGCACCGCAACAGTTGCAGCATTGTCGAGTCTGCAGCTTCATTACGTCACAGGTCTCAACTCTCGTCTTGCTCTGTTCTCCCAAGTCTCCTCTCCCAGACATTGGCATTGATTGTATGGAACTGCACCGCACCGTTGCAGCTCCCACAGACCACAGAGAGACACGCTGCTTGCAATGGATGCGTCTTCCCACTTGCCTGATTAGGCCCGCCCAGCAATCCATCCATTCAATGCCCGACCAGATTTGTCCTGACCAAACTCCGGACCAGGTTGCCAGGCTTGCAAGCACAGCATCAACACCACAGCAGCCCGATGCCCACGACCAAAAACTCGCACACAGTGTAAGAGGAGACCCCCTGAAATGTCCCGCCCGTCCCCACATCGTACCATCGTCTGTGGCACTGTGCCGCGACTTTTGGCCCGTCGCCGGCTGGCTAATTGGTGAGCGCCATATGATCGGCCCGTGACGTCAGCATGAAAAATGGAAAAAGAAAAGGGAAGGAAAAAATACAGCGAAAATGGCCCAAGCAACAGACCCAGGCGCTGAGAGTGCCGCACGCGTATCTGGCCAATGCTACACGCATTTGTTGGGCCTTGGTCGCTGCGGCTGTTGATGCTCTCCCCATTGGGTGCCTATGCAAACTTGTTCCAATTTCCTTAGTCGTTTAGACTACAGGACGCTCTTTGCTTCCGTTAGCCGTCGAGCTGTTTCTCGCTTCGACGCCACGTCCCCACCGCTGTGGTCAAGCTATGACGCACTTCTGCCAAGCATCGTGAAACCACGAACAGGCTGTAGGGCCTGTAGCAGGACATCAGATTTGCGGCATCAAATCAGCGACACGCGACAGCTTCAGGTGACATTGCCAGCCTGGGATCCTCCACCTTGGAGCAAGATTAATTGCACTGCACTCAGCAGCAATATCACCAGCTGCGATAAGACCTTTGACTCCTATCCAAAAGTCGCGTTCATACACAAGGTGGAGACGTGTCGTTCGCTTCAGCCTATCTACAGAACTCCGTATTGACAGCCCAAGGGGAGGGGGACAGAGAAAGGAGAAGAGAACCAACAAGCTGCAAAACTCAAAATACGGCGACTAAAAACAGCTTCATCCAGTTTCTACAGGTTTCTACAAGTTCTTTGTTTCCAAAGTTTCAATAACTCTCCGAGATGTCTTAGGGAAGGGGGCCAAATCGGCGATCCTCGCCATCCCTTTGCACCATGAACCACGGCGTCTAATTCCGAGCGCCAAAAGGATCGAGATCTTCCCTAGTTCTTTTGTTTACAGCTCCTCGGCTTGGTAATTTTTGGATACTGTGCCTGATTCTCGTGATGACATGATGATTAATCCTGCCATCTCGCCTCCTCTTGATGGCCAAACATGAAATGATCAGCGTTTGCGCTTATACATGCCCTTCCTAGCAAGCTAACGTGCGGAGAGAGCTCTCTAAGCAGGACCCTAATGATGATTTTGGTATTCCAGAGCTGTTAACAGGATTCTGTGAGCAATAGCGCCAAGAACGACTAAGGGGTAACGAAGAATGTGCGCTGGGCTGTCCGGCGTGTCCACATTCAGCTGGCGTCCGTCTGTCTGCAGGGCATCCCTTTATCGTGGAATCCTGTTTGATACCGTAAATAGTGAATGATGCAATCCTTCCGTTATCGAAAACGGTCGGGCTCATCAAGGGCTGAGAGGATTTGGTCTCATGGCCCTGCCGATCACAACCAGTCAGTTATGTCACTGGGCCGTTATTTGGGCATCTGAGGTGCCAGAGGGCTGGGAAGGGCATTGAAAGATTCGCGTTTGGCTATAGAACGGAGATGGAGTCCGTGAATCAGTAGATCCGGGTGAAGTGACTAGATGTTGTGAGTTGTGTTGTATGACCCCTAGCGTGACTGCACCATTTCGAGAGCATATCTCAACAACGGATTACGAATTTCGAAGTATGACATCCAAGTTACATACTTGGTAATTACTCAGAGTATTTTGGAAGATGTACTACTTATTAATGCCCTCCATTTTAATCGCGTCGATGCATCAGAGGCCGAAATTAGCAGCATTTTTCTATGGCTCCAGGGTAAGTGAGATGTCAAGAAGTGACTCGGATGGATTTCAAACATATATTGTATGTAATACGACAATTTACGCATGGATCTACGTGGAAAGTAATAAAACTAGAATATAAATAAGGTATATGCATTTATATATGCTGACGCTACGAGATAAGGTGCGGCGTTGAAGTAGTATCGATGTGGTGGCAAGGCTGAATAACCTCATCACTGCGACCAGATTCTGGAATTTAATACCAAATATACATCTACTCTAAAAAAAAAGAGAGAACAAAAACAAAGAAAATCTACACTAATTAATATCATCATCGCTAAATAGTAGCTCTTCGAACCTTTCATCTTGCACAAAAATGGACGATATATACACTTACCACTGCATCTGCATCCAACAGCCTTACAACCTCGCCCCGCCCTTCGCCTCACCATCAAACCTCCTCAACTTATACCCATGCCTCGGCGCATGAAGCCGCACACTCTCACCCTTCTCCGTCTTCACCTCAATCACAACCTCATCCTTATCCAAGCTCACCAGCCTTCCTACATCCTTATGCGCCCTCCCCGTATCCGTCGGCGAAATCACTACCATGACCCCCTTTCTCAACCCTTCCGCCACTGCCAGCGCATCTTGCTCATCCACAGTCCCCTCTTCCTCATGCCACGACGAGACCTCAATCACCTTTGCAGCTTCCTCCCCGTCCAGCGTCTGGGACTCCTCGACTCTCTTCTTCGCCGCCGTAACCGCCTCCTGGAAGCGCTTGATCCACGAATACACCCGCGGATACTTGTCCGCCGAAAACCCTTCTTTCGGCAAGGCCCCAGGAATACCCGATATCCAGTGAAACACCCAGACGGATTCAATGTCCGCCAGGCTGGGCTTCTCCGTCTTCAAGATCCACTCTCGCCCGTCCGCCAACATGGTCGTCTCCAGCAGCTCAAACGCCGCAGCAACCTCCCTCAGGGCCTCAGGCCGAACCTTCTTCAGCGCCTCCACGCTCATCGTCGTTCCCATGTAGTCTCCCCTGTCCTTGAAATACTTTGGATCTTTGAGGAATGGTAGCTCTGGCGGAAGTAGCTTGACGCTTTGCTGGAAGACGCCGCCGTCGATGACAAACGCCGAGAGCAAGCGCTCAATGCCTTTCTGATCCGCGGTGCTTGCTCCCAGGCGAGGTAATTCCGGATACATTGCCTCAAGCTTGGGAAGTTGAAGGCGAGTATCAAGATATATGTCCTTGCCAATCGAAAGGATTGGAATGCGCCGGTAAGCGATTCCGAGACGGGCGACATCCGGTCGCGGCAACATGCCAGGCTGCAGCTAGATTTGGTGCCTTTTGTCAATGCTTTTGTCTTTTCTAAATCTCGTTCCATCATATTATTTGATGGAAATATATGTAGAGAGGTGCAACTTACACATTGCTTGTATGGAATGCCTCGTAGAGCTAGATACCACACAACGCGTCTTGCATAAGGCGAGAACTTATAGTGATAGAGTATAATCTCCCCGGCAGCCATAGTCATGCGGCGTGATGAGATGATGAAATTGACACGGTTACACTGGATTGCATTAAGAGTAAGAAGTCTGGTTCGTGGGTTGTTTACTTGTCGTCCGCTTGAGCTTGGTAGTTTATATGTACGCTCAGCCTCGGCTTATCGGGGTGGGGTAGCTGATGTGGACTTGGTGACCTCTCACACCGAACAAACGGAGATGTTACATGTACACTTCCGGCTGCAGCATACACTCTGTGCTCTGAATCAGATTTTATTAGGGGCAGCACTATACATGCCTTCCAGTACTTAGCTATTAGGCCACGTGTGAAGCCCCTGTTACCTATGTGTTCCCATTTACCCCAGGATGTAACCACACCCTTATGACTCTGCAGTAAATCTTCCCTATAACCGAGGGGCAACTATAACTCAAGTGAAAAGCAACGGTGTATCAAAATAAGATCTCTCTCCGGGCTGCTGCTAAAGGTAATGAATTACCAGTCGCCTGCACCGCCGGCTGCCTCACCGTAGCCTTTATCAGGCTGTGGTGGCTGCTCATCAGGGTCACCGCCATATCCCTGATTCTCGTAGGCATCCGATTCCTTAGGAGGCATCTTGCAACGGACCTTGGTATGTCCGAATTGCTCGCAGTTGGAACATTGGACTTTGGACCCTACACATTTGTTAGCTATAGTGGCAGAAAGGTTTCAGTGATAATTGGTCATGAAACTTACAGTCTCTCGGCTTAGGGCACTCCTTGCTGAAGTGACCAGTTTCCTCACAATTGCGGCAAGTAACATTATCCATGTTCTTGGGCTGATCACACTCCTTGGAGATGTGGCCTTCCTGACCGCAGTTGCGACAAGCCCTGCTGCCTCCGTCAGGGCAATCTTTGGCGAAGTGACCGGCTAAACAACAGTCAGTGATTGTATTATCACACAGAGGAAAACGACATACTCTTGTTGCATTTGCGGCATTCAACATTGTCCATATTAGGAGGCTCCTCGCACTCTTTAGCGTTATGCCCTGATTTTCTGTATATCGTCAGCGTTCATTCAGTATGTGTAGAAACCACAAAGGCAAACTTACCCGCAGTTCTTGCAAGCAAACTTATCCACGCGCGGCTCGGGGCCTAGAGTGCCAGTTAGAAGAAAAAAAGCATGAGTATTAAGCGACATTGCGACTTACAGTCTCTCACACGGTGACCTTCGGCGCCGCAATTGTAGCACGAGATCTTCGGCTTCTCTGAGCTGGGCTCAGTCTTCTCCTGAGAGCAGCCTTTGGTAGTATGACCAAGCTCGCCACAGTTGTAGCACTTTGGCACACCTCTGTCGACCACCATTCCTGCGTCATCCAAGCGAGAGAGAATCTCATCGACGCCGTCCGGCCAGAGAGTGATTTCGCGAGGCCTTTCTGGCTTGTCGGAAAATCTAACCGAGACGCTGTACTTCTTGTCGATATTGCCTTGGAGGTCCATGTTTGTGAAGGTGTCAATCAGCTCTCTCTGAGTGGAGATGAGCCAAATCTTGACATTTTCCTCCAGCAATCGCTCCTGGATCTGACGGTAAGTGACCTCTCCTGCTAGAGCCTTGACATATTCTTCGATCGCTTCTTTGGCATCATCGGCATCCCTTTCAAGGGCAGCCTGCTTGAGCTTGTCCCAGGCGGCGTCAGGAGTAGTGTCGGCGACGTGGTCACGATTGATCTTGCGAGCATTCTCACAGCTGTTGCGGAAGTGACCTATTATTATTGATTAGTGTTATTTCCATCTCTCAAGACTATTTCATTGAAACATACCCTCTTGGCCGCAATTGGAACAGAGCATGGGAGGAGCTTCCGGGCAGTCCTTTCTCATGTGGCCCTCCTTCTTGCAATAGTGGCAAGTCTGTTCTCCAGCCTTGGGGCATTCGGCTCGTCTGTGGCTGTTGAAAAAAGTTGGGTTAGTCACGGTACCAATAGAATGCGTGATCTACTTACCCTTCTTCACCACAGCCGAAACATTTCTCGTTTGCGTATGCTCCAGATGCTCCAGCCTCGTTGTCACCGCCGTTGTAGTTGTCGTAGGAATCGCCAGCATTGCCAACTGGCTCAGCCGAGTCTTGACCCCAAGTGTCTGCTCCAACGTTTCCCTTCTCAGGGAAAGAGTGAGTGACGGGACCTCCCCAATTGCCATCCGTGGCAGCTCCAGAACCCCAATCTCCCATTTTCAACCTGCTTTGGATAGATAGGATAAGGTACTGTGGCAAACGAAACTCCTTGGAGAAGTTAGAGAAACAAGCAATCATATGAAGGAAGATGATGAAAAGAATGGACATGCTACTTGACAACGCGGGGTTTACGGGGTGACAAGATAGTCGGAATATTGTAAACAAAGTTGAAAAGTGGCGGAGTGTGAGGCAAGCCATTCATAATCTCCATGTGGATCAAAACAATTGTGGGCAATAAGAAAGTCACCCATAGGAGAGTATGAAAAGTGGACGAGATGAAGCAGGGATAGAGAGCTTGAGGGAGAGAAATGCAATAGGAAGAAGTTATTGGACGAACATACCTGGGATGGAATTTCGGCAACACGAGACCAAAGTCGCGTTTGATGAAACGAAGGGAAATGCTGCCTCCTACTTGCCCTGCTGACGAGTTAACTAAATGTGCCGAGCATTCTTCGAAGTTACCTAGGTCGAGTTACTACTCACAAGCCTTGATGCAGATGGTGCAACAATCTGCAGCTTGCCTCGAAACTCGGAGGTGTGCAGAGAGATGAAGAGGTAAGGAGGAGAAAGAAGAAGAGAGAAGGGAAGGTCGGCAGAGGGTAGGGAAGAAGGCAGCTGGCAGGCGAAGGCGGTGCACAGGGCGGCAGAATGGGGGCAAGTTATTCCACTCCCTCCTCGCCTTTAAATGGCCAGCTGGTAATCTGATGAGGGAGCAGTGCTTCCCTCAGGCAGCGACCTGGCTGTGGCATAGTGCTTGCTTGGTGGAATGGCCTGTAGGGAGCAATTATAGGGGGCTTGATAGGACATTTGCCTCATGAGGAGTAAAACGCTTGATGAAAATGTTTCGTATATACCAATGCCCTCCAACCTAACGCATGGGATTATTAGATTGATGGGAAAACCGCTTCCTGCATTAAGATCACCGCTGCCATTACATTTCTTTGTTGTATGTGCTGTCCTTGTTCATCTGATATCTTTGGGTGGCACAACTTAATACACAAGTATTGGGCTCTTTCGCTATAGTGCTGCTGTATTTACAATGATGTTTTGATATGATGATTTTGCCAAGCTATATTGCCTTCTCCCTATGGATATAGGGAAATGTCTCTGTATGAGCCTTTCGAGCATCTACCAAGGATCCTTAGCCATGGCGTTGCACACTCTAACAAGTTGTGCACAGGTAATGCTATGACCTCTGGTATGAATTCTGAGATAAGACTTGCTTGTTTGCCATTTCTCGTTTGTCATATCTCTTGCTATTCTGATGAACACCCGAGTGATGCGCGTTCGCAATATATATTCACTCATCCACTAGTAGGCTGAACGGAATTAGAGAAATATAGCAGACCAAATTATACGACGCATTCACTTGCTCGATTGTAATCTCTCGCCAATTATTGAAGCATTGAGAACGCATTATGCAATCACAGGCCACAGCCCTGCTCTTTATACCTTAACAAAGAGCAGAAAGCAAATGGATATTTCTGTGTCGAGTGCCACAGACGTACGGACAGCTGTTAAAGCCTTCAACAAAAATACGATCAAAGTCTTTAATTGGTCTCAAGTTCAGCATTGCCAAATTGTACAAGGACGATAGGTTAGAACAACTTGGAGCATATTAAACACTGCTACCTAGGTGCCTATTGACATAGTCTCTGGCAATAACAAGCCAATTTCATCCACCGACAGTCAGGTATAGCCATTTACAACATCGGCTCGGCTCGCGAATCGCTAGCTCGTTCGGAACGCCGATGCCAGTGGGCTGATGCCTCCAAGGTTACCATACTTCCGCGGAAAAGAACAACTCTGTGTAGACAACGACGCTATCATCACCCGTGAATTCGGGAGAGATGAAGACAATGCGCAGTGAACGGGTGCTTTGGCAAACCTCGTTTTTTACGGCCATGGTCTACAAGCCTCAGATGAGTCAATACTGATATGCAAAAGGAACGAGCACATGCTTCGTAAGTTCTCAGGTGGATACCTACTTTAAGGCACCTGAGATCCATCTCAAGCTCAGCCGTAGATGACCTGCAAGTTGGTAATCCGCCTGACAGCAATGGGGCTTGTTTTCGCCCCTGTTCCTAGCATCCAATGGGAGGCGCAGAATATGCGTAAACTGCATCTCCGCGTTCGGAGGTGCCGCATTTGCTATCGATTGCTATCAAACCGACCCCCGCGTGCATTTTATACACTGTATATCCTGGCTGAATTCACTACTAGAATACAGTGTCAGTATCTTGGCAGATTCACTTTTTTAAGCTTTTACTAAGCGTCACTGAAATTATTATACTACATCCGACTTGGAACGGATCTTATTTTCTTACAAATCCAACCCTCAGTCTCTCGACACTCCCATCCTCTCGTCCCAGACGACTCTCCTCCTACCCACAGCATCCTCTCGCAATGGCGCCCTCCGTCGTAATGATAGACACCTCCGACGACTTCTTCTCAGCCCCAGTGGCGACAGAGTCAAAGCGAACCCTCCTCTTGGCGCCCCCATCTCTCGCCTCTCACCCCTCTGCGCTCACCAACGTCGTGTCTCAATATGATCGCTCTGCTACAGATCTCCAGATGATCGACCGGTTGTCGGCCGGCCTCGTCAAGCTGCCGGCGGCCACATACGACCTTGTCCTCGTCCTCGCCGATGCGTCTTCCTCGCTCAACGAGGCCCTCCCCCTCTTGACCAGAAACATTCTCGGTCCCATCGCAGAGTCGCTCAAGCCCAAGGGACGATTTCAGTCGCAAGACGGCTCAGACTTGGGGCAGAGTGCTGCTCTGACAAAGGAGGCTGTCTTGGCGGGCTTGGTTGCGTCCAACGGAGGCTTTGACAAGCCTGACTATGGCGATGGAGAAGGCGTCGTTTCTCTTAAGCTGTTGGGCAGAAAGAAGAAGGTTGATGCCGCACCCGCTCTCCAGAAGATTGAAGTCAAGCCTGTCGTCCCTAATGGCGTCGGCTTCATCGATTTCTCTGACGACTTGGACGCCGATTACGATGACGACGAACTCATCGACGAAGACACCCTCATGACGGAAGATGACCTCAAACGACCCATCAACATCCGTACGTTTAGTCTACACATATTCCTCTTACTTGAAATCACATGTACTAACTTGTTCGCAAAAACAGCTCCCGAGTGTCAACCCAAAGCCGGTAAGCGCCGCCGCGCCTGCAAGGACTGCACATGCGGCCTCGCCGAACGCCTCGAAGCCGAAGACGCCGCCAAGCGCTCCGCCGCCGACAAGGCTCTCCAGAGCGTAAAGCTCGCCGCCGATGACCTCACAGAGGTTGACTTCACCGTCCAGGGCAAGGTCGGCTCCTGTGGCAACTGCGCCCTGGGCGACGCTTTCCGCTGCGATGGATGCCCTTACATTGGGCTCCCGCCGTTCAAGCCTGGCGAAGAGGTCAGGCTGCTGAATAACGAGATTCAGCTATGATGAAATATGCTTTGTGCTTTGTTTGGGTTTCTGCGATCATGAATATGGGCGAATTGCTGTTACTACGGGGATTGCGTGATGGAGTCAATGGGCTATTCAAGACACTCATCAAGATTTGGTTGGATATGGGTTAACGAAGACAGGGAGAACAACAACAGAAAAAGGGCCGTAAAAGAAACAAAAGGCTAGAAGGTCCCTTTTCTTGTCCTCTGAACGTCTTGGGCGTAGACATGGCGTTTTTTTTTTGGGCGTGGACACAGTTTTTTTTAAGTCACAACATTCTAGAGAATCAGAATTTATATTCATCTTTAACAAACAATCAACCCAAAACACATTGTGAAAATGTAAAATACAGTACCTATGACCATGTATGATGACTCCCGCACCAGTTTCTAGCTAGTAGTTATAGAAGAATCAGAGCAGTTCCCCCCTTCCCCCCATGTCCATGTAATAATGCTTTTTACTGAAGGAAAACCAAAAGGACACCGCTCACTTCTAGCTCGACCCATCCTGGTTGGCCTTCCTCCTCTTCTCACGCTCCGCTTCTGATAATCCCTCATCGCTATCGTCATCTCCAACGGTGTACTTGTTCTCCGAAGCAGTCGGTGTTTCCAGATGCAAATCGTCCAGAGTAGTCTCATCGAAATCCGCCGCCTCGACATCCGCACGCCGTCTACGGGCAGAGAAGTTTAGACGAGATCCGTTTCGGCTCGGAGGCTCATCGCCGCTGAGTGCCCTATAGGCGGCACGAGCTCTGCGCTGGCGCCAGATAAAGTATCCCCAGGCCCCGGCCGCAACGATGACGATGACCAGGACGATTTCGCCCGATCTTTGATAGGCTGCCCATTTGGCCTCGTCGATTTTCTTGTGCGTCTCTTCTTCATGGGCGTGGGTGTTGTTGGAAGCTCCGCCAACCGTCGTCTCCACGCCCTTTTCGCCGTCGATGCGGCTGTCCGTTGGCTCGCCACCAATGCTGCTGATGTCGACTCCCATGAACCTGTCTAGCATGTCGCGTGTGCGGCGAGGGTAGTCAAATGGCACCATGTGAGATGAGTTGTAGTACAAGACGTAGGTGAGGTTGCGGGCTTCTTGCCAGAACCCAGCAACTTCGCCCTCAAAAGTCCACTTTCGACGGGGAGCCCAGTTTCCAGGCGTTATTTCGAAACCCTTTCCTCCGTTCCATTCCATGTTGCTGATCATGTTTTCCGTACCAATGTGGTTACAAATGAGGTCTTCTGCTCCCGAGAACAGCAGAATAGGAACCTCTGTCAAGAGACCGGGCAGCAACTCGACTGAAGGAACTGACGTTCTCGCCTTGAAAGTACCGCTCACTGCTCCGCTGCATTCTTGCCAACCGTTGCCGGCATTGGCAGGATTGATGTGAAGCGCCTTTACAACGTCTGGTCTCCTCAGATATGGGGTGACGACGGCCAAGTCCGGAGGCCAGTTCATTCCGCAGCTGGGGTACTCATCTCTAAGGCGGACATCATACATGTTCCAGCAGGCATCCTTTCCATTGCCCTTTCTGGTCATGTCCAATATTGCGCTGAGGATGCTCTCACACTCGCCGTAGTCGACGTGGCCCGGATCACTGCCTTGCTTGTTCTGGCATATCCGAACGCTGGATTGCAGCTTCTTGGCGACATCCGAGTCCTTGGTCAGAAGGCCCTTTTCGTATGCGAACGGAAGATAGCTGTCATACTGATCCCTCGGGGAGATCCAGCCATTTCCAATGAGCAGCCCCTTTAGGCTCCAAGTGTCCTCGTCTTTCTTTTCCTCAATCTTCTTCTTGTTGCGATCCACAATTGCTTTGGCGATATAAGGAATGTACTGTCCGGCGTATGACTCTCCCGCAAAGTATAGCTGACTTAACTTTAGAATTTATATCTTGCCCGCGCAAAATTGGGATACTCACATCGTCATGCTCGTACTCGGGAAATAAAGCAAAGAACTTCTCCAGAAAGATGACAAATTGGTCTGCCATTTCATTTAGTTCACGGAGGTAGCTGTCGGTATCGACATAGCTGAAGCCAGTGCCGACCGGATTATCGACGAAGAGCAGATTGGCGAACTCGTGCCATGATCCATTGTTGGGAACCAGTGTGTGCTCATCCTTGACTCTGTAGGGTCCAATCTCCATCATTGCGCCATCCTCCGAGCTGCATCCCGGCCCGCCGTTGAGCCATACTACGGTTCGCTGACGGTTCGCAATGTGCTGGTTCTGGAAATGCCAGAAGAAGAGGTTTCCGTTGTGCTCGGGAGTGATTTCAATGTGGCTAACAGCGGAGTAGAGTTGCGTCAGCGCAATGTAAATCCCATGCTTGCGGAATGCTTACCCAGCGTGCATCTTCACGGCCAGCGAGTCCTGCGCCAGTCCCGGAAGATCGTGGACATAGTAGTCGGCCGAGGTTTTCGATTGCTCAGCAACGGCGACGGCAGGCCAGAGCGAAGCCAGAGTAATGGCCAGCCATCGCCATGAAGCCGGCCGCGCGGACGGCAAAGCCATGGCGAGAAGCGGCGCAATCAGCGCGTGTGGACGGCGGAAGACACAAAAAGTAGGCAGAGAGGGAGCACAGCTTCCTCAGTCGTGGGTGGCGTAGAGGGTCATTGACAGAGGATCGCGGTCGTCAAGGTGAAGCCGGGAGGTGATGGTGAGAGGTTAGTTATAGCGAGGCGCAAGGTGGCCGAATCCAGCGGATATCCCTTCGCCTGCCCCTTGGGGATGTCAGATTGGTTTTGGGATGCCGCGCAGCCGCACAGGCCGGGCTGGCTCTGCTGGGGGCAAAGGTCCCCTAAAACACGAGGACTAGTTCGCTGTAACTGCAAGCGATATAGCGCTTCGGCCCCACACGGCAGGCGTCTATTGTTACTGAGGATGTCAATAGGAAGCTCGGGCCTGTTGTTGAATAGAGGAGAACCAGACGTGAAGAAATTCATAGTGTAAACCAATAACGTGGTAGAAAATATTCTATGGTGGTTTTAATTTCCATGTTCATTGCAAGCCGTCCAATTGCGCAGACGTGATAGATGCTGAGGGTCGCTTGGTGGCGCATCTGCTCTGATACGAGAGTACTTGCTAGAAACAGAAGTCGATGCAGCTTTCTCCGGATTTAGCGTCCGTGGTTAATGCATACAGAGATTGACGGTACATGGCTTGCAGCGAGGTTTGCCACCAAAGTCGATGTACTGCTAGTTTTTAGTAGATCGCTGAGGGGCAATTGGTGCATCATCCCGCAGTACATCATTTTTGCTTCGAATTTTTTCATACTAGGTAGGTATTCTTGGTGAGACGTCTGTTTTATGAAAGTGCTCATAAATCACCGTTCCCAGAATCAATTCCACTCCCAGTAAGGAGGATTCATTTTTCATTTTCAATCATCCCATAACCTTTTGTGCCCATAAAGGACGGCCAACGCACAAATGGCTTCTGCTGGCAAAACTTTCATTGTCGAGCATCTCGACGAAGAGCTTGGCCCTTGGTCAGAGCTCGAATATCTAGCCATCGCAGCTGAGAGCGAGGAGACTAACAGCAAATTCATTCTCTCCTGCCTGCCTCCCAACTTTCAAGTTCCGCCTGCATTGTCTGCTAGCAAAGCCTTCACGGCAGAGCACCGCGGGGTCGAGGAGCTCTATGCCGGCCAGAAATCTCGGGTCTGCCTTCTGGATCCTGCAGCAGCCAAGGATTTGGCACCCGAAGATGGCGAGACATTTGATGCCTTTCTCTTTGGAGGCATTTTGGGTAAGTGGGCGGCTTGGTCATGCGCTGGGAATGAGTGGCAATCAGCTAACAATTCATAGGTGATGACCCTCCACGAGGTGAGCGTTGATGGACTTCGCTTGCTATCAGCTCATGTCTAACAGGCTCTAGACCGAACTTCTGAACTGAGAAAGAAAGGCTTTGAAGGCAGGCGGTTGGGCCCTAAGCAAATGACCACAGACACCGCCGTACGAGTGACTCGAATCGTCGTACAAGATAAGAGTAAGCCGATGGCCAGGTGCATAACATCCCAGAGATGACCTGATGTTAACCTCAGTAGTATCTCTTGATCAAGTGCCGTATCTGGACTTTCCAGAACTCAAGTTCAACGATCACGAAAGCACCCAGATGCCGTTTCGTTATGTCACAGGCGCCGATGGAAAGCCAATAATGCCAAAGGTGAGATTATTGAGATAGCGGGGCGTATTGGTTCAATCTGGCTTACCAAGTTTCACAGGGAATGGTCGAGTTGATACAAAAGGACGCTGATAAATCTGTGGATGACTTGTTTTGATAGTTGCATTCGTATTTCGTGGCAATGAGTGTGGTCAAGCAAGCAGACAGCCCGTTGCCGTGAGGGATAGTGAGCTATCCAGCACATCATCTACAGTCAGGAACAAAGGCAACCAAAGAGCATGCTTCTTAAAAGACTCGTATAAATCTATCATGCTCGACACCATCACCTTGTAATGCTAGTACATTCACTCTGTCATCAATAAAGATAGGCCCATCAGCAGAGCTCTATCTCGCAGTTCCCAAGTGTTGATCTTCTGACTCTATTCGTAAAAGGGGAAACACATCCTTTGGATCATGGTACCGCATCCATGCCTCGCAGACATTCCCAAAACATTTCTTTTAACAGTTGCTGAGCCTCGATGAAAATATTCTATGGTGGATAGAAGATATGCAGGGACTTCCCAAGACGGCGCATGCATAGCGCAGGCTCCGTGATTCCGGGCGTCAGACATGGACCCCTATGGTGGTATCAACAAGGCTACCAATAGGGAGTAACCCACACCAATCATGAAGTTGATATTAAGTGTTGTCTATGGGTAACACATCCGGACTCTGGTATGCCCTCTGCCGCAGGCAATGTGCCGCGGCCTGTGGGTATCCGAGCATAGAGTAATTCTCCGATGCATGTTTGCTCCAACCCAGTACACCGGTTGAGTGAATCCGAAATGTTACCTCTCAGCTTGGTCGGCTTGTGGAAATGAGACAGGAGACACGTCAGATCTCAAGGCTCATTTCCATAGGCGGGAAAACTATACATGGGTGGCACACAAGTGCTGGCATCCTCCAATCTTGTTATTGATAAATTTCAACCCTTGTGACGGCGCCCAAGCAGACATGCAGGCACAGGCGCAGGCGCGGAATTCCAGGCTGTGGCAACGTCGGAATAGTGGATGTAGCATCGTGATATCGGGTCGCAGCAGCTAGCCCAGTTGGCCGATCGTTCGCTGTCACCCACGGAAGACCACTATTTTCATGGGCCTGAGGCTCAAGGAACTATGTGCGGCAGTCAAAATTCTACGAAATGGCAAGATAGACTGAAGTTTGCGCTCCGCGAGGATGACAGCATGAAGTTGCCGCCAATCTTGTAGAGGCGTTGTCGCTATGGCTCCTAGATGAGCTGCCACATGGCAATTGAGTTGGCCCAATCAGTTCCAGTGCAGAATTTCTGTAAGTTGCTGTGAAGACAAGATACTACAAAGGATCTGCCGTGCCATCTTGACATGCGCGAGATGGTATTGGATCCTTTTTGTGGTAACACAAGACCAAGTGCACTCGCCAATGTTCACAACTTCGCCGATCAAGTCGTTGCAGCCGAGTGCCATCCTATCAACATCTAAGGAGAAAAAACTACTGAGATCAAATTAGCATCTCGTTCACGCTGCAGGCGCATATTAGGCTATTATGATCTTCGTTTGTGAAAGCCGGGCCCAGAGCTCGTGTGCTCATATGGCAAGATATATCGCATATGCCTCCTTTCAAGATGGGAAGGACCCTTAACAACACAGACACTACTATCTCTTGGCCGTCTTCTCGGGTTGAATTATGGTTGAGTCCACCACGGCAGCTAAAGGTGAGCTAGCCAGGTATCGGGACTCGCTAGATCGACCGCCAACTCTTGGGATTCGCAAATTAAAGCAACTAGAATGGGGAACTAGGCAGCATGACGAGAAGCTGAGAGCCATCACGGCCGATGGAAGCAGGGGCAGCTGCGGCTGAAATGGAAGCAAACGCCATTCTAGCGCTACCCAAGGCGGCGGAACGCGGATTGATGATGGGCTTGGACAGAAATCCTGGCTGGGGAAGTGATACCCGAAGTGGCGTGTGCCTTGATAGTCTCGCCCGTCTGAAGTAAACTAGTGCTATTTATGTCCTCTTTCATGACGGATGGAACCTACCGAGGGCACATCGCCATTCTGGGCGAGGCTGCTGAGAACTTGTCCATCCAGTGAAGTGCTTGACGGCTTGGATATCCAGACTGCCCAGCTTCCCACATGTGTGATCCCCCTGGATGGTCAGCCAGGGAATGGTTGCGCTGCCGTGGCGCGTCGTCTGCAAGTAGTTTCGCAAGTCTAGAAAACGTGGCTGCCAGGGCTTCTTTGAAGGGTCATATCGGAGCTGGCCGTTGGGCCTTTTGGAAATAGACGATACGAATCATCCACACGACGCGGGATGAGCGCAGGGCTAGTTCCATCGAAGCGTCGGGCTAAGAAATGCAAGCTAGGATCAGACCCCCCTAGCTAGCGTGGGGTCGGGCGAGCTTCTAGAGAAGATCGAGGTTTCTTTGGAATCTCATTTGGAATGTAAACGAGAGTGTGTTGGGCAAGTTCTAGCGTTGGCCTGGGGCTTGCCGAGTCCACTTTGGCGCTCAACTGAAGACGACACCACTCCCAAAGTTTAGGCCAGCCGCATGGGTGACGCCCAGTATTCGACAAGTCACTTCTCGCGATGCTGGGCGGCTCTTGGTATGTAGGTGGCCGCCAGGAATTGACAGAGCAGCATCTGAAAGCCCACAGAAGGATCACCAAAAGAGGTGGGCTTACTCGTGCGTGTACCTCATTTGCCTGTCACACGTACTCACACACACAAGTCTTGGTCGGTCAAGAGAAGCAGGAACGTGAACCCTGCCCGATGAAGCCCGATGAAGGTGGTCAACTCGACTAATCATCAACCATCCTTTGATATGCCATCGGATAGCCGCCACATACCGTGCTGTACCGTCCCTGTTGCATGGTAGTGCATGCGGCATTAGATTGGTTAGGATCTATGCCGATAGTACCCTGTCCTGGTTGGATGATGCATCTTCGATAGCAATCTCTGTGATTCGTAGATGTTTCGTGCCGTTGCTGCAGTACAATGGCGATAGGTCGTTGGTGAGGGAGGAGAAGAGATCAAATGTTTCAGCCATTTGCTACAATGTACCCTCCTAGGTCGCGTGCTTTGTCAGTACCTCCTTGCAGAAGCCCTAGCCCCAGACAGGTGTTCCTTCCAAGTCTCCTGCCGGTAGCGATACTCGAGGTGGTACAGCGTCCATCCCAGCAATTACACGATGGAAGGCGCCACTAAGACATCAATTGGATGGACGACACGCTGCTGGGACTGGTACCTGTGTCTGTGCCTGTACCCGTACGTTACATTTACAATTGAGATGGAGGGAGGTTCTGGTGTGCTCACCTCCTCGTGGGCTCGCTTGGAACAAGGCAGCGTGTCTCACACACCCACCACCTGCTGCCTAC